CGCAGCCAAGTTCCTCCTTCAGGGTTATGAAGCAGCGGCGAGAGGTTTCGCGGACATGTTTATTCATATGTCCCAGCTCATAAACGAAGAAGCCGCAGAGAGTGAGAAGGCGACTCTTCTCATTCTTCAAATCATCTTTGGGCATGAGTTTGCCGCACTTTTGCAGAATCAAGCTAATGGTATCCTGCGACTGGATGCGCGTCGAAGCGGGGAGATCGGCAGGCGTGTCCTTGATGACATACATCAGAGCCCGTGAAAATTCAAAATGCCGTTCGTAGAGCCAAGACTCTCCAAGGTCCAGCTTGGTCGCAAGGAGATTGATACCAAGGCTGCCACCTGCTTTCGTAAACCACTCCTCGCTGTGGCAGCTGTGGCAGAAGACACGGCCCAGGTGCTGGAAGAACACGAGTTTAGAAGCCTTCTCAGGAGCACCAAAGATGACAGTGGCAGCATCCTTGACGATCAGCATGACCTTCTCGGCAGCTTCGCGAACGTGAATATTGTCCGAGGAGAGGCAGTCAACAATGGCCTCCGCCAGGATTCGGGAATCAATGTTCACGGGGCCTTCTCCATTGGCCACATCAAAGGGCTTGCGGCTGTGTCGAGCTTGAGCAAGAGCCCGACCGACCTCGACGACGGTGAAATGCTTGCAAACATCCGCTACGAAAGCAGTTGCTGTTTGCTCGAGATCTGGAATCGTAGTGGCGAAGATACAAGCTTTGATAAGCTTCTTCACAATTGCTTCCTGTGCAAGTTTCTTCGGAATAGATGCTGATCGCTCGGACTTGTCGAGGATATCGGGCATAGGGCCGGCCTTGTTTTCAAACAGGTCGTTTGCATGCAACCGAATCAAGGATGCCAAGTCATCGGGGAGGTTCTCATACCCAATCTGGAGTTTGAGATGAGAACTGAGCATGCGGTAAGCCTGCTGCTTGTAATAGGCGTCTGAATCCTTGGCAGAAGCCGTCTTCGGAACCTCCATGAGTTTGGCAATCGCAAGGTCAATTCCAATATCCACCGGGAAAGGCCGCTTCTCGCTGGGGCCAATTAACCGAATATCGAAGCTCGGGTTGTCGTCGGAGTACTGCTCGAATGACAACTCAGGTGGGTGGTTGAGGAACTTCCTGTTACGGCCACCGAGCTTGCCCAGGATCCGCATTGTCGTGTGCGCATGGAAATGGTTGTATGGTTGAGGGCGCAAGTGGTCCCAGAGAGCGGTCATCAACTCATCCATAATAGGAGCCATGATTGGATCAAGGTAATCTGCAGTAAGGTTGTCCACACAAAGCTCGAGAGTACGTAAGCCCTGGCCAACGAGGTCCGAATCGGCGCGCAAAGCCACAACAATTGGGCGCATCAAGTAACTGAGATGAGGAAGAAGATGACTCAGTCGGGCTGGCACAGTAAGAGTGAGTTCGACATAAAGGTCACGCTCTTGCGGCTTTCGAGCTGCAAGCAACAGGTTGTTGAAGGTCTCAAGGAGCATCTCCAGGAGCGGGAGGATTTCCTTGTAGAGAAGCTCGAACCGTCCACCACCGATGCTCCGGAAGAGTGATCGCAGGAGGAGGAAGTAGTTCATGGGTTCCTCAGCGGTGACCGACAATTCGATACACTTGGTGACGATCTTCGTGACATGGGGATGAAGCACCTGCTCGTTCTGGACAGAGAAGAGCGTCACAGCCATGAAAGAGAGCTTGAACATCCTCAACAGGATTTTGGCTTTTGTCATGTCAGACGTCCCAACTTCGTGGATGCGTTCCATAAGGTATTGCAGTACCATTCCCGAGAATGCCGGTGAAGTCGCCTCACTGGCCAGGAAGAACTGCGGGAGGTGAAGCAGAGCACCATGCTCAAACATAAGTTCATGCAAATAAGGTATTTCAGAGTGAAAAACCTCATGGAATGTCGCCGTGTCGATGCAATGGAAGACGGTGCCGAAGCTTTCCAGAAGCTCCTTCTCCTCGCGCGACATGGGCGCAGTGTATTGACTGGCAAGGAAATCGAATGGGGAGGAGTAATTGACTTCCGGGGGAGATTGGTCAACGCCATAGTAGCGGAACACACGAGCACCTTCGTGGAAAAGCTTCTTGATCACTCGGACTTCCTCGGCATTGTACCCATAGGAAACTTCTGACCAATTGATCGGGACACTGTTCGGATCGATCTGAATGTCATCCGGGTTGCAATTCTTCAACTGATGGAAGATGTTTTTCAACCCGTTGATCAGGTTCTTGAAGAGGAAGATGTTGTCCGAAACAGGGTCTCCACCTCGATCACGAGGGCTGGAAGTCTTGATAGGAGACGCCGAGAAAATATCGATCTCGTCCCAGTCCGGTGGCTGATCCTTCTCGGCAAGGTAGTTCTCCGCATGAGGCTCGGTGTCTTTCTTATAGGCCTTGTAGTGCTTGGATACCTTGACCGCGTTGGTGAACTGGTGGTTCATGGAAGCAAACTTGTCACCGATTGCATCCAGGATCATGATCAAGAAATAACGAGCTTCCTGCTTGTCCTCGAGTTTTGAAATCTTCTCTGCCATATTCAGAAGCAACTTCGCGCTCATTGTCTGGAAGCTCGTGCCCGGGAAGTCATCGTGCAGGTTCTTGGTATACACCTCAACCGTTCGCCGGATCTGGTCGCGAGTGAGGTGGTCGCGCACATGATGGATGAGATCAGCGAGCATGCTGTAAGCCAGCGGCCGCATGGTCTCGTAGACAGTGAGGCCATCACCGATGAGAGTCCGTTCATCCAGAAGCTCGTCGATCTTTTCGAGGAAGATCTTGCGGTAGTTGAAGTTGATGATGTGGCGAATGGCAACCAACAGCTCCTTCCTTGCTCCGGACTTCTCACGCGGACAATCCTGAAGAAGCCGCACCACCACCGATGGAAGCGTCGGGAGGAAATCTTGGAGTTGATGAGCATACAGACGTAGAAGATACGCCAAGAAGCTCATCGTCTTCACTTGGGCGGTGATGAATTCCCCAAATGCGGCCCTGTTTTTGATTTCCTTACACACGCCGGTGAAGATCGTGCCCTGCGCGGCAGCATCCGCATGCGCCTTCTCCTGCGGCTTCGCTTGCAGCAGCAAGATAGTCTTGATGAGTGGCACAAAGAGCTTGACATTGGCCGATACGGATGCGCGGTGAGTTTGGAAGATCGAGACGACGATGATGGGGCACTCGGCGAGGACCTTGAACGACTGCATGCCCTTGAGGATGACATTGCTTAGCTGCTGCTGGTCGGGATTTCCCAGGTCTACCACAGATGCTGCAGGTGAGTTTGGCCGAGGCGACTGAAAGTTCTGGGCGGTGGTGTTCGGCGTGGAAGGCATGCCAGAGGGTGTGGCTTGGTTGGGGCTATCGAAGGTATCCCGAACCACCTGCTCCATGGTCTGGAACATCTCCTGGATAAGCTCTAGGAACGGTTGTACCCGCTGTGCTGTCGCTTTGGCCTGGTTGCGCTCCAAATCCATGATTGTCTTCATACACAGGACGGCATTATCTTCGTTTTCGATCCGGACGAGATCCATCAGCAGGTCGACCATGTCGGCGGCGTAGGGTTCAACGTCTGGAGAAGCCATTGGTAGCCGGTGGAGGGTCTCGAGGATACAGTTTCGTAGTTTCTGGGAGAGGGCATAATAGTTAGTTACACCGACCTGCACATGAATCGACGGCGCACCAGCCGTCGACAAAATCAGTCATGATGCATACCTGTTCATAAGACAAGCTCAAGAAGACCGGATCCCCCTTCAAAATGGCCTTGAACACCGGCCACAGTTTTGCCAGAAAGACGGGGTAGTTGGCACCGGAGCATAGTGGTTCAATGCTATCTCGTAGCTCGGTTGCGACATTGGCTCTCACTTTGACTTCTGCAGTGGAGAGAGAAAGATGGTCAATTTCGCGATCAATAATATCTTTCATCGGGTGCAGATGCTGCCAACATACCCAGCTTTTCATCCCCCAGCTTGCTGGCGTAGATGTCGATATTTCGCTCCATGATCGCGAGGAACGCCCTCGACAGGGCCGGTGACTAGGAAAAAAAGACTGCAATTACGGCCAGGCCCAGTGGCCGGCTAAGAAGTGTAAAGCCCGCGCAGTCCTTTGGGTGATTCACATGCGGGATTGTAGAGGTGGTGGAAGCTGGCCGCAGCTCGTTCGACAAATTGGTCAAAGATCGTTCGTCAGGACAGCGAGGAAAGCACGCGGAGGAGGACTTTGGGGGGTATCGTCAAATCATTCAAAAGGAAGAGTCGGGTCCATTGAAAGAAGGCGATGGACGGGCAAAAAGGAGAGGACGTGAATACCCCGTGGGGGAGGGAAGAGAGGATTGAAATGCGCGCGACTCACGCCTAGCAGCCGGAGCGAGAAGAGCCCTCTGGAGCAGAGGGCCTGGGGTCCGTCGAAAATGCTTAGTCAGTTCCTCTGCTAGGCCCGATTGGGTTAGCGCGGTGGAGCGGTAGTTGTTCCGGCCGAAGGACTACTCCTTTGAGGTACAGACCGAGCGATGAGAGATGTTCCCAGTCCATGAGGAATGGCCTCTTACAACGGCACCGCTAAAGTCTACGCACGCAGGCTGATCCAAGGCGTCATCATATCGGAGTACAGGTCTAATAGAAGAGAAAACACAACGAAAAAAAAGTAGTCAACTCTCAACACGAAGAAGCCCACCGACAGTCAAAAAGTCAGCGGATGAAAATAACGCCATTCGCACCCTGTTTTCCAGACCCGAACACGGTTCTAAGACTCAATCCAACTCAAGAGGGCCGCTCGGGGATCACACGCTCAATGGAGCCGACCACGGAAAGAGAAGATCAAAAAAAGGCCATGTACACAAAAGGAAAATGAGAAACATCAAACAGGCACAGGGGAAGGGGGGCATCACGGTGCATAGATACCGCAGGAAAGTCAAGACACAAAGAAAAGAAAAGAAGAAAAAACCATCGTTGTAGCCCATAGTCGCTATGCCATCGTCGCAGGAGAAAATCAACGCAAGTCACATATCCATCAATAGCCTCCGAGGCGATTACTTGGTCGAGTTGCTGCGATGCAAGATCTGTACATTGGTGGCACTGGTCCCGCTACCGACCGATCGTCGTCGAGGGCGAATCTCGCTGCCGCTTCCGCTCCGTCGTCTCCGTGTGCCACGAATGGAGCCACGGCGTCGTGTCTGGAGCAAACGGACGTTCCCACGTTAGAAAATCACGCTTGCTGAGGAAGGGTCATGGTTTCTTAGCAAAAAGACAAAATACAGGGGCAGTGAAGCCCGACAGAGGGGGGACAAGCCGCAAGGGGATACACAAATTCTCGAAACCATTATTAACAGAGATCATCAAAACTCACCGAGTTAGGAGTACCCTCTCGGGACGGTCGCTCCTTCGTTGTATCGGAATCCTCCTGCAATTTCAGGGTATTCAATCGTTTTTGGCTTTCGTGGGTCATAGCCTCCACCTCGTCGATAGCCTCGGGCACATCAACGACGGGAGCTGGTGGAGGTGGGACGCCATTCTTCCGGTCCTTGGCTTGTTCCTCGATCTTGTCCCAGCGACTCAAGCGAGTCTTTTCACGTTGGTCGGCATTGTTCTGGTGCTCGGTGTACTCATGAGAGCATTCGTCAAAGAGCTGGGGGTTGATTTCCATGAACATTTTCATGGCATTGTACACCATGCTGTGAATCGTCCTAGAGCGCGAGGGCAGAAGGTCAGTGATCGGAAGAAGACACAGGCAACAAGAGATCCACTAACCGATTCCAGTGTCCCTTGGAGTTTTCATAGAGTGGTGCAAACATGATCGGAAGAATGGTCTCCACATTGTCGCTGACCAGGTTGCAGAAGTATTCGTTGTTCCAGAAGTAAAGCGCGCGTTCGGCAACCTGGAAGTGTGGGCTGGCAACGGACTTGGCCAACTGATTGAAAAGAGGCTCCTGCACTTTGGCGAACTCGGCCGGGTCCATCACCTCAAAGATGTCCTCCACCTCATTCAGGTACATGACCTCCTTAGTGCTGTTCGTCTTGGGCCAGAAGCGCAGCAGACCAAGAACAACCTGCATAGAGCTGTAAGCATAAATCACACAAAAAGAGGCTTCAAAGAGCATACATCTTCCGTCAAAGTGGAGTCCTTTTCCAAGAATTGAACAATGCAATAGGCCAGTTGTGGGTGGTACATGCTCAGGCTCTTCACCTTGTGCATGGGAAGCAGGACGCGGGTCAGGAAGAGCTTGTGTTCCTCCTTGAGCGGCAGCGCGAATCCGTTGATGATAGATCCCAGGATCTCCAACAGCTCGGCAATGCCGTTGTGTCGCTCGGTTTCATACATGAACTGGAAGAAGACGTTGTTGATAGATCGACGAATATATGACCGCAGGTTCAAAAATTTGCCGTAGATACGATGCAATGTCGTCTTGAGAAAGTCACGCTCCCGTGGGTCTTCCGAGTCAAACAGGTCGAGCAACTAAAGAGGATCTTAGCGTTCATCTGTCATCTTAGGAGCAGTCAGCATACCTGAAGGACAAATTGATGGTCGATATATGCTTTGGCGATGTTCGTGTTGAAGTCCTGGCTCTCAATAAACCTCAGGAAGAACTCATAGACGACCTGGATATGGGGCCAGGCCACTTCCAGTACGGGCTCATCCTCCTCTGGATCAAAGGCTTCGCCTTGGGGTGTCATAGGAGGAGGAATGGGTCGAAATAGGTTCTTGGCGAACATTTCCACCACGCGGGGGTACATGGGCTCTGTGATGACCGACCGATTATTGGCAACGTAATCCAAGAGCTCGTGGAGCGCCAGTCTCTTGATCTCTTTGGACTTCATGTCGGCCGTCGGGTCATTGAAATCGAAGATGATATTGCATTGGTCGATTTTTTGCATGAACAGATCTTGGCGTCGGTTGGGAGGCACTTCATGAAATCCCGGCAGCTTCTCCAATTCTCTCTGGCGCTGATCGGAAATGTCAAATCGCGAGGAGTGCTGGCGCTTGGGGGTGCGAATCCCCTCGGACAGATCTTTAGGAGTGGTCTGAAGACGGTCGAAAACGTGCGATTTTCTAGGAGGCGCCAGGTCTCCGGGCATCGTCTCGGCAGCACCAGGAGGGGGGACATGCTAGGAACAGTCAGTCAAAAATCAGCTACTAGTAATCGAAGCCAGGGTACAGGCAAGAGATAGCTTACCGTGGAACTTGGGCTGATAATCACGCTGGGAGCCATCGTCTGGCCCTGTCTGGTCGGAGTTCCCGGGCCATTGTTCACAGGCTGAACGGCCGCACCGGCCCCCTGGGGGATATAATGTTGAACCGGCGTTCCGGGATGGGCTGCATTGGCAGGTGTTCCTGCGGGAGAAGCATCGTCCGGCGACTTGCCTCGCGCATCATTCAAGGAGGTAGTAGACGAGGTCGGAGTGCCTTGGTTCGGAGATGAAGACTGTTGCGCATGGTGGATGCCGAGGGACGCCTGGGATGAGGAATTGGAGTCTTTCTTTTTCGAGGACTTGTTGGCATCTTTTGCCCGCGACAACTGTTCATGCTGTAGAGAGAGGTGTCAGTCTGAGGGACAGTCGAGCAAGGAGGACTGATGGTGGCGGGGAAGGGGAGTGTGGGCAGATGTGCGCGGAACAGGTGGACAACTCACCACTCTCTGTCGGAATCCCTTCATTGTGACGGCGACGTAGACAGCCACATGTACTCGGCTAGGGTTTTCGGTGCCAGTGCAACCACAGCGCGCTCTAGCCGGAGCTAATTAGGGCGAGGGTGAAGGGGGAAGGCCACTCAGGAGAGCCGCGAGGGGAGGGAGTAGTTTGTATCGGCCTAGTAAAGTAGTCCCGTGAGCCTTGAGAATCACACAATACCAAAAAATGACCGGGGGAGAAATGAAGTTGATTCCTCGCTCGTCGATCACTCAGCCAGAGAGCGGACACATTGCACGGTTCAATTGCACTGGTGTCGGGCCGTCTCACCGGGGCGTGCTGGCAGCAAGCGCACGGGGCCAGACGTTTCCGATGCGGGAAGACAACAACAAGGCGCGGGGGAGTGCTGGTCACGAAACCTACCTCTGTAGTTCCCTGTGTGACAATTGACGTGCCGAGAGCGACGAGTACTGCCGGGACAAAATCAAAGTCGATAGACAACGGAGCTTGGTTCGGCGGTTGTCGTGGAGTGTGTGGGCAGGCTGGGAGCGGGGGGTTCTGACACGCAGACCAGGGGATCAGGGCCTAAGAAGGTGCCCAGGGGGGGAAGCTGGGCAAACGAGACCCGATGAACAGAAGAACGTTCAGAAGGAGGGCGAACTAAATGAGGATGTTGAGGAGTGGTGGTGGTTGAGGGGGAGGGGGAAGGAGTGAAGGTAGAGGGAGAGTGAGTTAGGTGAGTGAGTGAAGGGAAAGGCGGGCTTGCCTCTCCTGGCTGTGATGGCGATGAGTGGGACGCACCCGACCTATATCACACCCTCGACTGGGCCCTACGCGGATGCCTAGGTACTAGTGTTCATACCATCTTCGACTCTTCTACTGTCTCTAGCTTTTATCCTCGCCTACTTCGTCTGGTTTCGTATATTTGGTATGCTTTTTCCCGCTTGTTTCAACTGTGGTTATGTAAGCATCCCCTGCGATGGTCACCTGACTTGGTACTGAGTCTCATGAACTGCATAGTTACAAGACAGGCGACGGCTTAGTACGGACTTCACTGGTCCTGGCCACATTGATATTCAAGGTGGAGATCACTTGCGGAACAGGTTCGAGATGGTACCCTTCGGTGTCTGTGCTCTCTACTCCACTACGATGCATGGATGCTGGGTGGCTTACTCGACCCAATCTCGGTGGAAAGGATTTTGCGGGTAGCTTGCATGGGTTACGGCGTGATGGGAGGCATGATTGGTTTTTGACTTCTCATTATTTGAGAGGTGTGGTGGTGGACATTCTCATAGTAGCGGTGAAGGAAGTATATATATATATCTCTCTGCCAATAAGCCACGGAATTGCTTAACATTCAAGATTGGACTGACAGCGGTTGGAGCAGATATGTGAACAGACCAACGTTTAATAATTAATATATAGTCACATTCCGTCAGCCTCATGAAAAAGATTGAATCTGATTCTCAACATTGTGGCCTGAGGCATGGATCAGTCATCCGTTCTGCCTCAGGCCGCCGCTCCTCGCCCGTGGAACTCGCAGTAGATAGACTCGCGCAGTTGAGCTCTTGATCTTCAATGGACTTCAGGTCGCCGTATGCTCGACTGACCACTACAGATCGGGGCTGCACCGCCAGTAATTGAAAGCTGCATTTGGAGCGCGACATTCCTTCCTTCCATCTGGTCTGTTTCTCTGATCCCTTGCCATACGCGCGAGAGAGAGCCAAAAGTACTAGTATTTCAGGGACTCGACACGTTTGATGCAAACGGCCACATTCATCACAGAGAATTCCCGTCATCATGGACCCGCATCGCGAGTCCCAGACGGCCCCCTTCTACGCGGTCCCGGCGCGACGTCTCGTCAGTCTCGAGCATCCAGCCGTGATCCGCAACCTAGACAAAGCCATTGATACCCTGAAGGGAAATGCAGGAATCAGAAAGGTACGTGAATCTCCATATTTTTGAGAAATCAGTGCTGACCCTTCTTTCCAGATCCTCAATCCGACCAAAGCAGATACACCAGCCAGCCTGGTCCTGCGGCCCGAGGATGCCATGGCACGGCCAATCCAGTCGACGAGTTCTGCGTCGAACAACATCTTGCTGAAAGTCACTGTTCCCAAACGGACGGGCCGGAAGCGCAAGAAGGGCTCTGATGAGCCATTTGCAGACGCCGAGCCGAATGGTGCTGCCGACGAAAATGAGCTGCCCAGGCGGCGCAGTGCAAGAGATTTACTTCGCTCTCTTCGCGATAATGTCTCGAGCTACGACGTGCAGCCAGTAGGCCGTATTGAACGAACCCATGTGTTTCGAGGTATGTCTTCGTTGTTCACATCGTGACCAGTTCTGACCATCTCAGGAATGCCGGATTTCGTGTACTCGACAACCGCAAGCTCCTTCACGAACCGGTTTCGAGAGCAGATTCTACCATATGATTGTAAGAATTCTGGTCAGCCAATTGAATTAAAGCTAAACACCTTCCAGTGGACAAACTGAAGCAATTCGACATCGACATGGGCAAAGGAGCCCTTCGGGACGTGGATATCATCCCACCACCCTCCTTCAGCAGCGGAGATGTTCCCTTTCCGTACATGTATGTCTTTCCCTATGTTTCAACACAGTACAGTACTAACTCCCACCACAGTTACCGTCAAAACCCTACCGTCAAAATATCCGTCGGCCAATCCGGCGAGCTGACGACAGTGAACACACAACAACCCGCCAAGATCGCGACCCATCTCGTCTCCTATGACGCGGAAGCGGTCCCAACGACGCCGCACGAGGGCTGTCCTCCCCTGAACACCCTCGACAGCACCTTGCGCAACACAATCGACGCCCTCAGAGAACTCTTCAACCAGCGACCCGCCTGGACCCGGCGCGCGCTACGCAACTTCCTCACAACCGACGAGCAACGCACCACCCTCAGACATGCAATCCCCTATGTGGGCTACATCTTCCGCTCCGGGCCCTGGCGCGACGCCATCATCAAATTCGGTGTCGATCCCCGCTCCTCCCCACAATATAGAGACTACCAAACGTTTATGTTTCGCATCCTGCCGCGCGACTCCGACGGCGCCCGCGATGGCGGCGGCGGTCGACGGCATACCCTCCCACGCACAGAAGCGGGCGTCAACGCCGCGCTCTCAGGCACCCACATCTTCACAGGCGAGCCACCTCTCCCACGCGACGGCCGCATCTGGATGGCCCGCGATATCCAGGATCCGCAGCTCGCCGCAGTGCTCTACCCGCCCACTCCCTCGGACACGTTCTTGCGGTCGACGTGCGAGACAATCGGCGACGGCTGGTTCGGCAACGGCACCATCGCCAAAGTGAAGACCATCATGCGCGCGAAGATCCAGGCTTTGATTGACGGCCAGAAACCCGTCGACGCGGATTTCCGCCGCGTACTTGCCTTCCCGGACCATGCGCGCTCCGAGGCCGATATGGTGCACTTCACGCTCGATTCGGACGTGCCGAGTCGCGAGATGATGCTTGCTACAGAAATTCGGTCTGCGCTGAAGAGCGCGCCTGCGTGGAGGAGTATGGCTATGCCGACTACTGTTTCTCTTGAGAAAGGGCAGGGAAGGCTATCGCAACAGGGCGTGGAACTCGGTCTAGGAAGAAGGATGAGGATGAGGTTGGCGAGGAGGAGATTGTACAGAGTGAGAGTGAGGGTGAGGAGGAAGAGATTGAGCGTGCGGAAATGCTCGAGGCGCAGGTTGCTGCTGCTGTGGCGAATAGGGATGCCATGGACGAAGATGCGGATGGGAGAATGGACGATGATGAGGATAGTGGTGCGGAGTGAGAACATAACTTGATGTATACCCAGAGACATTTTACTAGCTTTTCTTACTGCGTGGTTACGGGAATAGAGTGGCAGTGCAGAATTGTCATCTAATCATTGAGCTCGAATCCTCATAAACCAAGTGCGCGCCATGTATATCATAAACAATACTGAACAGACATCAACAGACACGACAATCTCGCAACGCGAAAGCATTAGAAGCAGCGTGAATAAGGAAATAAGATGTCAAGGAAGGAAAAGTCGTCCAAGGAACCATTTGAAAGAAAGATAAACGCAGGGTATTCGCAAAAGCAGACAGTATGGAAACCAACACCGCAACGAACCATTCACAACGAATTACCCAGATAGATGTAAGAGCCAAATTCAAAACCAAAACTGAAGACGCCAGAGAGCATGCATTTTATTTTACGGCTGGGGGATCAGACAGCAGGATCCTGCTTCTCTTGTGATCCCTGCACAGCCTCACCAGCAGCGCTGGAGCTCTCGCAGACCCCAACAGGGGCCTCGGACACGCCAGCAGTCTTGGAGTCATAAATTTCTGGTTTGGGAGGGACAGCAGCTTCGAGCAAGGAAGCGATCGAGGCAGTGATGGGTTGAGGAAGGGACGCGCCCTGACTCAACGAGGCCGGCGCAGCAGCAGAAGCCAAGGGGAAAGCAGAAGCCTTCTTCAAGTCGGCGACATTCTCTTCCGCGTCGTCGTAGACAACAGCATACGAGAACGCATTGCAGTCCTTGGCGTAGTAGTCTACGGCGTTGAGCTCGCCTAGCGGGGCGCGGTCCTCGTCCATCTTGGAGGAGACAGCGGCCTTATGAGCCGCAGAGACCGAGGCACGGGTGCGAGGGGGTTCCAGTCCTAGCTCGACGGGGGGAACATTCTCCTTCCCGCGGCCGTCGACCACAGCAGCCTTGCCCTCATCGTCGCTGATATCCAGCACACCAGTCGAGTGCTGCATGAGATTGGTCATCTCTTCCTGCTCGGAGTCGACGTGGATATCAAAGAACCAGGAAGCAGGGCCCTTGGGCTGAGATTGAGGCTTAGAAGAAGTCTTGCCCTGTCCCAGGGCCGTGGCAAGCGAGAACGGACGACCGACACCCAGCTTGCTCGAGTCCGGACGCGCCTTGGCGATAGTCGACCGGCGACCGGTGAACGTCCTAGCCTTGGTCGGGGGCGAACGACCGGCTGGTTTGAGGATGGGAGCGGATTTGGGAGTGGCGGGCGTGATTTTCAGGGGAGTGGAGGGACCGGTGACCTTCAGAGCCATCCGCGAGGTCTTGCAGGGCTTGACGGCCGTCTTGAGGCTGTCCTCATCGTCGTCTTCGAAAGCACGCTTGCGTTTGCTGGAGAGGGATTGGGTGGTTGGATCAATGTTCTCGGAGTCGTCGTCGATGAAGATTGGGGTTTTTGTTGTGAGGGCGATGCCTGTGATGATCATGAGGGTTGGATTCAAACAGACCACGGGGAATCAAGCAACATACCATTTTGCCCGTTCTGACGGTTCAGCTTGGACCGCATCAGAGTGCGCATCCTCGGAGTGTCCAGGCTGGCCAAGGGCTGACGGGTGGGAGGCGTCATGGTGAGAGCCGCCATGGTAATGAAGAAAGGAAGGAATGGTTTGTTTTGAACTAGTGGAGTGGGGGAGATCGAGGCTACGGACGAACAGGAGGAATGGAGCAATGATTGGCCGGGCGGGATTTAGGGGCCCAAGAGGAAAGAAAGTAAAGAGAGGATGGGTGGACGAGTCCACTACGGGGAGCACCGGGTAGCAAAAGAGAGAAAGATGGCTGATGGGTTGATGATGGTGATGGAGTATAGATATAGGACGGAGACAGTAGTGAGCAGTCCACTCGAGGCAAGGAGCAGAGAACGAGGACGAGCAGCGCACTATATGAAGGCCGCAGCGGAGTCGGCGCGTCGTGATCGCGTTGGCACGCAAGGCGCCTTGTAACGAGATCGATTGGGTCGCCGTCTGGGCGGGTGGCGGGCATGCGATATGGTAAGTATGGTATGGATGAATGTGGTATCTCCGATCCACTCACTCGATCTATGAGCGATGGACGACGCCCCATACCCAACTGCTCTATGATTGCATCTCCCAATTCCAACCGAAACGGCATTTTCTTCTATTCTTCTATCTATTGTCTTCATCAGGTCCGATCGTGAACCCCGAAGATTATTGCTGCAAGACCCATCACATCGCGTATCCCTGCGACGCGTCGAGGCCATTCTCGTGGCGGGTACCGGGTACGCCGCTCTCCCACGGCTCCAGTATGCATCCACCGCGTACCCAATACTTCGCCGCGACACGCCTCGCGCTCCCCACGCCCTTACCGTACGATAGTCATGCCGGCTGGGTCGTCCGATGGCGCCAGATGCACCCCCTCCTCGAATGAAACTCTCATCAGCCAACGCATCGGGGTCCATTGGCCCCCAGCTGTTCTCGCCCGGGCGGACGTCCACTTCGCGAGGTCGCCGCGATGAAACCCTCGGTCATGGAAATGTTCCCGACTGGAGCTGGCGGGGTGGGCTTGTCCGTGCTGTGCAGAGTCAAGCGTGTCAGAAGTCTGACCGAGGAGATATGCAATGGCTGACTGGAGGAGAAGAATGTACCTTCCCACCACCCCCTGGCCTTCCCACTCGCCTGCAAGAATTCGCCGGACTGGAGAACGTGCCTCTTGCCCCCTCGTGGCATAGTTAACTCTCCGGTATTCAATGACGAGTGGATCGACCACAAGAACCTCATTCTCTATGCGGTATATGCTTTCTTGGATGTATCATGATCTAATAATACTCTATTGTACACGACCTGGCTCAAATCTCATCCTCCCACGGAATGCTGTCCATAGCACCCTGACGCTCCACCGCACGCGCTGAAGCACGCGCCGCAAAGCGCATCGCCTCGTCCATGACGTTTTGATACCGCTGCGGCTTCTCAGCCGCAGACAATTCCTGCCCGGCCTTGCCGTCCCTGCGGCGGAGCTCCCGCCAGCGCGCGACCTTGACCGCATAGGCACCAACGAACGTGTCGCCTGCCGCCGTGGTATCCAGGACCCGAGACACGGGCGCGGCAGGGATCTGGTTCGTAAAGCGCTGGGCCCCGTCGCTCGATCCAGGCTCTGCGGCACTGTACCAAGCACCCTTGGAGCCCAGGGTAATGAGCACATAGGTCACGCCCAGCTGGTGGAAATACCGTGCCACCTTCTCCTTGTCCTCTAGACCCTCCGCGTCGGGCAAAATGCGCAGGAGCTGTTCCGGTGGCGGCGTCATCAGCTCAGCCTCCGTTTCATTCAGGATGAGATGGTCGACAGCGCTGTATACATCCTCTGGCAAACCGCCTGGTGGTGCCGGTGCCGGGTTCAACATGACATCCGGTCCGCACTCGATCCCGCGCTTGCCAGCAGCACGGTTTTGGTCTCTGAATGCCTTGACAGCCCGTATTGTGCCAATGACCGTTTCAACGGGGATCTCGCCCTGCATCAGGATCACGTCCGGCACGGGTGCCGCCAGGCCCATGCTTAGTATCTCCGGCGTAGGCTGCATGCCCGTGTAATTTGCACCCGGAGAAAAGAGAATGCGGTTCTCGCCGCCAGCGGACGAGTCGACAATAATAACCGCCACACCCGTGTATGCATTCTTCACCACCTGCACGCGCGACGGGTCAACGCCGGACTTTTGGAGGGTTGGTTTCAGTAGTGCTTCGAAGTGCCCGTCCAATGCGCCCACGGCGCCTAGCATCTCGACCTGCACGTCGCTTGTAGTACTTGTTTGCGCTCTGGACATGCGTCCGCAGGCGACTGCTTGGTTGGCGCCCTTGCCTCCGGCGCTGGTGAAGTAGGATGAAGCGGTGATGGTCTCGCCGGGGTCTGGGAATCGGGGTGTCACGGACACCATGTCGGCATTGAGTGAGCCGATGACTCGGATGAGAGGGGGCATGGCGGAGAGGCTCGAATTGGGAGGGCGCGGATCTTGTTGAGTCGTTGTGCAGTGGCAGAAGTAGGTGGGGTGTTGGGGAGCTGTGTTCCCAGGTTACATCATCATCGCAGCCCTAACGGAAGGGATAAAACAACACCCAGGAGTATGAATCTAGAAGAACGTATTCTAGAAGGGATGACAATTGCATCAATGCATTACATTATTCTCATAAACAATGACAGTCCCTGCCCGTATCGAAACATGCCAAAAACACCGCTCAGAACTCCTGCGCCCGCGAGCCCAGTAGATGCACAAAAAACCATGGCTACCAGTCAGAGACCACATCAGCGCGTTGTAGCAACTAGACACCGTTGCGGTAGACTTGTGACCCGCCAGATCGGATCTGGACCGTCTCCCTCCGTTGGAGAACCATCAGTGCCCGATTGAGCGCTTGTTCGGTGTAACCCCGTCCATCAACAAACTCGCGACGCAGCGTCGCGAGACTCGTGCTCCAGCCAATGGGCAAGCGGCGCTTCAGCTCGTCTTCAATCTTGCTGCACTCTTCCATGAGTTCTTTGCTGCCTGCACCCTCACCTTGCGTGACAGCGTCCATGGTCGACGCAAGGAAGAGACGGATGGCCTCATCCACATGGGCCTCGGTGGCGATCGGTGAGAGCGACAATTTCGCGAGAGACTCGGAAATCCGGACAATGGCTTCCAGCTGACGTACAGTAATTGGGATAGAAGACCGGACGTTGGCTTCCAGTTCGGCACGGTGGACTTGCTTGCGGATCGACACGAAATGGGACGAGAGTTTCTCGGCAGCTTCTGGGGAGAGACGAGGCGCACAACGGCTGGGAAAAGTATTAGTGCTGTCTTCAAATTTCAGTTGGGGTAACTTACCTCCGGCAGTAGCTGATGTATCGCTTCATCTTGTCGACTGGAATTTCGGCCTCCACCTGCTCCTCCAAACCTCGACCACCCATGTGTACGCCCATAACGTGACGGGCGATTTTCTCATCGCGGCCGCGCTCGTGGTCATCGCGGACAATAAAGATCATATCGAAACGGGACAGGATGGTTGTCTGGAAATCGATGTTCTCGCCGGGGGTTTTCAGGTCATCGTATCGGCCAAAGATCGGATTGGCTGCGGCCAGGACAGACGTCCGGGAGTTGAGGATCGTTGTGATTCCGGCCTTGGCGATCGAGATGGTCTGCTGTTCCATTGCTTCGTGAATGGCCACCCGGTCCTCATCTCTCATTTTGTCGAACTCATCGATACAGACCACACCGCCATCCGCAAGGACCATCGCACCGCCTTCCAGGTAGAACTCGCGCGTAGTCTGATCTCGCTGCACGGAAGCCGTCAAACCGGCAGCCGAGGAGCCCTTGCCGGAGGTGTAGATGGCAATCGGTGCTGCTTTTTCCACGAACTTCAACAGCTGGGACTTTGCCGTACCGGGGTCACCCAGCATGAGCACGTTGATATCACCACGAAGCTTCATTCCATCTGGAAGGATTTTCTTCGAACCGCCCATCAGCAGACAGACAATCGCCTTTTTAATGTCCGGGTTGCCGTAGATGGACGGGGCAATGCTTCTAGCAAGAGCATCGTACAAGTCGGGCCGGCGGCTGAGCTCGAGAAACTCTTGCTCCTCTTCCTCGGAGAAGATGGAATTTCCTTTGGCTGTTTGGTCCATATCGGTTTTAAGTCCCACTGCTCGCAGATACGGGTTCCGGATGGCCACAGCGGCCTCCTTCTTGCCACCCTTGGCCTGGTAGATGGAGAAAATGCCCATCACGGTACAGCGGGAGCCCGGAACGACTCGGTTTGCCAAGTACCGATCTGCCGAAATGAGGACGTGTCTTGGAAGCTCACCCACTGGGACCTGATCGGGAGCCTCTTGCAGCTTGAGGACTTGCTGGTCCACGAACTGGCATTTTTCATGGTGAACCACGTAAGGATCCAGGGGACATTGCTGATTGGGTTCCTCGCCGGGTTCTTTGGGGCGGGCGCAGCGTCGGGGCAAAGACAACCCAGAAAAGCCTCCATCGACGTGAATAGTCTCGCTGTGGTCGCAACTCTTGCATCGGATGTGGACGGTGGTTGCCTTGGACGAGATGGTGGACGCACCAATCACGATCCCGGGAATTCGGACCAGATGAGAGATATTGGTAGCGTTGAGATCGCGGATCGAGATGTGTGACGCGGAAGAGTGAAGAAGCAATTGGTGGGAGGGAAGGGTGATATCCCGCTGCCCCGGATAAACAATCCGCTGGGTGCACTGCTGCAGCGCCGATTCAAACTATAGGATGTGAGAAAAAATGTCACGAATACTCAGCGGGCTTGTGCTCACCAGAGGGATGATATCGGCCGGTTCAGTGGTGAGCTTGTGGGCCAGCTCCTCGTTATAGGAGATGAGGTGGGCAATGTCGATGTCGCAGTAGTACTGTTTCACGAGGGCATTCTGCCGTAATTGGTCACTGGGAACCCATTAGAGCCTGGCGTGCATCTCTCAATATTGTCACGTACCGATAGATGAATGCATTGTCGAGCTGGAATTCCAGCACGAAATCACGCAACCGACCCTCGGTGAGCGTGCGGGACTCGTCTGCGCCGGTGGTGCTGGGCGCCAGAACGCTCAGCGTGTATGGAGTGCGTCTATCCATGACGAAGACGGCAATGCCAGGAAGTTGGGGGGAGAAGGTGGTGGTGGTGGTGGTGTTGTGGGGGAAGAAAAGATTGGTTGGACGGGTTTTTAGAAGGGGGGACGCGTCGCGGCTGAGATCGCGAGCGCGTTCCGCGTTAATTGATTTCAACGGAGCCAGCTCTGGATTAGTCATCCCAATCTCCTTCGGGTTAGCGTTTCCCTCCCATTGCTGCACGGGCTCCGACAAAGCCACCTGGATCCTGCCCCAGCCTTTCCCTCGCACTCCGGACAGCCCTTGTGTTGCGCCTGGACAATTTTGGACCGAAGTCGCGGGTGCCCGGATACTACGTGCCGAGTACTGGCAACTCGACTCGGGCGTATTGAAGCTCCAGGGGTATCGTGGTCCAGCTGTCATGATCAGATAACAGCTGCGCTCCTCCCGCCCACCCTCCTCCTAGTTGGCCGTCGGTTTCGGCTCGCTGGCGTATAGAGATGTCGCCAACCAGCCCGCGGAAGTCAATTGACAGCCTGGCGTCTGGGGCGTCAACACCATCGGTGTCCCACGGTTCGACCTCCCAGCTCGAGTCTCCGCGCATCCCGCCGCAACGATACCCCCTGAGGCGGGGATCAACCGCCAGCTCCATTGTGAGCATTGGAGGCATTCTAGACTCTTCCCACAATAATGGCTCAATCGCAGAGTCCGAGCAGAATGGTATGTTCTCCCGCGATGTGATCAACCCCACCCGCTAACACGTGTACGGCGACGTAGCCATTTCGACCCTCCTCCAACCTCCGATCGTCCGCACCGGTCTGATGCCTCATAATTCCGTGCCATCAATGGGATATAAGCCACCGTCTTCTCGCGACATCCCCCCAGTTACCCTGACCAACATCCCCCATGTGGACTCGAAAGTCTTCCAACCCTATCTCTCGCAGGTGGGCTCGCTGTACGATGTTTTCCAACAAGCAAAGGAAGGCTCCGCGGAGGAAACCACTCTAGCGCGGGGAGCTAAATCCCCGTCGAAATCGGACGATGTTGGCTCGTTAATGCCTTGGTCGCCGGAGCGAAGGTCTTCATTAATGTCGATTTCCTCACGTCCGAGCTCACCATATGACCGAGGGGGGCGACGCACGTCAAGCGGTAGCGGCCGCGGCCGCGGCCCTGCAGTGACCCCTCTATCAACAATCCCTTCCCTCTACTTCGAGGAGGATTTCCGTCTGGAGAACCCTCGCACGTTTGACGTTGTCTCCGAGAAGTCAGACGTGGTGCGACCACCAAGGCCCCCGACCAAAGATGAGAAGCATGCAAACGGATCTGTTGTGGAGCCCGCCCAAACTGGCAGGAAAGCGCTAGCGACCAATGCCATTCTGCAGGAGAAGCTCTCATGGTATATGGATACCGTGGAGATCCACCTCATTTCCTCAATCTCGACGGCATCAAAATCTTTCTTTACTGCGCTGGGCTCACTCCGAGAATTGCATGCGGAAGCGGCCGATTCGGTGAAACGTATACAAGTCCTAAGAAAGGACTTGCAGAAAATCGACAAGGAAATGGCACTGGGCGGACTCAAGATCGTCAACCTTCGGCGGCGACGAGAGAATGTGCGAATGCTGGCGGCTGCCGTGGCCCAGCTGCGAGATGTAGTGGAATCAGTCTCCCGCTGCGAAGACCTAGTTGAGCAAGGAGAGATTGAACAAGCTGCTGACGGCCTCGAGGAGGTCGAGAAGTTAATGTCTGGCGAAAAGGTGTCCGATCGGCTCGCTGAAGGAGACGTCGAGGACAGTGACATTCCACGGCGGCGTATTGATCTCCGAGGAATCACGGCTTTGGAGGGAGCATCTGACGACCTTGACACACTACGGCAGCGCATTGGCATAGGGTATGAAACCCGGTTCTTGGATGATCTTCTGGGCGATTTGCGCCAACACGTCCAGCATGTGGCGTCCGACGTGACCTTGCAACGCTGGGGGGCTTCATTCCAACGGCAACGAGGCTTGCACCGCGCTGCAGCTTCAATTTCTCCTGCCTACATGAATTTCGATAAGGAGCTGCGGTCCCGATTGCATACACACCTGAACGGGCTTGCGCGTGCGCGTTACACAACGCCGGCGGCTACCTCGTTCAAAACTACTGTGCTGCGCGAGATGAAATCACTTATTCGCAAACACCTGCCCAGCTCTAGCGACGATGATGCCGAGTCCATGAGATCGATGGTGTCAGTATCTACACAAGGTGGTAGCCGACAACAAAGCCAACAGGAAAAGTCAAGCATTCTTGCACGTAACCTCCGCGCCCTGGATGCCGATGATGCTTATGCGATGCTGGTCGGTGTCTATACGGGTATCAGCGAGGCCCTCAGGCGACTCAGCGTTCAAGTCAAGATCCTTCTTGATATTGCCAGCGGTCTTGGAGAACCGACCACCCCTAATATCAAGTCGCCACCTCGAAGTCCTAACCCTCAAAGCATTGATCAAAACGTGAAGTTTCCTGAGCCTGGGTCAGCGGCGTCGGCTATGGCCCAAGATGAGATCTTGCAGGTTTTGGACATGTCAAGTCTTCTTGGCCAAGCGGTAGACATTGCCCAATCCCAAATCACAAAGGTGTTGAAAGTTCGGTCAGAACAAACTGCCCAACTTTCGAAGGAGGAATTCCTGAGATACTTCACGCTCAATCGCCTCTTCGCAGACGAATGCGAGGCAATCTCCGGGCGAAGCGGTACGGCGCTGAAGACCATTGTGGGCAACCAGATCAAGGATTTCATCGGTCGATTTGGAGAAGGCCAACGACATCGTATTGTCAAAGTCATGGATGCAGACCGGTGGGACGCGCGAGATTTTGGAGACCCCGAATCCACCATCTTGACCCGGATCCTGGATGCAAGCACCAAAGATATCGACGCGTGGACCGGGATTTCCAAGATCTGGCTTCCCGGCGGCGAGAACGGATCAGCACCTACTGCTGAAGCAGATGCTACAACGAACGGGTCCGGCAAGGAGAAGATTCGCAGTGCTGTGGTCGACGAGCAGAAGTACATACTGCCTGACTCGGCTATGGCGATCATGCGCAGCATCGAAGAGTTCGAGTATCTCATGGCGAACATCCCGAACATGATCCAGGAGATCGCCCCGCAGCTACTGGAGATTCTCAAGCTTTTCAACTCGCGGTCTTCCCAGCTAATTCTCGGTGCCGGCGCCACGCGCAGCGCTGGTCTTAAGAATATCACAACGAAGCATCTCGCCTTGTCTTCGCAGGCGCTGAGCTTTGTCATTGCCCTCGTGCCATATGTGCGCGAGTTCGTCCGTCGTCACGGGCAGGCAAACCACATGATGGCCGAATTTGACAAAGTCAAGCGACTGTGTCAGGACCACCAGACCGGCATCCACGAGAAGTTGGTGGATATCATGAGCTCACGCTCTACAGTCCACGTCACCGCCATGAAGAAGATCGACTGGGATTCCAGCAGCACGTCCACTGCCGTTCACCCTTACATGGAGACTCTGGCCAAGGAGACGGGCACGTTGCACCGTGTATTGAGTAAACATCTTCCCGACATGACCGTCGAGATGATCATGGGACCGGTCTTCAATAGCTATCGGGAGCAGTGGACCCAAGCTTTCCAGGAGGCGAGCGTCGAGACAGAAGCCGGCAAAAAGAGGTTAGTATTACCGGATCATTTTCTATTCATGATGCTAATATTTTGTCCAGGATGCAAACCGATATTGAGCACTTCCGAAGCAAACTGGGCAAAATCAGCGGCGCTGGCGATCTGGGCAACCAGCTGCTCGAGCTCGTCAATGCAAAGACAATTGCTTCCAGCGAGTCTGAGAAGTCCGAGACGCCCAGCGAGAAACCAGAAGAGGGCTCCAAATCACCGGAGTCTTCATAATGTGTTCCTCTGATATCTCCTCTGAACCCTGGGGGCCCCTTCACGAATACCAGCCAACTCACCTACCGCTTTTTACATAATTCCTTTCCCCTCAGCCTTGCTGCCTATATCCCCTTGCACCTTGGAATTGTACAGAAGTTTTCTTGTTATGCGCTTTGATTGCCTATTGGATCTTTGTATACGTTCATATAGCCTGTCTACGCACGCATTATAGAAATAGCCCGGCGTTTTGTCTGTGAATATACAGAAGACCTTTTTGATCATTAACTTCAGACATCGAGCGTAAATAATTCGTAATTCCTCCACCATCTAGTCGGACAAGCCTCTTTACTGCCAGACCTTTTGAAGGCAAGACGTTTGACAGGTTGCGGAGACTGCCTAATACAAAATCTTAATACCCGAGGGGTCAACCCAATTCCATCATGTGTGAACCACTTTTCTCATGGTGGGATGCGATCATTTAAAGAGCTTGTTACATACACAGTCGGGATATTGAATAAATGATGCAGAACAAACCCGCATCCAAATGCTCCATCCGCAACACTCAAAACTCCGTCAGATTTAGCGCATAGCATATCTGAGAAACAATCCATATCACATATCCGTCGGTAAAAAGGAAGCGTAGCCGACGTAGAATTTCGCATATTCAAAACGAAAGACAAAGTGCTCGACAGGTTTATCTAAACACCCTGGGCACCGACACCCTTGTTCTCGCCGAGAGTCTTGGGCTCATGTCCGCCCTTGCCACTACCAGACTTTGTGGGACCAGCGCTGGCCTGGCCAGGGAAGACTTCGCGATTCGAACCGGTTTCCTCGGGCATGGGAGCGACCTTGTGGACGCGGTTTAGCTCGGCGTCCTGGTTGGCGAGTTGTTAGTATCCTTCTCTTCGGTGCCATTCTGTTGTGGCAGTAGCGGTATGGATGGAGGTATGAACGAACCTTGTTGTCAGTGCCATGAGCCTTCGTCACACCCGCCTCAATAGCGTTGTCGCTCTGAGGGACTCCGTTGTCGAACTCGGCGCCGCGGGGCATTGTGATTGATTTAGGTTGGTTTGATATGGGAGATGTAGAAGGTTGATTTCTGGAGATTGAGTTAATTTTGCTGCAAGCAACTGCAATTGTGGTGGTGGAATTACCTGAGAATGAATTGGGATGTCAATTGGAAGGTCGTCAATGGGGGTTTCCTGGTCTTTAATACTCTTCCTGGCAGGGTGTACTTGGAACTGGGCTTGACAGCATCATGAGGTCATTGTGGGGAACGGAGATGTCATCGTCTTTGATTCTTGGTCGACCGGCAGTATGTGTACCGTCGTTTTGCATCAACGACCTGAATAAAAATGGGTCTTATGGAATTCAGAACATTGTAGAAGAATTGATTCTCTGGGATGAGATGTCTTTGTTCCTGCCTATCAACCGGAAAACGTGATCAATAGCCTGGCCCTAATCTAACAAAGCGCCCCTCACCTAACGCCTTCTACCATCCAGAAAAGAGAAATCAATATTGTAAAAATTCGAAACACAAGAAAACATAGCTTTGGGGGTATCATCAACGACAATCTCTTTCTGGAACTCCACCGAGGCCTCTGCGGTGCTGAGCGACCAACCCAGCGATAGCCACAAACGACAACTCGTCAGGACCAACGGAGTTGCCCCGCCAAGTGCCTAGGCTGATACCGGAGACTGATGAAATCCCAGAAGAAACTCGGGTTGAAAAGCTGTGGATGCTTGGGGCGACGCCTCGCTGGATTTCCGAGTAATCCAGCGTTGCGAGGTATGCGGCAATGTGCGATTGCTTGTTGCGGTACACTTCTTGCGACATCCAGCTCTTGGCGCTGAACGAGCTGCGAGATTTGTCGGCTGAAATGGAAATAAAATCGCACTCTGTTGTCTGAATTGAGTGACGGGCGTCCTTAGCAGTGACAGTCTCTGTGGTGCTTGGAGTGCTGCTGGTCGGACGGTGAAAGCCAAGTCGAGCCATATTCCAGTCACGCTTGCAATCCGAGAAGATGCTAGGAGGGAATAGAATGTCCTTTGGGCAAGGGAGTGGCTTTCGTGCAATGGCATGCTTGGTTGTTGGCTGCGAAGGAATGTCCGAGCTGCTGTCCATCTCTGAAGCGTGAAGCGACGACGGGTTCATATCTTCCTCTTCGGTTATCCAGCTCGTGTGTGGTGAACATCTCAGTTCTTCAAGCGCCGTTGCGATCATAGATGACAACGGTGGATCGGGGCTAACCATGAAAGAAAGTACCGGTAGACGGGGAGGGCCTGCACCGCCAGGAAGTCTTGGAGCTATGGAACGTGGCATCACGCGAACATCCACGCTGGATGCTTTGGATGAAGGGTCCGGGTTGAGCACTCTCAGTATTCCAAAGTTCTTCCCACCCGGCTTCATGCTGCCCCGAAAGTAATCCACGTCCATGAGCGTCGATATCCGGTTATATGGCACGCCACGATAGCTTGGCGACGAGGCACGCTGAGATTCCGGTGCATCGGGCAGCGGTTTCAGGACCGGCGAGCTGATCTGTGTCTTAAGGGGCCGCAGTCTGCGCCATAGCTTCTTGGCTATACCTCTGGATGCGATTCCTAGAGGTGAGATGAGCCGGAGGCTTAGTCGATGAGCGAGACCGGGCTGGTTCATCGTGAAGTCTGTCAGGCGAGGAGGACAGTACTGGCACTGAAGAAAACCGAAAAAGTAAGTTGTGGATTTGATCATGATGCTGGAGAGTCTGCTTTATATATCGCACATTGGATGGGCAACCGAGGAGTGCAAAGAACCCCGGCCTACCATCTTCCCGAGACAGTGGAAGCATGTCTCGAACGGGTGTTAAGGGACTTACCATCGCAGCGGTATCGACCTCGAGATACCCACCAGTGGCACCGGACTCAGTTCCAGTCACAAGTATGATTGTGTACCCGCCAAGGTCGGGCAAAGGGGTGGTGGAGGGAGATGTTTGCTGCAGGGACAAAATGGGCAGGCAGCAGGTACGCGTTCTACGGCAATGCCCGACTCAATCATGCGTCTATACTATCTATCTAAGCCATTCTTTTCTATCCATTTGACAAATTATGTTCGGATGTTGGAAGATGTCTACCTGGTTGGGTAGTGTACTGGAGCGATACGATGCCAGAGGGTGACGTCCCTGACAGCTGCCCCCGATCTATGTACGCAGTGCTGCTCACATGTTGAAATTAAGCATTGCAACCCTACTAGTAGTGTTTTTGTTTCGTGACAAGAGCCGTAGCTATGAATCTACTCTTTCAACGCCAGTAGAACCAAACGGGCGGAACCAAGGCTAATTCGCTATTGCTTCGACTCGTGGTTGAAATAGTGAGCTATACATGCCGGGAACCGCTGAACGCAGCGGATTCCATGCGGGATTCCCCCCTGGAGCATGGCGCACGTGTTCCCATGTCTTGTATGGGTCCGACCATAAGGTGTAGAACCCCTCAGGGGACTGCGGCACTGGCCATTAAGGTTGCCAGATGTGTTGAAAACTCGCAATTGCAGACAATGCCATTGGGCCAGTTGCTAAATGTTGCACGGACAGCCAACCTAGGAGTTCCGCCGTGCTGCTTAGCCTTCATTCCAGCCATATAGACTAGCAAGCTACGGAAGTATACCGCTCCATGGTCATGGGACTACGAGGACTCTATCTCCCTGGGAGTGCGTAATGAATGCATGCCCACTGCAATTATGGTTATGAGACTTCCACATATGTAGTCCACACGCGCTTCTCGCTTCTTGCAATCATCGCTCTCCGCTGGTGCTGGTGTTGGGATTGTCCTCGATCCTGAGGCGTTTAGGGTTTGGGGATTGATTAGGGCCACTCGTATTATGGCACCATAGGACTATCCCAAAAAAGTTGACCGACACAGCCAACGGTCAGGAGTGGCGTAGCCCTCAATGGGTGACACGGGTGGACTTCTTCTTGTCGCACCGTGTTCGCAGCTTCCCTTCCGGATAACCACTGGGACTAGGCCGGAGAACAACGCAAGAGACCGGACGTACCTAGGACAGGGGTGATCCACCACCTAGGTCATGTCCCAAGCCAGTTGAGGGAGGGAAACCAAGTTCGTTGGCCCAGCCCCCAGATAGACCCACTTCTCTTCCCTCCCCCCGCACAGACCGAGAGCTCAAGAAAGAGCTCCACGGCCCGTTCAGTCAGTCTCTGCTCCCTCTCCCCTGTCGCTCCCTCCCTTCTCCCACCCCCTCTCTGTCATAATGGCCGACGAGAGTGAACCTACCCGTCGTGATGTTCGCAATCACATGCTCTTCGAGATTGCCACCGAAGTCGCTAACCGCGTCGGTGGCATCTACTCCGTACTCAAGTCCAAGGCCCCGGTGACGACCGCCGAGTATGGTGAGCGATACACCCTGATCGGCCCGCTGAACCGGGCCTCCGCCATGGTCGAGGTCGAGGAACTCACGCCTGCTAGTCCGGCCATGCGCGAGACCATCCAGTCTATGAAGGACCGCGGTATTGACCTCCTCTACGGGCGCTGGCTGATCGAGGGTGCTCCCCGGGTGCTCCTGATCGATACCGGCACCGGGTATCGCTGGCTGGACGAGTGGAAGGGCGATCTGTGGAATGCGTCGGGGATTCCCTCCCCCGCCGCCGACCATGAGACCAACGAAGCCATCGTCTTTGGATATTTGGTGGCGTGGTTCCTAGGAGAGGTTTGTCGGACCCGGCGTCGATGAGGAATAGCGGCTGACCCTGAATGACTTACAGTACTTGGCCCATGAGCGCCGCCGCGCTGTCGTAGCTCACTTCCACGAATGGCTGGCGGGCGTGGCGCTGCCACTGACCAAGAGGCGCCATATGGATGTGACGACGATCTTTACCACTCACGCAACACTCCTCGGCCGGTACCTGTGCGCCGGGTCTGTTGACTTCTATAACAACCTCCAGTATTTCGATGTGGATGCCGAGGCGGGCAAGCGGGGGATCTACCACCGCTACTGTATTGAGCGCGCGGCCGCCCACAGCGCAGACGTCTTCACGACGGTCTCGCACATCACCGCGTTCGAGAGTGAACATCTGCTGAAGCGCAAACCCGACGGAGTACTGCCAAATGGGCTGAATGTCAAGAAGTTCTCTGCGATGCACGAGTTCCAAAACCTGCACTCGCAAGCCAAGGAGAAAATCAATGACTTCGTCCGCGGCCATTTCTATGGCCACAACAATTTTGACCTTGATAACACGCTCTATCTCTTTACCGCTGGTCGGTACGAGTTCCGCAACAAGGGTGTCGATATGTTCATCGAGGGCCTGGCCCGCCTCAACCACCGTCTCAAATCGAGTGGGTCGACCACGACCGTGGTGGCCTTTATCATCATGCCAGCGCAGACGTCTTCGTTGACAGTAGAGTCGCTCAAGGGACAGGCGGTGGTCAAGTCCCTGCGCGATACGATTGAGAACATCGAACAGGGTATCGGAAAGCGGATGTACGAGCGCTGTCTGTCCTGGAGAGAAGGAGACAACATGCCCGACGAGAAGGACCTCATCACCAGCCAGGATCGTGTGCTGCTGCGCCGTCGGCTTTTCGCCATGAAGCGGCACGGCCTGCCCCCGATCGTGACACACAACATGATCAACGACTCGGAGGATCCGATTCTGAACCAGCTCCGCCGAGTCGAGCTGTTCAACTCTTCCTCGGACCGAGTGAAGATTGTTTTCCATCCTGAATTCCTGAACTCGTCCAACCCGGTTTTGCCTTTGGATTATGATGACTTTGTCCGTGGAACGCACCTGGGAGTTTTCCCCTCGTACTACGAGCCCTGGGGATACACCCCCGCCGAATGCACCGTCATGGGCGTTCCAAGCATCACCACCAACCTGTCCGGATTTGGATGCTATATGGAGGAGTTGATCGAGAATTCGTCCGACTATGGTATCTATATTGTGGATCGTCGTTCCAAGGGCGTCGACGATTCGGTCAACCAACTGACCGATTTCATGTTTAACTTCACTTTGAAGAGCCGACGCCAGCGGATTAACCAGCGTAACCGCACGGAGCGGCTCAGCGATCTGCTTGACTGGAAGCGGATGGGCCTGGAATATGTCAAGGCTCGCCAATTGGCTTTACGGAGAGGTATGATTCCTAATCTCACTATTAATTCTGTTGCTCATATTTCTGCTAGCCTATCCTTCCTCCTTCGATGGCACCGAGGATTATGCCGACTTCATCGGAGGGACTGAACATAAGCTCTCACGTCCTCTTTCAGTCCCGGGTTCTCCACGCGATCGCTCGGGCATGATGACCCCCGGAGACTTTGCTTCCCTTCAAGAGGGCCGAGAGGGACTAACCACCGAGGACTACGTTGCATGGAAGCTCCCGTAAGTGTCCTTTTCTTCACTCAAAGACTTCATACTGATCCAGTTTTTTAGTGAGGAGGAGGAACCGGATGACCACTTCTACCCCCTCACCCTACGGACTCGTAAGTCTATTGAGCGTGCTCAGTCCCCGCTGGATAGCATCTCAATCAACGGCAATCGTCACGCGGAGGGAAGTCCCGCAGCGGAGGCAAGTCCCGCAGCGGAGGCTTGAGACTCTTCCATCCGTCCAACGTCTGGAAGACTCTCGCTTGCTGTTCATCTCAATGGCCGTTATTTGTACTTGTCACATTGTCCCTTCTGTCTTCCATCCCGAAACCGACGACCCTTTGTAATTGCTCACTTCACTTGGATTTTTGTTTTTGTTTGCTATTTCCGCTGCTCATTGCTACTGCATTTGAAGCCTCTGTGTTGTTTATTTCCGTCATCTCTCCCTCGGGTCGAGGGTGAGAAATGTACTCGCATTGGTAATATCTGTCTAGTCACTATTGCACGAATGCAATGTCTTCTAGTTGTAGCCCAGGGGATTTGTTGCTGCCAAGGAACTAACCATCCGATCGACCCGGACTGGAATAGAGTTACCAATGGGAGCCGCTGATCGTTTTCGTTGCAGCGTCTCGGTGAGCCTGTGAGGTCCACAATAACGACAGAGTAACGATCAAGGACGTAGAGAAATACCTCAGCATCACATCATTCCGAGTCCACCCCCCACGTATTTAACCCCTCCATCGCCCTCTTTTTCCCGCTTTCCTTCTTCCCCTCTCGTGCTTTTCACTCAGAATTCCATTTCCACCAGCTCTACCAGAACTCTACTACCTTACCTTCGGTACGGCTCTCTTCAATGGAGCCACGCAGGTCCTAGTAGACCCTCCCTCTGGAGGATTGTCCTCCGGGAGAGGTCGCAGGACGGGGTCCCTCGCTACAATGGTTTCTCGTGGATCAAGGTATCGTACATAGTATAACAGTCACTGCGCACGCATGACAGGTGTTCGGCGTCGTCTGCGGCCTTGATCTTCCGAATGAGCTCTCTTTTCTCGAGAGAGCTAGTCTAGGTCGAGGCGGCGGACGCGTCGTTCTGAGATTATACTGTCACAACTTGATCTAGACAATACTAGCGAAAGGACATGCGTGACTTTGATTGCCCCTCCCCTTTGTGTTTTGTTGCATTCAGTCTGTTTTGCTTCTGGGAGTTGACCACGTTGAAGGTTGATTTCTGGGGAGAGAACAGATAGGATGCCCTTGTCTCTGTAATACTGACTCACTTGGAAGACTCAAACAGTCGTGAACAACTCCAAGATGGCCACGGACAAGATTACCTTCCTGACCAACTGGTATGCTGACTCTATAGATCTGTCTTCTCAGTAGCTAAATGTCGCTCTTCAAGGCACGCAACCCCGTACCACGCCCCGCTGTACCTCGCCCAGGCCAGAGGTTACTTCAAAGAGGAAGGCTTCAAGGTGGCCCTTCTGGAGCCCAATGACCCCTCCGATGTCACCGAGATCATCGGCAGCGGCAAGGTCGACATGGGCTTCAAGGCCATGATTCATACGCTGGCGGTGCGCCAATCGTTGTCTGCTAATCTAGGACACGCTGACCCAGAATTGTACAGGCCAAAGCCCGCAACTTCCCGGTGACATCCATTGGCTCGCTGCTCGATGAGCCTTTCACCGGCGTCGTGTACCTCAAGTCCAGTGGGATCACAGAGGACTTCCGCACCCTGAAGGGAAAGCGAATTGGCTACGTCGGTGAATTTGGCAAGGTTAGTTCAATTACTTTACCGAGATGTACATATCAAACTGACGACCCAGATCCAAATCGACGAGCTCACCAAGTACTACGGCATGACAGCCGATGACTACACCGCGGTCCGATGCGGGATGAACGTGACCAAAGCAATCATTCGCGGCGACATTGACGCGGGCATCGGCCTCGAGAACGTGCAGATGGTCGAGCTGGAAGAGTGGTTGGCCTCCCAGGGCCGCCCTCGCACCGACGTGCAGATGTTGCGCATCGACCAGCTGGCCGAGCTAGGCTGCTGCTGCTTCTGCTCAATCCTGTACATCGCCAATGACGCCTTCCTGGCCGCCAACACGGACAAAGTGGCCAAGTTCATGCGCGCCGTCAAGCGTGCCACGGACGCCGTGCTGGCCGACCCGGCCGCCGCGTACGAGGAGTACGTCGATATGAAGCCTATCATGGCGGACCCGGTCAACCGCAAGATCTTCGAGCGCTCCTTCGCCTACTTTAGTCGTGACTTGAAGAATGTCGAGCGCGACTGGAACAAGGTGACGGCCTACGGAAAGCGTCTCGGTGTCCTTGACTCGGGATTCGTGCCCAACTACACGAACGACTACCTGTCCTGGACGCTCGATGCGGATTCCACTGACCCGCTTGGTGACCAGAAGCGTATGGCTCAGCTGCAGCAGGAGGTTGCTTCCCAGGGTGGCTTCAAGCGCTTGCCGGTCCCGGTCACCGCTTAAATGAACAGAGCATGCACGGAGGTTCCCAGCAAGGAACAAACGCCCTTCTCCTATCGAGGTGTGACGGGCAATACCAGTCTTCACTCCTTTGTCTGGCTATATTCTAACCATAAGAAAATAAAATGAACAATCGCGTTGGCTCTATGAATACGTATACAATCAATCACATCGTAAAATACAGAGAGGAATATACCACCACTGGCTCTAAAATGGAAAACGCCATGCCTCACCCACTGCAGGACACAAGGACTAGAGCTCGCCTCCTTCCTTGCGCAAAAGCGCGGATCTGACTGTGCCGCCCCTTTCCTCGTCCTCATCAGACAGACCCGACAGATCATTCAGTTCGTTGATGTCATCTTCTGACAAGCCAACAGGCTTCCATTCTCCACGCCCAGCCTCTTGATCTCCGAGTTTACTGCGGAGCTGTTGCCTGAAGCCAGCGCAGCAGGAACTCGTGCCCAAGAGCCACAGACAGATGGCCAGGAATGAAGCGGATAGGAACCCAATGGCGAAGAATAAGACCGACCGTATCTTTGCATCGTCACCATCGCTCTCGCCACCGACGACAATGTAGCTGGCCTGCTCTGGATCCCAGTTCAGGGAACCTGACACTCCTAGGGGATACCCCGTGCTGTTGAGTGCAACGACACGGAGTGTGCGGTGAGGTGTGCCCGGCGGGATGTTGAAGATGGTCTCAAATCCAGATTTCGGGACTGCAGAGATGAAAGTGAATTTGTCGTTCGAATCTTCTTTTCCATCGGCCGAGAGACGGCTTTCACGCTCATTGTGGGACTTGTGCGTCCCTTCCAGGACCCAAGTAGCCACCTCGGTAGCGCCGTTCCAGCTCACGGCGATCTCGTTGTCCGACAGGGAAATATCCGGGTTCGTTTTAGGCAGTCCTACCCAGTTATGTTTGGAAACCCGGTATGAAATGACCCCGCCTCTACCAAAACCCTTTTCCGGTGCGAAATGCACATCGCAGAGCACCTCACCGTCCATGTTAAATTCGGTCCACAGAGCGTCATACCCGTACCCGAGTAGCACATTGCCGTTGTCCAACACCTGCACCGAACCCTGAGATCTGATGCTAACGGGAATCGGATTCCAGTACTCATGCCGGACCATCGCGGTCATATCCATCTCATCGATATCCAGAAACAAACCTCGACTCGGTCTTTTTTTAGAGAGCCCGCCGGCCCCGCCATTGTCAAAGAGGGTGATTGCGCGCTTGCTGTCCTCGTTGTATTTCGGCTGAAATCGGGCGTGGTGCTGGAACCTGATATTGGTAGCGTTGCCGCCAGACAGATCCGTAAGGGAATTGCCTGTCCCGCCCAGTTGCCAAATGATATCGCCCGAGCGGCCGTCGATGTATACAATGCAGCCCATGTATCGTGATGACACGAGATAATTGCCGCGCTCATCCTTATCAACGCTGTTGAGGTGGAAGAAATCCCACGGAGCGTCTTTGGTCTTCCCGCCTGCGATACCGCGCGTATTTTCCTTGAATGAAAAATGCTCCGACGCCCGCCACTCGAATAGGAGCTCGTTCGTCTCGATGTCAACCTCTTGGAATACCCCGTCCCAGATATAGCCGTTCTCAGGCCCATTTACTTCCCGAAGGTCGGCGGGGGCTAGGGGAAACGATGTCAACAAAGCTGTGTCGTTGCTGGTAATCCGGAACTCGTGCAGATCCGCGGGAAGGCCGTTGGCGCCGTGGATCTTGTATGCTTCCTCATAGTGCTTGTTGAGCTAAATCCGAATCAGTCCGTTTTCCACTATCCATACATCTGTCGAGCGGCCTTACCATGTAGAGAGTCCCATCTCCGCGGCCACCGAAAGCATCCTTACCAGCCCAAAAGGTCAAATAGCTCTCATTGCGGTACTGGTAGACATTGGCATTATACGTGCTGCCATACTCTTTAAACCAAACAAGGTTGCCGTTCTCGTCCACGATTGTGGGCCCGGACTGGTTCACGCTTGCGCCTCGTGGCGTGAGTAGCGTATACTTGCCATCGTCGCAGGCGCGGCTGTGGCTCCAGTAGTTGAGGAGAGGACCTTGGATATCACTAGACCGGTAGTTATGCACCGGCCACGAGCCGAATTCACCCTGGGAGTACTCGTCGGAGCGAAACAGGCTATTCTCGTCGAGGAGGGCGGACACATCGCGGAATAGCAGTAGGAGCAGAGAGAATACGAGCAGCGGGCTCATGATGTCGGGTTCGATTTCCCCGAACACATCATTTCAGGGAGCGAAGGTGTCAAGGCTGGTGGGCTCTTCAGGCTTGAGGAGGATGAGGAGGAGGATGAGAAGGAGGATGAGAAGGAAGAGGATGATGAGGAGGAGGAGGACTAAGTTCTTCAGCCCCAGAGCCTTTCAAATCTCGAAGGGGCCAGCTATGAACCGATTACGCTGGTGGGGGCTGAAGTGTCGCACTAAATACGGCCCCCCAAGGACCGGGGGAGGTAAATACGGCGGGCGAAAATTTGATGGGGCTGTGTCGATTCAGAATGGCCTCTAACTCGCTCGGTGGCAGGGAGAGCGAGCATATTTGCACTCGTGAAACGCGGCTGAGCCATATTGTATTTCTGAGAGCGGAATAGGGGTATACGGGTGTCAAGTGTGGGGACCACATTCGTACTTGTAGAAACATACTCGGCGTCATTGGGAGATTCTTGGCAATTGCTTATGCGACGCTTACTATCATGTATAGCAAAACCTCTCTAATAATAGTAATGCAGATCATGGAAACAACTGGCTAACTTCTATAGTGAAATTTGGACTGAGATCGCGGTTGATAATTAAGGATGCGATAGAGATACGACATATCAAGACCGATGTAAAAATGTTCTCCGTTTGGGAGTTGCACCATAAAGGCTATGGAATAGTGCCCTCTCCCACATTACCGACGCTGATCTCTTCAGTGATCCCAAGTAGCCACTCGAATCCCTGTGGCCCGAGAGTGGTTTCAATGCACTCGCCAAAATTTAAGCTGACCCTGAACTCGAGCGGGCCTTCTTCTTAGTGCGGATTTCGCGACCTGCGTGTCGAGTGAGTAACTAGTACTACTCGACCAGTTACCCCGTTGTTGTTATCAAAATGGTACAAAAGGTATGGAATCCATAAGAGAAAACATATTGCTGGCACAACAGGGACTAATTCAGAAAATAATAGATTGCATTATCGCTAGAAACATATTTAGTTCATTTGTATAGACAGACGATCTCGCTAACACAAGTCACGGGTATCGTAAGACATTTTTCTATACCCCAGACATAGAAAATCTATTTGGTGCGCTTGTAGATCTTGGCAAGGAAAGCCTCGAACACCTCCTTCTTCAGGCCCTTGGATTCATCCACGGCGGCGATCTTGGCCCGCAGATCGCCAACGACGCTCTCTTCATAGTCCTTGTAGAGCTTCTCAAGCTCAAGCTCGTTGAAGATGGCCTTGACCTTGGCCTCTTGCTCTTTGTCCTTGCGGCCGTAGGCAGAGTCCAGCACCTGGCGCTGCTCCGGGGTGCAGCGTTGGATAGCCTGATTGACCAGCCATGAGCACTTGTTATCCTGAATGTCGGTGCCAATTTTGCCAATAAAGGCGGGATCCCCAAAGTTGTCCAGGTAGTCGTCCTGGATCTGGAAGTACTGGCCCAGAGGGATGAGGATATCGTGAGCCTGCTTGAGGTTCTCCGGGGTGGCCCGCTGCAGGTAGTGCATTGCCAGAGCCACCGGTAGGTAGAAGCTGTAATAGGCCGTCTTGTAGGTGACAATGAACATGTACTTGTCCATGGAGAAATTGTTGAGGTCGACGTTGTCCTCAGGAGCGGTGATCAAATCACACAGCTGGCCAAGCTCCGTCTGCCAGGTCGTCTCGAGAAACAGTTCCACCAGGTCAATGTAAGATGGGTGAGAGCGGAACTTCTGCTTGAGGATCTGGTAGATAGCACCCTCCAGCATGAAAGCATCGTTGATCGCGATCATGCCCACGCCCTCTTGCCGGTACCAGCAAGGCTGGCCGCGGCGTGTGATGGAGCTGTCCATAATGTCGTCGCTAACCAAGAAGAATGCCTGCAGCAGCTCCGTCAGCCAGCCTAGGATGCTGAGGTGACTGAACTGCTCTTCGCTCAGGGGCTGCTCCAGAAGCGCGATACCGGTGTCGGGGACGGAGAGCCCACGGTTCAACTTGCCACCGGGTGTATTGGCGTTGAGAGACTATCGTGTGACACTCCATTAGTGGCTGTGTGGGCTTCACAGATTCCAATTGGAAATTAAACCCACCTTCTCGAACCACTCCATCGCATTGGCGGGCAGGTTGTACCGCTGGGCGTGGGCCAGGATATCCTTGACCAGGCCAGGCCAGACAGCCTCGAAGTCGGCACGTTTGGTGGTAGAAGCCATGATGATTGTGCAGGGAAAATGAGGGCAATTGGAAGAAAGATCGATCTTCCCTTCCTTCCGTTTTTCAAAACCCATTGTTCCCCCCGCAGAGACTGTTTGGCGTATTTGTACTGTTTGCACCGTTTGTTTGTTATTGTCCCGCACCTGCCCTGTTGCCCTGGTCAACTCCAACACCGCACATTTCACCCTCACAGTCTCTTTTTGGAACTATACGAGATATCACAATACCTCGAAGTGTGTTGACAGACTCCTAGCAGCTGTGACCTCTCAAGCGGCGCTGCCCGCATGCTCTGCAGCCATGGATTTCAACGAAGACAATATCCGAGAGCTGCGATTCCGGCTGGAGGCTGCGGCGATTCAATCGTCAGAGCGATGTCTGTATCAGTCCTCAAAATGGTATGGCTCGGTGTGTTGTGCTTTCGTCCTCACTATCTCACAAGCCTCATTCTAGGGCTGCCGAAATGCTGGACTCACTTGCGGAGCTGGATCACGAAGACACAGACCTCGAATCGCCCATGGACATAACGGACCCCCCTGGACCTTCTTCGAACCCTTATCTACGCTCACAAGATCCAATTGAAGCTGCACTGGAAGCCCAAGAAGCCCACAAGTACCTGCTTGCAAAGTCCTACTTCGACACACGGGAATACGACCGCTGCGCAGCTGTTTTCCTCCCTCCCACAATATCCCCTGTTCCTCTTTCTACGACAACTCCAAACGCAAAATCAAAAAAACCGCGCACGTCGACAAAGGGTAAAGACAAAGCCTCTCCATTTCTCGGCAAGAGCCAAAGCCCTAAAAACCCATACCCCAAGATCAGTCAAAAATCTCTATTCCTGGCTCTCTATGCTAAGTATCTGGCCGGTGAGAAGCGGAAAGACGAGGAAACGGAAATGGTGCTGGGTCCGTCAGACAGCGGGATGGCAGTCAACCGGGAACTCGCTGATCTCGCTCGAGGACTGGAAGGCTGTTTGACGGAGCGGAGCGCAAAGGGCTTGGCTGACCGGGGCCAGGGATGGCTAGAATACCTCTATGCGGTGATCCTACTGAAGGGGCGCAATGAAGAGCTGGCGAAGAAGTGGCTCATTCAGAGTGTGCACCAGAACCCGTTTCACTGGGGTGCGTGGCAAGAATTGAACGATCTCTTGGGGAGCACTGAAGATGTAAGTTCTTGGAACTTTCAATGGGACATTTGAGACTGACAGTGATGCAGCTAAGACAAATTGTCGACCTCCTGCCGCAAAACATCATGACTTTGATATTCCACGTCTATTGCAGCCAAGAGCTGTACCAGGCAACGCGCGACACATACCAGGCCTTGACGGAGCTTGAGGACATATTTCCTCGTAGTGCATTTCTCAAAACACAACGAGCTCTGCTCTACTATCACGAAAAAGGTATGAAAGCCCTGATATGCATTCCACAGGGCATGATTTTAACAAATGACAATCCAGAGCTCGAAAGAGCATCCGACATTTTCACGGAAATTTTGGAAGAATCACCACATCGCCTCGACAGTCTAGACCACTTCTCCAACATTCTCTACGTGATGAACAAGCGGCCGCAACTTGCTTTTGTCGCTCAAGTTGCGACTGCGACGGATAAATTCCGCCCAGAAACCTGCTGCGTTGTGGGCAATTACTACTCTCTCAAGTCCGAGCACGAAAAAGCAGTCATGTACTTCCGACGCGCATTGACTCTTGACCGCAATTTCCTGTCCGCCTGGACTTTGATGGGCCACGAATACATCGAGATGAAGAACACACACACCGCCATTGAGTCGTACCGCCGCGCAGTCGATGTCAATCGCAAGGACTACCGCGCCTGGTACGGTCTCGGTCAGGCCTACGAAGTTCTTGACATGTCACACTACGCCCTGTTCTATTATGAACGTGCTGCCGCGCTGCATCCATATGATCCGAAGATGTGGCAGGCTGTCGGGTCATGCTATGCGAAGATGAGCCGCATTGAACAGAGCATTCAAGCACTCAAGCGTGCCCTAGTGGCTGGCTCTTACTACGCGGAGGATGGAACCCAGCCGGGTACTGTTGCAAGTCCCGGGTCGCCCACAACGCGCAAAATCCTCGACCCCGAGACACTGCACCAGATCGCCACTCTTTACGAACGTCTTGAAGATGAAGAGGAGGCAGCAGCGTACATGGAACTCACCCTTCAACAAGAAATGGGTGGTGCCCCCGTGGGTGGCGAGGAAAACTCAGAAGAGGAGTATTCGTCTGCCTCGGAACACGGCGCCCACAGCGATACCGAGACCGCCCATTCCGGAGATGAAGATACGGACATGCCCTCCCGTCCACGGCGCCGTCGGCGACAACGAGATCGAGGCTCGTCAATCGGTGTCCAGAATGATGATTCAACAGCCGAGGAGACCTGGCAGGGTACAGCCGTCACTGCCACTACGTGCAAAGCGCGATTGTGGCTCGCTCAGTATTCACTACGGAATGGCGATCTCGACCGTGCTGATCAGCTGGCGAATGAATTGTGCCAGTATGGGATCGAGGTGGAGGAGGCGAAGGCGCTAATGAGAGATGTACGGGCAAGAAGGGAGGATGCCGGCTAACTGATTCTTGCACTTGAACTTTTCCTAGCGCTTGTATTACATATTCCCCATTACCTGTCTAAGTAGCGAGGCGTTGAAGGTGACGGCAAATCATGACGCTGATGACTTCCTTTTGGACCTGTATGAATCACAGTCTTATTCAAGAATATTCTCTGCGTATATACTCTTTCTGCTGAATGTGCACAAGCGGTTCTATCGATACATACTCTCCCAACGCAGCAATCTCCACTTTGTCAAAGCTGACTGACAGCGCGGGCCGGACTTCACGGCTAAAGTAGTGCTTTTTCAATTGAGACCGAGAAGATTCAACTGGACCGTGCCCATCCGATGATCTCTGACCATATGTCCTTTCTGGTCCCCACATCAGACAAGCATAGTAATACCCGTGCGCGATATTCAACCACGTCTCACGCAGACAAAACCGAAGGTCCCCAGCATCTATATCCAACTTGATGATGCGTGAATCCAAAATGAAGATTCTCCCGTTAGAAGGGAGGAATGAGCTGCCGCTGTGCAGCATATCAGATAGAGCTTTACCAATTTTGTGAAGTTCTTGTCCCAAAGGCGTACTGGTTGTGTCAAGAAGGACTGTACCGAATGCCATGTCGTTTGCCTCCGCATAGGGATTAGAAAATTGGAGCGATGAGCGAGTCTTCGCAGATCCCAGACTCTCTAAGAATTGATGGAGGCTGCTGTTGCAGGCGTGTGCAGCATTGAAGGAATTCATTTGCGGCGTCATGAAATCTTGATCGGAAGGGTTATCAGGCATGTAACCTGGAATTGTGAGCAGTGGAGATTTCACAGGCGGTGTTCGCTTTCGTTTTGTGGCTTGGGTGCTTTCAACACAAATTCCGCGATCAAGCTGTGCTTGAAGTTGTCCTTGGTGAACAGAGATCAGACTCGTTGCCTGTGAGAAGTTGGAATGATTGGATGATTGCGTCTCCGTTGGCTTCTCAGCTCGCCAGTTTCCAAATTTGGAGGACTGAGCGCCAGGCTCGGATTCTTTTTGGCTGTGCTTTTGGCGCATTGACAAATTTGCATTTTCACTCAGGATATGCTTGTTGGCAGAGGTATCAGGAAGGGTTGGTAAAGTAGTTTTTTCAATATACACTGCTGCGAAAGCAGTATTCTCCTTGGAGACATGCAAAAACCCATCGTCTTTCGTTGCTTCATCCTCCATCCTTGGAAGTGAGTATCGGAACTCGTTGGCATCATTTGATACTTCAGAAGACCTAGACGGCGTTGGAGAGTATACCCGCCATGCGCTCGAAGAGCTCGCAGAAGAAAAGCTTCTTGATTTTCTCACAATGTATTGATTGAGTCCACTGCCAACTTCTAAGCGCTTCGACCACTCCTCTCGCTCCTGGGACAGGTCTTCGGCAGGTACAGCACGGGACTTTTCTGCTGCAAGTTGCAGTTCTCGAAATGATGCTGCATCCTCAAACGGTCTATCCATATGAACTTTGAGAACACGCGGAAACCGGAGGGTAAAATACCGAGCACCAGAAGGTTTTTCGAATCCACTGCCCATCATCTCCACGACGAAGGGCTTTTTGAAAAGCATTGAAATAGCTGGAAGATTTCCGTGTCCATATTCGAAATTGAAATTTTGGCAAGAGTCAGGGTTGCAGGCATAGAACTTGCCATATTCGTTCAGAATTTTCATGGTTTGGATGTGCATGCAATGCCGGTCGATCACGTCGACAACTTTGAAACGAGGAAGTTTCCTTGACTGTAGGGTCTCTTCTTTGTTGAGAAGGCAGCCGACGAAGAAGTGTGTCCACTGCAATTTCCCATGGTGTTGTAAAGCGGCGGCATCTCGCGACTCGTAGCTTGTACCGAGCAAGACAAGGTCAAGTGTATCCCCCAGACCAGGGATGTAGTCCTTTTTGAGTTTGATCCATCGACCGAATGCATTATCCACACCTGAGGAGTACATTGGGAAATAGGGCTCTTCACAAGCCTTCAATACATATCCTTCCCAGCGTTGAGCGATAGCCTTAGCAAAGCTGACTTGCAGCTGGTGCTGACTATCAGGCCGACCAAAGTCTAGAACTCTTTGTTCAGAGACAGCGGCTCGGTTTGGTATTAAGTGGATCGTATCTTGTAGAAGTAATCGTCGTAGTCGGTGTGGCTTCGCCAGGCAGACATCGTCATCAAGAAGCAGAATATCAAAGAAAACGATCATTAAATGTTCATATGGTTGCGGTCTATGTTCATCAGAGAGTGTATATTAGGCTGGATGGCCGGAACAACTTACGGAGAATCATTCTCAACACCGATCAAGGTCCCAGAACGAGGGAGAAAGCGACGCAGCTTGTGGAAGTTCGAGAACTGGCCGTGCTTATCACTCCATACTAGGAGTTCTCCTTCAACAATGCAACGCTGCGAGAACTTGCAGTCTGAATGTCCGATTCGAAGTGACTCTTCCACAACGTGAATTATGCCTGACCTGTCCGCAGTGGAATCTTTGCCACTTTTCGAGAAAATCTGGATAGGATTCTTTTTGTTTGTAAGATCAATGTGGATTTGACAATACTCCCCGTCATACTTTCTCTCTATGCTCATGCGCCTGCCCTGCGACATTTGATGGCAATGTTTGATGCTCCGAGCCTTGTAGTATTCGGGTCGTCCAATTTTGAAGCCCATTTGAGGGCGTAGATATTGTAGAGCTAGCGAGGTCAGGGTTGCAGCAAGAGTCGGATCTGGACGGGGTGGGAAATGATTCATTGGGTTGGAGACGAGCATATCCAATGCTCCGGCGAAGGAGGCCTGGAATTGAAGGAGCTGCGGAAGCAAGAAGTGAAACCTTTTCAAGGTATATTGCTGTGGTAGACAAACGGGAGAGTAGTCCTTCAGAATCATGCGCGTGAGCCATTTGGCATCTCGGCTACTCAGTTTTCGGTATAACGGGGCAAGAGCCTCTTCCACCTGAACGGCAGTGTGCTGACGATAAACAGAAGGGCCAGAGAAGCGACATCGGGATGCGATTAGATTTAAGGCGTGGTCGACTTCCTCAACGGTGATTTCCGCGTGGTCCTGAATATGGTTTTCGGCCTGTTGCATCACATTCTCCACGCACTGGCCCAGATCAGGGCCGCCGGATACACGCCATCGATCAAGATCTGCCAAGCGTGACGATCCGAGATATAGACAACGGCCAATAACCCGTACTAGGGAGGTTGCCTGCAACCAATACACTCGGTCCGTTCGTCTCTCGGGGAACATGCACGAGAGCAGGGCCAGCCTGTCTGTGTCGGGATGATGGATCCGTCGTTCATGCTGGATGAACCACTGATTGACCGTACGGATATCCGGGTCATTGTTTCGTGCTGCAGTCGTTGCTTTGGCAATTTTGTTCTTCTCGAGGCTGGAGAGAAGATCGCACAGGAGGGCGAACTTGAAGGGCATGAAGTGAGCACCGTTTTTTTAGAGATCGAAAATGGTGGGCAGATAGTGGAACGCGAAATCGGCGCGCGCGGGTTTCACGTAAGCACGTGAGATCTATAATTGTTCTACGGCCAGAAGCGAGAAGTGAAGGAATTGAAAATCAATTGGAAATGCCCCGTGGGATAGTATCCTGGGACTATTGGGATTTCCAGCCAAAAACCATCCTGACCCTCGAATGGATGGGGAGACCATGATATACCACCGAACTCCAAGCTTTTGATACAAAACGTGAATAGAAGACGTCTACAGAATGCCCTGCTTTTGAAGACTGCAATTCGTTAGCAAATAGATACCATATAAACAGGGACAGAGGGGGTAGACATACTCGAGGTAGATCCGTTCGGGCATCACATTGCCCTCGGCATCCTCCATCTGGACCACGTTGTCTCGCGAATCTCTATCCTTCTTGCGGTCTTGCTCAAGCTTCTCCCACAGGCGAACGGCATCGTCAATCCGGGTAATCTCACGGAAAAGGTTCGTGTTCGAGGTAATCCCCAGGCATTTCAGCCCATAGATGTGCATGGCCTCGGAGAAATGCTTGTCGAAAGCCCGGCGGCCCATGTAGACATAGTTGCCGCAGATTTCACACGGGTATTCCACGCCCAGTCCATGCAGTTTGTAAAGCCAGTATGGAATGGGCTTCCCATCCCAGGCAAGGGGTAGTTTCAGCGGATTGTAGATGCGCTCTTCGTCATCCTCGTCGGACTGATCGCCAGCACGTCCCTCGCCGCCAAAACTCTCGGGCTCGGCCATCAGCGCGTCAAGTTCCATTTGACGTTCGCGTTCGGTCATGCCCTGTCTCCGTTCCACGTTGATCCGAGTGGCTTGTCGCTCTTGCTGGAGAGCTTCTGCCAAACATCGGACACGGTGCTCGCGTTCGGCCACCGCTCGCTCCTTCAGGCTCAGGTTCCCAGACGAGGTGTGACCAGCTGGTGTCGATGGCTTCTCGCCGGAAGTACCAGCCGCTTTGCGAGCTTCGGCCGCCCGAATGTGCTTTTTGCCAGTCAAATGATTTCGGTAGACGTTATCGTTCTTAAATTCTTTCTCACAGTCGGGACACCAGGTGCCTTCACCAGTTCCCTCGGTCTTAGGGCCGGAGGCACCGTTCTCGGCCTTCTCCTCGGTCCAGCCTGGAACCTCTTTCGCCAACCACTGCTTCTCAAATTGCTCATCGAAACCAGCAAACAACTTGTCCGAATCTTGCAACGGTCGCACTCGCTTGATGAAGCTTTCGAGGTAGCTGGCCAGTTCATTGACGTAGCGGAAGTATCTATCGGAGATCTTATCCTTGCGCTTAATCAACATGTTGGGGGGCGTGAAAGAGTCGAAAATTTCGAGGTATTGGATATAGGTCACTCGCTTGACATTAGGAAGGTTCAGATAACTTTCATGGATCATGGTCAGATCCAAGTATTGTCCGAATCCTTCCTCGCCGGTGAACATGTTGTCGATCTCCGTGCCAAGCGGCGCCTCACCCTCGCCGGGCTGGCGGCGCTTATACGCTCTCTCGAGGTTTTCGACGGGCTCATTCGGATATCGCTTGTGGAAGTCTTTGATGTCGTCCAGCTGCTTGTAGAATTCCTCGAACTGATCGCCCGTTGCGATGGCCTGCACTTCTTTCTCCCGGAGCCCGTCCGCATCCTTGTAAATATCCAGGAGCCTCTTTGACTGCTCCTCAATGCGATTCAAAAAACTGGCGACTTCATGGTCGCGCGCTAGGCGTTCTCGAATCTGGTGAAAACGACTGGTTAGGAGGCGATGTCGAACACACCTGAGCGGGTGCACTTACATTTCTTGGCTCCTCAGCGGCACGGTCAGCAACTGCCTGCTCCAACCGCTCGAGGTCTTCGTGGATGAATCGCTGGTCTTCGAGCAACATGGTGCGCTTGTGCTGAAGAAAGACCGGGTCTGCAGCTTGCCCGAGCTTTTGCGGGAGAGTCACGTGACGGGTGGCCACTGGAGACAGAGATAGTCCGTCGCAACTTCCGTTTTTCATCGTCAAAACTGAAACACCACCTTCACCATGGCAGACGGCATTGATAGACGCGCTGAGGGTATGAGACAACCAGTGTTTTTGGACGGAATTGTTCTAACAGGATTTAGAGCGCATGGAGTTCAACACCTCCAAGGAGGTCACGGTTGCGCCGACCTTCGAGGACATGCACTTGAAAGAGAGCCTGCTTCGCGGAATCTATGCCTACGGATACGAATCGCCTTCAGCGGTGCAATCTCGCGCCATCGTTCAAATTTGCAAAGGTCGCGATACGATCGCGCAGGCTCAGTCGGGTACTGGTAAAACTGCGACGTTTACGATCAGTACCCTCCAAGTCATTGACACTGTCGTGCGAGAAACACAGGGTGTGTCTGTCTCCATTTTGGTAATGTTATTGTGCTGACCATGGTTGATTCAGCTCTTGTCCTGTCCCCTACTCGTGAACTTGCGACTCAAATTCAGTCGGTGGTGATGGCCCTCGGCGACTACATGAACGTCCAATGCCACGCCTGCATCGGAGGCACGAACATTGGCGAAGATATCCGCAAGCTCGACTATGGCCAGCACGTTGTTTCGGGAACACCAGGTCGTGTCGCTGACATGATTCGCCGGCGGCACTTGCGCACACGTCATATCAAGATGCTCGTCTTGGATGAGGCAGACGAGCTGTTGAACCGTGGTTTTCGCGAGCAGATCTACGATGTTTACCGTTACCTGCCACCGGCGACCCAGGTCGTTGTGGTGTCTGCCACGCTTCCTTACGACGTGTTGGATATGACGACCAAGTTCATGACGGATCCCGTCCGTGTGCTAGTCAAGCGTGACGAGTTGACGCTCGAGGGTATCAAACAGTACTTTATTGCGGTTGAGAAGGAGGAGTGGAAGTTCGACACGCTATGTGATCTTTACGACACTCTGACCATCACTCAGGCAGTGATCTTCTGCAACACCCGTCGCAAGGTTGACTGGCTCACCGATAAGATGCGCGAGGCCAACTTCACAGTTTCAAGCATGCACGGTGAGATGCCGCAGAAGGAACGTGATAGCATTATGCAGGACTTCCGCCAGGGCAACTCCCGCGTTCTTATCTCCACCGACGTCTGGGCCCGTGGTATCGACGTCCAGCAGGTGTCGCTCGTCATCAACTATGATCTGCCTACCAACCGTGAGAACTACATTCACCGTATTGGTCGCAGTGGTCGCTTTGGTCGCAAGGGTGTTGCCATCAACTTTGTCACCAGCGACGATGTCCGCATATTGCGCGACATCGAACTTTACTACTCGACCCAGATTGACGAAATGCCGATGAATGGTAAGTGCTTTTGTCTTGGATGGATTTGCCATTTCTAACCTTTAATAGTTGCGGACCTCCTCTCGTAATTGATTTATCCCTCGAGGGCACTTCGATCTCTCTTCGTTCCTTCGTGCGAAATCCCAGCGCATATCATTCCATCATTTTGAAAATGCTGGATTATGTGGCAGCCAACTCGGCCAGGGCCAGGCCTTCTCTAGCGTGGAGGAAAGGGACTATTTACTGTTACTGTGAGATGCCACGACAAATTCACTTTGACCTAGTAACTAACATGCCAGCGATCATAGTTCCAGACTGCAATGCCCTCAAGAGGATACTGAGTTTTTTTTTGTTTTATTCGAATCTGTGAATTGGATAGTTAGGTCCTGTTACCTATCTTCCTGGAGTTGCTAGTTTTCCAGCGGGACCGGATCAATTGAAATGTTTCAAAAGCAATCAAAAGAAGTTTAAAAGATGTAATCTCTTCAATCCAAACAAACGTCCGTAATCATTAGCCACGTCCGCCACCTGTTTCATTCTCCTAAACGGGACGGGACGGTTGCAGAAAGCATCATGGATATCTTTTAATTCTTTGACATGCCCAAAGCATCCCGTGCCTCCCTCATTTCAACCTCGGATGGCATGTTCACAATTGCAAGGTATATCACTTTCTGTTGCAGATGTTAATATTTGCTCTCAGGAGGTAGTTGGAACCCCTTACTCCTTCAAATAGTTTGCGGATTTCAACCAGACCGCCGCCTATAAGGGTATCGGCACTTGGACTAGGTTCCCTCCCGCCGGCGTTTTGTGTAGCCTCGCGGTTGAGCCCCTGGGGGTCTCTGATGAGCTCTGCCAGTCCGCCAATCAGTCCGCCGCCGCCGCCTCGGCAGCATCGGCCGCCCCTGCTACCCCTGCTGGCATAGCCCCCGGTCACCAAGCTAAGGAGATCGCCACTGCTAGCTGCATGGTTAGGATCAGCATAACGTGAGGCAAATGTCGCTTTCGGCCGTTGGTTCAAATGGCTATTAGGGTTTTCCGCTTGCTAAGGCATGGTAAGCAAATTGTGCCTGTGTATACCAAGGACAAAAACTTACGAAGGTTGCTTGAGCTCTTTTGTCCAAGTAGGCCTTGACAAACTCAACACGTCGTTTTGTCTTGGGAAGCTTCTTCTCCGCGTCTTCCCCATTGTCTAACTGCTCCAGCTCGGGGAAAACGAGGGGCGCAACCTCTGGGAAAGGGTTTCCATAATTTTTGCCGTCAGACGTCTTGAACTTCTGCTGGAGGCGTCTAAGCTTGTTTGACCCTAGCATGGTGGAGTCATCTCCGGTCATGGCTTTGGCAACAGTGGACTGGAGATCCATCGACATTGCCGGTGCATCTGGCTCTTCCGGAATCCAGGTCAAGACTAAGCAGTACAGCCCACGAGGTTGGAAGAACTCCTCATTTGCCTGATCAAAGAAATTGTTGGTCCTACATCATCATCAGCTCCAATTTTCTCATGAATTGGTCTCCTATGCATACCTCCGACGGCCATCTGCGGCGATAGTCAGGTTGGCAAATTGATGGATAGCCACTGACACCGCAATTGCGGCGACAGATGGGATGGCGTGGCCCACAAGGGCAGCCAGGTTGATAGCCTGCAGCCAACGGTGTGCCCGGCAGCCTTTCTCGGCTGTGTCCAAGAATTCAAGGAACGTGGCCTGATCAATGCCAAATGGGGCCAGGTCAGGCGCATAGGCGCGAAGGAATCCACGATTACGGTCCTTCGGTCTGCGCTGTGGGAGAAGGATCGGAGCAGGTAGACGAGCGGTTACAGCACCCTTGGGTGTCGGATGTTGACTTGCAAACCAGGAAGCAAGAGCAGCTCCATCGACAACCTCACTATACGGAGGGGGGTCGTCCTCTGGGTATGAGGTGTGTTGGAGCTCTTCTTGTGCCTCGTCAAGGGCCCATTGCTCTTCTAGGGTATCGACGACAGCGTCCCTCTCCACGACGACTTCAGATTCATCATCTGTAAGGCCCTCCCTATTCGCTTCCGCTTGGGTCCTCTGTGCCTTCTTAGCCTTGCGGGCAGCTATTCCCTCGGATGCAAGGCCGATCCCTGCCGCGACACCTTTGACGAGTTTCACGACCACGGGTCCCATGTTGTCGGCGTAGATTCCAGTTTGGCAATTGAGGGGAGAAATGAGAGGTAAATTAGAACTTCGCCTGCCTTATAAAACTAAAGATCCTCTGAATCCTTTCCGTTTTGGCGTCCAACCAGGTTCTGGCCCCCATTACACGTACCCGAAACCGAGCTTTAGTGCCAGTGGCCTTCAAACGTATCGATGATAATGCTGCAGGTGTCTATTATTAGGCGGGGTAGATGACTGACTGTCAAGTCGCCTTCACTCTTCAGTAGCACTGCATTCGTTCGCATCTCTGGACGACGAGCAAAGTGGACGCGCTTTTTATTTACCTTTGACGATCGATCTTGACCCCGCTTCCCTTATCGCATACCTGTTTAGGCAGCAAACCTCTGCTGGTATTTTAACGGGCCTTTGTGGACAAGGACGTCGACTTTTTTTCCATGCCGACATATTGCAGATGTCTTTCCGCCTTTTGCCTGTGCAAGCCTCAGATGCTGAGCGCCTGATTCGAGAATGTGACTTCCCTGCCATGCTAGACAATCCTATTCGTCTCACAATGTTCCCTCATTCTCGCCCAGAGACCCAAGAAGACGAAATCCGATGGATGACATGCAATTTCAAACATAGTTTGGAAGAAGACAGTTCCAACTTCCGCAAAATCTGTACTGAAGACGGGACTCCCGTCGGATTTGCTGGCTACACTGTCCTGAATAACACGGTTCAAAATAAGAGTCAGAGAGGCCAGGTAGAACTTCGTCCTAATCCTGAGCCCGAGACACTGGATAAGGATACATGGTCAGAAGTCTCCAAGATGCTCATGGCAGAGCAAGAACGGGTAATACATCGGCATGAAAATATCTGGTGTAAGATTGTCTTGTGTTTCTCCGTCCCGATCTATGCTTACCCTTTTCTAGCGCTCACTATCGTGGTTGTGAATCCACTGTACCAGCGCCGTGGTATCGGCTCTATGCTTATGCAATGGGCATGCGAAGAGGCCGACAAAGCTCATAGAGATGGTATTTTGCTAGCCTCCCCGGCAGGGATTCAGCTGTATACCAAGTTCGGCTTCGAGAAAGTGGGCGAAGTGAGAACAGCGAAAGGGTCACTTCACAGCATGTTACGGAAGGCGCAAGATAATGGATACGCTTAGGAGTACTGTAAATTGCTGCTAATTTAAGAGGTCACAAGACCTTTGTGCAATAACCCGACAGTTGAGCTTTTACTTGGCGATTATATCTTATTTGAACATGTAGGTCGGTTTCCAGCCCCAACTATGTAGTCCGTTCAATGTGGCTCGCCATAGAAGCATAATATGGGAACATGAAGAATTTCAAAATTTGATTCCGTGGAGTATCCAACTCATTAGGGCTAGTATCGAAGCATGACTCGACAAAATAAAATAAATGAGTGTACCGTGGGGGCCAGAATGCTGTATGGCAACATTATTCTTGACATAACTGCTTGTATAAGCAGATATAGTGAGTGGGCCGCTTGAAACGCGCCCTCTTCTTGCACCGCCCTCACCCTTCTAGCACCTGGGTTTTACCGAAGGAACTCAACCCCCAGTGTGCAGCTCACTTAGAGGGTTGGTGGATCGACCGCTAGGTGAATGGTGTCTAACCTGATTAGAGTTAACCAATCGGTCATTTGGTTCTTGGCAAGTGGTAACTCACATGCCCGATTTTTTTGAAGTCCGCGCGCGAAACTCGCAACCGTGAGCACGTGAAAATTCACGAGCTTGATATGAGCTTCAACCATGCAGGACGTATCTCGACTAAAGAACAGGACGGAGTGCGTATTAAGAAAGCAGTGAAACCTACACTTTAATAAACAATTGCTAGATAACTATTCTAGACTGGTTCGAAGCTCTACTGGCGGCACGGCTCAAGGGCAGTCAGAGTCGGAGAAGCAGACGGAGAAGGAGCAGCTGCACCTCATTTCTCTGACCATTAGCAAGCATGCAAGTGTATATAAGTAACTAGTAGCTTTCAGCGCTTGCCACTATATTATATAATAATGTATAATGATCAAAAGGTGCTAAACGTTTCTTATGCATTGCCCAAAACTGATTCTTGGGAGAGAAATAGATTCTTCGAGGTGGGATATAGAGCGAGGGAGTATAAAATACCCCGCTAGCCTACAGATAGGAAACATATGACCTGTCAATCCAGACCGTCAAACGATCTACGCTGCAAGACCGAACCGTTCATGCAAGCTCCCTCCACTACTGCTGGAATAGCCCTATGCAAGCCAAAGGGCTACTACTGCTATATCTAGAGACGCTTGTCCAACACGCACACTAGACCGGATCGCGTAAAAATTCACCATTCCCCAAGACTACTACGTACGATGTATATGCCGAAGAGCGGGCGACAAAATCAGTAAACGCCACGGCAACACGCGGGAGAAAATAAATCAAAGCAAAGTTTATCGTCGTCTTTCAATCCAAAAAAAGCTCCGGGTATGTGTGTCCCTTGACCGTGATACATGTGAGAATGAAATAAAAGAAAAGAGAATAAACGAATGGCACGAGACAGAGAGACAGGAGAGCCATAAAAAAACATTCTCTAAGTGAACAGGAGAGATTGGGGAAGAAGAAGAGGGGAGGGAAGTTCGTTTCAAAAGGCTGAGGATGTGGTTCGCAATGCGCTCGTCTGCGTAAATCCATTTGATGGTGCAATTCCTCGGCGTGGCGTGGGACCTGTGCTTGTGCGAGTTCGGTCGTGGTCTCGAGACCAGCTGGCGGGTGTTTGTTAGTATATGGATGACAACAACACAAATAAAAAAGGTAATTCTTACATTCTCACGATGCAGTCATCGCCCGCCGACGCGAACATGCCTGGGTCTGCCGGGTTCCAAGATATTGAGTTGACGCATCCCGCGACATGCCCGTCCAATGTTTCGACCAGTGTCCCGTTCTCCTTGTGCCAAATGTAGACGCGCGAGTCTGGAAAATGAGTTAGTGGTGTCCCGTAAACGACAAGAAAAAGACTCACCTTCGCTGCCACTGATAACGAAATTCTCAGCAGCTCCACCAAATGTACTCCGAATCACAAACTCGCCCTGTTTCTGGCCTCGGAAGCGTCGGACCACGGCTGTAGTCTCCATGTCCACCAGCTGGATCTCTCCTTCCTGCAAGTTCACCAGAACGTGTCTCGAGTCTCGACTGATGACAACCGAGGTCGGTTTACTTGGAAGCGGAAGGCAGTACTCTTCCTCGTGAGTGAGGAAATTGTACACATGGATCTTGGCTTCTGTGTCTGCCGCTACAAGACGTCGGCCGTCGGGGCTGATAGCGCAATCTTGGACACGGAACCCGCCATGCCACATGTACAACGGCTGCCCCCGCACACTCCAATGACCTAGTTGGCAGCTCGCATCCAGAGAAGCCGTGACAAATGATTCCCCGTCTGCGGCCCATGCGGCCGCGGTGACCGGATGGCGGTGTTGATTGATGGTCAGCAGACACCGACCAGTCTAATATTTTTGTTAGCATAGACAAATCTTTGCAGAGATAGATACACGCTTACCTCCACACTCCACACACGCGCTTTCTTGTCTTGTGAACACGATATCACTTTCGAGTCGTCCGGACTCCAGCTCACATATGCAACTCCGTCTCCATGGTCGGCGAGCCTGTGAAGCACGGCGAAGCTAGACGTATCGTAGATGAGCACGCTTCGGTCTTTGCCCGCAGTGACCAGTTTGGTGCCATCGTGTGAAAACTCGCAGTACCAGACTTCATCCGAATGTTGGCTCAGGTTGACGCTGATGTCCAACGGGAAGTCGTTGCGATCGCACATGTGATCGGAGTAGAGCGAGGGGGCTTCGGCGGTATTATGATATAAACAGTTGTTGATTTGGTTTCGCTTCACGGTGTCTAATAGGATGGCAAGCCGGTGTTGGGGAATCATCACAGACGGGGAAATCGATTCTGGTCTAGAGTTAGTATGAACAGGAGTTCCGACCACACTTTGACTTACTTGATAATTCACCCAGAAGGCGCTCTCGAGACGAGCTGACTGGACCATCCCACACTGCTTGGTCGTGTAAGAGCTCCGGCGGGCACATGAGGAGACTGTCTGAGTTAATATATGTCCTTTGTTTTACCCCGCACGGGAGGCCTTACCTGGAGAGAGCATGCAGTCGCTCGATGTCATGATTTAATGGAGTTAGTTCTTGCCGAAGGACCGTAAGCGCAGCACCCAGGTCGTGGGCCTCTAGTAATTCGAGGAACTTCTGCTGGCGCAGGAGAAAGAGCATCTCGTTCCTGTCGGCACCCTCGGCCAGTACCAAGGTCTCCTCAGACGGGGACTTCTGGCCACTGCGTTGTGATGTCGCATCCGAACGGAATGATAAGATGAGAATTCTCTCAGCTTCCGACCACCGACCTCCCAGCACCGCGTTCCGAAATGTTGCCACGCTCTCGGTCTCCAACTCATAGCCGCTCTCCGAGCTCAGCAGTGATGCTGCCCCATTGTAGCCTAGCTCGTACAAGCTCTGAATCAATATCCGCGTCACTTCCTCTCGGTTATGGCCGAAGTAGGTTGGGCTCGCCAACGACTTGCCGGCACCATTCGTATGGGAACTGCCGTTGGTGACGGCTGATTGTCCGTTGAGACCGGCTTTCCGCGAGGGCGTTGAGACTGTCCCATTAGACGAGAAGCCGTTCGCTGTGGACAGTCCATCGGCACGCATGGTTACCAGGCGCCTGCGCTTGGGGGAGGGAGAACGGCCGGCGGCTCGGCCGGTATGACGGGAATCGGGCTGGTTCCCGGGTTCAGATGCGGTCCCCGCAGTCGAGGGACTCGGTGTGTCCGAGGGACGAGGGCGGCGGCGAGGGTTGTTGGTTGGGCGGCGAGAGGGGAGCTGGGGAGCTGTAGGCGGTAACTCTGACCGTGGTGGAGATGCACCGGGATTACTAGCCGGTGAGGAGGAATCGAGGGGAAGAGGAGAGTCGGGGTGGTCGGAGGCGATGGAGGGTCGGTAGGGAGGATTGTCGGCCAGGTCGAAGGTGTCTCTTGCCCAGTCACCCTGGCTCTGTGGCAGAACCAGGTGAGCAGACCTCAAACGGAGCTGCGGGTACACAAGTTTGGCGAGTGGCCCTGTCACTCGAGGTAAGGTATAGCGAGGTGAAGGTAAGGTACACGGGTGAAGGAGAGACCGAGCGATGATGGTCGAGGTTGGCTTCCCCTCTGTCGGGCGGGATCCTTATCGGCGTGGGTCAGGCTGGATCCAGGTGTCGTGATGCGTGGTGTGAGTGAAGTGGAGTGTGACTAGGCACTCCGTTGCACTGACACCATGGCTTATCAGCTGATGCGCATCCTCCTACGATCGTAGAGATCTCTACCTGAAGTCCTCGATACCTACTTTCCTCGACCCTCTGGGCAGGTATACCCGACGCGGACTCGACTACAATAGGTAATAATACCAAAGTTCCTCCAGTGGTTCGCCATTGCCGACTGACGACATCATGATGCTGTCAGCTCACACCTGGCCACCCGGGGATATATAATCCAGCCGTCCTGCATTTTTGGAATGCTGATCAGGCACCTCTCCTCTACTCCTCAATCCAGTAAACAATATTACGAACCATCAACACTATGGGCTGCGACTGCGGATCGACTTGCAACTGTACCGGACCTCAGGGTTGCACTTGCGGTAATGAGTGCGTCTGCAAGGGATGCGGAGTATGTACTCCTCACCGGCTTGAAAACTGGTGATGAGCCATATAAAGGATGGATGTGAGGGCTAACCTGCACTTGATGATTAGAAATGAAATGATGGTAGAGGACGGACCACTAGGAGCGAAATATCGGACGAATCAAAATATCGTCGCTTGTGGTGATGCGATGGGATGAAAGTCGGTAAAATGTAATTGTACTACAATATCATGTCGATAATAATATAACTATGTGCGGTCAGTTGCCACATTCTTGCCTTCCACCTGTAGACGTCATGCCATTCATGCCTTCGATCTTGCCTCCAGCACCGCCTCGGACGCCGTGAGGGCGCCGGTGATGGCAAAACACACAAGCGGCGAGAGTGCATACATGATCTAGCACCCGTCAGCTCTTTTTCTTTCCCTGTATTCTCCTCGTTCATACCGTCAGCGTCTTGGCAATCGCCATTTTCTCGCGCTCCGACGCCTTCGCCAGCTCCGCTAGCCCTAAGATCACCAGCGACGGCGGGCCAACCGGCATGAGCATCATACTGAACCAGACCATAGGGTCATTGCCGAGCATGGTTGTGCTGCTTGCTAATCCATAGATCAGCGAGATACTCATCGCCGGCCAGAGCACCAACTGCAGTAGAAAAACAATCGCGATGGCCTTGACTGGTGTGCGGCCCGAGTCGCCAGATGCGATCATCTGCTCAAAACTGACGCCCAACTTACACCCAACCATGAAGATCTGCAGCGTGGTAAATAGCTGTCCGAGATGACGAACGCTAGAGGTCAGCCACACGCTGAACATCCCTCCTTCTTCCTCCGGGAAGAAAAATGCCCGGTGCAGAGCAGGAACTAAACCCAGCACCGCGCCGATGAGAGTACACCCGATAACCACGTCGACAAAGGGCGAGCCAAACGGCGCCATCAGTTCCTGCTTGACGCGGTGCGGGAAGAATGAGCCGATCCATTTACTACAGTGCTGAAGGCGGCGACCAGCCACCACTCTAGCGGTTTGCACACGCCTCGGTAGAAGAGAAGTGCGCTCTGTGAGCTGCTCATCTTCTTCAGGAATGCTGACAGCGCGATGGCGCTCCTCCGGATCACCGAGATTACTGTTCGAATCCACGCTATCGTGTAACATCTTCGGTCCGAAGGCATACGCCGTGGACTTGGCGATCACGGTACAGACAAGGAAGTAGCTCTGTGCGCGGTCAATGGCTTCGGACATGCTTTCTCCGTCGTGAAGGATGACTCGTAGACTACCCACGCTTTTGAGGGATTCGAGAAGGAATAGCTGGTGTGATATAGGGTTGTTAAATGAGCAGGTGGGCGTCACCCACTGCGGAAGCTTAAAGAGGCGGGAGACTAGATGGGCTACTATGATTGAGACGCAGGTATGTAGTGCGGACCATACTAACAGTTATCAGATAGGTACTCGGGGATGTGTCTCATCGTGCTTGCGTACTCAATACCCGGAGGTAGTTTAGCGCTGTGTCCAGATGCAGCTGCCGGCCAAGATTGACAATGATCAGGGCTGGGAGGAAGAGCTTCACGCCTAGTCCGGACATGTCGTTGATGGTTGCTTCGTGGATGAGTCGGAGTCGACGCGCTGCTACCCCGTAGCACATGGTGAGCAGTACCGAGATGCAGGCTTGTAGGGCGCCGAGGAAAGGCACGACAAGACCTTTATTGCCCATATTGATGGCCTGGTTAAGATGGAGCGGGCATGCTTCTCTACGACGATTTTGGTATTATTGACGTGGCGTCATGGTGACCGACAGGTATTAAATTATCAAGACTGTTCATGACGGTATTTAGGCATTACTCAAAAACCTCGCAACACTCTTCCACCTCATGACTGGATAGCCAGAAACAATTGATTCGAGGGTATTGCCCTGGCCGCAAAGATCAGACCCATACCGAGAGAGAGCAGTGCTATGAAAGCACAGAAAAGCCCCATCCGCGCCAAGTTTTCGATTCCCGCTTTCTCGAACTTGGTAGACCGCCGCTCTCCCAGACGAGTAGTGCGTGTAAGAGTCGGCACGTATTTGAATTCAAACCGAGACTCGCCTCCCAGTCCTATGTTCTTGTCAAGGATGACCTTGTAGAAGTGTTTGCGGCGGAGCTGAAACAGCTAGTCAGTTAGGGCTTCGACAGAAAGATGGAAGATAACTTACTTCAATCACGATCCTGTCAAGAAATCCGATTTTCGGGATAAGGTAAGAAGCCCACACTACCCAGAACACATACCCCCAGATCAGCATCCGGTAGTGCAGAGTGGGTTGCGGGATATCCAGCTCGTTCGAGAGTGCGTCGCCGTTGAGGAGCCGGCTCATGGCTTCCATAAACTCCTTCGAGGCATAAGCGGGGGCCGTATTCTCCAGCCCGATGATGATGTTCTTTGCCAGGACCCTACCAGTCTCTGTGGGATCAATCTCGGTGAGCAGGAGAGACTCCATCATGGCGCGTGCCTTGGTCGGGGACTCGAACGGTTCCGTCGGCGTGCCCATATAATACGCAACCAGTCTCCATAGCGCAATGTAGTCTTCAATTTCCTTCTGGCTGGGATAGATACCCTGGCGTGGAAGACCGAGCCAGACCACGGAGCTGGAGAAGGTGTTGATGGTGCCAATGCAGTCCAGGTCGTTGACAGGGGTACCATGCTTCTGGACATCATAATACTCTGGTTTTTGTTTAACCAGACTTAAGATCTTGAGGCGAACGGACGAGTGGAGGAGCCGCACGCGCACAGAGGAAACCATGCCTTCGCCGCCGGGTTTCATACCCTCTGCCGAGCTGTTGACCTGGAGGACATGCTGGAGGGTCTCTAGCAGTCGGCGTCGAACAACTTTAGCGCCAAAGCCGCCGGTTCGGGCCAGTGTCTCGACGACTCGGATCGCGCCCCTAGATGAGCCGATGAGTCTTGGGCTATCTTAGCTGGGGTTTAGAAGCATACATTCCACCGAGTAAACTCTGGAAGCTGAGCTAGTGATGCATCCATATCAGCATCAAAATCAAGACCATTCATCAGAAAACACCTACCGCGTTCAAGATGGGCAGCCCATAACGGAAGAAGACATCTTGTCCTCTCTGGATCTGGTCCCAGTCGACCCATTCCGGAACCGTGTTGACCTGCGTCCATAGCTCGTTCAGTTTAGGATCTTCCTCCGCATGGTCCTTCAGCAAGCCGTATAGATCCTTCTTGAAGGTCTTGGTCTCGCCATTGGGGGATGGAAGCTGGTTGAGACGCTGCACACATTCATCGGCTAGGCTGTCGCACGTCTGCACCATAGGCTGTAGCTCCTCTGCCGGACGATGGCGATCGGTCCAGGTAAACGAGTAACCCCAGTAGTGGTACTCGGTAGTGTTGCCTCGCTGGTGGGACTTGGCGGCCATGGCTCTGGGTCCCAGCAATATCGATCGGATGAGCTATACTGGACCTTGGATCGCCAGAGTTTTATATCGCAGGCATGATGGTTAATTATGACAGATGTGGCTCTCCGGCGGCTCCAGATTTACCGTGGTCCGGGGTCCGGGACACCAAGAGGGGGAATCTTGTCATAGTGGCATGTGAATGCAATCAAGCTGTCAACTATATGTAAATGCCGTTGAACTAATGCGTGCTTCACATGCGATGATTTAGTAATGCCTGTGTTCATAATCACATTATTCGGGGAGGAGAAAGCCGGTCTGGATGATAGGTTTAGTTAGGGCTGGCTGGTAGATGTCCATGCCATATCGGCAGCTGGGCACGTTCAGAATCATGATGGGTGGCCAGAAGAGCCCGATCGCGCCTGGACAGATCTGGCGGGTGCCATCACTAGGCTACATGGCACTCACGATGATTCCCACCGCGACCGATCGGAAGGAGTCGCGAAATCACCGGAGTGGCTTAGGGGCTCCATCAGCCCAAATCCAGCCTTGACACTAGACCAACACCACAAAACAACTACGGATGCTTGGATTGGGAGTGCGTCGACTGCGATCGCGACCATCATTGCTGGAATTGATACAAGGGCTGGACCATTCGGTGCCTCAAGCATCACCGCCCGCCCCGAACCTCCCACCGCTTCCCGCCTCGCCCTCTTCCACCTCGTCCACCACCACTCTACCCTCCACTCCCTCCACGCCTCCCCCTTCCTCCATCATGGCTCCGGCAAAGCAAGGCCAGAGCTCCGAGCACCATGGCGCCGTCTTCTCCGTCTCCGGTCCTGTCGTAGTGGCCGAGCACATGATTGGTTGTGCCATGTACGAGTTGGTGAGTGACAGCTGGAAGCTTCCCCCCTCCGGTAGCACCAGACTGGACTGACACAACCACCACCCTATTCTAGTGCCATGTGGGACTCGATTCACTGGTCGGCGAAGTCATTCGCATTGAAGGTGATAAGGCAACGATCCAGGTGTACGAAGAGACAGGTGAGATCCCTCCACCGCCCCTAGAGTCTCTCGACTTCTACTGACCAACCAACCCGACAGCCGGTCTGACTGTTGGCGACCCGGTCACCCGAACGGGCAAGCCTCTCTCCGTCGAACTCGGCCCCGGTTTGATGGAAACCATCTATGACGGTATCCAGCGACCCCTCCGAGCCATCTCCGAGGTCTCCAAGGGCATCTACATCCCGCGTGGCATTTCCGTCAATGCGCTGGACCGCGAAAAGAAGTGGGAGTACAAGCCGGCCGCCTACAAGGTCGGCGACCACATCACCGGCGGTGACATTTGGGGTACCGTGTTTGAGAACAGCTTGGTGAACGACCACAAGATCTTGCTACCCCCTCGGGCGCGGGGTACCATCACGCGGATAGCCCCCGCTGGCAGCTATACCGTCGATGAGAAGCTGCTGGAAGTCGAGTTCGAGGGCAAGAAGACCGAGTATGGAATGATGCAGACGTGGCCCGTCCGTGTGCCCCGCCCGGTCGGTGACAAGCAGTCCGCCGACGCTCCCTTCATTGTCGGCCAGAGAGTGCTGGATGCTCTCTTCCCCAGTGTGCAGGGTGGCACCGTGTGCATTCCCGGCGCTTTCGGGTGCGGCAAGACTGTCATTTCGCAGTCAGTGTCCAAGTTCTCCAACAGCGACATCATCGTCTATGTTGGCTGTGGTGAGCGTGGTAACGAGATGGCGGAGGTCTTGATGGATTTCCCAGAGGTAGGCATGAGTCTCTGTTCTACTCCGACCTTCACTGACTGTTCTGTTTTTTTCCAGCTTTCCATTACCATCGAGGGTCGCAAGGAGCCCATCATGAAGCGTACCTGCCTGATCGCCAACACCTCGAACATGCCCGTGGCTGCGCGTGAAGCCTCCATCTACACCGGTATTACGATTGCCGAATACTTCCGTGACCAGGGCAAGAACGTGGCCATGATGGCGGACTCCAGTTCCCGCTGGGCCGAGGCCCTGCGTGAGATTTCGGGTCGTCTGGGAGAGATGCCTGCTGATCAAGGTTTCCCGGCCTACCTGGGTGCCAAGCTAGCCTCCTTCTACGAGCGTGCTGGCAAGACTACCGCTCTAGGTAGCCCCGAGCGTGATGGCAGTGTCAGCATTGTCGGTGCCGTCAGTCCGCCCGGTGGCGATTTCTCCGATCCCGTCACCAGTAGCACCCTAGGTATCGTCCAGGTGTTCTGGGGTCTCGACAAGAAGCTGGCGCAGCGCAAACACTTCCCATCGGTCAACACGTCCATGTCGTACAGCAAGTATACTAACGTTCTGGACAAATACTACGAAAAGGACCACCCCGACTTCCCACGCCTGCGCGACCAGATCCGTGAGCTGCTAACCAAGTCCGAGGATCTGGATCAAGTCGTGCAGCTGGTCGGTAAGGCGGCACTGGGCGACTCGGACAAGATCACACTGGATGTGGCGGCCATGCTCAAGGACGACTTCCTGCAGCAGAACGGCTACAGTGACTACGATCAATTCTGCCCGCTGTGGAAGACGGAGTACATGATGAAGGCGTTCATGGGCTTCCACGACGAGGCCCAGAAGGCCATCGCCCAGGGCCAGAACTGGAGTAAGGTGCGCGAGGTTACGGCAGATCTCCAGACGTCGCTGCGCAGCATGAAGTTTGAGGTCCCGGACAACGAGCAGGAGGTGACAGCGAAGTACGAGAAGATCCTGCAGTCCATGACAGAGCGGTTTGCCTCGGTGTCGGATGAGTGAGTAGGTGATGTTGTTCTAGAGATTCGGGAGATTTCGCTATAGTTATTTATTTTTGTGGAATAAGAATCATCCAAATCCATTATTCTATGTTGGGTCAGCTATGATGTCGTGAACGTTGGTACCTAACTCGTGGTCCAGTCACTGGCCCGGGCCTGGCCCATCCTTATCACCGCCTTCTCTTTCCTCTGCCCTCTTCATTCATCTCCCACCCAAAACACTCACTATTCCTCTCCCACTCAACCCTTTCTTCTCTCTCGCCCTCCTTTCTTTCTCGTACTAGACTCTTCCGATATACTTCTGTCTAGACCTCTTTCTCGCTCACACCCTCGCCAGCCATGGCATCCCCGTCGTCTGGCCAGTCGTACGCAACCCACCACACCCACTCCCCCCCCTGTCCCCTCGTCTCCGGTGGCCGAAAACTAACTCTCATGTCGGTCGCAGTGTCAACTTGAACGATCCCAGCTTGATCTCGCTGGTCAACAAGCTACAAGATGTCTTCTCTACGGTCGGGGTAAGTACCTCCTTAGGATGCCGCGTGGCAACTTTCCTCCCGCTACGCCCTCCCCCACGGGCTGGCTGACCTCGTGGTTATGATTCTAGGTACACAACCCGATCGATTTGCCACAGATTGTCGTCGTCGGATCGCAGTCCAGCGGAAAGAGTTCAGTGCTGGAGAATATTGTCGGCCGGGACTTGTATGTTTTGTCCTCATGTGGGGTGGCGACGGTGGAGGGATCACTGACCTTTTTTACGTTTCTAGCCTGCCCCGTGGCTCGGGAATCGTCACTCGGAGACCCCTTATCCTGCAGTTGATCAACAAGCCCCCGACCACGCAAGTGAATGGCGACAAGAAACTGGAAACCACCGACAGCGAGGCGAACGTCGACGAGTATGGCGAGTTCCTGCATATACCTGGCCAAAAGTTCCACGACTTCAACAAAATGCGCGAGGAGATTGTGCGCGAAACGGAGACCAAGGTTGGTCGCAACGCCGGTATCTCGCCTGCGCCTATCAACCTGCGCATCTACTCGCCCAACGTCCTCACCCTGACCCTGGTCGACCTGCCTGGTCTGACCAAGGTGCCCGTGGGCGACCAGCCCAAGGATATTGAGCGTCAGATTCGTGACATGGTGCTCAAGTATATCAGCAAACCCAACGCCATTATTCTCGCCGTCACCTCCGCCAACCAAGATCTGGCCAACTCGGATGGGTTGAAGCTGGCGCGTGAAGTGGATCCGGAGGGCCAGCGCACCATCGGTGTGCTCTCCAAGGTCGACCTGATGGATGAAGGAACAGACGTGGTGGATATTCTCGCTGGACGGATTATTCCTCTGCGTCTGGGCTATGTCCCGGTGGTCAACCGTGGCCAGCGCGACATCGAAAATAAACGGCCGATCGCATACGCCCTGGAGAACGAGAAGAACTTTTTCGAGAACCACAAGGCATATCGGAACAAGGCGTCGTACTGCGGTACGCCCTACCTGGCTCGAAAGCTGAACTTGGTACGTTGTTGTGGCTGTCAGATATTAAAGGAATTGGCTAACACTCGCTAGATTCTTATGATGCACATCAAGCAAACGCTTCCCGATATCAAGGCCCGCATTTCGTCCTCCCTTCAGAAGTATACCTCGGAGCTTTCGCAGCTTGGCGATTCCATGCTCGGCAACCCCTCCAACATTATCCTGAACATCATCACCGAGTTCAGTAATGAATTCCGGACAGTCCTCGAGGGAAAGAACCAGGAACTCTCCAGTATTGAGCTCTCAGGCGGTGCCCGGATCAGCTTTGTGTTCCACGAGCTGTACTCGAATGGTATCAAGGCGGTCGACCCCTTCGACCACGTTAAGGACGGTGACATCCGGGTGATGCTTTACAACTCGTCCGGTCCGTCGCCAGCCCTGTTCGTGGGAACGGCCGCTTTCGAAAATATTGTGAAGCAACAAATCAAGCGCCTGGAAGAGCCCAGCATAAAGTGTATCTCATTGGTTTATGATGAGATGGTTCGCATTCTGGGCCAGCTGCTGAACAAGCAGCTCTTCCGCCGCTACCCCATGTTGAAGGAGAAGTTCCACGCCGTGGTCGTTGCTTTCTTCAAGAAGTGCATGGAGCCGACCAACAAGCTGGTTAAGGATCTGATCAACATGGAGGCATGCTACATCAACACTGGCCACCCAGATTTCCTCAACGGAAGCCGCGTATGTTTTCCATTGTTTTCCGTCTCAAAGACCCAATACTAACTCCAAGTAGGCGATGGCCATTGTGAATGACCGCCACCACGCCGCCAAACCGACACAAGTCGACCCCAAGACCGGCAAGCCCCTGCCGGCTCGCGCCCAAAGCCCGTCCCTGGATCCCACCGGGGAGAGTCCCAACGGTAGTGGGTTCTTCGGCAGCTTCTGGGCCTCGAAGAACAAGAAGAAGATGGCAGCCATGGAGGCTCCTCCCGCGACGCTGAAGGCCTCGGCCACGCTCTCCGAGCAGGAAGCGATTGAGGTTGAGGTTATCAGTAGGTGCTACCTTGGTTCATAGATCATCAGCATGCTAATCATCTTTCGCAGAGCTTCTCATCACGTCGTACTTCAACATCACCAAGCGCACGATGATTGATATGGTTCCCAAGGCGGTCATGTATACGCTGGTCCAGTATGTTTTTCTGCTATCATCTGTTTCTCCGGTTACTAACCGATTCTCTAGATTTACCAAGGACGAGATGCAACGCGAGCTGCTCCAAAACATGTACACCAACACCGACATGGAAGACCTGCTGAAGGAGAGTGACTACACCATCCGCCGGCGGAAGGAATGCCAGCAGATGGTGGAGAGCCTGGGCCGCGCCAGCGAGATTGTCTCCCAAGTCCAGTAAGAGCGACTGGCCGGGATTGGAAGTGTGTGTATGATTGAGCTATCGCGTTGGCGGAGTTTGGCCCCCTCGCATCTTCTTTGTGATTTTGCACGACCTGAACTAAAGTGAATGCCCCTTATCCCTTTGCACTATACTCTTGTTTTGTTTTTACTTGCTCGATTGGTCTACAACTTAGGCCCTTAGTCAGCTAGGATAGATCTGAGGGTCTGTCTTGTCTGTCTTGCATGCCCCACAGATATTTGGAGGATGTTATTCTGACTTGGAGTTTGCGCCTCCTCCCTCCTCCTAGAGTGGCGATTCTCACCCCCTTGGTCTGTTGTCTGCGTTTCTTTGCCTTTATGCTCATGAGCCTGTGCCCAGATGACGACTGTACCCTCTAATGATTATGCGTCTGCTCTACGACTAGTAGCTTTAGAAACCAGACCCTCTTGTTTGAAATGGTTGTCGATATACCGTGTAGCGTTTCCTGAAATTCATCAGAAGTATACATGTAGATCCTCGCTCTGCTCTGTATCAAGTAGAGGAGGCTGGGCCGTAGGCTGGGGCCTTCCTTGTCTTGACACTAAACAGAAACGGACGGTCGGCATACCGACCGAACTCGGCTCGAGGGGAACCTTAGCTCACCTAAGGCTCAAATCGAACTATTACAGAGATATTCATAAACCCGCAAATCCAGATATAATCTCTACTGCGAAGTAGAATGCCTGTAAACATAATACCAATCCTCCCTGCCCATATCCTGCCTCACCTTATAATTCTTCTCCGCGATATCTAGCACCCCCAAATCCATGTCCACAACAAGCAACCCCTCCTCCGAACCCATCTTCCCCACCGGCCCAACGGTCGGAAGGACAACGCGCGACATACCCAGGAAGTTCTCCGGCGGACCGGCGGCATTCACGAAGATGATGCCGCAGGTGTTTTCGAAACAACGCGCTGTGAGCGTTGATTCGAGGAAGAGGGCTTCCGATGCCGGGTTGTACGATAGTGCCTCTGGGGACGCATCGTTGGGTGTCCCTATCGACAAGTAAGTTTTGGCCATATATCACACAGAAAAGACAATAGGAAACAACATACAGAAGGTAGGAAGAATCACCACCTCGGCGCCGTCAGCAATCAACTCCCGAAACGCCTCCGGAAAGGCAAGATCCCAACAAATCAGCATTCCCACCCGCCCAATCGGCGTATCGAACGCGACATGCCGCTCTGAGCCCGAGGAAGTGAGGTGCGGGCGCTCGGGATGCCAGATGTTCTTCTTGCGGTAAGACCCGAGGATACTCCCATCGTTGGAGATGAAGTAGGCCGTGTTGAAGAACTGGGTTGGCGTGTTTGGGTCGTCGTGTTTCTCGATGATTGTCCCCGGCACGACGCAGATGTTGAGCTCTTTGGCGAGGGCCTGGTAGCGTGTGAGGTATTTGGCCGATTCGGCGGCTTGGAGGGCCCAGAGGGGATCGTCCGGGACCCAGCCGCTGAGATGGTATCTGGAGTAGTTGCCGTGTGAGTATCGGGAATTCGATCTCAGTTGAGAGGCGTGATCTCGGTCTCTTATCTGAGAATACGGGCTGCTTACTCTGGGAGAACGGCCAGTTCAGCGCCTTGCAGCGCCGCTTGTCGGATATAATTGCATGCCGTGTTGTGGTTGTAGTCGATGTCCAGTTCCTGAACGAGGGTGAGTCAATGCAGTGACCTTGAGCTAGGAGGCTCACCTTGATATGCCACTGAATGACCGCGACACGACGAGTAGGTGCCATCACGTCAATTGTTCATAGGAAAGCAGTGGTAGAAACAGGGGAGGAAAGCCTGGGTTCATCCCCACCTTTTATGTTTGACCCCGAAAAGTTGGAGAAGGTGGAGTGTGACTAACGAAGCAACTCAATTTTATGTAGTTCCACATTATTATTCCGGATGGATCGTAGGATCCGGTGAAAGCCGACTATTAAAAACTTTGTACATGACACAACTCAAAGATTGAAAAAAAAATTCATTGCAGAGATTAAACGGGTAGAACGCCATCCACCAGACTGCTGAACGTCGGCTTCTTGCTGACCCGGTACACCAACCGATCCGTCCAGAAGTGCGAGACCACAGCGTGCAGCATGGGGACTGCACCAAACACAGTTCCTGCAACGGGGAAGCAGACTCGCTCTAGGAGGTAAGTGGGCTGGTACCACACCCGCTGCGAGCATCCGGTGTCGGCGAGTCGGGCCTCGCGCATGTCTTGCATCCGCGTGTCGAGGCACAGTGCATGCCAGCGCTCATACAAAGCAAGACACAGGTTCATCCACAGGAAACCCATCGTGCGCAGGATATTGGTAACGGAAAACGCCCAGGCGACCATCGGATGCACGGACGTCCCAGACGTGAACACAGTGTACGCGGTGGAGAAGACCATCAAGATAACCAGGTGGCAGGGCAGGAAGTGTGCTTCCCAGAGCAAATGCAGAAGCAGGAAGTGCCTTGGGCGAAGGAATAGACACCGGTGGTCGAAACGAAGGTAGCCGATACTCCGCCGCGCTGCAAACCCCGTGTCTAGAGCTCCCCACATGTGTCGGAGGGCTTGTCGATACCGCGCGCGGCAGGTATCCAGAGTCCAGCGCCAGCCCCGAGCGCGGTCACTCGACACGTTGCACTGGCTGGCGGGCGCGTAGACCACGCGCGAGACAACGTTACCGGCGGTCTCGAAGTAACACTTGAGCAGCATGTGCAAATCCTCGCCAATAGCCGTGGGACCACTATCCCACCCGCCCACTTTCTCGGCCAGCGATAGCGGCAGAGAATATACAGAAGTGGGAATGGCAAGCCACGAGCCCGGGTACATGGTTGACAGTCCCGCAAACCCCCAGAGCAGATCTGCACACCGGACCAGGATCGGACTCTCGTGGGAATTGCGGTCGAAGATGATCGGGCAGCAATAGATCGAGCGCTCCGCTTCCGAGAGATGAGCGTAGTGCATGCGGCGGATTTCCGTGAAGTAATCCCGGGAAAGGTGCGTATCAGCTGTTCCCACACATTAGATAGGCTCCATTGGGGCCATGAGCCACCTACCGTCCATCACTGTGACAATCACATTGCAAGACTCGACCTTCAGATCCGCGCGATGGATCTCCACGATGCGGCGGGCTGCGAATGCCACGTTGGAGCTCTTACCGGCAATCTCGCCCTGGATACCGGACGGGTGGAAAGTCGAGCATATATGCAGAAAGGACTTTTCGAACGCCGCAGTCAACTTGCTAGCCTTCTCTGGGGCAGATTCTTCCTTTTGTTCCATGGCTAGATATACCTGGGCTGGTCAGCATCGCTTGAGATACCTGAGGGAAAGACAGCTCACCTCGTATTGCGATTGGGCTCGAGGGTGGCTGGCCAGAACCTTGAGAGTGGTCTCCAGCGTGTTCAAGTCTTCACAGTAGTTTGGTAGGATGATCGCGTGAATTACTTCCTGCTCCTCAGCCATCTCCTGGACCATCACACTGGCCTTCTCGAGCATCGACTCCGATGGATTCTTTTCCGAGTCATCTGGGTGACTGGACCAGCTCAGTCGACTCGAGCTCGACCGACTCGACGCAGGTGAGACCGGGGGCATGATGCGGCGCTCGAAGGCACGTTTGGTTTTCTTGAAGATGCGGAACAAGGACCAGCTCAGACGGAGCGTAAAGCCAAACATGTGCAAATGCACGATGATGGCGTAGACGACAAAACATTGTTGCGCGCGAGACAGCGAACTCCAGGCACCATCTTTGGCCGGGGAGTAGGACGGGAGAAGAAACATGCCGTTCCACCGGGGTGAAGCCAGCACATCAGAGAAGGCCAGCACCAGCAGCAGCGCCAACGCGATGATGCTAAACCCTGGCAGGCAGCGACATGCCCAAGTTAACATCGTGCCAGATGGCAGGGAGAGGGAAGGCAACTGGAGAGGGGCCGAGGAAAGGAAGGCAAAGAAGAAGAACAAGAGAGTTGCATGGGCATCGGGAGCTGTGTGTCGTCCAGGGGTCCTATGTACAGACTACCTAGTTTACATATGTTATCAACGGTTTCCCACACAGAGTGAGCTACCCTCTCGTTACCCTCCTCAGGTATGATAATTAGCCAGCAGCATGCTCAACGCCCGGCCCTGATTGGCGATGTCCATAGTTCGGGGTCATTGCTCTTTTGCGCGATCGTCAAAAGCTTGGCTCTGACAACCAATGGCGGCGGGTGTTGAAGGGGTGTGCTGGACCCTAGATCCTCCGAGGGCCTTTGCATCTGATACCCTCAGCCATCTGGCAGGCTTGCAGTGAATATCTCCTCTGTAAACGTGTCTCTGTAAATGCGTGTCTGCGAACATGTCCCAGAGAAAACAATGGCCTCTCACCGACATGTCCTTTTCATCGCTACATACCCACGACTGCCGCAGCCAACCAGCCTAGTGCCCACATGACCGACAGCAGTCTCTGTCTGCGGAACGGGACACCAGCCCTCTAGTCGTAGGACGGGCTTCCGTCACACGGTCTGCCGTTGCGGCACCATGCCGCCTGATAGGGCTGTGTCAGGGTTGCGCCTGCACTGAGACTGGCCACCACATCGCCATAGCCTAGCACGTGGTTTCCAAGTTAAGGTCGATCACTAGATACTAGTGATTCAGAGGAGCAGCCGTATCGACCAGAGCTGTAGTTCTCGATTGATTCCTTCGGAACCAACGAGGTCTCCTAAGGTCGTTTCCACTGCCGCACTAGTCAGCCCCCGTGGGACAAACTCGTTATAATGGACATTCGGTCAGTTGACGCAGGCAAAATTGATCCCGTGGCGATCATCACGAAAATGAGGTCTGCGCTGTGTGAGGCAAGCTAGTCACGGCGAGGTGGGTTTCCCCTTGATCCAAGTGCAGGTCTTGGCGGCTAACCATTCTCGGACAGGACGCTATAGATCTGGAGACCATGTACTACTACTGTTCTATTTTCACGATGTTGATTCTAGGTCCATCCAGATCCTTTATTGGAGACAGAAATAGTGGATTGAATCCCGCTCAAAGTACTTTCTTCACGATCCTATTTGGAGGCCGTTGGGGCGCCGTGGTTCCCCTTTTTCCCTTGGATGGAAATTAAGGCCCACCAGGGATCAGCACACGGCAGGTTCCATATCCCTAACACACGTTTCAGAGTGAGAACACACAGAAAATTAGGGCAATCCTATTACTGTACCCAGCAATTGCCTTTACCATCATATTGTGGCGAATCCTCCCGCCTAGAAAAGCTTGGCCCTCTGAACAGGGCCCCATTTTGATTACATGTAATTACCGCCCTTTGGCGGGTCGAACCGTGCACGTTTTTGGCACCATACCATTCCATACCGTTATTTATTCTCCGTTTGCGTTTTTTCTGCAATTCGCCTCGGCCTTCGTTGATCTAGCTTCCTTTCCACTTCCCCCCAACTCACCATGCCCTGGATCGTCACCGTCTATCGCCTGGGCTCAATGCCTCGTGGCTAGCACTACCTATCTTGCGGCGCCCCGTGCTTTCCCGGGACCAGCGATCGACAGTACCGCATACATGTACGTGCAGTGACATGATGCGGGTGGCTAAGGCTAACCAAAAAAACTACCTTTGCGCAGGATCGAGAAATTCCCCCTCTTCCACCACGACATCCTACCAACTCAAACGCCTTCGTGGACAGAGAGTAGGGAACGACGGCCGCGCCGCCTTCCTGCCATGTTCTCGGCTGCCATCCGGCGCGTGAACGCCATCAAAGCTCGAGTTCCACTGTTGAATCAGATCCATCTGAACTTCATCTTCCTGCATTATTCCTATATCATTTGCTCGGCCTTCATCGGTTCCATTATTGTCTATCCCGCCGGCAACATCGCCTATATCGATGCGCTCTTTCTGTCCGCAGGTGCCGCTACCCAGAGTGGACTTAACACCGTCAACTTGAACGAGCTGCTCCTTTACCAGCAAATCACTTTTTACCTTGTCACGTGTCTGTGCACGCCGATCTTCATCCATTCGGCCGTCGTGTTTATTCGATTATACTGGTTCGAAAAACGTTTCCAGCATGTGGTGCGCGATGCCCGAACCCTCCGTCGCACACGGTCTCGCATGGAGACGGTGAGCGAGGACAAGGGGGTACAGGACCTGAACCGCGCCGAATTGGGAGTCGGCGGTCGCTCGATCGTCGTCCTCCGTGACGGTGCCGGAAATGCCAAGGAAGCCCGCATGCCGAATGGCTTCAACCACAAGGCCCCGGATGAGGGCAATTCAAGCTCTGGATCGCCAAACGGGAAAGCAACCAGTGGCCAGTCGGACTCGGACGACCCGGAGTCCATCACCCTGGAACGACGCTTCGGACTTGGTAGCTTGCGAGTGCCCACCCAGCTGAGCCCGGAACATCACATTGCCTTCTTGGAGAACCAACGCAAAAACAAAGGCGCATTGCGGATCCCCAGTCCACGCGAGTACGACCGCGGTGGCGTTCCCCAGGCGCTCGGCGAGACGATCGAAGAGGCGGAGGGGGAGAAGCAAGCCGAGCCCCCAAGTCCTCAGTCTGAGGGCCACCACGAGTCTCGAAACTCAGTGGATTCTGACCAGATCGGTCCCCGTGACGGACCACACATCACGATCAACGAACCAGACATTATCCATACCCGTACGCGCGGGAATACCTTTCCTCGACTAGATACGCGTCCCACCGTCCGCGAGACCAATGATGGGAATGAGAATGGGGGCGGGACCCTGGACCCGACTTTGACGCGCAAAAACACTATTATGGGCCTCTTCCGCTCTCTCACACAGGAGAGGGAACAGACGACTCAGCCTTATCTCAGTTGGAATGCGACAGTGGCTCGGAATTCCAATTTCGTTGATCTGACTGAGGAACAGCGCGACGAGCTGGGTGGCATCGAGTACCGCGCGCTCAAGACCCTAGCGGTCGTGCTAATTTTTTACTACATTGGTTTCCATGTCATCGGTGCAGTCAGCATGATCGGTTGGATCATGACCGAAAATCACTGGGGCAATGTCGTGCGGTCAGATGGTGTCGGTCGCCCCTGGTGGGGGATTTTCACGTCTGCTTCCGCTTTCAACGACTTGGGCTTTACGCTGACCCCGGACTCGATGTATTCGTTCGAGAGGGCCATCTTCCCCCTGCTGATGTTGGCATTCCTGATTATCATTGGTAACACGGGGTTCCCGTGTATGCTTCGCTTTATTATCTGGGTCCTTTCCAAGATAGTGCCTCACGGCACCGCTCTGTGGGAGGAGTTGAAGTTCCTCCTGGATCATCCTCGTCGGTGTTTCACTCTTCTGTTTCCCCGGAATGCGACCTGGTGGCTGGTTGCCATTCTGGTAGCGTTGAACGGGATCGATCTTATTTTCTTCATCATTTTAGATGTAAGTTTCTTCCCGATTTGCTTTCCATTCTTAAACTAACTATCCTGGAGCTCAACGACCCCGCGGTCACTCAATTCTCTCCCGGGGTACGAGTCGTGGATGGCTTCTTCCAAGCAGCAGCCACCCGAACGGCTGGATTCGGCATCATCAGCTTGTACGAACTTCATCCCGCAATCCAGGTCTCGTACCTGATCATGATGTACATATCCGTCTTCCCAATCGCCATCTCCATGCGCCGAACCAACGTTTATGAAGAGAAGAGTCTCGGCGTCTACGCCAACGCCGGCGAAGATGAGCATGATGACACAAGTCAGTCCACTCCCAACTATATTGGGATGCACTTGCGCCGCCAGTTGAGTTTCGACTTATGGTATGTCTTCATGGGACTGTTCATCATCGCCATCGCAGAAGGCAGCCGGATACAGAACGTGCGTGACTACGGCTTCCAGCTGTTCACCGTTTTGTTTGAGGTTGTCTCTGCTTACGGTACCGTGGGCTTGTCCTTCGGGTATCCGAATACCGATCCTTCATTCTCCGGCCAGTTCAATGTGGTTTCCAAGCTGGTGATCATTGCCATGCAGATCCGCGGTCGCCACCGCGGTCTGCCCTACTCCCTGGATCGCGCCGTCCTCCTCCCATCCGATGCGCTCAACCGCCACGAAACGGAAGATGCTGAGCGTCGTATACGCCGCCGTACCTCCAATCTCAGCGGCGCAGGATCTATAGCGCGCCCACAATCTCGCTCCTTCTCTCAAGCCCAACCCGACGGCGCCTTGTCCACGGGTTCGGATACCCGTGACTGGAGCGCCGCGCCGCCCAACGGCGATGCTCTCGTGCATCGCCAGTCGACCGTCCGGTCAACTGGGTAAAAAAGGTATATAAACGGCCTTGGCGTTCTTGTTGGAGCATCTGTACTTAGGCATTTTTGGTTTTTTTCCCTTATTCGTGCATACTGGACATACATGTATCTTGGTGATATACACCGTTCATCTTCATATCTTCATTTTTTAATACATACATACTCTGCATTCGTGCATCGCGTGGCAGTGCCAAGTCTTTCTCTCATATCTAGCGCATTCTTTTCTGATCGCGGGGATCGGCATGCATGTCTGTACTCGATCGCGCATGCCGTCTTCTAAGAATGTTCAGTCAATCTGCGTTGCCTGCTAAACTGCTTGCCTGCATTTGCCTCTTCTTCTTTCTGCCACTTTCTTTTTGTCGATGGGTCCACTAAGATGCCCGGGGTTGGAGACCGGCGTTGTTGTTGCCGATGAGAGATTTGGCTGAGGTAAGAGGATAAAAGAAAGAGTCTGGGAGAGGGAGCAAGCTTGTATTCTGCTTCCGGGGGGCAGGAGCTTGAAGTCAAGAGTTAGGTCCTGGTCCCAGCATCTGGTCCAAAGGTCCAAAATTATCCTCGAAGAGTTGGTTCCAACGGAAACCATCATGTTTCTATTTTCGTCTGCTCTTGGCAGGGTCATCCTGATGCCAACTGGAGTTGTACAGGTATGGCAAACAAGTACCCGCCACCTGGAAGTCTTCGGGTGTGGCGCTTCTAGATGTTTTGAATAACTCTCACTGGATACCTAGCCCGGAATACAACTTCTTCATATCTTTCAAGTCTATGTCCGTTCATACGTTCCAATCTCAAATCCCACGCGCACCGTGCTAAATTTACCAGTCTTTGGTGTGATAAATGAAGGGACCGGACATTTTATGATACTAGAATAAATCTCATTGAAAGCGATTATTCCTTAGATATGAATAAATAATTCGTAGGTTGTCTATGGCTGCAAAGTCCTAATAGCCCCTGGTTATGAAATCGTAGACAAGACAATATCTGGCCTGAACTCCACCAGAATCATACCAGAAGTTAGTACGTCCATCAATCAATTATGAACAGACAAGATCTTTACCTAGTCGCAAGTAGGGGGTTCGAAAGAGCCGTCAGCTGCGGGCCAGTTGCATGTGTTAGAGCAGCAGTCACTGTCAAGGGAGCAGGTGTCGCCAGCTAGAAGCAAATTGCGTATTAGGAGCTCGGATTCAACAATGGATATAGAGATTGGGTAAAGACATACAATCACCACAGCGCTTCTCAATGACCGCGGCCTGGCCGAGGCCAACCAGAGCAATAATGGCAAAGAAGCTGAAGACCTTCATTTTTGCAGGATTGATAATAATATATTAATGATATAGAGGGTTGATATTGCTGTGGAGTTAGTGAGATTCAATCCTAGGGAAACGGGCCATATATATCCTCAAGCAGGACCTTTTAACCGACTTTCACAAAGTAGTATGCTCCTAGCATCTGCTTCGTGATCCTTGCAACTATAGAGGTAGATCGTTTCCTAGAGTGGTGATTCCGGTCAGGCCCCGATCAAGAATCCGGGGGCGATTGAGCCCAAGCCCTATACCGTATATAATTTAGAAACCTTTGTGGTGACCCTTAGTACGTCAAATGCTCCCAAGCATGGGCCAAGGTCTTTAGTGTGTCTTTCAACGAGATACAGTTGCGCCACCATCACCGGCTCTCATAATCTATAATTCACCATCGGAAAGCGAGGTCCTGAAAATACATGGTAGGAGAGATCTTGAGCATATCATAACAACAGATGGTAAGAATACAACACGTAGTGCTCGGACTGTACTACATGGGGCCTGACATGCAAGCGCCTGCGAGATACGATCTGTTGGTTGTGTGATCAGGTCGAGTCTCTATATTCTGGAGCGCTTTACTTCTCTGATGCTCTTTCTCAAGATACTCGGAATACTAGAAATGGAGTTTCCGAAATATAACTAAGTAGAACAGTTTGCCATATCATTCTGCGCATAGAGCCTCTACGTAGCATAAGCTAATCTCCATCGCCCGAAGTGACAACAACGCCGATCGTGCGATATACATTATTCTCAGCTGGTTGCAACCAACAGTACTACCTCTGCCTGCTGTGCACTCCCATTGGACACGCTGTGTTAACTCCATCTCCACGACGCCTCCCGGACGCCTCCCGCGGGCGCCGCTCAAACATTCAAACCCCATGTAGGTTGGGCGCGCCGGCTCCATCAGGGCAATGAGGAGGTCTCTTTCCTGCTATGTGTCGAACCGATACCTCATCTCAATTGTTAGAGACCTTATGCAATGTATTACCTGTATCACTATCATTGAAAAGACAGTACGTAAGGAGAAATACTTCAATAGAGCCGAGTTCTTCGAAGCCAAACGACGCCGTCTGCCAAGATGCTGATCAGGCACCACCTTGCCCCAACTACTGTAACTGGTTATGTGCTATGTATCTGCATACTCCATGGGGGCCGTAGCCTAACCTTGAGTAAAGTACTCTAACCGAACCCCAATACCACACGCCGAATCCAATAATGATGTCTAGACAATCCTAGATACAAAGGGGAGGAATTCACTGATAGACAATGTGGGAATCTGCCTTCGGTAGCTATAATTGGAACAACGTATACCGTGCTATTTTTACTAGAACGGGGGCCACAAAGGAAGTCACTATTCCTTGAATAGTAATAATCTGCATTCGGTCTTTATGGGGTATATTCAAGCTCTTAGGGCGTAATCCTTCGATCTTCCCGGCCAACATTGTCGTAGGTGGCTTGAGAGCAGACACTACTAGGGGATTTGCCAGGTATTCCTGTTTCTATGTATGCATGACCGTCGTGATGCGGGAGGTTATTCGCAATGCATTCAACGGGCTTGTTTCGTAAGTCAACTATAATTCAACCTGAAATGGGTATCTCTGAAAACATGTATAATCCCAACCTCGAGAACGCTCCGAGACTAGCCAGTGCTGAGGCCGGAGATATGAGACCAACAAACACATGGCATAACTTCCAACGGACCAAAAGAACATTCCCAGCCCGAAATATTTCCGAAATCTTAACCCCGCTACTCCGTAGATTTGTCGTGATCATCATGCAGAAAGAAAGATTACAACTGTCGCAGAAGACTGCCCTCTGCGAACGGGCTTTCTGGGGACATGTTCAACATCGGCCGCGCCGCCTTGCGGTCACCCGTCGCCACACCTTTCCCCGTGCCTGTTGTACCTTGGCTGTTGGATATCCGGGAAGAAGCGAGCAGACTGTTGGGTATGAAGGGGCCATCCGGTGAGGTTGGACTCACTCCAGTGGAGCTTGGATAAGCACTAGCGTGGGGCTGCGAGGGATATCGCTCCCTTCCTGTAGTGTTTGAGCGGTATCGGGACCGAGAACTGGCTGCCTGCGATTGGGAGTCGATGGGTGGTCGACGCCAAGCAGTCGCAGGAGGGATAGCCGTCGATATGGGAGCCAGATCAGGGCCGGTGGCGGCGTCAATCAAGGGCATGCCACGTTCGACGGTTACACCTCGGCCCTTGCGGCTATGTTGTGGTGGCTCGTGGAATACCGGGGTAAGGTCGACCAGAGGTTTGCCATTTTGATGAACGGATTGAGACCGATTGACGAATGCCGTGGCATTAGGAGATTGTACCATCGTGTTGCTTCGACTGTTGTGGTGGCTCGAAGCAAACGTGGGCGAAGCGGGGCCACTTCCGCCCAAAATGCCGTGCGAAGAGAATGGATCTTGCGCGGCTCGCTTGTCCTTCTCTTCTCGGTCACGCATAGCGCGCTGCCTCTGAGTGTATGTGCGACCCAGAAGCCCAGTTGGTGAGAATGTCGATGCTTCCACCTCCTCTGGCGAGATCCCCTGCACCAATGCCTTGCCCCCATTCAACCCGGGGACGTTCGTGTCGACTGTCAGTTTTTCGGGGAAAGTAGATGGCGGAGGTGCATGCTCGCGCTGAGTCTTTTTCCGCGTGAAAAGTTCTTTGGAAGTTGTTCTCTGCTGATCAACAGAGCTTCGCGCCGGCATTGGAGGATCTGCGTCTTCCAAAAGTGTCTTCTTTCGCGACGAACTGGTCCAAGTCTCAGATCGGCTCGGCAAGGCCGTCTCTTCTTCCACTTTCCGGCCCGCTCCCAGTGTGTTGACCATGTACCAGCTCCGCCACTTTTGGGCCGCCTTATACCACTTTTCTGCCATGGTTCTGTCGTTCGTCGTAAAGAAATGCACAAAGTTCTCGGTTTTCAAGAACATGCTGGATTTCTGCTGGCTCTTGATGGCATAGCAGATTTTTTTTGACGGCTTAATTTCTTTGGCGAGGGCCCGAGCACTGGGCACATAAATGTCAAAATCAGATAGATGACAGACGTTCGTTGGGTCCTTGGAACCTTCTTTCTTCGCCAGGGTAACTTGTCCGTCGGCACGCAGGGTGATATAGCGTTTATCCCACTTGCGCGGACGTTGAGAGTAGTAGAGGCAAACAGTCACCGCGCCGGGCGGCTCGCTGGGGACGTTTTGAGCGTCCAGTTGGTCCAAAGCATTCATACTGGCCGGCGGGATAATAAACAACCGGTTGTCATTATCATGGGCCCAGGAATTCATCACGTCCCGGATTCGTTCGTATCGCCGAAGAGGTCGCTCCAAACCGAACTGGTGAAAGGATTCCATGAGAATGAACTTGGCAGGATCAACATCGCGAGAGAGCCGCTTTGGGGCTGCCATCAAGATGTCCTGTGCTTGAGTAGACGGCGTCACGGCGAAATCCATGGTCAAATCGCCATATTGCACGAGGACTCGTCGCTCGCCTGCATTCACCGCCGAGACGGGCGCGTCGATGCCAGGAACAATGCCTCCTCCGCCCATTTCGATGTATTTTGGAGTGGAGTCATCCGGTTTGAAGGTCTCTTTGGATCGGGCGAGTTTGACTTTCTGCATGAAAGACTTGCGGTTCTCGGCGGCAGGTTCTGGCGGGCTTGTCTGTAGTTGCGCCTCTGCGTATTTCCCTTCGTTCCTTTGTGTTTCCTTTGTCGGCTGTGGGTTTTCTTCCCGTCTTCGCGGCCGTGCAGGCATTGCGTGAGTGGTTTGACTGGCTCCTGTCAATTGGTCCATCGCACGTTGCCGCTGTCTTTCCTTTGCCAGCTGATCATCGTCCACCGCCATAGGTTGTGCCGTCCTAGTGTCTTGAATGTCCCTGGCGTCACACGCGTACTGTTTACGATCTCTCTGGGTCAGTGCATGTTCGGTCGGCTGCGATCGCGTATTCTTCAGGAGGGCAGGGGTTGCAGGGACGGCTGTCAGTGGTCTGTCGATGGCGCCTGGTCGATTGCGACGGTACCGCGACATGCTTCGAGCGATGGAGGCATTGTTCCCATCCACGGTGGGTGGAGACGGAGACTGCTCTGGGCTACTTTCAGGTGAGACGCAGGCATCGCGCGCCGAGTCGCGCATTAATGTAAACTGAGGCGCTGGCTGCGCGGCCGGATCCACGCCGTGGGGTCTCCTCATATTGTCACGAGGTGGTTTCACTTTTTGGAGGCGGGGTACATGGAGGTGTTTGAGGTGTGTATCTGGGAGTTTCTGGATCGTAGAACGCGTTGCGACTCAGCAGAGCATGCTGAGGGCGCACGGAATCCGGGGAGGGGGTTGTACGCTTCAGGGACAGTGAGGAATGTGGGCGGCAGGGAGGGCTGGGGGTGGAGAATAAAAAAAAAACGGCGGGTGGAACGAGGGAGAGGAATGTTCCTGTGCCACCCAACGAACCGACCAGATCGCAATCGGGATGTATGGCTATCGGTTGTGGGTGACAGCTTAAAGGAAAGAAAGAAGTGAAGATAAAACGAGCGTGTCAGCACACTGGACCGGGGACTGAACTGCTGTGGGCTTCCGCCTTGGCTCGCCTCTCTGACCGGCCGAGGATGATGGCGAATGCCAAGTGAGTTCAGTGGCTCCAATTATTGAACTAATAGTCTGTACTACTTCGTACTATGTAGGATGTGCAGGAGGCTTGTCCGACCCGGTCGAGATCCACTGAGTGACAGGAAGGTTTAGTGGAGTGCACAGCGGCTGATCGTCAGGGTCCATCACAAGGAGGAGTGCTACTCGGAGAAACAAGCAGAAGGTATTACCATTGGTTTTCAGCTGGTCATTCTATCTGAAATGCTTTCTTATTTCTGGCTCGGGGCCAGCGATTGCCGCCTATGCGAGAGATCAGCACGACTCACACCTCTCACCCACGCGTAGAACACTTACCACCAGGCTTCAAAGTCCGTGGTGCGCACATCAATCCCCAAATCCACCAGCGCCTTCGTCGACAGATGCGTGTCATAGGGCCGCTGCACCCCAGCATTGGGGTCATTCCCCTGCTGATTTCTCACCATCCCCTCCATGGACACCCCCATAACATGCGCCAGCTTCTCACAGATCTCATACTTGGTCATGCGGTCCTCGGATGAGAATTGTAAGATATGTGGCAGCTCCTTCAGCTTGTCCTTCTCGCGCAGAAACTTGATGACGATATCGCGGCACACGCGCGCCACGTCTTCCGTGTTGGTGGGATACCGCTGGGCCCAGTCGTCCATCTTGACGCCGGCGTTGGGGTCGGATGATTTCTGGACCGCATCGACGAGCGTGTTCACCGCGCTCTCGGAGTTGTTGCGTGCCGCGCCGTACAGCACTGGCACTCGCAGGACCACGCCCAGTCCTGTGTCGCGTGTGGCTTCCAGGACGGCGAGCTCGCCGTCTCGCTTCAATTGGCCATACAGGTTTGGGGGTCGAGGCTCTGCATCGGCTTCATAGGGAGCTTCGCCTTCTACGCCGGGGAAGACGTAATCGGTTGAGATGTAGACGAGGAAGGCGCCGCGCGAGTTACACTCCTCAGCTAGGCAACGGGTTGCATCCACATTGACCTTGTGTGCTTGCTCGGGGTTCTTATCGCACAGATCGGGGGACTTGTTTGCAGCGCCTGATGCTCGAGTCAGCTAGGAGGACTTGTATAGGGATTGGAGCTGGATTGGGTACAGTGGATGACAATGTGAGGCCTGCCTAGTCATTAGCACCTGCAAAAGATAGTCGCCGCGCCTACTGACTTGACTTCGTCCAAAATTCTCTTGATCTCGTCCGTCTGTTCCAAGTTCGCCTTGAGAATCGTCGGTGGGGTTGCGCGGGAGAAGCCTTGGCCGACGACCAGCACTCCGGACCGCTGGAAGACATTGAACACCTGGCGCCCGAGTAGCCCGCTGGCTCCAGTAATGAGGACAATGGAGGTCATGGTGGTCAATGGCAGGAAGTTGGAAGGTGCAGAAGGGAGCAAAAAAGTTGCCAGGCCATAGTGGATGCTGCTTGCGGGCCCGGCATGACGTAACCTACTTGCATGCTTCTCTTGGATAAAGCGGCCCGTAGTTGTTGATTTGGTTGTCGGTCATGATGGTTTGTCAGTTATTTCTGTTAGAACATTCAGGAAATATGTCTGAAATTCGTAGTTTCATGCTTAGTTGAGGAGCCCTTCGAAGTAGAGCCATATTAGGCCTGCTCGCTCTGGGATATATATATTGTGACCTGGAATTCCCTCACGGAAGGAGCCCAAGTAGATATAGCTTCAGTCCATGGAACAATAATGGACTGCTATATCACTATACCAGCACGACACCATACTGAATCCAACAAGAATGCCCGAATTTCGCCGAGGTCGTCCTTCCTTCCCACGATCCCGCGATCGGCGTCTCCACCGAAGCCTTAAACTGCCGGTGACCCAAATCATTCATTTCTCTCTTTTCTCTTCCTCCCTAACCCCCAATTCTTTCTTTCCCTCACACCCACACACCATGTCCGGTGCCCGGACCCTCTCCGCTGCCCTCCGGAGGACCCGAGTGCCTCGTCCTCGCCTGGTCCCTCGGTCCGTCGTCTCTCACGCCCCCAACGCGACCGTGCGCGCCTTTACCTCCACTACCGCCCGGCCAGAATCCCGACAGATCAAGTACACCAGCGATGCCTACCCAAACGTGAAGCGCGACCCGCGATTCGCCGAATTGACCGCCGACGATGTATCGCACTTCAAATCCCTGCTGGGCGCCGAGTCCGCCGTCGTTGACGGGGTGACGGCTGATGCGGCGGATGACATCGAGCCCTTCAACAGCGACTGGATGCGCAAGTATCGCGGCCACGCCCGCCTGGTCCTCAAGCCCCAGACCACCGAGGAGGTCAGCAAGGTGCTGAAATACTGTAATGAGCGCAAATTGGCCGTGGTGCCGCAGGGAGGAAATACCGGTTTGGTTGGTGGCTCCGTGCCCGTGTTTGATGAGATTGTCATCAATACGTCGCGCATGAACAACATTCGCTCTTTTGACCAGGCGTCGGGTGTGCTGGTCGCGGATGCAGGGGTCATTCTTGAAGTCGCGGACCAGTATCTCGCCCAGCGCGATCATCTCTTCCCCTTGGACCTGGGCGCGAAGGGATCCTGCCATATTGGAGGCAATGTCTCAACCAACGCGGGTGGTCTGCGTTTACTGCGGTATGGCAGTCTGCACGGGAGCGTGCTGGGTCTCGAGGCGGTCCTGCCGGACGGGACCATTGTCGATGCGCTCTCAACCTTGCGCAAGAACAATACGGGCTATGACCTCAAGCAACTATTTATAGGTGCCGAGGGTACGATCGGCCTGATTACTGCTGTGTCAATTCAGTGCCCACCGCGGCCCAAGGCTGTCAATGTCGCCTACTTCGGACTGGAGAGCTTCGAGCAGGTCCAGCAGGCCTATCTCCAGGCCAAGAGCCAGCTTTCTGAGATTCTCTCGGCATTCGAGCTGATGGATGGTCGCAGCCAGCGTCTGGTGCACGAGTCCACCGGCAATAAGTACCCTCTCGAAGGCGAGTACCCCTTCTACTGCCTTGTGGAGACCAGCGGATCCAATGCCGAGCATGACATGGCCAAGCTGGAATCTTTCCTCGAACATGTGATGGGCGAGGGCATTGTCGCCGACGGTGTGCTGGCCCAGGATGAGACCCAGTTCCAGTCCCTGTGGCGCTGGCGAGAAGGCATCACCGAGTCCTTGAGCCATCTGGGTGGCACCTACAAATACGACGTGTCGATCCCGCTGCCGGAGCTGTATCAGCTGGTGGAGGACTGCAAGGAGCGGTTGACGCAGAAGGGATTCGTCGGCGAGGACGAGTCATTCCCAGTGCGCGCTGTGGTGGGCTATGGTCATATGGGCGACTCCAATCTGCACCTGAACGTCTCCGTGCGGCAGTACAACAAGGAGGTCGAACAGGCGATCGAGCCGTGGGTGTACGAGTGGATCCAAAAGCGGAAGGGCAGTATCAGTGCGGAGCACGGGCTGGGTCTTGCCAAGCGGGAGTTTATCGGATACAGCCAGAACGAGACGATGGTGAAGCTGATGAAGCAGCTGAAGGATGTGTATGATCCGGTGAGTTGGCCTCTCCCTGAGTTGGAATCGCACTAATATGGAACAGCACCACATCATGAACCCTTATAAATATTTATAAACAAAGATCGGTTCTATGAGAGCGTGTGAGTGTAGATAGAATAGGGTATACTTGTCGCGAACCAATAGAAGGGGACGGGCCCTTGCGTGTGCACTAAGCCCAACTCAGCCTAGCGTCCCCATAGACTCGGGCGTTGCCATGCGAGACGACTTTGTTTGGAGGGAACAATACCCAATCTATTATTCTCTCCTTTCCCCAGAATTCCATTCGTCTCCCCATCCCCATTGCCGTGGCCTCGATTTGATCAGAGTGTTCGGTTCCGCTTGAGCTTGGTTTTGCCCATCTCCCTGGATGACCCTCGGCATCGTCACAGCCCTGTCCGATCGGAGAAGCCAGCTGGGCCCGACCTTGGCGCAACCATGGCGGACGATATGGCGAGCCACTACCAGATGATGGAGGAGTTGGGGAGTGAGTCCGACCAATCTCACAAAGATGCAATCCACTAATGTGCCGACAGGTGGGAGTTTTGGAGTGGTGTACAAGGCCATTGACCTGTCCACCGGGGAGATTGTCGCGATCAAGCATGTACGTCAGTCCCGACCGGATGGGGTACAATTGACTCATTTTCTGGCAGATTGATCTCGAGTCTAGCGAAGACGACATCCAAGAGATTCAGCAGGAGATCTCCGTCCTGGCCACCTGTGCCAGCTCCTTTGTGACACAATACAAAGCCAGTTTTCTCAAGGGTCACAAGTTGTGGATTGTCATGGAATACCTCGGAGGGGGGTCATGTCTGGACTTGGTACGTGTGGATCTCTGCCCTCTTGTTTCATTACAGTCACTGACATGCAATCAGCTCAAACCAGGGGTCTTCAACGAAGCGCATGTGGCCATCGTCTGCCAGCAGCTCCTCCAGGGGCTCGATTATCTCCACACCGAAGGAAAGATCCATCGCGACGTCAAAGCCGCAAATGTCCTACTCTCAAACACGGGGAAAGTGAAGCTGGCGGACTTTGGAGTCGCGGCGCAGCTGGTCAACATCAAGTCACAGCGCAATACCTTTGTGGGGACACCGTTCTGGATGGCGCCGGAAGTAATCCAGCAGGCTGGATATGACTTCAAGGCGGATATTTGGTCACTGGGGATTACCGCGATCGAGATGATCAATGGCGAGCCACCACATGCCAGCACCCACCCGATGAAGGTCCTCTTTCTCATTCCGAAGCAGCCTGCTCCCAGGTTGGAGGGCAATGAATACAGCAGTACATTTAAGGATTTCATTGCGCAATGTCTGATCAAGGATCCGGACCGCCGGCCTAGTGCGAAAGAGCTGTTGAAACACAAGTTCATTCGCAATGCAGGGAAGACCGAAGCACTGCAGGAGCTTATCCATCGCAAACAGGACTGGGATGCCGGTCGAGGGGTAAACAAGGATGTCAAGTACTATGCAGAGTCCTTGAACACCATGACCAAGCTCGACGCCGCCGATGACGACGATTGGGTCTTTGATACCGTCAAAGCTCCGAGCATGTGGGTTCCTAAGGGCACCGACTGGACGACCTTGGATGAAGAGGACGATGCCGATCCGGCCGAACTGTTGAAGGATATGCACGTCTCTGCACCTCTTGCCAAACCACCACCGCCACCTAAGCACCAGCCCAATTCCACCGTCCGACGAGCACCGGAGCCCGAGAGGAGCCCTTCCGTGCGCCGGGCCAACACCAAGCGTCGATCCAGCGGCGTCAAGCAACCCTTAGGGCTGGACTTGAGTTTCGGCAATAGTCCGTCAACTGTTCGGCAATTCCGTCGTGTCTCGGACAAAGTCCCCAACGATACTTCTTTCTCGTCCAAGGCCTCCCAGGGCTATGATGAGAATGTCAGTCCGAAGGTTCTCGCGGCCGAATCCAATAGCAAGGAAGCTCAACTTGGTCGCCGCGCATATAGCAAGGCTATCGGCCATTCTTGCCAAGAGATCCTCTCCACGACCGGCGATGGCGAGAAGCGGGAGGCCATCTCCCGGCTGGCGGAGGCGTTCAGTGATCTGGAGATGGTTGACCCGGAGGGTCTTTATCACATTATCCGGACGATGAATGAGAGACTGCAAGCGTAGGCCTTCTCCACCCAACATCGAGACATCAAATGCTAATGATCTACAGTGACGCTAAGCTTTCGGCTCTCATCCCTGCCGAACTACCATCCGACTCCCCCAGCGGCCGCGTCTGGTCTTGGCCCAGAACAACCCGCATCTGAAGAGCCACCGGCGCCGACAGTCGTCCCAAATCACTGAGCCCTTGCCCCAACCGCCCTCGCTGTCCAAACTTCCCGGACAGCACGTGCCAGGCATGGAGCACACGAAACAGCTGTCAGACGTGCTCTACCAGCGCTGGTCAGAGGGCCTCCGCAATCGGTGGCCTGGCATGTAACACTACTTTTCTTTCATTCGTTGTATAGACCTTCTTTGGGGCCTGTTTGTATAACACTCTGCCTTTTCCCCCTTCCAAGCCTTGCATCCTTGGTGTCCCTTCGCTTGTTTCTATTTTCTCGGATGACGGAGTTTCTCACAATCTGTGCTGGTTTCATTTCTGGTGTAAATCTGTTCAGGACATGGTTTATGCAAGGAAGCATCCATTGGAATACACTAACTAGCTCCTCCACATTATATAAGAGATCAGTCCTAATGCTTCGCCTTGATGAGCCCAAGATAATGGGATACAACATGTGTAACCTGTGCCTCGAAAGGAAGAAGGGATAATCCAAGGACCTCCTCGGTTTTTCTTTCGTCGATTTTCACTGGCAAGGTAGTTATCTTGCCATTATTCCTCAGAACACCAGATTCCACCTCCTTCTTGAAGTGCCTTGCAGTGATTTCTTTAGTGTCTTCCCATTTAGTCCCTTCCAGACCTCCAGATGCAAGAACAAAGCCCTGGTTACCGGTAATTTTGGGATCCAAAGCGAGTACGTGTGCTGCGGAAACATCATTGAGATGCACGGAAGCACCAGGAACAAAGCCAGCATCCACACCAGTAACTGGGCAGAGGACTTGCCTATTTGCTCCGTACAATGCATCTTTCGGGTCTGTAATTAATTCATTGCCGCCAATGACAAACCCGGGGAATACATGAACGAGATCAAAGGACGGATTCACGTTCTCAATCCACTTTTCCGCCTCATTCAACGCAGCGGTTTTGCCAGCAGCATATGCTTCGAAGGGACTTTTGTATTCAGTTGGGGTAGGAATACGATTGGTCTCAGTGAATACTGTGTTGCATTTTCCAGACGTGAGTTCATTCCATGGGATGATAGCAACCATGGAAGAAGTAATGACCACGCGCCGCACAGAGCCGGCTTTCTGCGCGGCCTTGAGGATATTGGTAGTGCCATTGAGAGAAGGCTGGATAAAGTGTTCTGCCAGGTCGGTGCCTTCTCCGTAGCTGGACACAATTGGAGAAGCAACGTGGATGACATATTCCGCGCCCTTGATGGCTTCCTCGTACGCGCCATCAGCCGTCAGATCAGGAACCTGAACAAATGCCAGACGACCTCCTGGGTTGAGTCTCTTGATGGATGGGGTTGACAGTATTTTATCGCCCTTTTCCAGACTGCGAACTGCTGCGCGGACTTGATAGCCCGCTTCAAGAGCGTCGACAATGACGCGAAAGCCAATATGGCCGGAGCCACCGGTGATGAAGACAAGCTCTCCCGCCATGGTTTCTTGGTAATAACTAATTCGAAACTCGAAAACGATCCTTGCTAAGCTATTTCAGCCCGTGCTCCTGAGTGCTGTGGTCGGAATAAAGTGCTAGAATACTAATTATTCAGTTGAGATGCGGAGTCGCTGTCTTATACATGTCTATGACGTGCTCCGGCAGCGGGAGAAATATTCCAAATTCTACTCTTCGTTTCTTGATGATTTGAAATCAATTTTTGACCCAAGGTCGGCTTAGGGTTTGGCTGATGTATGTGTAAGCTAACGAGCGATCGATTTATCTCATGTCCAAGAGAAATGTAACATTTTTGACTCTTGAATAACCGAGAAATATAACTATCCTATGGGATTGACAGGTGAGTTCTGCTTTACTCCATCCACCCAGACATCGACTTTATCATCATAAAAGGCGATATATCCCTTGATGTCCGCGCTCTCCGCTGTCGGTGTTTTGTACCACCATGCAAGACCGGATTTTTTAGATCCATTAGGGAGTGCGACAATATAATAGTTCGCGTCGCCCTGCACTCCGCATCAACACGAGTTCCAGTTCATAGGAAAAGGGCAAAGATAGAACTACCAACCTTATACGGACAACTAGTAGTCAGGTCGGGGTCATCCTTCAACAAATCCAGCCTCACGTCTGTATGTGGGATATACGTTCTAACAGGCAGGCCCGTCTCGTACAACAGCTTCGGACGCGTCGTGTTAGCAACTTCAACCCCATCAATTTCAACGCGGATATGCTTCGAGGACTGCAGAATATGGATTCTTTTGTAGGGATCCTTGGGATGGCTGTAGACGCGGTCGTCCTCTTCAAACCATGCGTCGGCTTTTGTAGTTCCGATTGTGCCGTAGTCTTTCAACGGGCCGGACTGAATGAGGGTTACTGCGGATGACGATGTTCGGTCATTGACAACCAGGTCGTAGACTGCATCCCCATTGGAGTTGATGCTCTTGTTGGCTAGGTACTGGCTGCTAATATCGGAGCGGGGAAAGTAGTAGACAGGGTAATACGGGTGTTCCCACCTGTGGGTTAGATAAGTAGTTTGCCTCAACTTCCATCGTCTTCATTTCCATTTGGTGTTTATGGAATGATCTTACGAAAACCATGGAGTACTTACACAAGTTTCGGCTTCGGGGCATCGACCACGTATTGCCCGTTAAATAGGACGCGGACGCGCCGGACGATGTCCTCGAAATATCCAGCTGGGGGAAATGGTGGTGGTGGCATTTTGGATCCTGGCTTTCCTTGTGTGCTGTGGTTAAATCTCCTTAAGGACTTAGAATCTGAAAGATAGAAAAGAGAATGTCCAGCATTGAAGACAATCAGTTGCCTGGGCGTCACCTTATATATGCGGGGGATGATCGCATTACAAAGCTCACATAGAGCCGGCCAGCTGATTAACCCATCCATGGCACGTCATGAACCGCCGAATGGCGAAACAAATCAGACAAACCCAACAGACAAAGCAAATTGCCCAAATGAGGCAAACTTGACAAACCTGACAAATAAAAAATACAACTCCATGGAGGCTAGATGAAGAGAAGATTTGGCGAGTCCCTTTCAATATTTCTGAATCGATTGCAGCACGGTCTTTGCAACTTGGCAAGAGAGTTTCTAATTCTCAATCCAGCGGCAACAAGCGGAGATCTCATAGAACAGTCTCTCACATCACAGATGATCGGCAGCCGTGAGCATGATGGATGAGGGGTGAGCAGGCAACTGAGCAGCCTTGAGTACTCCCGGAGCAGCCGTGACTGTTCCCGGAATGCTCAGGGAGCAGACAACAAAGCTATGTGGCTCCACGATGAGGTCCTGGTCAAAAGGCGCCCAAAGCGGCGTCCCTGATAGTTATTCTCGTTGGAAATACTACCTGTTCCTATAAACAACAGTTGATAATGCAGTGTAAAGAGGGGGTTGACTGTTCTAACTATGACTTATACTATGGTTGACTCCGATTTTCAATGCTTGTATTCCAATGCAGGTGTGGCATCTACATGGTCGCCAGGACCAGCTCGCACCCATTAATTGATGAGGATGGTTGTGATTCTCATCACATGTTGGGGTGGTTGGAGCGACATACTTCGTCCAAATTAAGCACCCGCGGCACGTTGAGTGGTCTGGCGCCCCTGAAAACCCATGCATGACCCGCTGTGGGTTCTCGACCCGACCTCCTCATTATTCTCTTTCTCCATCTTCTCCTTCTCTGTCTCCATCTTTTGTTTTCTTCTTTATTATTATTCACACGCATCCGACTCTACTAACCCCCATTCTTCATTCGGCTGGTCCGCAATGGAGAGTCCCCGGGAACGGGGCGACCTCGCCCATGGTCCACCACCGGATGCGTCGCCATCGGACTCGCTGTCCGCGCCCATACAACAAACAACCACCTCACTGGCCCAGAAACGCTCCTCCCTACCCCCTGCAGCTCGAGGGAACTCTGCTGCCCGCCACGCCAAACGCTTGACCCTCAATTTCCCCGTCAACCTGACCCTGAACACGCTCGCTGATCCCTCTACCTCCGAGCCCGTGTCTGCGTCTCCCGGCGCCATGACCCCCATCACCCAACCCTCCAATCGCCCGTCTCCTGCTCTTCTCCCGGGCACTCCGCTCCCCTTTGATGCTCAGGCTGATGGCTACGATTTTCTTCGGGCCATCGCCTCGCAGGAACGCAGGGTGCTGGAGCTCCGGGAAGAGCTGCAGCGTGCCGAGGCCGAGCTCGTCACGTTAAAAAAGCAATGGGCATTGTCGGAGAAATCACGGAAACAGACAGAAATCAGCTACCATGCAGAGCAGATGAAGCCGCTCAAGTCCCCAGACTCGACGGGGCCTGATAGCACCGCTGTTGAGCAACAGAAAGACCATCACCGCCGCGACCAGAGCCTCAGCTCGGTCGGCAGCTCGTCGGTGTCACAGGAACGCCTCAGTCGGGACTTCAGTCGCCGTAATAGCATCCGTACTGCCGCTGCTTCCAACGCTGCCGGCACGAACGGTACGAAGATCTCGGCCAACGGTCGTCGTGTCTTCCAGGGCTCTCATACACGCACTCTATCCCTCTTGTCACCTGTCACGGCACCAAGCACCTCTCCACGTACCGATTCGAGCCCGTCCGAGTCTGAACGCGTTGGCCGCACCCCTCGATCTGCTACATTGCCCTCAGTGGAACGGAGCAATACCTCTGCCGGGGCCCACCCAGGCGAGGAGAGTCAAATACCAGAGCATTTACTTGCACAATGGCGAAAGCAGATGCCGCCCGCTTCAAGGGAGGCTTTCCTGCGAACCGGCAAGCAGATGGCCACGGATCTACGAGAGGGGCTCTGGACTTTCCTGGAAGACATCCGCCAGGCGACTGTCGGCGAAGAGGGGATCAACGCAACACAATCACAGAGGCTATCTCCAGCCAACGCTCGGAAGCGCGACTCGACCGCCAAGTCGAAGTCCCGGAGCCGGGACCGGCTATCTGAGGCGGCACGATCGTCGTCATCGTCCAGGGGGAGGGGACCAGAGACCGAGGCAACGATATCTGGTAAAGACACCAAGCCAGCCGACATATCCAAGTCGTTTTGGAATGAATTCGGCGTTGATACCCCTCAGAAATCCCCGAACAGCGCCCGCCGCGCCCCCTCCGACACCAACCACGCCAACACAAGCGAGGCGACAGCGAACGAACAACCGCCACCACCCGAACGACTCGACAGCAACCCCGCCGAAAAAATGGAGGGCCAGAGTGAAGATACGGCCGACAACTGGGATGTCTGGGACACGCCCCAAAAGATGACGCACACGCCCTCATGGAGCCAGTCCACAGTGGAATCATCCAAGCACGAGCAATCGCCCATGACGCAGGGCAGTAGCCCCCGAACGAGCGCTAGGTACATTTCGACTTTTTCTGATTTCATCTATGACAACCTTGTTATGCGCTGACTCCTGTTCCTTTCCTCAGCTTCGGCGACTGGAATCCTTCCTCTGTTGCCGCCACCGCTCCCACAGCGCCAGATCCTCACAGCGTCACAGAAGGCATACCCTGGCCGGCCCTCACCAAGCTGACTCCCTCGAAACTCCAACGCACCGCTTCTACGCTCATGGCGGAATGGGAGCGCAGTCTCTCGCCTTCTCCGGAGCGGAAGAGCTCGAGTGCTTCGTCGAACAAGAATAACAAGAAGGACTGATCTTTCTTCGTTTCATCTGGTGTATATATACGTATTATCTTTCTTGTTCTATTCTTCAGCCAGCGCTATCTCTTTTTTTGCTGGCCCTGATACGACACATAACGCCCGGCTTCGACGCTAGGTTACGACTACGAGAGCGTTTTTTTCTTCTGGACTCTTTTGCCCTACACTAGACAAGCGTTAGGCCTTTTTTTCGCTTATTAGATTGATTCCTGGTCATCTGGAAATGGGAATGACAATTGTCCCGCATTGATGCTCATGAGTGCTCATGACTATAAAATTGATCCCCTATAGTTCCGGAACTAGGGTGCGTGCTCCTAGATAGATATCTTACGCTCAATCTCGTTTGAAGCATCTGGGTAACCATTTGCTGCTGCTACTTGGAGGGCCTAGGCTTCAGCCTACCAAGACAAAGAAAGTACCACTCCAATACACTGATATCGCAAGTCTTACTCCCGACATCATGTCCCAAGTCCCACTCACCATCAGCACTTACGCCCAACAACCAAAACAGCAACATCATGACTCTCCAGCTGCACACTATGCGAATGCTTCACACAACCCAGGTTCTTCCCAGACCACGCATCTGTAACATGGTAGGCATTGCCACCCTTCAACTCAGGAATCTCACTCCACTTCGCAGTGCGAGTGGCAGTCTGATCCTCGGAGTTGAGCATAAGAACCAATGTGCCGTCCAGCGTAGACGACGGACCGGACCAGTACTCTGCCGGATGGGCGGGATCAAAGGTCCAGTCCGGGTTGTAGCCCCATTTATACGGGTGCGCGGAACGGCCGTAGACCGGGTCCTGGTGGAATTGGATCAGGGGCTTGTTCTTTAGGATGTCCAGGTGGGCTGTGCTGATGGAATTGAGCTGTTGTTTTTTGGTTGTCAGTAGATATACCTACTACAGGCAAGTAGAGGGAGGAAACGTACAGCAGTTCCAATGATAAGAGGGCCCTTCATGGCAGCCCACAGCGCAAAGTGAGCCCTGTTCTCTGCGAGAGTCAGGTTCCCATTCCCAATCTCCAGCATGTCCGGGTCTGGATGGCCCCAAAAGCCGACGTAGTTCATCTTGAAGCTGTTCTCGTTGGCAATCTCAGCGATCCGCGTCCAGTCGGCTAGGTAGTTCCAATCCATCAATTAGCAAGCATATCTCATCATAATGTTCGAGACTGGATAAACGTCTTAACTCACCGCTGATATCCCCAGACATCCGCCACGAATTACCCGTGTTATTGCCCCAGGTGTTCACGTCGGCATCGCCCCAATCGCACAGCGAGAAGAGGATCGTGCGGTCAACGCCCAAGAGCGCATCGCGCATGCGAGTGTAGCGGGTGTGCGTCTTGGAGGTTGCCCAGTTGTAGCCCGCTGGCGCGGGACTCGTCAGAGTCGGACAGGTGCCGTTGGGGTTCTGGGCGGCGGTCCCGTCGGGCACGCAGAAGTTATACTGGTCTGTCCAGTTGGAGGGCACGCCGCAGTTGTCATATTTGAGGTCTGTGTTATATTTGTGAGTATTCCATGCATCGCAGTACAGAGAAGGGTTGTAATTTGTAAACCACATTAGGTTCGAAAGCTGGACTTACAGTCAATGCCCCATTCGGCAAACGCAGCTGCATCGATCTTCTCATAGCCGAGACTGGCTGGATACCCAGCACAGGTAGTCTCGCCAGCACCTAGATTAGAGTACCTGTTAGCATCTAGATCCCCTAAACGGGACAATTGGAAGTACTCACTGCTATAGATACCAATCTTAAGTCCTAGGTTATGCACCTGCTTCGCAACACCTGAAATCCCATTCGGGAACGTGGAAGGGTTCGGGATGATGCGATGGGTGGTCGCATTGCGCGTGCCCTTGACAGACCAGCAATCATCAACTGGCAGCGCACTTAGTACAGAGAAACAGGACACGAAGGGATCCGGGCTGGAACATACTATTGACATATTGATATCCCAGGTCCTTCAGGCCTAGCTGGATCATCTCCGTAGCCGCCGTTAAGATCTTCGTCGAGTTGACATCGCATCCGAATGCGTTCCACGAGTTCCAGCCCAGGGCTGGCAGTCGGCCCTAATTTTTGTCAGGACAACTATCCATCAAAAAGCGGAACTAACTTACTACTCCGTCCTTGCGCACGAGCGCATCCGCCGTCGGCAGCAGGGACAGCACTGCAACAGATAGATGGGTCAACATGTTGACGAATTCTTTCAAATTGATGATGCTGTTTAGTTCCAATGGCAGGTCCGGCCTTTTATATTCGAATAACTCCGTGCGGGGAACCTGTTTCATCAATTCAACACGCCGATCAGTATGGGTGGCGGGCCTGTCCGCCAAAGTCAGAGGCCTGAAGATCGGGTAAATAAATCCAAATACTATACAAGATCGGCAGGGCAGGGAATACTACAGTGGTACGGGAGATTTCCATGCCCCCTCCTGGAATCGGCCAAATTCTTGCCGAGACGTCACTACTATAGTGCTTAATGATCCATCTGCTCCGTTCATTGATACATGTCTATCGTGAAATCATTAGTTAGTCGTACAATATACAGCACACTGCCAGTGGCGCACAGCGTGTAAAACAAAACAAGGACGAAGACAACAGGGCAAGGCCGCTACTTCTGATCCTTCCCCAGAATCAGCGCACGGGCTTGTCGGGGGTCGGTGCCGAGTACGGTAATGAGGTACTCGATGCTGGCATCGGATGCAAGCCGTCGCTTTTCGTCCTGGAATTCATGCTGGCACAGCTCCCACGCGGCCGCCCGCTCTTGCGGTAGGACGGTCTTGACCCGGACTGCGAAGCTCGCGCTGACAGGCCGGTGATCGGAGGCCCGCACCTCGTGCCGACGGTACTCAAGCTGCTTTACTCGGCCAGAACCCCGGTACAGAATCCGGTCACACCACGCGGGGGACCGTTTCTTCTCGCTTGAGTCGTAGTCATCCGTGCCGACGTCGTACTTGTAGGTTGGTGCAAACGTGATGGGTGCTTCGGTGAAGCTGCGTAGCCGGAAGCCGGGGTTCTTGCGTCGAGATGCCAGCAGCTGGTCGCGCTCGAGCAGTTTAGGCAGGTTGTTTTGCCGGATGGCATCAATGATTGTATTGCGAGGAATTGCATCGATGCGGTAGTTCAGGTCGCCGTTGATAATGCACACCTCGTGGTCCATGATCATTGATCCATCTCCACCACTCGCGTACTGATCGAGTCGTGCCGTGATGCTGGTCTCCGGAGGCAGTGACTCCGCCTCTAGGATCGCGGCGATGTCGTTATTGCGGTGAGCCGTCTGTGTCTGCCCTGCCGCCAAATGGCAGTTTACAAAACACAACGAGCTGTCATCCAGAACAAATCGGAGAACGAGAGCGCCCTGAAACACAAGTTAGAAGATAAGCGTCTCAACAATTTCTCGGCAACACGAACCTTGTTCCCATGCAATCCGCCCATCCCTCGCTTGATTTCCGAAGCGCTGATATTCTTAACATTGTGGCGCTCCTTGTGCTTGACGAAAACACAAGTGAACAATCCGATCATGTTCGCCGAGTGCAGCAACACATAAGACTCTTCCAGAGGCATGCATTCATGAAGGCACCGAGTCAAATGGTCGATCCACACCCGATACTGGCGACTCGTATGCTCCTCTTTACCGTGCTCTTTTTTCTTGCTTCCGAGAAATAGGCTCTCTAGAGGAGTTTTAATAAGGGTCAAAGAAACAGAAGAGACTCAGAAAACGTACTGGCTGTGATCTTCTTGTTTTCAAGGTCGACCAGCTCTTGGAATCCAAAGACTATAATCTCCGGCGGATCCTCCGGATGAACGGCATCCCGAATGAAATCCGAAGTGCGAACGCTGCCTGGGGTCGACGCGCCTGCGTTCCAGGTCACAATGGCAGCGCGGATTTCTCGGAAAGTGCAAAAGTCTACATCTTTGCTCTGCATTCGAGCGTCTACTTTTGTGTTAGCCTCCTGACGCTGCACTCAAGATCAAACACTGACCTAGCCAGTCATCCTCCAACATTCCATCCCAAAGACGAATGCAATTGTCCGTTCCGAGGGAAGTGACTTGCAAGCGATTCATCGTCCACACGCTGCTCGTATCCAACACGAAACCGCATACGGGGCTATCGTGGGCGCGCCAATCCTTCTTCACAGTCCACGGGTTAGTACTGACATCGTACACGTAGATCATGCCAGTCTTATAGCCGGCCCACAAATAATCCCCCACATAACTGAGGCAATTGATCTTGTATACGCTGACATTAACCACAGCCAGACAGGTATAGTCCGTCGCGGAATAGACCGTCACTTTTCCGTCTGCGTGGCCCAAATACACCCTGCCACCGTCCTTGGTGGTGTAAGTGCCGGATGTGACTTCACCCGAATTCTGCAGACCAAGTGGCCGCTTAAAGACCCTGAACGCGGCATCCTCGCGAGCGTTGGGACGGTAAACGTGCACGTCCTTGCCTGCTGCCAGCCAGAGCTTATCTTCCACCACCATGGAGAAGGTATGCCCACGAGCTACACGCTCGTGTGGGCTGTGGTAGCTATACTGTAGACTGGGAATCCCAGATTCGTCCGGAAGCCAAACAAGCAGCCGCCCTTCATCATCCAAAGTCCACATCTCCTTCTTGTGGCGCAAAATCTGGATGACCTCCCGCCGCGAGGGATAGGCTCGAGTGGCCACGATGGATTGTGATGGGATATCAATCTCCTGCAGATCTCCGGCGCTGGTCCCAATCCAGATCCGTTGGCCTTCGTCTTCAAGCCCTACACCCGGCTTAAATGCCAGAGACAAACTTTTGACGGTCTCGCCATGGCTGATACTCATTAATTGTTCGCCAGTTGTGAGATCCCACACGCGCGTCAAGTAGCCTGTCGTGCACACGTACTTGCCACATACCCGGAGCAATCGGGTGTCGTACCCCGTGAGGATAGATTTGGGGCCCACTTGGAGGAATGGAGGTCGGCGGTTTGCTTGTGATGAATCGGGATAGTCGGTTCGCGAGATAGGCGGCTCGTCCGTCGTCTGTTCTTCCTCCTCGGTATCGGTCCGCCCCGTGCGCCTCTCTTGGGAAATAAAACGCGACTCGCGTGGTAAAGATTGCTGTCGTTGAATTCGCGGTGTAGAATGGCCTTCGTTTGTATGGGCAATCGAAGGCGCAGGTCGAGGAATAGGCGACCGCTGTGCCGGACTGACAGCCCGTGGCGTTAATTCTGGGGCAGGGGAGAACCCGCTTCGTCGATTCGGCCTGGGTGGAAGTCCTGGGCGATCGTGAGGGCTATTACCACCAGCCCGAAGCTTTTGGGCTGATAATGGCGACGCAGTCAAAGCGGTGTCTGGGAATACGGTGGGCGGTGGCGGAATTTGGATCATTAACGGTTTGGTATCACGCGTGGGTTCCAGGCCTGGACGAGTCCGTGTAAAGCCCATTTCTCTTGCGTCCGATCTCGCATAGGCACTCGGCGCTGGTGACCGACTGTCAAGCACCTGTCGGCCTGGGGGTTCTGTCAGCGGGCGCGACGGCGGAATAGGGGAGATTTTCCCAGTCTGCAGAGGTTTGGTGGGTGTCTTCTCCGGGCTGCTGGGAGGAGTGCTGAAAGGAGAGACTCGGTCTTCAGAAAATGCCCCTTCTGGACGGGGAGTTAGAGACCCTGACTCGTGGTGGGACAACATGGCTGGCTTCGCAGGAATCTTTGGTTTGTCTACTCTGTTGACTGGCGGCGGCAGCGAGGCACTCTTCGATTTCCGATCCGTGGGCATACCATCTCCATTGACAGTAGATGCCCCAGGTGAAAGCCGGGGCCCGGTTGTACCCACCGGAACAGAAGACCCCAATTGAGGCGTCGTCGGCCGATGCAGAGGTGCTGGAGAGACGCCTGTCGACAAGGACGCCCGGGGACGATGAGAGAGGCTTCGAGAGAACCGATTGTCCCCCTTCTTCTCCCGCTCTTGACTCCTGGGTGGTGATTTCGGCGAGTGAATGGCCAGTGTCGGTGTGAGTTGCGGCGGCGAGCTCTGCAGGTTCATCAACATGGGCCGGCCAGGTCGGCTCCTGGGTGAGCCACTGGCCCGTATCTGCTGGCCATTGCTCTGTTCAAGACGACTGTCTCGATTGGTCTCCGCTGCTTGATTCCACGGAGAACGTGACCGGGGCAGGTCTAGCGAGGTACGAGCGGAAGAAGACCGGGGTTCATCGCCGGGCTCGGGGGTGCGCAGGCGGTTGGCGGATTCGTGCGGGCTGGTCGGTACAGTAGATTGGGACCTGCTGTGAGACAGATGTTCAAAGTGCGAGAGTAACGAAGACACGGGTCGCTGTAGACTTGTCAGCCTTGTCGCAAAGAGGGAGGGTTGCGCAAGCATACAATCGGGGCGTCATCAGTGTTCTCCGGTTCTCTGCCGTTTCCCTCCATGGCCATTACCGCTGGATGCTGGCCAGGTATATTCGGTCATAGGTTTCTGATGTTTGTATCTGGATCCGGGATCCCGTGGAGTACGTGGGCTATGGGTTCTTCTGGCCGCGTGGACCGGGAGGCTTATGGTGGTGGTGGGGAGAGGAAGCCTGTAGGAAGGGCCACAAAGAGAAGCGGCACTAAGGCCGAGGAACAAAGAAGGGACGCGGTCAAAGGGACATGAGCGAAGAGTGAATGTGGTTGTTGTTGTGTGGGAAGGAGAGGGAAGGATGTAGCGGAGGGGAAAGCGGTCGATCAATAGTCACGGGGCAGATCATTCTCCTGATTTCTGTCAACGAACTTCACTCACTACTACTACTGTAGTTATGTGGTAAGTCGGGTCTGTTCCGATAAAGGGAAATACGCTGACCCTCGCAGCCAACACATCCTCAACGCCCAAGTGGCCATCCGATCCCCCTGCTGTACGTCTTCGAATCGAGCCCTCACCAAGCAACACGGCTGATGAACCTCCAGGCAAGAAATGGTTTGACTGCGCCGAATGTCACCAGGAGAAAGAGTCACACATGCTGGAGAAGTCAGCGGAGATGGTATCAACACCTAGTCTCGCCTTTAAGGTCTAGTCTGACGTGCGGGACAGGTGTTTGCGTGCAAGAAGTGCAAGAAGTGTTTCCGCAAGGACGCCGCCGAGTTCGAGGAGAGGTAAACCCTGGCTTCGGTTCTTCTTCCAGCAGAAACGATGCAGATGCTAAGCCTTGGCTCTTTCTAGCGACGAGTACTGCCCCCACTGCGATAATCACTTCGTACTCGAGGCCGTGACCCCCAAGCCGACGTTGCAGGTGGAGGGTGAGGATACCCGCATGGATAATCGGTACGTCGAACTAGATAGCCATATGCAGCTCAGGCAGGGTACTGACAAACTTCCAGCATGCTCAAGGATGACCGCGTCCGTGGTGATCAAGAGAAGTCGATATTCACGTTCAAGGATATCTCTGATCGACTGGGTTAGATGAAGGAATGTTCAACGATCTTGATGCCTTTTGTTTTATTTGCAGTTCCTTCGCGGCCCATCGATGATAGAACACGGCACAATACCCTCTCTGCTTTGGTGTACAGTACAGCGCGAATATATGTTGGAATCGCATAAATTATCATTTGGAATGTTGGAAAGAGACAGCGCTACTGGGAAATGTAAACAACCACCAAGACCACCCCGCTTAGTCCGCCGATTCCCGCGTCGACTCGGCTGTCTCGCCGCCGCCGGGCCGGGTCAGGATGGCCGCCGTCGCGGTCCCCGTGCGGCCGGTCTTCTTCTTCGCCGCCTCCTCCTGCTTCTCGGTCTCGATGTTCTTGACGTACGACTCGATCTGCTCGTCCGGTAGCATCTCGATGCGCTTGTCGGGCGACATGATGGCGACCTCGATGTTCTTGGCACCTGTCTGCACAACCTCCAGCAGCGACTTGATGGTCAGCGCGATGGTCTGTTCGCGGTCCATGTCTTCCTGGTGATTCCGCTCGAGAAACTCGCGGACCGTCTTGCTAGAACGGCCGATGGCGTTGGCTTTCCTATACGCAGGAAAAAAAACAAAATTAGTCTTGCTATAAACCCGTAGTGCTCAGCACCTACCACGCAGAGTAGATCCCCGACGGCTCCGTCTGATACAGCCGCGGCGTCTTGTCATTCTTGTCGAATCCAATAATCAGAGTACTAATGCCGAAGGGCCGGACACCACCGCTCTGGGTATATCTCTGCTGCACGCCGGCAACGTATTTCGTAATGTACTCGATGGTGACGGGGTCCTCGACCGTCAGGCGGTGCGACTGGGCCTCTAACCGGGCCTTATCGATCAGGATGCGAGCATCGGCGTTCAGTCCGGCGAAGGCGAGGCACACATGGTCGTCCACCATGGCGATCTTGGAGGGGGTAATCCGGGTGTCCTGGAGCTTGAGGGCCGAGCGCTTCTCGCAGCCCAGCACGACGATGTCCTTGCCTTTGACACCGACAGCGCAAGTTCCTATCGTGAATCATCGGCGATTAGATCTTTATGACAGAAACAAAAAAGTGGATGGCAGAAGTCTGTGAAGGAGGAGCTGGAGCTGGGCAAGGAATGGATGCGATCTCACCTCGCTTCACTGCCTCCATGGCGTACTCCACCTGGAAGACGTGCCCATCGGGGCTTGAGGGTGTTAGCAAGGTCCTAGACTGGAGCTGGAGCTTCAGAGGAGCTAGGCATACCTGAATACTGCGGAGAGTTAGTACATTGGGGGTCCTGTCGAAGGTCCACAGCACAGGAGCTGGGCTGGGCTGGGAGCTGGGGCTTACCTGAAAGAGCTCGATCGTATCCAGACATGGTGAAATTGCAGATGAAGAGGATTCGAGGAGGTGAATTGGGAAGCTTGCAACTGAAGATAAGGGCGACAACCAAAAAGGGGGAGAGGACTAGGTCGAGCAGGTGGAAGAGGAAGAAGTGGTGGTCGCTATGAGGCAATGAGCGGGAACTGCGGGCGGTGGACGCGGCATGCGGGTGCCTGACCACGACTACGACCGAGTAGCAGTGAACTCCCTCCACGGTATTGCGATTGCAGATGGACTCTCGATAGGTAGGTCAGGGTTATAATTTATTGCAATTAAAACCAAGAATAGGATTCCAGATCTTACGGAAGGGTCTACAGTGAATACAGTGCCATGCACACGGGAGAACAAGGCCAAGAAATGGAATCAATATGGACATCCAGATCAGTCATTTTTGGTAACAGTCACAGTGCTCGGATTGGGCCGTCCCCAAATGCCGGAATCTCGACAAGCTCAAATGGAAAAATCCCCAACACCTCCCCCAGCGGAGTCCGAACCAATTGTATATCCCACCCGTGAGATCAAGACCGTGAAAATTCTCCAGCGCTTCCCATGACCAAAGAGTGCAGAACGGGGACGACGCAGGACCAAAGATCTAACGAAAAAAAAGAAGACAGAAATGCAAATATGCCACGACATGGGACAGTGTTCTCCCCTGCCCTGCATATGTAGAATCAGAAAGAAAAAGGAAGAAAGGGGAGATAAACAGCTCAACAACCCGGAACGCACCAACTAGACGGCGAGGCGAGACCAAAAATGAAAACCGTCGACACGCTACCCGCCTGCTCCTCCCAACCCGATGCACCGGAACCGCAGAATCCCTTATACAAATGCGTATCAACTAAGATCAACCAACGCATATACCTGCCACAATGCAGGATTGCAATATCGACAACGTAAATATGACCACCCGGTGGATTCGGGCTTGAAGTATTTCATGGAGTTTTGTTTGTGTTCTGTCTTTTTTTACGCAGGCGACTTGTTGGCACCGGCGCCGTTTCGTCGCGAGTGCGCGTCGTCCGACACGGTCAGGCCGCCAAGTCCGGTCGACAGGAAGGCGAACGGGTCGGCGGTTCCCTCGGAGCCGTACAATGCCCCGTTGGAAGAAGCATTGTTAGATGGCATGCCGTGGTGGTCCGCGCCGCTGAACGCCGCCTGGGTGGCAGGGTTCGCGAACGAGGCGGCCGAGTGCGAGGTGTTGGAAGAGCCATATCCAGAGTTCATCTGGCCCATCGGAGGGTAGCCACCGGGGGCGTTGCCCAGTCCGCCGGAGGGCAGAGCGTAGTTGTTAGGAGGGCCACCAAACTGCTGGCCGAACCCGCCAAATCCGCCTGCGGTCGAGGCGAACGGACCCGGGCCTGGGGTGCTCGTCATCGAGTTAGGACCCATATTGAAGCCGGAGGGAGCTTCCATCGGCGACGGGAAGGCCGAGTCCGCCACGACTGCCGCGCCCGATCGAGGTGCACCGCACCGCAGGCAGTTGATGTTCTTGGCAAAGTTGTGATAACCACAGCCCTCGGAGCCGCACTTCCAATCACCTGCACGGAAGGGAACCACACCGCCGTTGCCTCCCATGCCCCGAGAGTGACCCATGCCGTGACCGCCACCACCACCACCACCGCCGCCGCCATGGCCCATATGAGGAGGCATCATCGATGGCGGGCCATAGCCGTAAGCTCCGTACCCCATTGGGTCGGGAGCGGCAGCCATGGCAGGGAACGAGCAACGGAAGCAAGCCGTGCGACGTTGGAAGTTGGAGAAGCCGCAAGACGGGCACGTCCAGTCGCCAGGGCGAGGTCGGTTCTTTGATGGCGGGAAGGGAGTGAGGATCTCTGCAGCGCGGTCCAAAACCCGGCTCGAGGACGGCGAAACCTCAATTGCCTTCTCGTTCAGAGCACGGCCGTTCATGCACAGGCTCTCCGCAGCCTCCTCGTGCGACGAGAAGACCGCAAAGCCCGTCCCGGTAGGCTTGTGCTGGTCCGGTGTCCGCAATGTCCAGAAAGCGATCGGGCGACCACCGAATTGCGTGAACCAACTCTCCAACTCCGACTGGGTGGTATCATGCGGCAGACCGCTCAGGTGAAGAACCTTGCTCCGCTCCGACAGGAAGGCCCGAACATCGGCATGGGCATCCATGGGACGGGTCAGGATTTCCGGGTGCTCGTGGGCCGGCTGCGACTTGCGAATCAGACCGCGAAGCACGCGGGCCAGGGTGATGGACTCCTCCATGGCGCGGCGGGGCGAGGCCGGAGCCAGCGCCTGCAGGTGGAAGGGCAGATTGTGCTTGATGGGCGCAGAGGACTGGATGGGCTCGACCTCGAGGGCAGCGCAGATGTTGGAGAGCGAGCTGGGACCGAACGGCAGCGATTCGGGGTGATGGGTTTGCCAGCGTTGATATTCAGTGCGCAGGTCAAAGGTCCGGGAGTGCTGCAGGTATGCCGGCAGCACAACGGACTTGTCGCGGGCCTCGCGGGGCAGCTGCACCCGCAGATCCCACGAGTCCAGCGTCACAAAGGCAAACTCCAGGTGCTTGCTGGTGAGGTGTTCCTGGGCGAAGGCGTCGAGCCGGGAGATGGCATCACGGAAGGTTCCTGCAGAGCGGACGTGCTCCCACGTCAGGGTAGTTAAGCTCGCTTTTTTCTGTGTCAGCCAATTGACCGATCCCAACAAAATTTCAGGCGCCGAGGGGGGATGCTTACTGCACAGCGGCGTAATGGGCGTATTGACGGGCTTGACGAGGACACTTTCGCGGTGCAACTAAACCATTGACAAACAAAGTTGACTGTCAGTTTAAAAATTCCATCTCGGGATTGGGGTTGGGGGGGGGTCGGGGGGAGGGGAGTGTGGTGCGTACCTCTTCACAGGTCTTGGTGTCCAACAGAATCCAGCCCAGTTCAATCACCTCTGCCGAATCCTTGGTGACATAGACGCCATGCTCGTCACAGGTGGTTGCAACGTGGATGACGATGTAGCGATCCAGCTTGGGGGTGGGTGCTGCAACGGCCGCCATCGCTGACTTGTTTCTGCCAACGGAGCGGCAGAGAGAGGGGGAGGAAGCCCGGGGGGAGGACGGAGAAAGGGGAAAGGGTCTCTGCAGGAACAGCAAGAGACAATCACGACCGGTCGGGGGAAGGGAAGTCGTGGGAAGAAAGACAAGAAAGAGGCCCGGGGGAGAAAGAAGAGGGAAAGGGGCAGGCGAGAAAGAAAAGATACCGGAGTGAATTCAGGTGGAGCAAATAGGACCGTTTCGCTTCCACCAGCAATATATCACCAGGGACTCGACTAGGGATTTCTAGATTGAATCCGAATCCTGTCTCTTGGTAACTATCTCCTGCTCTGCCTCCTCCCCGTCTCCTATCCCCGATTCTTCCATCCCACGGCGTGGCCACCGTGCAACCCCAATGCGACCTGGCCAGATCCCTGTCACGCCCGTCTGTCTGTCTCACTACTACTATGTCGCGCCGGCTGGACTCATTGGGCCTTCCCCATTAATTCCGAATAACATTTCAATTTCTACAACGATGCAACCGCCCTCCCCGGCCTGGCCCGCCTAGTGCGCTCGGCACCTGAGGCCGTCGATGTGGAGACCTGTCAGGTACATACTGGATGGATTTGCAAAATCTGGTCCTCATCATGGAAATCTACTGAATGCTCCACTCAATGAGTTCCTGCAGCGCGGCGCGACAAAGAGATGCAGAAGAAAAAATAGGAACAGTCACATAAGAATAACAAAAGAAAAAAAAATAGCAATTCGGTCGGCCGCCGGTGCTGACCCTTGGGTCAGCATCGCTTCTATCCGAAGGCACCGCGCATGGCCCCAAGGGAAGCTGGGGATGCAATACGCGGCTCTGGATGGGAGAAGCAGAAGCAGGAGACAAGAAACCACTGGATTAAAGTAAATGTCTCAGGCACACGCAGCAGATCGATCACGTGGCAGGGATGGCAGTCACGTGGAGAGTAACTATACAACGGACAGGGAGAGATGAACATTGACGATTATAGAACCCATGTCATTTCGTCTAGGAGAAAGAAACATCGCATCATGTACAAAAGCCAGGAACCGCCAGATTGTCCAACCCAGAACCAACACCAAGAACCCTAAAAGCAGAATGTCGTGAATAGTTACTCGTCAAGAACCTCATCCTTGATCACCGTGCCCCGGCTGGTGTCATGGTCATCCTCATCTTCCTCCATGATACTGGGCTCAACCGAGACAAGGCCCCGAGGAGCGGTTCGGGGACGCACCCGGCTGCTGTCATCCTCGCCCTCCTCATCCTCCTCCATGATACTGGGCTCGACCGAAACGTGGCGGCGGCCAGTAGCTCCGGTCGGTTCCAGGGAGCGGCGCACACTGGCAGAACGAACACTGCCGGCGTCGCTCTCTGCATCCTCGGTGCCTTCACGGGGGCGGGCGCTGGCGGCACGTGCATCTTGTGCGACAGCCAGGATCTTGAGGATGACGTTCTTAGTCTTCGTCAGGGCGTTCCGGCCGGCAGCGTCGGCGGCGAGGCCTTCATCAATGGTTTGGTCGAGCAGTTCCTTGACCTCCTGCGCCAGCTCCGCATGCTCAGGGTCGACCTCGACGCCATTGGAGCTGCGGATGCTCGTGCGGAATTGGTCCTCGCCATCGAGAGCACGGGAGCTGGCACGGTCAGACCTGGAGGGAGGAGCTGTAGGTGCGGCGATGTAGAGCTTGCTCAATAGAGAGAGAAGCAGCTTGCGTTCGTCCTTGGAGCAGCGGTTGCTGCCGGCACTGACACCCAGTACGCGCTCCAGGATGTCCCTGACCAGCGCCAGATGTACCCAGCCGCACGCAGTCGAGTTCGGAGCTCCACCAGCCAGGACACGCTCCCCACCGAGTCCAACCACTCGGCGTTCATCGGTCCATTCGGCCAGCATTCCCACAACACCCGTCATAAGTGCCTTGACCTCACGTTCGCCGAGACTCTCATCAATTTCCCCATCGCTGTCCTCTTCGGCCTCAAGGGAGTAATGCTCCTCTGCAGCGTTGAGGACAGCGCGGATCACGGGCACGGCTATTCGTCGCATGTGCTGAATATTGTCCATGCGGGAGTGACAATAAACCGGGAAGAAGTAGGCCAGTGACTGTCGGAGAGCTGGAATTTCCTTTGTGCGGGGATGGAAGAAGGCCACAACAAGCGACTGTAAGAGCGTCTCCACCGCGGTCTGGTTCAGCTCTTGGATGGCGGGCGGAACGTTGGGACCAGACGGAGTGAAGGTGCCGGTGAGCAAGAGCTTGGACAACGCTGTGGCCGCGCCCGACTGCACACTAGCTGGGGAGTTGGCCTTGAGAGATCGTGCAAAGACCTTGAGCAAAGGCTTCTGGACCGCAGGTGGCGTGACTGTCTCGCCATCGGCCTGGGTTACTGGGGCAAGCAGCGAAGGGTGCGTTGTCACCATATCGCAGAGAATCTGCAGCGCGGTTACTTGCAACCCTTCGTGGCCCTTGCTATAACAATGAATGAAGAGTGTCATATTCTCTTCTGCCAGTGTCTGGAGTAAGAGGTTAGCAAGTCGGCATCCAAATTCAGGGTATCAACGTGCCTTATCGAGCATACAGCAGAGGCCCAGGCACAACAGACCACGCTCGCGGATCGGAGCCTCGTGACTACGAACCGCGGGGACAACGAGGTTGTTGAGCATGGTAACCAAATTGATGTTTTGTTGCAGATTGCCCTCGACATTTTGAAGCATACACTGAGCAATATGCAGACATTTCATATTGACGACAATCTCGCGAACGACCTTCGCCTTGGCCTCTTCCTTGTTAAAGGGAACGTCGTCTTCATTCCCGGGGGTCTCCGAGCGATGGCGGCTAGTATCGTCGCTAATCTCTGATCTGGCGGACACAAAGCTGTCCTCGGTGGTAATGGTATCATGCACATCTGCAATGGCTTCCAGCACAACACTGCAGAATTCACTCTCGCCGGAGAGGTCAGGGCCACACACGCAACGAAGCGTCTCAATGGCAAGTTTGGTGCATTCCTCCGGGAGTTCCGGCACGGCCAGTGATTCCCGCAGGAGAGAGAACATCTTCCGTCGGCCGACTTCATCGCTGTAGTCCAGGGTCAGGGCAATATGCAGCAATTGCTCGACAATGAATTCGTGCTCCACGGCGTCCTCGTCGTTCGCATCTCCCGTATCTTTAGAGACCCTCTTTCGCTGCAAAAGTTCGGTCATGTATTTCGACAGGAAGTAGGCGAGCGCCGTGACCTCGGGCATTTTCTCGTCTGCAAGGTTGTCATACTTGCCCTCGTTCTCTACCCGACAGAAGTCATTGAAAGACCGCAATAAGAACGATGACTCTGCGGTCAAAGACTCCCAGTAAGGCTCATCGAATTCCACCGCCTCCCGGTAGTCCGCACGCCCTTCCCAGAAGCTGCGCATGGCCTCGTGGGCAATGCCGCTTTCCATTCCAGAATTGACTACATCGATCCTTTCCAGCAGCTCCAAAAGGGCGTTGATATTCGGCTCCGACCGCTGGCCCGTCGATCCCTTCTCCACGCCTGCATTGGTACCGGCGCAATCTTCCACCCAGCGATCGTAGAACAGCTTGCCCGTGGCCTTCCGGACACTCTCATCTCGGTCACGCAAGCCCCAGCGGAGGAGCTTTTCTCTCATACCTAGGGACAGGTGGCGGAAATCACCCAAAGTGGGCAAAAGTCGGGAATACAGGGCGCGCCGAGTGGGCGCGTCGAGATCGCGAGCCCGTTCGAGAAGGTAGGGCAGGGTAACGGGGGCGAGCGGGAGGTTTGTCAGAAGAGTCTTTCGAACGTCGGCACTGGTGTCGTTCCCCATTATCTCGATCAGTTTGTCGAGAAGTGCCGATGAATTGTCCTCATACCCTTCCTCGTCTTCATCGTTGCCGGCCAGGCGGCCCAGACCCATAACAGCCTGCACCCGCACCGATGATTCCTTGTCCCGGATCCGCTTCAGCAGGCCCTGCCGAATCGTGTGATAAAGCTCGTCATCTATTGTTTCGAGCGAATTGACAATATGCGTGATGATCTGCGTCGCGCGGAACCGCACCATCTTATCCTTGGCCGACTGTAGAGGCACCATCAGGTTGACCAGGTTACTTGTAAGACGCACAGTGGGTGTCGTATGGTCGTCGTTGTCGGATGTGGCAAACATCTCCGCGTCTTTCTCAGACGCGTGGACGAGGAACGTGCCCATGAAGCGCAGGATGCGGTCCCCGACCGGTTCGGTCTTCTTAATTGGAAGAATTCGCAGCATGCAGCGACCAACCTCCACATTAAACTCCTTCTCGGCAAGGGTTTCTTCGCTTGGACTCGGAGCCTCGTCCTGCTCTTGAGACTGGCCCTTCTTATTGTTCTTGTGGTGGGGGATTCCGCAACTGATCTCCTGTAGCTTGCGCAGGCGCACCATCAGTTTCCGATGGCCCGTAGTCGAGCGTTGGGCATCGGCAAATATAGAGCACACATCGCGGCGCAGTGTGGCTGATGATGTTGGAATCGCTGGTTCATCGGGAATCGCGGCAGAAGGAGTCACGGATGGAGCTCGGCCTGAGGCAGAGGGCTGGGCTGAAGACCGGCGCGTTGCCGCAGACGTCGAGCGAGCGACTCGGCCAGGCATTATGACGAAGGCGTGTGTGTTGGTGGATTCGATCAGGGCGAGTCGAGACGCATCGCAGAGTTGCGGAAGGAGAGTGCGGGCGGTAAACAAACAGCCCAAACAGGCAACGAGGGGCACGTGCCGAGCTGACTAATGGGGTCTTCCGAGGCCGGCCATTTCCATCATGGACTCGAGAGCAACCATTCGACTACAATCAGGATGTTCCGCCAAAGTGTCCGCCGGTTTGGCACTACGGCCCTTCGCGCCTCCCGGGAGGGGTCTACCTTGTACAATACCCGGGTATCCACGGCGCAGGGTGTCGTCAATGGACTGACAGAAGGTATACTCTCCCGAACCCCATTCCGAACATGCATTGAGCTGACCGTGTGGGCAAGCAATTGGAAACACGCCGCTGATCCGATTGAAGAAGCTCTCTGAGCAGACCGGGTGCAACATCCTGGGCAAAGCCGAGTTCCAGAATCCGGGAGGCAGTGTGAAGGACCGCGCGGCTCTGTTCGTGGTTAAGGACGCCGAGGAGAAGGGACTGCTGCGTCCAGGCGGTACGGTGGTGGAGGGAACGGCAGGAAACACCGGTATTGGTCTGGCGCACGTGTGCCGGTCCAAGGGCTACAAGCTGGTGATCTACATGCCCAACACGCAGTCGCAGGGCAAGATCGATTTGCTCCGGCTGTTGGGCGCAGAGGTGTACCCGGTGCCTGCGGTGGCATTCGACAACCCGCAAAACTACAACCACCAGGCGAAGCGGCATGCAGAGGCTCTAGACAATGCTGTCTGGACCAACCAGTTCGACAACGTCGCCAATCGCCTGGCGCATATTGAGACTACCGGCCCAGAACTGTGGTCTCAGACCGGCGGCAAGATCGACGCCTTCACCTGTTCTACCGGTACCGGCGGTACCTTGGCGGGTATCACGCGATATCTTAAGACGGCCAGCACCGGCCGCATCAAGAGTTTCCTTGCGGACCCACCGGGCAGCGTGTTGCACAGCTACATCCAGAGTGGTGGGAAGCTGATTGACCGGACCGGTAGCAGTATCACCGAGGGTATCGGTCAGGGCCGGGTGACGGAGAACCTCAAGCCCGACATTGACCTGCTCGATGGTTCTCTGACCATCAGTGACGAAAAGTCGATCGAGATGGTCTACCGCTGCCTGGACGAGGAGGGACTGTACCTGGGTGCCAGTTCCGCGCTGAACGTGGTGGCTGCCAAGGAGGTCGCCGAGAAGATGGGCAAGGGCAACACCGTCGTGACGATTCTGTGCGACGGTGCCTACCGCTATGCTGATCGGCTGTTCTCCAACACCTGGCTGGAAAGCAAGAACCTTCGAAGCGCCATCCCCAAGCACCTGGAAAAGTATATCGTGTTGCCCTAGCTCGAGAGTATGTATGAAGTATATGAATAGATTGGGTCTCTTGTCAACCCTGCACCACTTTTATGTTCCTCGTCCTGCCGTATCCGTTATACCCAACCCCTCGGAGATTCCATGGCGAGTGCTCATGCTGCGTATTACCTCCTGCATCGCTCGCACGGCTCCAGATCTCCCTCCCCAGCCCCAGAGACATTCCGACTCTGGCAGTCCACAATACCCAGCACCATTTTTGTTCACGGCTCAATCCGCTCAACTCGGCCTCTACCCATGACTTGCCTCCATCGCCCGAAACTTCCACGTTGGTGATAGGCCCCTGGTCACCCTGTGGAACTGCATATCCTTTCACCTCAACTACGCCAGAGTCCGGCAATGAAACCGTCTCGTCATCCCCCGGGACAGCCACAATGGAGTTGATTGGCGTATCGTACATGGGCGAAGCAGTTCGCCAATATTTTTCAGCAGAGGCATGATCGACTGCCTCGGGCGGGAGAACCTTGTAATCGCGCTGCTGGTAGAAGTTGGGTGATTCTTGTTCTTGGACGGTGATGCGGTCGAGCCATTTCACCCATCGCGCCCCAACGATGCCTGGGAGCACTACTCGAACAGGAGCTCCGTGATTCGCCGTAAGGGGAGAATCATTGACCTACCGCCAATCATCGGATCAAAAAGGAGACTATGTTGGTTCGGAACAACCTACCTCCAGCGCCAGAATGGCATCTCCGTCTTCGCGCATACATCGTTCCAGGGTCACGCTGGCCCCGAACCAATCATCCTCCTGGCACTTGACCTGGTAGCAGGCAAAGGCAACATGCATTTCCCGGTTCGGGTCTGTTGCCGCGCCGCGCAAGCCGGCACGAAGAAGAACATCGCGCACTCGCGGTCCCTTCCATTTACAGTTCATCACTGCTGCATCTCCCCAGTCTATACCTTCCACTTCACGAAGGAGAGTCCGCATTGCGAGGCGGCGGTTGCCAGCACATTCTAGGGCAGAAGTAACTTCATGTTGAGGGAATTCCGTGCGCAGTTGGTCTGGCGACAATGATAAAGAATTAGCGACGAGCCCGTCGATGCGTACTTGGTGCTCTTCGCTACGGAGATGTGGAATTTGGCTATGATTGCGGTCGTAACTGAGATCTTGGGGCGTGAGGAATCTGGCTGGGTTAGAGCTATGTGCTACTCGAACAAGAAGGGTGCCTTACTGTTCGATTAGGTCCTTGGCAGACGGCTCGCGGTTCAGGGGATCCTTTGATGAGTAGTCGAGCTGCTTCGTTTCGTTGAGATTGCAATAGGGGAGCAAATCCATCTTGATGTTCGCTGAGGTGCTGGGGGTGTTCGAGATCGAGGTCCATTTTACAATACTGGTCATTACGTCACCCTGAGCGACTTGTATTCCAAGCAGCAAGAAAACCTTGGTGAAGATGTAGGAGTTAGCGCAATTGTCCGCCTCTATGATATTGGGATCTAGAATAAGTTGCACAGGGTTGGAAGACGCGAGTGTCGGGGGATGAGAGAAGATATCTTCTGGGGCTGCTGGCCTGCCACAACCACTCAAAGATAATATAGTGGTGTTCCATATGTCTGAAACTGGTTGCCCGCTTAAGGGGTAGGTAGAGGGGTTTCATACCTTTGGAACACGATGCACGCTGGAAGACGTTGGTACGAAACTGTCTATTCTATATTGATGCTTAGAAAGAGGTTGATACTAATTGGAACTCGCATATTGGCCCGATCTGTGGTCAGGAGCTATTCACCGACGAGCTAATTGCCAACCGACGATAGATATGTTGGATACTACAGTAGCCTTTTAGGAAGACATCCACTTCTCTAGCACCCCGATCATAGTAATTAGCAAGAGAAAAAAAAGTTTCAGAGACGTATGTGCATGTTCAACAATGTTGATAGTTGTACAGATGAGGAGCGAGGTGAGATAAAAACAAGCGAGACTTGGTGTGAAAGTCACCAATCCCGATGACACGGATATAACTCAAACGCCAGCAAATATGCATCCCTTCTAACCCAAAATCCATAGCGCCCAAGTGATATATCAAAGTGTACAAACTGAAAGGCCACAAGTCAGGTGCCTCTGAAGATGAACGAGACGAACAACAGCACATGGCCGTCATCTTTTCTGGTCCGCTTGTGACCAGGCCCTCGAGGAACCACCACCAGGCCGCGTTTACTCTTCCGACGGCATCCTCATATAAGCATCAATAGCAGCGCTAAACGCCGCAAAACCAGCACAGCCGAGGGCAGCCGCCTGAGGACCGGCCTTGGCACCGAGAATCCCACCGGTGACACACCCAGCCGCGACGCTGTTGGTCAAGTCGTTTTTGGCGCGAAGTCCCTCAATGCAGCACTCGGTGCCGGAGTAGAGCGCACCGACAATACCGAAGTTCTTTGCGGACGACCACGATCGTGCACCCATGTCTTTGAAGCCGCGACGCACTTGTTCGCGCCAGGGGAGGTCGGCGATGGCGCGGCCTTGGGGAGTGAATGTTGAATCGTAGGACATGCTAGCCATGAAAAGACCGAACGCGCCTCCCAGTCCGAATCCCATCGTACCAGAGATAACGGTCTTCACGGGGCAGGACTCCATGCCAGCTTGCATCTAAACCCTTGTTAGCACATCCCGCGCAATTTGATTGAAGATCCGAAACACGAACCATCTTGACCATCGCCTGCTCCTGGTCGTTCATTCCCTGCATCCCATTTCCTGGGGTACCTCCCAGGCCACCCATCGGCGGCGTCATGCCCGGAAAACTCATGGCAAAATGTGTTGCAGTGGGCTGTTATCGCGTGGTGTGGTCCACCCGATCTGAAAGGAAAACAGAGTGAAGGCTGGATGAGACTTTCGGCGATGGCAACTCCGGGCAAATTTATTTTACGGCGAACCGCAACAACCAAAGCCGCAACAATAAACACGTGACGTCGATCTATAAAGGATGGCCAAAACATCAAAACGTATATTCATGCATTAAAAACCTCTGCTTATCGCCATAAATCCTGCCGACTGGCCCGTCTAGATCCCCCGCTGCTCTTGGGTGACGAGAATTCATCTTCCGCCGGTACGGCTAGGAACCCGCCAAAGCCGTTACCTACAAGCACACTTTTGCGCGCATCACCTCCCCAAGATCGGCTCAACTGTGCTTCCTGAAAGCTCACTGGGCGCGTGCGCGGTGTCTGAGGCCCTGGTCCCGCATCGGGTTGGTAGGGTGTGAAGTTCCACTCGAGCTCGTCGAGGCCCTTGCTGTACACATTCAGCGGTTGTGTGAGACCACTGCTGCCAGGTCCGCCATCCAGAAGTCGAGGGGGAGGTGCAAGTAGCAGAGTATCTGGGAAGTTTGAGTCGCGAACATAAAGATCGCGAAGTGCCGGGAGGGACTGCGACATCAGTGAGGAAATCAGATAGGTGTAGTATGATGCGGCTGTCGAGGGTACTCCGTGTGTTTCGGTCTCGGATACGATTTCATAATGCAGCAGTCGGAGCGATTGAGATGCAAGAGGAGGTATCTGCTCCATGGGGAATGACCGGGAAACCTCCTGGACAACCACCAGGCTCTCAAGATGCGGGGCCGCAGATAAAAGCTGATGCAAGGTTGATGGAAGAACTCCGGTTGAGGAGAGGGTCAGAGAATGCAAAGCAGTTCGATTTCCTGGAAGAGAAAGAAGTGTGGCAAGCCCGCTTGCCGTGATCTTCGGGTTATCTCGAAGTGTGAGTCGCTGAACTTCTGGGAACGGTTGGATGGTCGGAGTCACGGCAAATGCGTCGTCATCGAGCCAATCAAGATCCTCAAGAGTAAGATCACGAAGCCTGGGAAATGCGGCCAGACTGCTACGGAGAATTCCCGCTTCTAACTGTACACCCGACAACTCCAGAACCTCCAGATTGGCCCAGAGTTGGCTCCCAGGCAGACGCGCGAAGCTTCCCTCGGCGCCACGGCGATAAGTCATGCGACGAATATCGGGACATCGGGCCATCAACTCTTGCTTGAGCGCTAAACATGAAGGCTCGTCACTGAACAGGCCAGTGGGCAGATCGACAAAGCGTAGGTGAGGTAGAACGGAGATGGTGCGCGCAACATCGGCCTTGTTGGCCTCCCGGGTCATGTAGGGCATCCGGAGTGACAGAACCATATTCCCCAGAACCTGTGATTCTCGAACAGATCGCATGAACTGCGTAAGGCGGACCTGCGGCGCATCGATAGGTTCTCCGTTGCGGTCAAAGAAAGAGCGGCGCTTCCGCTTGGCAGCCAGTTGCACTTCGAGTTCACAGTAGTGGACGGGGTCGATGCGGACATTTGTATAGCTTTAAAAATGTCAGACAATATGCAGACATCTGAGAACGGGGAACACACAGGAGTGCGCGAGCTTCGAGAAACCAGCGCTTGGACACCAACGCGCAATGCGCCAGGTCGCGCATATCGCACAGCATACAATCATCGGTCATGGACTCCTCGGAGGAGTCATAAGAGTTGTCGACAGCATGAGGACAGACAAAGACGAAAATGCGCGTCAATACCGGCCGGGGGAGGCGTCTGGTCCAGTCAGGCCCGAACGTGTCCGGGGAGAATGTGTCGGACGCGCTCCCCGCACTCGCTCGAGGGCGGCGAATCCGGTCCAAGAGGCCCATCCTGAGAGGCTAGGGGGGAGAAAACATAGGGGAGAGAAGAGGATAGAAGGGAGAAGGTGAGGTGAAGTGAGAGAAGGGAGAGGGGGAAATTCAGAGAACAAAGAGAAGCAAAAAAACAGAGGATGAGGAAGATGCCGCTGCAGGGATGTTTCCTGAAACATCGGGGTCTTCGTCATAAATAAATACAACAGTAACCGAGAAACCTCACCTTCTTTCTCTCAAACCCATTTTTTGAAGCCCAAGAAAGCGAACTATACCAAAACATAAATAAAGGTGGGCATGACATCATGGTGGCTGTTGGTCACCAGGCTTTATTTCCAAGCATATCGACAGATGCACCCTTTGCTTCAGAAATCGGGTATTTTTTATCAGAAAAAAACCCCCATTCTATTCCGGTTATCTGCTATTATTCCTCATCATTGCCTTCCCCTGTTCGAGCACCTATTCTGTCCGGTCTGCAGCCAGCGTGGGCATCGACTGACATCACTTGGGCTTCAAGTATAAAAGGGACCACCACAAATCTTCTTTTAATATTCGCTCATTGCCACGGAAAATGGATACACCCGAAACCAAACCCCGGCAACCCTTACCACCTGTCAACAGCAACCCACCCGAACACACCCTCGATGGCGCGCCCTGGAAGGATCGCCCGCCATACCAGATCCACGACCCCAGGGAGTTCGGCCCGGTCAAATGGCGCGCTCACTGCGAGTGCGGCAAGGTTTCATACATGCTGAAGAGCGAACGGGCTCTCGATGCTAAGTACTGTCATTGCCGTGGGTGCCAGGTCCTGCACGGCGCGCCCTTCCAGTGGGCCGCCATCTTCCACAAGGAGGATGTCTCATTCACCAAGGGGGCCAGTGGATTGGCCTTCTACTCGTCGAGCCACAAGTCGCAAGAGTACGAGCTGCCCACCAAGGTGTCGTGTGCATTCTGTCACTCGCCGATCATGGACGAAGGCCGCAATGTCTGTCTACTTTTCCCGGAACTGATTGACGTGACTGGGTCGGATGATGAAAAGAGACGCAAACTAGAAGCTTTTAAGCCGACGTATGCGTTCTGTCAGGGGTGCTATCGGTATCATTTGCTAACTCTTCCTTCTAGATGCCATATTTTTTATGGGCAGCGGATACTCGATCTTGAGGATGGATTGCCCAAGTGGTCGGGCATGAACAAGATTAGTGATCTGCTAGATGATCATGGCGGTAGGCTTCCACAGCAATGATAGATGACAGTAGTATTAGCATGATTATTTACGACTGTTTATTTTGTTTCAGAGTGAGAGAAAGTGCTGCGAGAGGAGTAGGTCGTGGCTTGCTGCTTGGGAATTCGATTTATCAATCGACTTGTTTCTTTGGCCTGTGAGACCGGAGTCGCCTGATTGGAAAAACAAACTGGGATGCTAGTGCAATTTGACAATATCAACCTCGTTAACAAAATAATCGAGTGCTAGGACATTATACACTCCCGACTCTCCTCGATGACATCAGTCAGCCCCCCCACACCCCACGCATCCACAAACGGACCACGACTAACGCTTTTTCTTTCCTTCATTCCTATCGACATCCTAACACAAACACAACACCATGTCCTGGTTCCAAAAGCAATTCACCCTCCCCCCCACGCAGCCGCGGCTCGTACCTGGTCACCGACCATGTCCTCACCGAGCTGCCCGAGATCCGCGACTATAAAGTGGGCATGCTGAACCTGTTCGTACAGCACACGAGCTGCGCGATTTCGCTCAATGAGAACTGGGATGACGATGTTCGTGCCGACATGAGCGATGCGCTGGATCGCATTGCCCCCGCGGATCGCAAGGGGACGTTGTATCGGCATTCTGCCGAGGGCGAGGATGACATGCCGGTAGGTTTTTTGGTCTTTTCCTTCTGATGAAGGTTCAATGGCTCATTTGGTTTTGTCGGTCAGGCCCATATCAAATCCTCCCTCGTCGGCGCCTCGGTCAATATCCCCATCACCAACGGCCGCTTGGCCACTGGCACCTGGCAAGGCGTCTGGTATTTGGAATTTAGACAGAGTCGCCACGTCAGAAAGGTGGTTGCCACTATCCAGGGCGAGAAGGCGTGAGCGTGAGGGCCAGAAGGCGTGAGCGTGACCCGATGATGGAGCGCGAGGAAACCTGTGATTACCCTCAAGAGTAGTTAGATGACCATGGTTGTAGGCTTCAGCAGCAATGATATATGACATTGGGATTGGCATGATCAATTCAACTGTTGATTTGGTTTTCCGACTGTGGGACCGAAGGGGACGATTGGATGGTGAAAAGACTACAGTAGAAAGAGAGTATAGCAGAATACAAAACACCACACGTCATCCATCAGCAGATCGAATTGATCAATATCCTGTACATGGCCTCGGGCCCAAATGATATAAAAACAAAGTAAGAAAACGCCGACAAAAGGAAGACTGATGCCAGTGCTCTATCGCTGCTCCAATGATCCCTCCGTGACCCGCTGGGCTTCGTTCACCTCCGCCGCATCGCCGGTCGGTTCGAGCGGGTAGCTGGTAGCGGGCAGAGACTCAAGGTAGGCGCGGTGCTGCTCCTGGGCCTGAAGGGGAGAGAAAGTCAGCATGGAACCCACCAAGTGAAATGAAGCAATCGGACCAGACTTACAAAAGGAACGCCGCAGTACCCGCAGGTCGCAATATCGGGCTTGTCGGTGTTGATGAAGATCTTGGGGTGACCCAGGGGACCACCGCCGCCGTCGCAGCTGACAACCTTGGACTTTGTCCAGCGCACGGGTTGCTTGTGGATGAGTTCGATGGCGGCCATGGGTTGGGGCTAGTCCGGTCAGTACAATCCCATCCTTCACCAATTCCACTCTCGCTTCAGGGAGCACCCACCTGGGCGGACATGATGGTCTGCTCAAAGCGAGGGCCCGTCATGGCCTTCTCGCGCGGCTGCTGGCTGGCAGCCCACGTAGTGGCCCGGTTGGGTGCCTGCATGCTTCGGATGCGCTCGCCGACCTCGGGATCTTCCTGCAGAGAGTAGTCTCCCTGTCCCATCGAGTCGACCGGCGTGGCATTGGTGGCGGAGACATTGGGCTTGGGCGTCCGGGGGGTCGGGTCATTCGGCTGCATGGCATTCTCGGACAGGCGAGGGATGGTGGAGGTATAGCCCCGGACGAAGCGCGGACGGGCCGCAGCAGCCAGAGTAGTGAGTCTGCGACCGCAGGACATCATGATGGGCGGATTGAGTCCAAACTGGGGATAGACGGGAGAGAGAGGTGGTTGCCAGGAGCGAAGAGGTCGGATTGAATAATCCGCGTGTGGTTGGGTGGGTGGTTCACCGCCTTGATATGGCTTGCCGTTTCTGCCACAGATTACTTCTTCACTGCAGTAACGAAATAATTAAACTGATTCACCCACTGCCCACCATGTCCTCGCCGGCGAAGTCCGAGAAGACCATGTCTTCGCGTCTGTTGACGATGAAGGTATGCTCTCATTTCTATCTCAAAAAAGAAGATCAAAAATTGACCGCACATATCTACAGTTCATGCAACGGGCTGCAGCGTCCGCCGCTGCAAAAGAAACCCACGCTTCAGCGTCCGAGGACAGCCTCCCTTCTACTCCGAAACGGGCCCGACTGTCGGAACAGAACAGCCCGGCTACTCCACGCACAAGTGATATGGAGGCCATCTCCGCCGCGCTAGCAGCGGAAGAAGAGAAGCGCCGAGAAGCCATTGCGCGCCAGGCGGCAGAGGCGGGCGAAACCGAATGGGTGCTGGATATCCCACCCGCTACAAACGGCAATGCGCTGCAGCCTCTCGTGGTGGCGGCGGACTCGTTAGATGCGGACGGAGATGTCGGAGCTGGGGGCCGAAGAGCATATGGCAATTATAAGCGCAAACAGCGGACGGTCAGTCTTTACGCTTGGATTGTAGAAGGCTTGCTAATGTGTAGCAGAATTACATTTCTCAGAGTGAGGGCCAATCAAACAATAAAGAAGGCGAAGAGGGACAGAAATTCCAGAACCCAACGGACCCTGCCGGAGTCCAAGAATTCATCGATAATGAAAGAAAAAAGGGAAAGGCGAAGATGTTATCCCAGGAGGTCAACCTGAAAAACCTGACGAGTATCTCCGGTGGCAGCTCCCGACAAGGCGCTCCCGACACTGCGCAGAAAAAGAAGAAGAAGCGCAAGAGCCGGTAGGCGGGAATATGTCCTGTGTTGCAACTTTGGAATTAGCGTTTTCCGTGTGCATGGCTATAGGCGTCTAGGGGATTTACTTTATTACGAATTCATGTTTCTTTCAGTTATGTATTAAGGGTAGGACCTCTTATGTTTAGTCCGTAGGGCAGAGCGTATATTCCACCGTCATGAAGCACGGAATCGTCCACGCTAGTTATCTTCTATAATTCCAGTCCCAGAACCCCCCAAGCAATATATACAACACACAAGCACCTGATCAAAGCTTCGCCTTGTCCTTCGTCTTCTCCCTCTCCCAGCTCTTCTGCGTCGCAAAGTTCACCGCCAGATTCCACACTGCAACGCTCGCACCCACCGGCGGCGCAACGAGCAACACCCACGCCCACCACCGCGGACTCGACGCCTGAATCCCCTGCATCGCAACCGTGACCGCACGCTCCAGCTCCGGCTTATCGGCATCATTCCAGACCACCACGCCGCGTTTGGAGGCCGTGCCCCGGAACTCGGCCTGCTCGGCCTTGGACAGCACGTCGCCCTGGCTGCGCACTCGATGCTCCGCGTCCTCGGCTGTGAGATGGGAGTCGCGGGCGCGGAGGCGAGCCATCTGAACGGCGGGGTCGTGCACGCCCACCACGAGCACCGTGCCGCAAATCAGATCCATCCCGCTCTCAAAGAGCAAGGGGACATCCAGGACGACGGCCCACTGCCCGCGCACATAGTGCCAGACCAACGCCTTGTAAACTTCCTTCCGCACGGCGGGATGCACGATCCCATTCAGCACCGCGCGATCGCGTTTGCGCTCCTCGCTGATGCCGAAGACGCGGCGGCCCAATGCCGGGCGGTTGAGGGGTTTGCCTGCTGGGCTTGATGGTGCATCTTCTAGCAGTAGATCTGGTGTGGAGGGCCCGAAGTAGTTCACGATCGCTTTGTAGCCGGGGGTGCCCGGTTCGACGACTTTACGCGCGAGGAGATCCGCGTCGATGATGGGGAGGGCGTATGGTGGTGAGGAAAGGATTTTGGAGACTGTGGATTTGCCGGTGGCTATAGAGCCCGTAAGCCCGATGATGAGCATGGTGCTGGGGTTGGGATTGGGTTTGGAGAAGAGAGAGAGAGAGAGAGAGAGAGACCGTTGGAGTTGATGAAGCGGAAGTCCGAATGCGGGGAGGTCTGGGAATCTAGACTCATTGCCGAGGTTGGTCATGAAGTATACCTTCACAGCCAGTAAGGAGGTATATCCCTGTTCACTATTATCATGATAATTGGAGTTTGATTTTAGTTACGATTTGGTTATATTCAAAGACTCCATTTAGATCCAGTCCAAACACCAAACGCCATGCTATACACAATTGTACAATTGACAAGAAGATGTTATGACTCCGGCAGTCCATGGCTCGGATCTTGTTTCTGGCCCTTCCACCCAATATACGGCCATCCCTTGGGCAGCGAGGAGAAAGGGGGCAGCACATACCGCCCATCGCAAGCCCCTACAGACGGACAGGACAAGTCGCAGAGTCCGAAGACCTTGCAGTAGCAGGATTCTGCACTAGGGCAGTGAACTGGCTCTTGGCCAAAGATCACTAATGAATTAGTTGTCAGAAAAGATCCACTCCAAGAGAGAGAGAGGATTAACGTACTGTGCCACGAATACTCCATAATCCGCCCACTCAAATCATCCGGCAGCGATGTCTCCGCCAACCACGTCCGGAACCGCTCATAATCGCTTTTGGGTCGTTCTCGTACTTTTGAGCGCGTCACCCCGAACTGGGCGCAGCACGACACACCCACCATGTCCGGGACCGGGGTGTCGGGAAACAGCTCCATAAATCCATCCCTGAAGTATTCCCCCGCGTGCACGGCATCGCGGTGGGTATCCGATAGCGGATGGATCTCGCCTGGGCAGCCTAGTGTCCAGGCGCAGCGGGCGTTGACGTAGCCTTGTTGTTGGAGGTAGGGGATCTGGAAGTTGCGTAGCATGTGGACGCCGTCGTAGTAGGGGTCGTCATTGTGCCATTGGTAGCGCTGGGAGTGGATGAAGAGCATTGCGTCGGGCAGGGTGTCGTAGTGGTCGATAATGTATCTGTTTCGTTAAATAGGAGCTTTGGTCTGGAAATAGAGAGACCACTCACGTCAAATACACCATCGACTCGCGCCCTTTATTCAGCGTCACCGTCAAGGGCGCCTGCTTGTCGTCCACCACATAGACACTCTTGGTCCAGTCCGGGAAGAACTCGTACAGCCACGAGGTATCGTCGTCCTTCATGCTGGCCACCACGAGCGCTTTTTGTTTCCCGGGCGCGGTATCCGGCTTGTCGGTGCCGCGCTGCTGCGCATAGCTGCCTCGCTCTGTTCGGGCGGGGTTCTTGGGATCGGGTTTGAAAAAGAGGAAGTACAGGGCGAGCACAATGCCGATGGTGGTGAGGATGGCCTTGATGCGGTTGCGCCGGCGAGGACTCTGAGGTCCGCTGGGAGCGAACAGCATAGTGGGAGGCAGAAGAGGGCTAGATGCGCATATCGCAGGGTTGTCGGGGGACGATTGGGAAACCAGTCGAGCCAGTGTGAGTTCCAGGCGAAGTTCCAAATGCAACATGGACTAAAACGGGTGAAGCAAGGATCATGCGCCACAACGACTCAGCCACATCAACCATCATACAGGAGGTATGGGAACTCTTACGTTATTATTGCTTGTCATTCTAGTCATTCTAGTCTAAATGTTGTCGCTCTCGTGAGATGTATTTACCACTCATTTCGTTCTCCGGACATTTCTGATCAGGTCGGATCCGCTGTCTTCTCGTGCATGCTTCCTACGGGGGTCAATGACACCCACCACTCACAGGATCGGGGGCCACGAGCTCAGCCACCAATCGACCAGCGAATGTATCATACGGCTTGAATGGGATGCTTTTCCGCCGGACAGTAGGCCACTCCATGGGGGTAGTGGCATCCTTCGGACTCTGCAGCCAGTCCAGAAGCTCGGCGGTGACGTCGGCCTCGTAAAGCAGGATGTATTCCATCTCTAGCCCATTGGTCACCAGAAGATGGGACTGGAAGCGAATCAGCTAGCGTCCAAGACGGACTCGGAGCGAGCGGGCTGAAGACATACGATATACTTGCTCGGTTTGGGCAAATTGAGCCGCAGGCGCTCTTGAAGCTGCGCAAGAGCCAGTAGGTGGCACAGGAGATATGGATCCTCAGTCCATACCGTCGGGGTTGTCTGAGCCAGCCGCTGCTCTCTAGCCACAACGGACGACATTCCATCCGGTCAGGAATAATATTGATATGGAGAAAATGCGTGGCTGTTGAGATTTGATAGCGAAATATGAAATTCTGGTGGTTGTATACATCTCGCGGTAAAGTACCGAGTGGATACACTCCCAACCACGGGATAGCCGCTACGAACTATATAATTACTGACACGCATCAATGTCCACAAGGTACCAATTGTGCGCCTCAATGCTCACATCAGTCGTGCCAGCATTGCCTGAATCCGACCCCACGCCCTGAATCTCCTGGATGGTCGAGGTGGTCACCGTCACATTGTTGCCGCTGGTAATCCAGTACTCCGGGCTAGGCTGAGAGAATCCAAATGACGCCGGCGGCAGCTTCGGCACAATGTCATCCGTGTGTGTGACGCGCCACAGGCTGCCCTGGTTAGTGATGTAGGTGGCCAGCGCGGTGTTGCCCACGCGGGGCTCGCCATACGTGTACAGGCTCGGCGTGTACCCGGCATTCCGCAGTGCAGTGCCACCCAGTACCGCCAGAGCAGCGCCAAAGCTGTGGCCCGTCAGCACCAGGGTGTAGCCTGGGTAGGTCTTCATGGCCGAGTCGATCTCGGACGTCAGCGTGGCTGCCACCGTTTCCCAGGACTCCCAGAAGCCCGTGTGCACTTCGCAGCCGCTGCACAGGGTGCTGTTGCTCAGGTCAAAGTTCAGATTGGCGATCCAGGTGCTGATCGTGCGACTTCCCCGGAAGGAAAGCACCAGCAGCTTGTTGGTGGAATCGGCGGCCAGGAAGCCAGCGACGTCGCCATATTGCGTGGAACTTGGAGAGAGTCAGTATTTGATGTTTTTTACATGGAATGATTCTGTACATACTCGTCGAAAGCGTACAACGGCACGGCGTTGGCCGTCTGGACCTCTGGGCAGTTCCCTGCGGCACAGGACAGAGCTGAGGCCGACGAGGCGATGTTGTTGGAGCAGTAGGACGCAGCGGAGTACTGCGCGAACAACATCAACTCGTCCAGCGTGTCGGAGGGGACATCTGTTGTTTTAGATTAGTTCGGGCCCCGGTTTGATTTACTCTTCTCTCACCTCGTCGCGTTAGTCCCACCGGCAAGGCGATCGCCAGCGAGGCCAGAGCAGTCAGGGTCCAGAACAGCATATTTGACACAACAATAGAAAAACCAGAGGGAACTGCCAGATGAATTGGCGGACAAGTCACCCTTCTGTATGGAAGAAATATATAGTCCGCCAGTGAGAGCGGGGGTCACATCGACCAGCGCCATGATCGAATCTGAGTGGTGGACAGAGGCATGCGATCGACAACATTCCATCGCTAGATCACAGTTGCATACGGTTGCATTGAGCATGAGAGTGGTGGAAGGGGGCGGAAACTATATCAGAGAAAAGGCAAAAGTGGGTGAAGAATGTCGTTGATAGGTGAATATTGGAAGTAGAGACCGGAACTCCGAGGTTATAGTTAGGGTTAGTCTACTACTGATCGGTCATGCCCGTATCCTGTCCATCCTCATCACCCCCCGCCAACACTCTGGTCCGCGGGATCTGGTTCTCGTCCAGTGGAGTCCCCGGCGTGACCGCCACCACATTGTCATTCTCATCGACAAACTCAAAGTTGTACCGCGACAACAAATGCGGGATCGCCGAGAGCTGCGGGCCGTAGCGCGCCGTATTGTCGTATAGTTCGAACAGGGGCACGGCCAGCAGTTTCATGTTCTTGGGGACGGAGAGTACCTCTATCGGGTTCGATGTAAGCAAGTGCAAATCAAACCAATGGGAAGGGAGCGGTACTTTTCTTCGGCAGCTGGATGAAATACAGCTTTTTGCACTCCTTCGGCCGCGTAACGTGCCCCGGCAGGAAGGGGTACATGAACGTCTCGAAATTCGGGCGCCACCACTGCGCCAGCGTGTCGCCAATCTCCCAGTCTTCGTTGACGCCCTCGCCTGAGAACTGCGAGCCGACGGGCGCCAGGCGTTCGTTCAGGCGTTTCTTGAATCCGTCTATTTCGTCATCTTCGGGGCTGAGGTAGTCGCCGGGGCTAAACGAGGATTAGTATGCGGGAAGAGAATGGCGAGGAAATGCGGCGTACAGTTTGAAAAAGGCGTTGGCAATCTGCAGCATCAGGACGTGTGGATGGTTATGCTCATGACAGACCAGCACGCCCTCGCATGTCCGGCGCATGCCATGCACCTCATAATGCTCCTCCAGGCGCTTCAGCCGCGCCAGCACCGATGGGTCCTCCTCGGGCTGCGTCTCCTTGGTGCCGAACGTGTAGTTGGACAGCGGGTAAAGGCGAATGGTTTGGGGTTGTTCTGCGGAGAAGTCTTTGGGGACAATCGGTCTGGATGGATGCGCCTGGGTTAGCCAACGGGGAGAGCGGGAGAGCACAACAAACTTACGGGCGAGCACTTTTGATCGCCGTAGCCGTCGAGGTCGACATGCTGCGCAATTGGGGAGAAACACGGAGAGCAAAAGAGTCGGAGCTGGCAATGCGCGTGTTATCGCTATCAAGGGTGACCGCCTGCCCAATTAAGAAGTATATGAAAGAGGGAAGGAATGGCGAAGGATACAAAGAGTAAGGTCACTGCCGATGGCTCTACGTACGATATCTAGACGTGGCTATGGGTAGATCAATGCAATTTATCGTGTGCAGTGACTTATATTCGTCTAGGTCATCAAACTCCCATATATACGTATCACCCCCGGAGCCTACCCCCAAACACCCGACACGATGCACCGATCCTCTATCCTCACAGCTTCGCATCAAAATCCTCAAACTCGCTCAGTTCCGACATTGCTACCGGCCCTGTACTCACCGGCAGTCGGGCTTTGAATGTAGGCACGTCTGTGATAACAACCGCCTCTGTAGAAGCCGCATCGCCATTAGGCGTGGAAGAAGACAGATCCAGGCCCAGTTGTTTCAACTGCAGACCCAGATTCTGCTCCAGACGGTCAACCGCCGACGCGATCTGCTCCGTTGACAGGCTCGCCTCCGTAGCCAAGAATATCTTGACCAAAGATATTACCTGCGAGCTGTCCAGAGTCGACATGTCCAGCTGCTCGAACGCCGTGCCGAGTCGACCAGCGCCCACGGCAAGTCCGGCGGCTTCCAGCTGTTTGTCCACCGCCTCGACCAGGTGAGATCGTTTCTCAGCGGGCCCAGAAGTGTTCTCGTGGGCACCAGACTGCGCATTCATGTGAATAGAAAGCTTGGCCCGCTGCGAGGATGACGGGTCGATGTACTGCCGGTAGAAAGAGACCAGGTCGGCTTTGGTGAGCGTGCGCACATTGGCCGCGTCGATCTCATGTTGCAAGAAATCAAAGTATTCCGACCCAATGTGCGACCAGAACCGAGTCGTCTCCGAACCGAGGTTCTTGAGTTTCTCGAGACGCTTGTTGACCACGCTGCGCTTGTGGCCCTCGAACTCATCCTCGGGCATCGCCTCCAGAATCGGACCGAATTCGCGCAGAAACGAATCGATGCGTGTCTCCAGGTACTGTGCGGTGCGTTCGCTCTGGATAATCACACGGTAACCCATGGTCGTCGCATTGAAGCGCGCGCCACTCCAGACCACATACCCGAGCTGTTCCTTGCTCCGCAGTTGATCAAACGCCGGCTCGTCGGTCATTTGCGCAAACAGCTGCAGTTTTGCGCGCAGTGTGGCGTCTGTGAAGAGACCCATATACAAGTAGTATTCGATGCAGTGATTGACGTTCGCCGGGTCCTTCAGGGTCCGCGGGTACACGTAGTTACTGCCAGGCGGGAAAACCATGTTGCGCCGCAGATACCACTGTGAGGGCGGAAGAGGACGTCCCTTCAACGTCTTCTCAATCGTGTCCGTCATGCGTAGCGCATCCTCCTTGTAAAGGTTGCCATGGACCAAGGCCTCGATGTGTGTCTGTTCAAGCAGCTGCGGGTAGAACTTGGTGATGTCATCTGCTTCAATGTGCTCCAGCTCTTCGATATACTGCTCATTGATCCAACCCCGTTCAGACAGCAGATACCGAGTATAGTCGCCGACCTGGTAGTAAGGCTGTTGGTACTCGGTATTCCGGAACGCCCGCGCCAACCGCTCTTTGATGATGGCGAACCGTTCCTCTTTGACCACCAGGTCACGCATGGTAGACAGCACCTTATCCAGCAGCACAGACATCTTGTCATTGTACCCGCCCACAGAAAAGTCAAGTCCCAGAATATTGGCAGATAGGTGGTAGTCCAAGCCGGCGAGCTCGGCATCGTAGGAGTACTCATCCAGAGAGTCCCTCACCAGCTCACAATAGAGCTTCGTCTTGATCAGGTTGGCCGGCGTGGCCCACACCTGAGGGTTCCGCAGCGTAACATCTATCGTACCCTTGGGAACCCAGAACCGGTCATCCTTCTTAAACCACAGGCGGACTCGTTCGTCATGACGAATCATCTTCGGGGTCTTGGCCGGCTCCTCGACCTCCTTCTTCTCGACCGACAGTCGAGTTGGCACGAACTCGTTCGGGTGTGGCATGTGCACGTCGGACGTACGAGAAGCCGCGGTCGATTCCAGGGCCTTTTGAATTCCACTCAAAAAGTCCTGAGGAATCTTTTCAACCTTGTATTCTGTGCCGTACCACTTCTCCTTCTGATCCCAAGTTCCAGGGAACTCCTGAGACACAATAATAAGGCGGAAATTGTCTGCCCGGAGATAGGACAGAGCTTTCTTGATCAAAGTGGGATCGAAGCGCCGCAACAGCGAGCCACTCAGTAGCCACTCACGACGCAGCGGCTTCTGCATGACACTGCTCAACTGACTGGTGAACCGACTAGCCGGGGTCTTCTGCTTGAAGCGGAAATCAACTTCAGCCAGGTTCTTCATTTCGTCAAAGATCCATTGCTCCGGCTCGCGCTCCTTGATCATGGAAATATACTCAAAGACAACCTTGGCCACTTCTTGATACTGCTTCAGACCCTCGGGCGTCAGGCGCACCGAGACGGTGAAAAATGCCGATCCAGGACAGATCGGCATCGCGCCAGCGGACAAGCCATTCGCCCATCCCTTGGTCTTGAGGTATGATAGAACACTGCCTGGTCCCTCATGACCGATTAGATGACCAATATACCGACTGGGCTGGGAGTCGTTCATATCCTCCTCATCCAGAAACGGGAAATACATGTCCATCGAGCGAGTGTCCATAACGGGTTTGGCAAAGACTTGTGTGCACATATCTTCCTCTGAAAACGGCTGGACGCCATCCCAGCGATTCTGGGTAAGATTCTTGTTTTCCACGCCGCTGAACAACTCGCAAACCCATTGTTCCAATACGTCCAGCGTCTCCCGACCCAAAACCACCAGTTTGGCCCGGTTGGCAGAGTAATGTTGTTCATAGAATTCGATAAACTTACTGCGGACTTCCAGACCGCGTTTCTGCGGATCATCTTTCAGAGTCTGCAGATTACCGGTCGAAAAGTGGCTGTATGGGTGTGCAGGGTTGGAGAGAGACTTGTTCAGCTGCATCAACCGCCACATATCACTCTGGAGATTCTTCTTGTTCTCTGAATCGACCGCCCGCAGTTCACGGTCTAGGGTCGACTCTAGGAACAACGGAGACACAAAGAACTGGGCAAAGCGATCCAATGCGCCATACAGCGGGGATCGGGAGTCGGATTTCTCACTCGACGACTCACTGACGACGCCGTTGGTACCATTCGTGGATTCCGCGGGAGTGTTTACCCCGCTGGACTTTGCGCTACTCGAATCTCCGGTGGCGGACACCTCGAAAAAGTAATTTGTCTCGGTGGCAGCGGTGTAGGCGTTGGAAGATCCCGAATGGGAGGCGAGGTACTGGTTGTAGGCATTTTCCTTGGGATACTTCTTGGTTCCCATGAAGAGCAGGTGCTCAACGGCGTGCGCCATACCGGGCATGTCATTTTCATCGGAAAAGTTCCCCACATTGACGTTGACGGCGGCGCTGGCCTTGTCGGTGTCTGGGTCATGAACCAGAAGAGCCTCCAGCTGGTTCGGCAGCCGAATCACACGGTAGGACCGATCATCGAGCTCCGGCTTCTCCAGACGTTCTGTTATGCACTCGACTTGCGGCATGGCTGGGATGGAGGGTTGAATGGCGGCGGTAAGAGGGTGGGTGGGATGCGAAAGCGAGCGGGGGAAAGGTGGATAGCGAAAGGGGGTCAGAATCGTGATGCGTGGCAGCAGAATCGGGCGAGTCGTCGGATTGCAACTGAGACCTCTGTACAACAGCAGTGCCGAGGACCTTGGAGACATGCGAGGAGCAAGAGCGCCCGGGAGGAAGGAAGGGGGAGGGGGAGGGGCGGCGCAAGAGATGCCGCAGTCAAGAAAAAAGAAAACGACGATTTTAATCTTTGGACGAGCGAGTGAGAGAGAGAGAGAGAAACGGAGCGAGGCAGCAACCGTTTTGCGGCGAAGCGCCCCAGCGGCAACGTGATGCGGCGCAGACCGAAAGGCGGTCAGGTCAGCATTATCTACAACAACCAAAGTAGAGAAGTCGACAGAACTGACAATAGCTTATCGCTCTTCCACTACCATACTTCGGTCACATCAAGACTTGAGGTCATTATGCATTGACTACTACATACATGTTCTGGAAGATATATATCCCTCTCCGCACCATCATCTCTGTCCACATCTGATTATTCCCTATGGACCTTCATCCTCCATCTAGCACTTAGCAGCGCACAGCGTCAGGGTGATGTTAGCAGCAGCGCCGCAGACCTTAGTCTGGCTGCCAGCAGGCGAAATACCAGACGACCAGCAGATATCAGGGCAGTCCGGGTTGGAGGCCTTGACGGAGAGCACCTTGCCGGAGAAGGGATCACCGAACACATCGGACAGGTCGTACCAGAGGTTATTGCCGTCCAGGGTGTAGGCAAAGTCCGTCTGCGGGGCGCCAGTGTACAGCCCGTCGACGGGGCGGGTGATCTTGATGGCGATGCCGCCGGACTTGGCGTCGTAGTGCACCTTCTCGGTGAACTCTTCACCCGGGTTGAGGGTCACCTCCGGGCCGACGGCACCACCGACGGACCAGAGGTGCACGGCGGCCTTGCAGTTGTTCACGACGATGGCGTCGCCGACAGCGCTGACGAGGGGAGCCAATGCGGCGAGGGTGGTGAGGGCGATGGAGAAATGCATCGTGATGGATGTAGTTGGTTTGAAGTTAAGCGAGTGAATATTTATTAAAGTTGTATAGTTCAGATGGACTGGATGAGGCTGGATGATCAGTTCAGTTGCGCGGGTTGAAGCCCTTTATATACTTTTTCCTTTTCCCTCGTATACTGGCAGTCGTCGACGGCCGCCTGAAAGCGACTCGGGCCCGACAAGACGGTGAACAGTTCAATACCTGATTAGCAGACATGTCGAAGCGGTATGTATGGTTGGTGCTCGCTATTTTTTTCCGAGACATTTTTGTTTTTCTCCCATGACGAGAGGTCCAGCAGCAGAGCGCCCCGCAACGTGGCCGAGTGTCCGGGATACGAGCAAGACCAAGCGACAAGTCACTAGCCCTACCCGGGCGATAGCGTGAGGTATATATATGCATGTCTCTAGGCAGGCAGAGAGCTCTTACCCCGGCTTGGGGCTCCAGCACATACATAGCTCGCCAAGAGTGGGAGGACCCTGAAATGCTCGTACCGTAGCGCGGCCGGAACGAGGTGCCCGAGCCAATACAGATGCAGCAACTGAGACATAGTTACATCCACAGGCACCGTGCAGACTGCCACATCGAGCAGTCCGGTTGGCCGTGTCTTTGGGAACTCTGACATCAGGCTCGGGAACTGAAAAGTGGCGTGGAGGGTCAACAGGCAAAATAAGACTCTCCACACGGGAGCTATTTTTATCGGACTGTAGAACCAATATGCATCGGGCTAGTTAATCCCTTAGGGCACAGAAGAGTTAAAAAAAGAAAGAAAACAAGGTAATCGCATTCTGCTCACCCTCACCCCCGCACCCGCCATCCCAGGTTAGAGCAGCAGGTGTGAGCGAGAGACAAGGAAAGGTAGAATAGTAAAGAAAGAGGAAACTAGTCTTCCATGTTCGAATCCTTCCCTTCCTCGTCCTCCTTCTCAACACGCTCAACAATAAATTTGAACACCTCGTCCCTGTGGAGCTGGAGCATCTCACTCAGTCCCTCCTGAGGCGACCGCACCAACTGTCCGTAGCGCTTGGCCCGTCTGCGGTCCGGGTCCCAGACCCCATGGGTGTGCGAGGCAATAACGAGCGAGTTTTCGCGGTACCACTTCGACAGCCAAACCTGCGTGTGGGAGGTGACTGCGCGCACGGGGTTCTTGTCGACGAATGAGATCACTCCGCTCACGCGCTGGTACAAGTTTTCTGCTGAGGGATCAGTTATGGGTGCTTGAGGGTTTGCCTTTCCTTTCCCGAAGGCCGATGTTAGGCGTACCTCGATTGATCAGGAGACTTGAAATCCCCGTAAATGATTCACCAACTCCAAGGAAGAAAATCTTCCGTTCCGGGTTTGGTCTAGGGAGCATGTCTTAGCGTTGGATCCAATCAGACAGGAAGCCACTTACTCGATATAGTTATCCCATATGTAGCCCGCCAGATCCTCTGTGGCGCTGGGGCGGTCCGTGTCGTTGTCCTCGTACTGATAGGAAGACTATTTGTCGGGATTTAGCAGAGTTTCTAGACACGAATGTTCTGACTTACCGAGGACTTGGTCACATGTTTCGGGATGTTGACATCAATGACAGCATAGCCCTGGCGAGTGATCCATGTGATGTACTCCTTTGAGACATCAGCCTAGGGTAAATTAGCACGGAATCGGCCTTCTGTCTCCTAGAGCCAGTATACTTACCAGCCAACAATTGTGGAGCTCCAGTTTGTTGTTGACTGGGTCGGGTTGGCCGATGAGCTCGGGTCTGGATTGGGTTAGATCGAAACCTTCAGATCCGGGAAAAGAAACCTTACGGATCATGGAAGTAGAGAATAAGCGGGACAGCTTTGTTGTAGTTGGGGCTGCAGGAACGTTAGACCCAGGAATTGGTGATTTGATGTCGTAGGCTTACCTGGCCAGAACCTGGTTCTCGAATGACTTGGAAACGCCCTTGCGATAAACATACAGCGAGGTGAGCTTGAAGCTATCGTACAAATCCTTTGCTTGGTGCGCGCGAATAGCATCCGTAGAGCTGTTAGCCGGGAAATCTCATCACTTAGGGCTCAGCCGCATACCGTGTAACCGTTCAGCCCAAACAGGGTGGTCATTTGGCCCCTTGGGGTACATACACTTCCACCAACCAGACTGGATCGCCATGACACGCCGGACGGTCTTGACTGCCGACGGGGTCGGGCTGGCACCCTGCAAGCGCCCTGGGGACTCACCCATCAGGGTTTTGGTGACCGCCAATGCCGACTTCGAGATAGATCGGAAATTGTATCCTCCCTTTCACCAAGTCAGTAATGGGACGCCATTTGAAAGCTCATGAAACACACCTCTAAGCACACCACAACCTTGCCATTGGCGAGAGCCATGAGCATGTGCGTCATGTGAGAGTAACAGGATGGCGAGACAAAACAGCCACCCAGTACATCGCCGGCAGCGGCGTCAAAGCCGGCCGCAACTGTATATGGTTAAAGAGAACCATAATGAAGGAAGACAGACTTACTGATGATGAGATCCGGGTTGAATTCCTCAGCAATGGGCATCACAACTTGCTGGAAAGCAAACATATAGTCGCCATCTCCCATGCCTTGCTCATCCCAGGGTATGTTGATGTTCCTAACGAAGTCAATCAACGAACAACATCACCGATGGAGCAACTTACATGCCAATTCCAGCTCCTTCGCCATTGTGGTCCCAGCCTCCTTCCGGGCCGCCAGGGTAGAAATCGCCGTTCTTGAAAACGTGGAGAGAGATGTAGAGAACATTGGGGTCATCGTAGAAGGCCTTCTGGATGCCATTTCCTGTGTATTGTGAGAGTCTTGATCAATCAAATGTGTCGTCCTAACATACCATGGTGAACATCCCTAGACATGGATCAGCATCAACAAACTTGACATCTTGACATGACAAACTTACCAGTCGAGAATCATAATCTTGCGACACTTGTCACCCAGCTCTCGCTGGCACACGCGCGCTGCAATGGACACATTGTTAAACACGCAGAATCCCATGGCCGCGTGGCCCTCAGCATGGTGACCCGGGGGGCGAATAACAGCAATCGCGTTCTTGACCTTGCGAGTAGCGACAGCCAGACAGGTTTCGATCGCACCTCCAGCAGACAGAAGAGCCGTCGAGAAAGTTAGCTTGTTGAAGTAGATAGAATCCCGATTTCGCTCCAATTCAATCAACACGTCATTGCTCATTTCTATAGTCCAGATCAGTTAATAAGCTCATCCACCACTCGGGTACAGACATACCCTTTGTGGATTCGACAAACGCATAGTGCGCGTCTGTATGGACGAGAGAGATCTCCTCTTTGGTAGCATCGCGAGCGGAGATCCGTTGCAGGGGCAAAGGTGCGCGAGCAGGATCCCAGTGGGGGTCATTCACCAGGCCAGAGCGGCAGAGCTCTTTGTAGATATAGTAGATGCGCCGGGGGTCCTCGGGATGAACGTCCGAGCTAGGCCGGACCTCGCAGTGGTAGCGCATCCGGTTATCATAACAGAGCCCCGTTGCGAGGGAGGCAAGCGGGAGACCCGAGACGACCATGGTCTCATCGTCAGACCAATCCGAGTTCGGCTCCTCCAGACTATCGCGCCTGATCACACTTCCTTCCGACCCGTCCGGCTGGGCCATACCGTCGGTGCCTCTGATGGGTAACGAGTCCTGCGGTTGCAAGGGCTCTGAACCAGGAGAGGGAGATGCTGGCACTGCTTGAGGTAGAAGTGATGGAGCAAGCATGAGATCTGGTCTGAGGTGTGCTTGTGTAGAAGGATGGGTGACAGGATGAGAAGGGAGAGAGGTGGAAGGAACTTGACCATGGGAGCCACCCATAACAGTGTCTTCGTCCTCTTCCATGCTGACTCTGCGAGAAAGCTAGCAAACAAACACAAGCCTCTATTTATAAGCGATACGGGTTGACTGCTTGACGCCTATAATTGCATGACCTCTCGCACTTTTGTTCAAGGGTCTCGGTGTCTTTTTCCTTCCACAACCAGGTGGATGGGTGCAGCAGCTCAATTATACACAGACCTGCTGTGAAGTTAGACCAAACATTTTTTTTCTAAACAAAGGAAGCCAAATGGAGGGGTTGCTATCATACGTTGAGGGTGGAGCTTGGTCCGTCCATCAATGACGGGTATAGAAGCACGTTGAGCTGTCGAGCTGTACGCGACCCTCGGGCTGTATTCCGTGAAACGGCTTTATCCGAAGACAGTAGTCCAAAATTCAAGACAGACCAATGCAGCTGGACAAATCAATGCCAGCCTAGGGTCGGCAGAGGGCCGAGGGAAGAGGGTCGGGGGTTGATTGGGGAGTAGGTGAATGGGCCATGGCTGGATCCCTTTTTGGCCGTGTCGCGGTTCTGCTGGACAATAGTCGTCACCGCCCTGGCCGCCTCTCATAACAAACTACGTCGTGGGGATGCGTTCATGTGGAATAGGAGCCAATTGCACGGTTTAGTGGGCTTTATAGATGGATGCTCATTCACAAAAGAAATTGTATTGTTTCATTAAATTCACGTTATCGGTGGGTGTTTTGTTTTTTTTCTACAAGGAAGAGACTGCCATCCCGTGCCCCACCTCAATGCAGGCATCACAGAGACCAAACTAGCTCCGCACTTCAAAGAAGGCTCCTTGTACCAGGCTTCTGTCCTGATTCCTACTGGCCATCGACCTTGGCAATGTAGGCTGGAAAAACTGTCAGTACACCGAAGGAAAAATAAAATTACTCGGGAACGCTTCGAGACTTACAGATGAGGTCAACAACACGGCGGGAGTAGCCCCACTCGTTGTCGTACCAGGAGACCAGCTTGATGAAGTTGGAGTTGAGGGCAATGCCGGCCTTGGCATCGAAGATGGAGGAGCGGTCATCACCGTTCAGGTCGGTGGAGACGATGTCATCCTCGGTGTAGCCGAGAATTCCCTTGAGCTCGCCCTCGGAGGCAGCCTTGATGGTCTTCTTGATGTCCTCGTACGAGGCACCCTTCTCGATGCGGCAGGTCAGGTCAACGACGGAGACGTTGGAGGTGGGCACACGCATGGACATGCCGGTGAGCTTGCCGTTCAGCGAAGGGATGACCTTGCCGACGGCCTTGGCAGCACCAGTGGAGCTGGGGATGATGTTCTGGGCCGCAGTACGGCCACCACGCCAGTCCTTGTTGGAGGGGGCATCGACCACCTTCTGGGTGGCGGTGTAGGAGTGGACGGTGGTCATCAGACCCTCGACAATGCCGTAGTTGTCGTGGATCACCTTGGCCAGAGGAGCCAGGCAGTTGGTGGTGCACGAGGCGTTGGAGAGGACGTTGACGTCCTTCTTGTACTCGGTGTTGTTGACACCCATGACGTACATGGGGGCATCCGCCGAGGGAGCGGAGATGATGACCTTCTTGGCGCCACCCTTCAAGTGAGCGGAGGCCTTCTCGGTGGTGGTGAAGACACCGGTGGACTCGACGACGTAGCTGGCACCGACCGAGCCCCAGGGGATCTGGGCGGGGTCGCGCTCGGCGAAGAAGCGGATCTTCTTGCCGTTGACAATCAGACCCTGGTCACCATCGATCTCGATGGTGCCCTTGAACTGGCCGTGGGTGCTGTCGTACTTGAGCATGTAGGCCTGGGTAACGAGACTCGGTTAGTATAATGCCTCGCGCCGCATGCGCGATTGGTGGGAATAACGACATACCGCGTAGTGGACCTCAATGAAGGGGTCGTTGACGGCAACGACATCGACACCGCCGTGGGCGATGCTGCAGGATGGCAAGGTTAGTTAGATTCACGGCGACCGGCCCCCCGCGATGGTGGGGGTGGAGGGGCAGCGCAAAACTTACGCATTGCGGAAGACCTGGAAATGCGAGTTAGCGTCGGATCGTGATTATGGAAAATCAGGTCACTTACAATACGGCCAATGCGACCGAAGCCGTTGATACCAACCTGTAGACGGGGAGGTTAGTGGGGGAGAGTGGGAGAGGTCGTTCCAGCTAGCGCATACCTTGGGGACCATTTTTGCTATGGGATCTAGAACGAATGTTAGCATGGGGGGGAACCCGAGTGGATGGGTCGAGAAGAAGGGAAGACTTACTTGAAGAAGTGGAAGGAAAGGAAGATGGATGAGTGAGAGTGTGAGTGAGAGGAAAAGAAGAGGAAGAAAAGGCAGGCGGAGGGGCAGAAGTAGGATTCGGGCGACTGACGCAACCACCGCTTCACCCTGCTTACCTTATACACTTCCGGTTTCATACACCGGGCAAAACAGGAGGCCTCACGATATTGTCCTCCACGCTGCCCCTCGGTAGCTACCGCGCCATCCAATCGGCGTGCGGCGATCAGCTCTGGCCGGGTCCTCGCTGTCTCCTCGGGAACACAGCTCGAGAATGTTTTGCCCGATGCTTTCCTACGAGGTTCGGGGAGAAGAGGTAATAACCTAGGCTATGGCTGACGCCGTTCCGATGTTTGACGGCCGGTCTGTTACTAAGTGGATGATGCCATGACTAAAGGAGGGAGAGTGATTCCATACAACGCCACTCCTCCCCAAAAACAATAATAATAATAATAATCCTACTCCCACTAATCCGAACCAGGGGAATCAGGGCATTTCGCCGTCTGACTATCATAATCCTCTTCCGCCCAGCAGCTTCCTGCCCCGCCACATCCGCATCTGGTCCGGATCAATGTCGGGCCCGCGGGGACTGCTCAAAACAGTCTGCGGTGGACGGACGCCCGGCTGGGACTATATCTGAAAGAGTCACCGGCAGCTCAACGTCGGGCGCACGGGATCCGGCAGATTTTTCTTAGGATGGACTCATTGGATGGTTTCTACAACTGGTAATTCCGTCTTTGAACTACGCCGTGGTCGATGTTATTATAAATCCAACATCGCCTCCACGGCACGACCACCCGAACACGAACGTCTCACCATGACCGGACCCCGGTGTTGTGCCCTACGGGTCATCGCCACTGAGGAAGTATAGTTTACAAAGCCAGTGGTGAATGGTTCGCCTACAGTTACAGACTAGGTTCGCTCTCATGAACCATGAGGATCCAAGCGTACCCGGACCCGAGTGGGATTCAATGGCCGGCAGACTCCACGGCCAGGAGCATTCGAAATGGGCTTATAATACAAGCAACAGAAGCGAGCGGATTTGGTCCTCTTCTAAATGAAACACCCCCAGTCACCCTCTCCCGTATTATGTACCGAGGTTTAAACACAACCAGTTGGGCGGACCAGAGGACCAAACCCCAGGAGCACACCGACGCATCCCATTTACTCCTCCTTGACACCGCCCCGCCAGTTCTTCTCCGCATTCTCGATCGAGGCCTTGTCGCTCTTGGGACCGCCCTGGGACATGAAGCCAGCGGCGGCCTTGAAGGGGCGCGCCAGGTCGCCGGTGGCGGGCTTGCCGAAGACGTGGATCTTGACCAGGTTGGACTCGAAGGCGCCCTTGAGCGGGATGATGGACTGGATGAGGAGCGGGTTGGTGTACTTGAAGTACAGGTGCATCACGCCCATCATGCCGACGCCCATGAGCTGGCTGCGGATCAGCTGGCGCAGCTGCGACTTGTCGTAGTCCATGTTGGTGGTCGTCACGGGCTTGGGCTCCTCGGCGCTGCCCATGGGTGCGGGCTCCACGTACTTGAGCGTGGACATGTCTGCGTGGGTGGGTGGCAATCAGCATCGGGTGAAGAACGGGGGTTCGGCATCACACAAACCCTTTTTCTGGTTGATCTTGGACTGGGTGTACATGTAGATGCCCAGGATGATCAGATTGGACAGCACGTAAATGCCGCGCACCAGGAGCAGGACATCCGGGTTGTCAAAGGGCACCTTCTTGGCCAGCTGCATCATGGCCAAGATGATGGCGAGGTTGGTCCTGAGCAAGGATTAGCCGTGTATCAGTTTTGTAACCACCAATCCATCCACATACACCTGAGCAGAGACCATTTTGGCGATAAACGTGGGGAGGCGGGAGGGCTTAAGGATAGGGATTCGAGTCGGGTGGAGGAGGTAGAACCGAACAGACGCGCGCACAGATTATTCTTCCAGGGACCAGCTGGCCCTTTGACGGAAGAATGTTAGGCCGATCGTCGAGTGCCTGAGGCACCATGATTATGTTATGCTCCCCTCACTCCACCCGACTGATGGTAGATTCAACATTGGACGCTCGAACAAACTACAGCTACTCACCCTGGCTCTCGGATTAGATCACACCCGCTCCGGCTGATCCTACCATGGAGATGAGACAGACTATTCTGGCGTGGCTCTCCCACATCCCGGTGACGGCCATGGCTGGTTGAAGCGCTGGGCAGCGGGGCGCTGCCACCAGCTATCTCACAGCCCTGGGCTGTCCACCAACAATGATCTACTGGTTCCCGGATGGTCGTCCTCTCTCCCACCGACGCGCTCACGGATTCACCCCGATCACCCTTCCTCACTCTCGATCGAGAGTGTCTCTGTGGATTCAGTTCCCTCCCACCGCCATCTTAGGTTCGCCGCCCAATCGGGACTAGCGTCATTGCTCTTAGCGACTGGCCCGACGCTGGACCAGCATTTCTCCTCCTTCCATCAACAACGCGCTGCCTAACCGCATTTCTGAATCGCCTCCCCATCCACCTTCGTGTCCCATTACTTTCGCATCACTTCTCACGCGATCTACCCATCGTTGCGCCCCACCCCCGACTTATTTCTTCACGATGCCTGGTGGAAAGGGAAAGTCCATCGGCGGAAAGGGCGGCTCCAAGGACTCTGCGGGGAAGGCCCAGAAGTCTCACAGCGCGAAGGCTGGTCTGCAGGTTAGTATCATCACTGTGCTAGGTGCCCCTGAGCATGCGACTGCGATCCGGGGCGATGGAACTCGATGAGGGAGACGCGTTGTTGTTCCCTGGATGACGAGGCCCCTCCCGGTCGCGCCCCTCTGGTCGCATGCTGTCGGCTGCCCACCCAGCTCTCTCTCCGATCGCGACCGTAATGTGTACTAACACAGCACCACCTCCAGTTCCCCTGCGGTCGTGTCAAGCGTTTCTTGAAGAACAACACGCAGAACAAGATGCGCGTGGGTGCTAAGGGTATGTCTTTTGCGGTGCCTCTCTCATTTCTTGACATTTCACTAACCCCCTTCCCAGCTGCGGTCTACGTGACAGCTGTCCTCGAATATCTGACTGCCGAAGTCCTGGAGCTGGCGGGCAACGCCGCCAAGGATCTGAAGGTCAAGCGTATCACCCCGCGCCACCTGCAGCTCGCCATCCGTGGTGATGAGGAGTTGGACACCCTCATCCGTGCGACCATCGCCTTCGGTGGTGTCCTGCCCCGCATCAACCGTGCGCTCCTGCTGAAGGTTGAGCAGAAGAAGAAGGGCCACATTGGGGAGTAAATAATGACTTCGCACGGGGTGGTCTGATTGAGAGGACTCACGGTCCGGCAAGCCCGGCTGTGTGCCCACCCTAGTCGGGTCCCTTTCTCTCAGCTTCTCGTTGTTGTTGTTATTCTTCTTCGTCACGGCGCTCCGCTTTGATCTATCTTGTGTCTATTCCCCGGCTTTTGTTTTCTTTCTTCACTTTGTTTTCTTTCTCTGCTTTTGATCCTTTTCAACTTCACCGGGCGCTGTAATGGGAAAATGGGGATATCCGGTAGTGAGGGAAATGTTACTGCTTCGACTTGGTTCCAATCGTTCAATCCATCTCGACTCTGTATGCGCTTTTTGGATCTTATATTTGTGTACGTCGCATACAGACCACGGAATCAGTCGAGATCTAGAAACTGGAAACACAGAGTGACGTTGGATCCCCAGGCCATTATTGTTACTGCAAGTAAGTCATGGATGCAATTCAAGCAAGGAGGCGCCCCAAGTGCCCCGTGCCCGGGTTTCCTGGAGTCGACAGTCGAGGCGCGGTGTGGCTGGGCTAGGGATCGACAGTCGGCATGCACGCGCAGGGACCATAATAAACAATCCATGCGTTTGTATGTGTACCCTGTCGAGCAGTCACTATGGTGATGTATACTAGGCAGGAGGAGTTCTGGTAGCCATCGATACAGCGCAGTTACAAATGGAGCGTCCTATTATTGAGTCAATACCCCTACTACAAGATCACGATGGTCGTCGGCCGAGTGAGACCCCAATGCAGCACGATATATATCTCCAGACAAGTCGGTATACATTGATCCAGACTACACCTACGCAGCTACACTTCAAACCATTTCAACAAACAGTAAAAGATACATGAATTGGCAGGACCTGCGAACAATTCGAATCAAATCCCTGGACCGCAACAGATACCAAATAGGAAGAGATGGAACCATCTCGATCAACCAGAGCAACCCGGACACACGGGAGAACCCAAAGAATCAAGAATCGACGCAGAAAGAAAACAGAAACAAGGATGAAACCCGCCAGGCCTGAGGAACCCATCACTCGACTCGAGTGAATTAAGGGACTCGCCACAGAAACAAGACGGGCCCCAGAAGCATTAAACGGATGCGAGTCGCCCCCCATGTACAACTAAAACACACAAGAATATGCAAATGCTGGTATTGTCGTCTCTTCCCTGCCGTCGGACAGGGTCTTTTGAGGGTCATTCTTCGTGGGTGTCGTCCACCAAGTTCGGACATGACACCAGAAAGCCATGAATTTGCATGCAAAGGCGCCCGCAGGATCAAAATGAATCCAAAAATAAAAATAAAAATAAAATAAAAAACCAAGCGAACTGGGGAGAGGAGAAAAGCGTGGCGAGTTCAGGAAATCAAAATAAAACAAGAAGCGTTCATCCAAACCGCGGCTCTGCTTGGGCTGCCCCAAAATATCGTCTAAACTTGGTTGGATCAGCGAAAACAAAGAATTTCCCGGGGTCTTTTTTTGTTGTTGTTGTGTCTTCTTTGGTCGTGTCATCTCGTCATCCTTCATCGAATCGTAAGGAGGTAATTCGCAGAACAGGGGCCTCGTGATACATGTCGTATTCGTCTCGCGGGCAAAACAAGTCGGATGCTGGCAAGAAAAAGGGTCGCCATCGTCAAATCTTTCTCCTCATGTCTCTCTCCTTTCGTCATATCATATCTACTCCACAATGATCTCTACTCCGGAGCTGGCCCGGAGTTCATCGCTGCCGCGGGATTGGTGGCCATTCTGGCGGCGAAAACCAGTGCTTTTGTCGGGAGTCGGTCCACGGGGTTGGCGAATGGGCATGCGCTCCTGCTGCGCACCGTCGTATCCCATGCCCATGCCGCGGTTGCTGCCGATGGCGCCGGCGTTGGTAGCCTGGTTCTCCTGTTCCCAAGAGAACATTCCCCTCAGTCGCCGGGGGCTGGAGTTCGGCCCACCGATCCCAGTTCCCAGGGAAAGACCGCCCAGGCTGTTGACCAGCAGGTTGTCATCGCGTTGCATGCCCAGAGAAGAGCCTGACGGTGCAGAGGTAAGGGTCGGAGTGTTGGAGGTCCCGCTGGGGGCGCCCTCGTACTGTAGGCGCGCTCCGTTGGATTGCAGGGCAGCGGGGAAGCTGGCGGAGGAGGGAACGGGCGAGGGAGTATAGGAACGCAGATCCGCAAAGGACTTGGCAGCTCGCAGGTTCTGCGTGTTCGCAAAGTTACCAGGCGAGTCCAAGACACCAAGGAAGCCGGAGGTCTGGCCGCGGAGGGCGTTGAAGGAGCCATGTGCTCCCTCATTACGAGCCTCGCTGAAGTCGATCGTGGCCGCCCGGTTCAGTCCGCGGCGACCGCTGTCGGCCGACTGGGCTGGCGGGATGGATGACAAGGGCGGACTCACATTGGTGCCAGGAGCGACTTTGAAAACCTGAACTTGACGCTGTTCGCCGCTACCGCGGGAGGCATGGGCCAACCCCATGTTGTGGGCCAGGGTGTGCACCGTGCGCCGCTGGACGGGTGAAAGGTTGGGCGGGAAGAGCACGGAGTCACGGCTGGTGTCTTCCTTGAATAAAAGGAGCTGGGAGTAGTAGGAAAGAGTCGCGCTATCGTTCAAATCCACATCTGTTGTGAAACTGTCAGCGGTTAAACGAAAAGAGAGCGGAAAATAAACAAACATACCAAGTTTCTGTCCGCGTTGCGAAACGGGTGATGGTGAGGTCGCGGGGATGTGCGACGCAAGCGAGGACATGGAACTCTGCGTCTGGAGCTGGGACGAGGGCATCGGGCGGTGCTGCTCCTCGAGCTGACCGCGGCGCTCTCGCTTCTCACGCTCGATCCGTTCCCGTTCCTGGAGGGGCAGCATCTTCTTGTACTCCACCCGCAGTTTCCGGCCCTGCAACTCAAAATGATTCAGCACCTCAATTACCGTCGCCGTCTCCTCGGCCGAGGTGAAGTTGGCGAAGGCCAGACCGCGGAACACGCCGTTGTCAAAATGGTAGTTGAACGCGTAGGGCAAGGGCAGGTTCAGCTCCGTCATTAACTGCACCAGCTGTTCCTTCTTGACGGCAAAGGGAATGTTCTTGATGACAATCGCGGTCGGAATCAGTTCGTCATCGCCCTCTGACGAAGCGGATGGTTCCGGGCGCATGGCGCTGCTTTGAATCGGCCCCGGGCCCAGGTTGGAGAAGGCAGGAGACATGCCGGGCTGCTGGTCGAGCCAAGTCTGTCCCACATCTGTTAGCTGTTGCTCTTCGCGGTTGTTCGACAGGAACAAGTCACTTACAGTCGGCAGACCGGTCCGGCCCCGGGCCGAGGGCTTCAGGCTGGCCGAAGACGACCGGATGCCACCCAGGGTCTGTGCATTGGCAAAACCGTTCGGATTCCACGTCTGCGACCCCGAAATGTCGTAGCCGTACGAGTTGTTCTGCAGCGACGGATTCAAGCGCTCCATCCGGGCGGTGTCGTAGCGGCCCATTTGGTCCTCGTAGAGATTGACGGGCATGGGGCCGTATGCGTCGAACTGGCGGGAAGACTGACGATGGAGAGGTTGTTGATGCCGCTGGGAGCCAGGGGAGCGCGCGGAGGGATTGTCGTGATACATGTCCGGTTGTTGATAACTCATGGCCGAGGAACGAGAATTCCTAGGAGGCTTGGGCCTGAGGAATGTGGGCACTGCAAATCCACGCTGCGCAACAAACCAGATTCTCAGAAATTCCCGGTGGCTTGCACGGGGCTACTCGATCATGAGAGCGACCGCACCAGGGTTCGGGAGTGGTGTGGGAGGGAGGATGGGAGGTGAGGGATGGAAAGAACGGGGTTGTGCGGAAAGGTCGAATGCGGGTACAGAAAAAACAGCAGCCCAAAACCAACTCAACGGAGCCGATCGAGTTGTCTGCGAGGTGTCGGAACCGAGTCACCGACCAGGCAGCACACAGAACAGATCTTTAAGTCAAGCGCTCACGGATGCAGGAAGCAAGAAGTCGTGCCCGGGTCATCAAGAAAGGGGGGGGTTAAAAGATGACAAGAGGGGGAGGGGGGGGTTTCGTCTTTCTTTCGGGAAGAAAAGTCAAGACTGGGATTCGTGCCCCGGTAGATTTGGAGATCCAAAACCACCGATGAGAGGAAGGGCAACGGAGAACGGGAGGGAGGGAGAAGGGGGTGGGGAGAGAATGAAGAGGGAGAAGAAGAAGAAGAATATTGGAAAGCCACGCAAGGCCTCTCGCGAAGTGCCGGGCTAAAACCGGGAGGTCCACACAACCGCCAAGAGGAATGGAGGGAGCAAGGAGGGCCAGTGTGCAACGCCTGATGTTTCCAAGAGAAAAAAGATATTTTTGCTTCAAACAAAAAAAGAGAGAGATCGAGAGAATAAATGGAAGAAGTGTACTCGAGAAAGGGAAACAGGGGTAAAGAGGAAGAACAAGAGCGCAAAAGGACGGAGAGTGGGAATTGGCAGGCCTCAGGCAGCAAGCGGAAGTTGAAAGAGTTACTGGTCTCGTTCCCTCCGAACGGACGAACTAAGAGTAATGATTATTTGGACAAGTAGCTACCGACCTCTCCATCGCATCCCCTATTCGCTTCGAGTGCAGGCCCTGACGATCGCCTCCGATTCGAGCATCCTCGGGTCCCTGCCGGAGTCTGCGCGGCGATCGATTCGCCGTCGAAGCTTCCACGCGCTCGGCTTGCTTCCACGCCGCTTCGTTAGGCTCGTCGCTAGTCGTGAATGGTGCGTGTGGACCATCTAATATTATTCACTCACAGGAGCCTTAGTTTGACCATGTAAGGGCGACTATTGATAAATAGTCCTCCCAACCTCCAACCGCTCGTGGGATGAGCACGAGTACTTCTGACAGTTGATCTGTCGAATTCATCAACGTTGAACCTCGTGCAGGTGATCTATATGATACACCAACTTGGTCCCCATAATCCTGCTCGACTGGACTATGTGTAGCAACGAAGAAGAAGAATGGACGGCCCAGCGGGACGGGCCACTGTCAGTCCCACTTGCTCGGAATTGGAAGTTGTCCTCCTGGGTCTGTCTCCATGATCCGCGCTTCCTCGGCCCTCGCATAGCTGGAAGCACGTCACGGCCTGGTCGACAGCGAGCGGAGAGAACTCATCATGGTGGCCCGCGGAGCCAGTTCGGAGGCCATCTTGACGGTTCCCCGGAGACTGCACCGGATGGGTTGCAAGCCATCACCGTGAGCGATGATGTCGGTGGGGACTTGGCACAGCCCCTGGCCCGGGTTAGCCAAGTCAACCTCCGGCAGACTATTTGTAGGATGTACAGCCCTGGGGTCAAACTCCGAACTCTGTCAATGCGCCGTAGTCTTTTCGGCGGAGCTTCCCGCAGTCAACCAGGCGGTGATGATGCGTCGCTACAGATACAATCATAAGTATCCCGCCTGACCATGGAACCACCCGCGGGACCGGCGACGAGGATTGGTCGCGCGCTGGACCACTTTTTCCCAATGGCGTTAGTCATCGCCAGCTAAAACGTCGATGACTATTAGGGGGCGAGAAAAGCGTACGGCTGGTTAAAAAGGCTCCATTGCGCCCACACGCTTTGAGGGGCCGACTTATGACTACCTGCGACTCGAGGCCATGAGGACCACGGTGCGCGCAGGTATCGCCATCGCCCTGATTGGCACCGTGCTGCTGCTGAAAAATCATCTGGAATACATCCGATCGCAGTGGCCGCAGTCCGTCGAAATTGCCACCACAGCCGAGGGGAGCTATGAGCTGAAAGATGGCGACCTCTATTTCGTGTCGGGCTCCTTCGTGACACCGACCGCTTCCGCTCAGGACTCCATGATATACACCGAATGGGAAGCGACGTCCACTCCAATTGTGGGAGAATCTACTCCCTCAGCGGCAGCGGCGGAAGCACCGGCGAAGGAATCGGCATCACCAGCCGAACCAGCATCATCAGAGGGACCAACGCTCCCCGAGGAACAAAAGCTCCCGGAGCATCCGACCGCTTCGGAGGAGAAGGCCGTGCCAATCTCATTATCGCAGAATGCATCGGTTGCAAAGCTTGATCAAGTCATTGTCGTTGGAAAGACACGGTGGGAGAACACAGACTGGGTCACGGAGGAACTGTCTGAGTAAGTTGATCTCCTTCCAGCGCCTCTACAAGGCAAATACTGACCTGCAGTAGTTGGCAGAATGCAATCTATGAGGTCAACAATCCGGAGGCGCCGTTGAGGGTCAAGAAGAACAAAGGCAAGGAAAGCAACGTCTATCTGCAATATATTTTGGACCACTACCACGCCCTTCCGTCGATCATCGTTTTCTTGCATGCGCACCGCGCTAATGCGTGGCATATTGAATTTGAGCAAGACAACGTGCGGAACATGCGGCGTCTGAAGATCGACCACGTCCGAAAGTCCGGATATGTCAATCTGCGTTGTAACTGGGGGCCTGGATGCCCGGACGAAGTGCAGCCGAACCGAGAGCAGCATGACGAGCGCTGGACGGAGATTGCCTTTGCGGACGCCTGGAAGAGCATGATGAACACGACTGTTCCGGAAGTCATCGCCGTCCCATGCTGTTCGCAATTTGCGGTCACGCGAGAACAGGTTCTCGCGCGCCCGTATAGCGACTATCTAGGGTATCATAACTGGCTTATGCAGACCCATCTCGACGACGAAACTAGCGGGCGCATTTTCGAGTACCTGTGGCATATCATTTTCGGGCAGGATCCCGTGCAGTAAGTCACCCTTGGACAATTACTCTGTGTGACAGACACTGACTTTGGTGTAGTTGCCCAGACCCGGCTGCTTGCGAGCATGACGTATATGGAATACCTACACTGGATGATCTTTTTGCAGAGGGGGAGCTAGCACGTCACTCTTGAACTATTAGATAACTGTGTACTACAACCTTCTACTTCCGATTCTCGATTGGCCGAGTAGTATATTTTTGGTCTAGTAGGATATTTTGAAGATTGACTTCATGATGATCGTAAACATGCACAATCTACTCGAAACTTTTCAATGGAGACTACCGCATAGCTTCTGGATACGATGCTTCGAGAGAACGCTGCGCATTACCCTTTTTTTTTCTAGGTGGGGAGGTTGGTAAATGGCGACACTCGCTGAACTGGTACAGTCGCGACCGTTATTGCCTTCCATGTCGGAAACATAGACACTCTCTTTTAAACCCTGATCACATGATACACTAAACCTAAAGTAAATGGTGCGTAAATAACCAGTTTTGTACGTACCCCGTCATAATACCAGATCTTATATGATACCAGTATGAAAGATACAACACAGGGGATGGCGACACGTGACCAAGCCGAGGCAATCCTAGGGGCGGTGGGGTGGGGCAGTCTGGGGGCTTTTTGCGGGATGGAGGCTTGGGGCCAATGGAAGGGCGAGAAATCCCACTGAGCCTCTGGTGGGATTGCTACTAAGGTATAAAATATCAAAAATAACAGGGTCTTTCATCCTGTTGCTTAGCATGCCAAAGAAAGGGGCCAAACTAGTGCAGAATTGTTGAGTCTTGCCTATCGCTGCTAATCAATAACTTACTTTAGGTTGGATTGGCCAATTTCTCGAAATTGTATCCACCTAATGCTCACTAGTAACACCTATCATTGTTCAAGACACGGACTATTTTCCTGGAACATGGCCCCCTCGAGAGGATCACAATATATTGTTAGCCTACCCCTAGACTAGACGAATCCTGAGGAATTCGGGCCAAAAGATGAGAATTAGCATATAGAGAAATATAAATAAAAGGGCAGAGTCACTTCCCTTCTAGGTAATGTTTGTCTATACAATTTCTACTTGAAAACGATGCATTTCCAAGCTTCCTTTATAGCTACTGGTCTCTTTGCTGGCCTAGCTCTCTCCCAGAATATTTCTATCACGACTCTACCGGCTGCCTCCTCTACTGAGATGCCTTTGTGTGTCTTTGTGACAGATGATGTGGAGGGTTGCACTGGCACATCCGAACCTTTCGCCGTTTTAGACAATTGGATGTGTGACAGTCCTAGTAAGTCGAAACATGGTCACCTAGATGGATGAAAATTTACCTAAGCCCTCCTTGGTACAGACAACCTTGGCGGAAGTGACCCAACAGGCACAGTTGGCCTCTGCGGTACCCAGGCCGACGGGTCATCTGTTGCAAGTCTATACATCAACGACCACGTGGTTACGTACTACGACAACCAAAACATTGACGACCCGCCTGTTTATTGCTCCTTTACCGCAGGTTTGACGATTGGTGCCACATGTGTTGCAACGTTAACAACCTCTGGAACACCACCTGCGACTAGCGCTCCAACTTCTCCCTCTTCATCTGCCTGGTATTAATTTTTTCTCCGTTATGAAGGAGTCGATAAAATACTTCAAGAAACCGTTTTGGCCAATGAAAGAGATGTTTTTGGCTCACGAGAATTTACGCAATGAACCTGGCCCTAATAATCCCAGAGGTATAACCGTGTTTAGGCTGTGCAGTTATAAGGGACTAGACCGTACTACGAATGCCTTCCTTATCGTTCGAATTTTGATGGTCGAGAGAGGTTGCCAATATAAATGAAATCTGGGCTTTTAATCATCTCCCAGCACCGTCGAATGTAAACCTCTTAAGCTGAAAAATAATACATCACGATATCTAAGTATACCCCATAGGAGGCTTGCAACGAATGGATACTCGCCCAAAATGCGCGGGTAGGGGTCCAAGTGGATCTGGTTCCGACTTGGGACACTTGTTGCGGCGCTATGGTGGGCGTGGTTATTTTTGGATTTGTAATAATACACCACAATACAGCTTACTTAAGTTTGCACTCGTTTAGCATTGTACCATTTAAACTCCGAACATTTCTTTAAATACTAGGCCAACCATAAATGGATTAGCGTATCATGTGATTAGGGTTGGAAACAGCATCTCTATGTTTCCAACATGGAAGGCGATTCTGGGCGCCTCTGTAGGTGCTGTGTTACGAGATGTGAAAATGCTTTGTTACGGAAAGTGGAAGTTGCCCACTGTCCCTCGCGCACCTCGGGATTGTGGAATATTAAACAACCTTCCCTCAAATTCCTGGAGACGCTTGAGCGGAAGGTGGATTGAGCACCGCAAAATTTGGAACATTGCTATATAGGATAGGTTGAAGGTCTACCGTATTATAATTGCTCTGACCATCTTTCCCTGTTCTTGCTCAAGCCCTAAAGCAAAATGCTTCTAGAAGATTCCCACTACAAATAGAATATTTCCGTGTAGTTAAGCTAAAAGTAGGTATTGATGGAAGCAGATCAGGCTATTCACTAAGGACTGTATGTACAGAGGCAGATTCCACAGTGGGATAACAGTCTCAAAGAATAAACCAGATTTTAAGGAAAGTCATTACATCAACCCAAGGATTTAGAGATGTTCCGCCTTTATTCACCTCAAGACCAATGGTATGGGTCAGAAAAGGCGTGTCAAACATCTCAGAGCAAGGCCAGAGGCATCATTCCCACGACAGCTGCCAGGGGAGCGACTCCGGGGATAGAAAGACCTGCGGCAGCGTTCGTCGTAGTCGGAGTGGAGCCTGTGGTAGAAGATCCCGCAGAGTTCTGGCCACTGCCATTTGAGTCGGTGGTAGTGGCAGTGGCAGCGGCAGCCGAGTTGGAGCTCAGGGTGGTGGCCGCGGCGGCGTTGTAAGTTGTGGTGCTAAAGGAGCACGAGTTGACGAGATCGAGAGCCTCTATAATTCATGTCATTCGAAATTCCCAGCCATTCTGATTGCCAAGATATAGAATACCGTTGTCATCATCGTCGTTATCATTGTCATCATCGTTGTCATGGCCATAATCATGATCATGATCATGATCATCATCGTGGCCATACTGAGTGATACAAGCTGCGCAGAGCGGGATCTGAGTACTCGCAGGACCCCAATTGCAGATGCACTGGAGCTCAGCCGAGTCATCATTATCGTGCTGATGATCGCAGCTTTCGGAGATGCCCACGACAGGGCCACATGCCGGCCAGCAATGATTCGGGACGTCGTCGTGCTCCAGCTTTGCAGCGATGACCACATTGCTGGCGAGCACAAGACCGCCGAGAGCGAGAAGTTGTTTGGCATGCATGTTGAATCAAAGTATGGTGAGTTTGGAATGAATAGAATTATTGTTGTTGATGCCCATTTTCAGGCTGTAGATGGCAGCATATATATATCTCGTGGTCCTGTTTCTATAAATGTCCTGGATCCTCCCAGATTTGCTGGTCCAAGGACATCGCCGACAATCTCCAGTCTTTCTGATCCCTTGTCGGGCATCTCCATCGCCCTGAGGGAAAGGAGTCGGATACTCAGCCCCAGACTAAGGAGACCCTTCTTGGCAGCGGGCGCGATCATCTCCACAATCACCAATGTTCAAAGTCCAAAAGTAGCTGCCTGGGTCTGCACGAAATCAGCCAAGATTGATAGTGCAGAGATAATCTCGTCTACATAGTGGCTGTGTCGCGCCTACTTGATGTCCCCACTATCTTTTTTCTTCGGGCGTGGCTCGAACTACATCGCACACTTCCAGGCTTCTGCATTCTTGCCTTTGGTCCTCTGCTGTCATTGGGCCCGTGTTCCATACTTCTCGGTCTTCAGTGCCGACTCGCGTGCCTTTTCGTTTATCCGGGCTGTCTCTGGGGCTTCTCATTTCGACTCCACAGGCTTGGCCCTGCTCTCAAAATAGCATCAGACTTGATGAAAGGTTGTAAGCGGTGACGTCTTGGAATGCTGTCCCCTTAGTAAGGATGAAGTTGACATCCCCCGCAGGATCGGAACCTTTCTGTACACGACGTCACTGCCACTCTCTCCCGACTACTATACCCCACAACATAAAAAGCTGTGCATACTACAACTAGGCATCAGTGGCCATGGCTCGGATTGGAGCCCTGTCTTGGGAAAAGTACTGCCTGCGTCCCGTCCAGGCCAAAGTTCCCACCAGCATCCCGGTGTTCATCTATGGCACAGCCTGGAAAAAAGACCACAGTGCTGATCTCGTCTACGCCGCGGTCAACGCCGGCTTCCGGGCAGTGGACACAGCGGCTCAGCCTCGACATTATCAGGAGCAGCTCGTTGGCGATGGAATCCGCAGAGCCATTGGCGACGGGGTTGTGCGCCGAGAGGATCTCTACGTAAGTATGCTATCTCTAGCATCTCCAGACCATGAGCAGCTGAACCTGCTGTCCAGGTGCAAACCAAGTTTAGCCCCGTGGCAGCGCAGGACCCGGGCAATATGCCCTACGATGTCTCTGCCTCACTGACGGAGCAAGTTCATGCCTCGATTAAATCCTCGCTGCACAATCTGCGCCCAAACGTCGACCCAAACAGCGTGGAGGACTCATATATCGACACTCTGGTTCTTCATTCTCCCTTCTCGACCATCGCCCAGACCCTGGAGGCCTGGTCGGCCTTTGAGACTTATGTTCCCCATCGCATCCGCAACTTGGGCATTTCTAATTGTACTCTGCCCGTGCTTCACGAACTGTGCACGTCAGGCCAAGTTACAGTAAAGCCGGCAGTGGTACAGAACCGGTTTTATGGGGATACACAGTTTGATGTCTCTTTACGTGCCTTTAGTCGCCAGCACCAGATCATCTACCAGAGTTTCTGGACCTTAACCGCAAACCCTGCCCTAGTTCGGTCTGCGCCTGTACAGCAGCTTGCTTCTCTGGTTGAAATCACTCCGGCCGCTGCTCTGTACAGTCTGGTTATGGGTCTAGGGCATGTCACTGTCTTGAATGGCACGAAGAACGAATCCCGGATGGTGGAGGACCTTGCCGCCCCAAAGAAAGTGGAGGTATTCACGCAACAGCAGCCTGATACTTGGCAGAATATCTTAGCAAACTTTCAGAATCTGATTGGGGAGCCTGGGGCATAGAAATGAGAAGGTTACCTTGTTTTTGAGGTATAGTCTTGGAAGTACCGGTACCTGATTCTGTACCACATTTCGTAGGCCACGGCAAGTAACAAGTACCTAATTTGCTGACTCAGCTGTCCCACCAATCAGTGCCCGCATCCGCACTCGACTGATCTCATCCTCCGGAGATTTCGCATCACTTCCTTCTCTTGACGCCCTTTCCACTCACCACTCGTCGCCGCTTTTCTCCTGTCATTGCTGGTCGTTTCCTGCACGGCCACACACTTCACCCGTCCCGCAGTTGATCTCGTCTGGATCCCGTCGACGGCCCTCGGCCCAGTGGACGCTTTCTACTGGCGCCCGCCCGGTCGGTCTGGATGTTGGACAATTAATCGCCTGCTCGTTACGATCGTCATCAGACACAGCTTATCGTTTCTGCGCTTTCAGATTCGATCACCTGTCCCCGGTCGCCGTGTTTGCGCATTGTTCTTGCAATATTTCGATACCTTCGCTCACTTCCCTCCGCTTTTTTTTTGGGGTGTACGTGTAGTGAGCTCAAATCTTCACATGACTCAGGCTTGAATCAACTTCACGACCGCCCCTCTCGCATCTAGGGGCTTCGCGTTTTATCTGCGGCCTGATTGCTTGGATTAGATATCGTGATCGCTTTTTATTTTCCGGAAACAGCGATTGGAAAAAGGACATACACCGAACTCGACTCTGGTCTCGCGATAAGCCCAGCCTTCACCCATAACTGATTCACTTCGATGAGTTTGCACGGCATGGCGCGCAAAAGGCCTGCTCCGGGCACTACTCCTACGGTTAATCCCCAGATGGGTGCGGTCTCGAATTTCTCGTCCACCAACCCCGGCTCTCAGCTGTCAAACGATCAGTTCCTGCAATGGGGCCAGGACCCGTCGAACGCGACCAATGCCGCCTCCTTCCCTGATCCATCTTACAACACTGGAACATATCCCACAGCTGTACCGGCAGGGTCAGCGGCAATCTCGAATCAACTTGCCCGTCGACAGCCGTCAAATCAACTAGTCAGCCGAAACCGTGGATATGAGCAGGCTCCTACATACGTCGACCATGCTGGAAATGCGGGCGATGGAGACTCGGGAGCGTGGGAAGAGTCCCTGGATGAACTCAGCCAGCGGGCTGAGGTCGCGAAGCGAGAGGCCCAGGAAAAAAGGAAGCAGATTCCACCATTCGTACAGAAATTGAGCAGGTAAGATCTCACCTTGCGTGTTGAGGTTTCCCTGAAGCTGACAGCGGGCCCCTAGCTTTTTGGACAAATCAGAGAATACCGATTTGATTCGATGGTCCGACGACGGCAACTCTTTTATCGTGCTAGATGAAGACGAGTTTGCCCGGACGTTGATCCCAGAGCTCTTCAAACACAACAACTACGCATCGTTCGTGCGGCAACTCAACATGTACGGATTTCACAAGAAGGTAGGACTTTCGGATAACTCTATGCGTGCCAGCGAACGAAAAAACAAAAGCCCCAGCGAATATGCAAACCCGTACTTCAAGCGAGGCAAGGCAAACTTGCTGTGGCTGATTCAGAAGCCGAAAAATGCGGCAAGCCATGGGAGCAAGGGCAGCAAAGGTGGAACGCGTGTCAAAACGGAGGAGGCTTACGAGAATGAAGCGGATGAGTACGGAGATGATAACACCCGCACAGCGCGCGAAGACCGTGCGCGGGGACCAGGGCAATTGTCGTTGGTGACCGACAGCGCCTTGCCCAAGGATCAACTGACGGGCGTTTATCGCGAATTGCAGGCGATCCGCCAGCAACAGCAAATTATCTCCACCACCATCACCCGATTGCGGAAAGAGCACGAGCAGCTCTACGCACAAGCGGCTAATTTCCAGGAGCAGCATACCCGCCATGAGAACTCCATCAATGCCATCCTGACATTCCTGGCAACAGTGTACAACCGCAGCTTGCAGGGCCAAGATGGACCGCAAAACCTGGCGAACTCATTTGCTGGGGCAATCTCGCAGGATCACCAAGGGAATATTGTTGACGTGGGAGACGACTACCTCAGCGCTTTGGGGTCTATGACTAGTCCTTCTGGGCAAAGACATGGGAAGAAGCAACCCTTGCTATTGAAAGCGCCACCTGTTGCAAATGAGAATGGCCGTGCTAGCACGATCTCGCCCTCGGCCAGTGGTCCCTATGAAGCTCGACCTCGCGGCCATGCGCGACAACCCAGTGCCACGCAGCCCAGGCATGTCGAGGAGGTGTTCGACAACAGCCCACGACAGACCAGCTCGGCCAGCTTGCCACACGGACAGCAAGATGATAGTCATCCGCAACGGGATATAATGTCCGTGATCCAAAACTCCAACGCGAGAAACGGCGTTCCAACAAACTTCTCCGAATTCCCCGATGTGCTCTCTTCGCTCGAGACATCCGGCGGCAATGTCCCTCTCACTCCCAATCAGCGCGCCGACATGCTTCGACTCATGGCCAATGAAACACACTCCGCCGACCCCAACACCTCGGACTCTCCCAACAATGCCCTTATCACGCCAACACCGCCTCCCATGCCACATAACTACTCGGGCCGACTCGCGAATACCCGCCATGAAATAGACAATCTGGTCAAGATGCAAGCCGAACAGGACCGCTCTGTCCAACACCTGACCAACCTTCTCCAACCTCTCAGTCCGACAGGCTCCATCCCCGGGATAGCGAGTGACGGCAATGTCCCGCCGCCGCCACTTGACCTGGACCAAATCTTCAATAACGACTACTTTACTGACTTGGGAGATCCGGATTCAAAGCACCTTGGCCACAACACGGCAGGCCACGATGGTACAGGTGCACCCGACACTGGTGGCGCTCCCGCAGACAACGGCGACACCAACGACCTGTTCGATTTCGACCACATTCCCGCCGAGGATGAGCTCTTTGACGGATCCAGCCATGATCAGAGCTACAACTACGGCTTCGACGACACGGGCTACAACCACGCTCCCGGGTCGGAGAATAACCAAGAGTCGGGCCGCGTCATCGAGCAGTTGACCGACAGCGAAGCCACCAGTCCTGCGGGAACGACGCAGGGTGAGACTCCTGAAGATGGAGGCAGTGCCAAGCGCCGCAAGAGGGCGTGAGCAGGAGCTTCGGGGTCTTTGACCTCAAGCAGAGGTAGAAGAAAAGTATGATAGGCTGGCTTCATGGCGAATACCACAGGCGTTGTTCATATGGAGTTTATGCCTGTTCTAGGGCTGGGGCAAAGAAAAATTGCTGAGTTGGATTGATTTGATTTGTCAAGGGTAGAGTCAAAACGAGACCATTATTATTATGAATCCTATTATGATCCGTATGTTCAGAATTGCGTTTGTCTAGCGGATGTTCTTTCAGACGTCCATTTTGCTATTGCTGAGCACCATGGCTGTTTCATCTTGTCGGCTCAGAGAAGTATTATGTAGATCTGTTTATTTCACAGATACTCCATTCAGGATATCATCACTTCCCCCGATCCCACTCCAAATCACCCACTCGTTCCCGCTTCCGCTCTCGCTCTCGATCCCGTTGCAATCCCCGACGACGTCCACTGCCGCTTGCCCCGGCGAGCTCCTTCTCCCGCTCGCGCGGATCGATGACCATCAACGAGTCTGCATCGTCTGGGTGATCGCGCTTCCAATTCAGATCTTTGCCGAGTCTATCCTTGCCAAATCGCAGCTCGTGCGTGAGCCAGCCTTCATCGTCACGGGAATCATCTGCCGCGCCGGCGGACGGGTCATCCCATGACTGACATGATTGGCAGTTTGCGATAAAATGTAGATCACAGAGCTGGGCCTCCTCGTCATCTGCGTCTGCTTCCGCATCTGCATGTTTTGAGGGCCGTCCGCTGGCTTTCGTGGGATGCTCCGTCTCTGCGCCGTCCAGCTTGGCCTTGAAGGCGTTGAAAAGTCGGAGTGCCTCGTTCTCGGCGGCGCCACCGAACCCCAAAGAGCCATTCATGCTGCTCCCACGTCCGGCGCCATTGGATGATGACCCCGGTGGCGGGCGTCTGCGTCCTCGAATCGCCGTCTCGGGGATCATAGCCTCGAGTGCAGATTTCTTGTGGCCCGTGTCTGCGCGGCCCGTGTCGACGTTACGGCGCATCGAGGCCTTGAGTGATTCGATCTGCGCATTTGTTCGAGATAATTTGGATTCTTTCGCTGGTGGAGAGCTCGGAGTTGGGGAACGCGCTGGAGATTCGAGGTCACGCAGAGGCAGTTGAGCGTCTGGATCGGGTGACCGTGGCCGCGGCTTGCGTTCTGGAGAAGGAGATCGTGGTCGTTTCCGTGGTGGTGGAGAGGGTTTTTTGCTCGAGGCTGCTCGGGTGATGCCTCCTTTGCTCCACCGGGGACATCTGCGACGAGTTTGGTGTTGAATTTCGGCTTGGCCGGCCGCATGGGCATCTCTTCCTCGCCTTCATCTCCGCCAAAGCTCAGCAGCGCTTTGCCCTTAGTCGGCTTCTTCTTCTTCTTCGGTTTTTCATCGGCTTTGGCTCCAGTCGTAGACACGACCTTCCGGTCCTTCAACTTGCCAGCCAAGGGACCCAACTCGCCCACCTCACATGAGGTCACCTTGACCGGGTACATGGGACGCTCTGTGCCTTCGACGCGATCTGCCTCCGCGATCTTGAGTACATTGAAGATACTGTCGCCCTCCAGCCGCCCGAAGAGTGTGCATTGGTTATTCAGCTCGCGCTCTGTATTGGCGAGTGTGATGAAGAATTGACTCCCGTACGATCCATCCTCGCTCTTGGCCATCCCCACCAGTCCACGCCGAGTGAAGCGCAGTCGACTGTGCAGCTCATCACGGAGCACGACGCGCTCGTCCGGGTCGCGGGCTTCCGGGTCATATTCGAACTCGGGGTACTCGTAGATAGATGTGCCGCCTGACCCCGTGCCGGTAGGATCGCCGCCCTGGATCACAAAGTCGGGCGCGACACGGTGGAAGATGGTGCCGGCATAGTAGTTGTCCTTGCAGTGTTGGAGGAAGTTCTTGCAAGTGAGCGGTGTCTGGTTGGCAAACAGGGCGATGTGGATCGGGCCGACCGTGGTGTTCAGCGTGGCGGACGCGGTGGGATTGGGCTCAGTGGCATACTGCGTGGACATGGCGGAGGAGATTTGAGGTTAGGCGTCACGACATCGCTCGTGGAGGTGGAGGTGGCAGTGGGAGGGAAGCAGGAGGGAAGAAAGTGGAGGTTGCGAAAATGAAGTTCGGACGAGTCACGTCATGCCAGGGACACCACTGAACTGCCATCACTAGGTATTGTCTTTAAACTACATGCTTTTCTCCGGGATATTGCCAGTCTCCGGGACAGGAACATAGACATACATCAGGTGCAATGGGAATAATGTCGCTTGCTACAAGAAGACAAAAAGATATCACTGGTCGCTTTCGGAGAAATGTTGTCGGTGGTCTGGTTACCGGTGAGTCAGTCGCATGGAGAAAAGGTTGCCGGATGGTGTTGATCAGGTCGTCCAGTCGAAGCAGCAGTTGGTGACGAGTGCACATCCGGGAAAGTCCACAGGGAATTGCGTCACTGTATCAACCGTGCTAGTCTGCTAGATGCCAGTGCGTGCTGGCGAGCAGCCCTTCCATCGAGCCGGAGTCCCCGCCCTGCCCGAGAATGTGTAGCCCTAGCAAGTGTTGAAAGCCGGAGCAGCATTGAGGCTCATCTCTCAAGTTGGCGCGTTGGGTAATATGAGAGGAGGAGACGGTTCGCTATGACATGAGTGGCCATTGTGGACTCCGCCGGCTCCGTCGAACCCCGAGTCTCTCCGGGAGGACTCTTCCTCCTCGTCCTCTGGACTCTCCGAGCTTTTCGGTATATGGTCCTGCCGCTCTGCCCGGGCATGAAGCCCCAGTCGAAACCTGAGCCGTCTCAGCGTCCGCTCCGAGATATCGTACCCCTCCTGCCTGAGGAGCTTGAGCATCGCCTTGTCGGTCAATCTATCGTGCACGAAAAGCAGCTTGATGCGCGCATGCAGAGGTTCATCAGCCGTCGTGGTGCGGTGTCGCTTGCGGATCCCCCACTTGCGTAGCCGGGACTGGATCGTGCGCTCGCGCACTTGGATGTTATATCGGCTTTCGAGGGTGCGGCTGATGGAGTCGCTACTGATGCCGTGTTGGAAGAGGGAGATGATCTCGTCGCGGTAGGGATCTAGGTTGATTTGTTGGCGGGGCATGGTGGTGTTGCATGGTTAGTTGGTGTGGTGTGGTGCGAAGAAAGGGAAGACAGACAAGGCGAGGATAACAAGAAGCCTCGGGAACACAAAACGGGACACGAAGGCGGTGAGAAGTATAGGATTTGTATACGAATGTTTAAATTATGTTGAACTAGTACAACTAACGTATTGACTAAAAACAGACAAGCTATTTCTTGCCCTCGGTCATGGCACCTCCCGTGCTCTCGACTACACTACCCTTGCGCCGCTTGGCGATGGTGAAGCCACCGAGCAGGAGGAAGACCGCTTCCAGACCCAGAATGACGGCCAGCGTGACCATGGCGCCAATGACACCAGCAACGGGGCGCGAGATCCCGCCAGAGCCACCAGAGGATGAGTCGTCGGATGTGGAAGAGGCGGTCGAGCTCGAGGTCGCGCACGTACCCGTTGTGAGGCCGCAGACGTCGCACCACTCCGAGTCGCTGGTGACGGCAACCTTCTGGGTCTCCGACACAAAGTCGGACCAGGACATCAGCTCGTTCCTCGTACCGTACAGCGGATAGGCCACCGGCTCGTCAGATCCGGTGAGGGTACCGTTATGGAAGGTGAAGCGCACGCTGATATCATCGGTGCTCGGGATGCCGCTGCCAGTCGCGTTCGTCACCAGCTCCCACACCGCGGAGGACGCATAGTCCGGGATACCGGTGAAATTCACCGAGGCCTTGGGCAGTCCCATCACCCCGAAGAGCGAGAGGAAGGTACCGTAGGAGCCGAACTGAACGCCCAGCAGCTCACCCTGGCCGGTGACGGTGGCGTTGAGGCCCTGCAGGATCTCGCCGGCCAGAGAGGCACCGGCAATGGCCCGCACGGGTTCGGAGGCATTGTAGGCCAGGCCGTACTCGTGGGCATTGGCCAGGGTCAGGAGCTGGTCGTACGCCGCGTCGGTCAGCAGGTCCTCATGTGGGAACGACGCGTTGTGGATCCGGGCGACATTCAGGTAGTCGAAGATCGTGTAGGCGTTCAGGTAAGACGTGGAGGACTCGTTGAAGGCCGCGGTCAGCATGGGCGCCAGGGACTTATAGAAGTCGTTGGTAGAGGAGAGCAGCTCCAGGTACTCGCTGGAGTAGAAATAGTCATTGCTGCTGACAGTGGCCTTGGGGCAGCCCGTGGCACCCTCCAGCCAGGCCGAGTTCTCGCTGTCATCGCCGGTAGAAACGACGGAGATCGGGATCAGCTGGTAGCCACCCAGCGGCGACTGAACAGTCGTCCCGTTGGCGATCTTGTTCTCGCCAAGGGTCGGGCCGACGGGAGGGTACACGCCCTGCATGAAACCCGTGCCGGAGTTTTGCAACACCGCATCCGAGGGTGCCGAGGCGAGGACCTGGGTGAGGTCGACGACATTGGGGCTGATGCCCTCGATATACTTGGCCGAGGAGTTGTCGATGTAGCGGTTATTGTAGAAAGTGCCCGCCGCAAAGACCTCGTGGTAGCCCAGGTCGGTCAATACAGTGTTGCCGGAGATCTTGGCGGTACGATCACCGTGGCGCACGAAGAAGTATGCACCCAGCACACGCTCAGCCGAAGCTAGTGGTGCCACCATCGAGGCCGCCAGGAGGCCGGATTGAAGTGAAGCGCGCATGATTGATTATTGAGGAAATCGGAATAATCGTGCAGGACGAGAAGAGGAAAAAGCAAGACGGCAGTTGAGGGGAAAACCTCGTCTTTATCAGTGTTTTGCGTTCCTACTCTTCCACTACTACCCTTACCTGCAGCGTCCGTCCGCGGAAATCAACACCGACGGGCATGCAACCAATCAACCTATCACTTTCTGGCAAGGTTTTCTGGTTCGTGCCGGGCCATGAGTGACTAAGGTAGGCATGCTGAGCCTGCAGTGGCCAGTTAGGGCCAAGCGTGGCTCGTGGTGGAGTGCTCTGTGCTCTAGAGTCCTTTAACAGCACGCCAACCGCGGGGCCAGACACAGCTCTTGTCCGCTAAGACCCCACGCCATTACCAAATATTCTCTCGGAGGCCCCCGGTCGACCGGGAGCGATGCCCCACTGAGCTCCAACCAGTAAGTGCTGCCGTGCGACGCCGCGGTATGCCGGTCCTGCAGTCCGACCACTGGTCTCTGCGAGAGGATTGGCGATGGTCACTGACCTCGCGGCTTTGGAGACCCAAAGGGTTTAGCTAGATCTGCAGGCTAGATGATTCAAGTCAATGCATTCCAATTGGTAAAATTGTCCCGATATTCCGATTTCATCGCTATGTAAATGTCTTGTTTACTTCCCCTCTCGAGAATTCAGACCGCTACACCCTTATCGCCCATCAGCTCACACCCGTTGCGCACCACCCCAACCATGCCCCCGGTCTGAACGGCCTCGGACCCGCCACCTGCCAGCCTCCACTCAATCTCGGCCAGACCTTCTAGCCAGGTAATGCGAGTTTGGGCGGGGACTTCGAGCTGCTGTAGTTGCTCCGCCAACGCAGATAGTATATCAGCTAACGCCAGACCCTTGGTCGACTTGAGCGTCTGCACCGTGTTCAGGCACGAGGTCACATCGCTGGTCGACAGGATCGTAGTCATGATCTGCTGGATGTCGGCTGGGTGTGGCGCCGCAATGCAGTCGTAAATGGTCCCATTGGTGATCGTCTCAGATTCCGGGCGGGGTTCGGTTTGATTTTTCGTCGGCAGGGGCATGCTGCTGGCATGACAGGCTTGCAGGACATTCAGGGCCCGTCGCATATCACCTTTGCTGAGGGTGACAAGACTGTCCACCGCCTCGGGTTGGATGCGGACCTGCTCCTTTTCGATCACTTGGTCGACGAGAGTGCGGATGTCGGCCTCTTTGAGTGGGCTGAATCGGAACCGCGTGCATCGTGATAGCAGCGCGGGCGCAAGCTTGTGGGTGTAGTTGGCAATAATGCAGAATCGCGTATTGGCCGTGTACCGCTCCATAATCCGGCGGAGAGCCATTTGAGCTGCCGATGTCATGGCATCGGCCTCGTCGAGGATGATCAGCTTGAATCCAGCGAGGGAAGTACCGGCAGTGGACTGCGGTGCCATGGAGAAGATCTGTTTCGTGCTGGCGAACGTCTTGATCTGCTCGCGCACCACATCGATGCCGCGGTCGTCACTGGCGTTCAGTTCCAGCACCATCTGCCGCATGTTTTTATTGCCGTATATCCGTCGTGCCAGCGCGAGGATCGTGGAGGTCTTGCCGGTGCCGGGCGGGCCGTAGAGAAGAAGATGAGGGAGTCGCTATCATGTTGATTAGTATGCTGCTTCCCTCATGGGGCGAGATAGCAAATACATTTGCTTCGATAAAGCGATTGACAGTCGCGAGGATGTCCTGATGGCCAGAGACATCGTCTAGCGTGTGTGGCCGGTACTTTTCGACCCTGTGCAGGCATTAGAGTCGAGGTCGTGCGTTCATTCAGAGAGCATGGCTGACCAGGGCAGATTATCTTGAGCTTCGACCGGCAGGTCAGCGGCCGTTCTCTTCTTGCCAGCACTCTCCGAGCTGAACTGGACATCCTTCGAGGGCGCATCGACGTCCATCTCATCGTCGTAGTCGGACATGGCGGGCAATTCGACAGATCAAAAAGAAAACGACGCGTGAATCAATCAGGCGCGTAAAGAGGCTCGGGACGGAAAATCCTCCACTCCCGCCATGACATGCTGCCTGCCTTACGTGAGTGTGTTAAGTCCCCACCCATTATTCCTCCAACACCTCCACCACGACTCCTCTCTCTCTCTCTCACACACCTTACCCTTCACAATGCCAGTGAGTTCTGAGGTCGGTATGGTTTATAGCTCACACTGCTAATACTGTCCATCAGGCATATCATTCCATCTTCTTGGAGGACCGCGATGTCCCCGTCATAGGTAGCGATCCCCTCCCCGCCCCGGCGCAGCCACCTTACTCCAGAACACCGTCGAATTGACCGTGGTACTGCTCTCCAGGGAACTTCCCAATCCTGCCTCTGCGCACTCGCACCCGGGGTCCCGCATACACCCTCCCCCAGCTCCCTCCCAACACCTTGGACATCGACGTCACCCCGGACAACGAATCCTACGACTGTGTCGACGAGATCCTGTCGCTCTTCCGGGCCAATGTCCTGTTTCGCAACTTTGAGATCAATGGTCCGGCTGACCGCATGCTCATCTATGGGACCCTCTTCGTCAGCGAGTGTCTTGGCAAGGTCAAGCCGACCATGACCGCCCGGGATGCGGAGAAGGTAGGCATGAAATGATGTGCTGCAAAAGACACAAAAGTCCTGACATGGAGACGCTTAGGCCCTCATTAATGCCGCCCTCGAAAACTTCGCCGTCCCCGGTGATGTCTCGTTCCCGCTCAACCAGGCCTTTGAGCCCCCACGCGACCGCCAAGACGCAGAGAGTCTCCGGCAGTAGGTCTATACCTTCTGTGTCTGATCATTTACCGCTCTGACCGGGTTCACTCCTAGGTACATCTCGCAAGTGCGACAGGAAATCGCCGTCCGGCTACATGCTCGACTATACCCTGGCGGAGTCGGGCCGTCAAAGGTAAGCTCCATCCGAGTTCATTGGAAGGTCGCTAACGATACCCGCAGTTCTGGCTAAGTTTCACAAAGAGAAAGTTCATGGGGAAGAGCCTGTAGATGATGCCCGCATTTGCTATACATTGTACTTTCTTTCGAAGATTCAGCGCATGAAATGGAATTGTGATACTACTCCGCCCAGCTCACTTTTTGCGTAACAGGTTTAAAAGATGGAATCGTTATATTGGTACAGTGTGAAGCTGATGATTTTTATACAGATGTCGATGCCATCTCGACATCTGAATCACTGCCCGGGGTGGCCGTGCTGGTCACTTTCCGTCGTTTCCGGAAGGCGCCTGCGGCCTGGATCGTCTGGGTAGCGGGGAACACGCGAAGTCCATGGAAGAGATAGCCCTCTGCGCCGCCGCGGCTGGACATGAGGGGGTGGGTACGACCGGGCAGGACTTGCCACTGGCGCACGCGTAATGTGTGCAGGTTGGGAGGGAGCAGAATGGTGGGATCGAGTTCGAACTCTTCATTCAACGCGGCGTCTGAGCACCCTTGTGTCTCGATCTCCCGCTTCCGGTGGATGAATGCCGTCCTCCGAGCTGTGGAATACATGTCCATCAGCTGAGTGAGTGGCTCGATGGTTGGTGAATAGACGGCGACAGAGCCCGACCCAGCAAGCAGTGGCACCAGATGCTTGAGAATGCCTGCTGGCTCCATCAGGGCGCTAACAATCAGTCCATCAAATCCACCATCTCGCGCCTCATCCACCACGCCCTTGACCTTTTCCCATCGATTGCGCTTGTGGAAATATGCACTGCGTCTGCTCTGCTTGAAACTTTCTAGCTCCGATGCCGGGACGACGGGTGGCTCATTTCCGTAGATGGGATCTGCCATGGGGTCAATCAGCTGCATCCAGCTGATCGATTTGAGATGGGTGTGGAGAGGATGTGATTCGTCGGGTTTGTCCGTGTCGTAGCCAAAGTATTTCAAGAGGGATAGGTTCGGTTGTGAGTAAGAGTGGACGACGGTGATGGTGTTGCCGGATGCAGACATTGGGGCTTGACGGGGACGCTTGTTGTGAGTGGGCTGTTGCTCGTCCTCATCGCCCTCGTCTTCGTCCCGGGGGTATAGAATGCCCATGCGCTCGGCCATTGCCGCCACAACGAGGCCACCCGTATCGTCGACCACAAAGTACCGACTATTCGGCTTTGGCACTGGACTTGAATCCATCGCAAGATTTCCACCGTGGTGTACATTCGCCAAACAGCCGAGCAGACCGATATGTTCGTCCCGCAGCTCCAAGGTTCTCGCGGCATCCCGTCCCTCCAGAATATAGCTGGTGAGCAAACTCACGTCCATCGGGAAGATGGTAAATCGCTTGATGAACTTCTTGCGCTTCCGTAACGTGTACTTAGCCAGCGAGAAGGCGGTCTTTTGGTCCAATGCCGAGTGCGACTGCAAGATTTTCTCGACGATCTCTCGACCCGCCCCCGTGGCCGTCTTCTTCAGCTCTTCGATCTCCTGCACCGTCAATCGCTGCGTCGATGAATCGTCGATCGTCTCTCGGTTTGTCCGCATTGGGGTCCCATCCTCTTGCTCCAGGCCCTCACCTTCTCCGTCGACGTCGGCGTCTGCGATCAGGGCTTCGGCATGCAGTTCGGCGGCGGAAACGGCCCGCAGCACATGGCCATCCTTCTCGTCTGGGTTGTCAATTTCATAAGTCATGTAGAACGGCCGTCCGATGATCTGATTCGCGGGGAATAAGCCATATTTGCCCAAGTTGACGGTTCTGCATCGCGGCCATCAGCGCTGTCAGGTTAGGCTGCGGGGGGCACTCACGTATCCGGGATGAGCTTGACAATCTTCAGCACGTCTGACGGCAGCCGGAGGGCCACGAACTGGTGCGGCCGAATGTAGGAATGCATGCTCGGCAGGTACTCACAATCCTCCTCTGCTCCTCCATCTTGGGAACTTTTTTGCAGCCGAGTCCAGCTCCCGCCAATCACAGCCCGGGCGGTCAATTCCCGGGATTAGGTTTTCCCGATACCGTACGTGACCGATCTCTGGTCTCTCCGCAAGCAGAAAGTGGATGCCTGGTGACATACATCATTGTTGTTGCTCGGCGCTTCTCCAGGGCATGGCCCACCTGCCCTCCTCTAGCCAACATCAGATAGCCAGAACTCACTAGCCGAGCGTCGCCAACGTCTATTATTGGTGACACATCACGGCGCTTGGATCATAGCCCCTGCAGACCATCCCAGCTGTCTTCGATGGGTCCCGTACCTGATGGCTCACTTTCCCGAGACTACATCAACGGCAACCACCCCACCCCCCGAGACATAGGGCGTTGTGCTTTGTTTCTGGCATAGCTGGGGGCACCTTCTTTGGATCCTATCCTTCATTTTCAGCCTGATTTGGTTGCGGCTCTTGCTTGCTAAAATTATCCCGTCCAAAACCGCCCCCGCGTCACTCCATCTAGTACTAGTACATTTCGACTGGACGGACCCGGCTTCATGGTGCTGCGCAAATCGCCCCCACCACGCCTTGAGAACATCTCCAACAAGTGGGCTGCGCGGTCCGAGTCTCGCTCGACCACGTCCCCCGCGAGCTCTCTTCCCTCGCCTGGACAGCGTGCTCGCCTGAATCGCATCCCCTCCCAGGACTCAATATACTCCCCCGACCTCAATACATCACCCGCGTTCGACCTCATGCCGCTCGAAGAGGCACAAAAGTCCCCGGTCGGGTCCCCCACCAGCTACCGCCAGAGCCCCTGGCCAGATGACATTCAGGATCGAACGGCTCAGGATCGCCCAAGATCCACGCAGGAAGAAACAACTTCGGATGGTAGCGGCCACTTGGTTCCAGCCGTTCTGCGGACAGGTCCACAACCAGGACCGGCAGCCGATGGATGGCGCGGATCAACTCCGGATACCTTCAACGGGGTGTCTCCCATGCAGTTGCAGTCGAATAACCCGTTCCTGAAGCCGCGGACGTCGCGGCCCAGCCAGGACATGAGCGAGGAGAGCCAGCGTGATTCGCATACCACGTCTAGTAGTGGGCCGCTCAGCCAATGTACGTTCAGGCACCCACACCCTGGAAATGGCGGACACTAACTTCCTCTGTAGCGGAAGGCTATATTCCCATGACCGCACGACTGTCTCTTTGGGACAAGCACGGGCAAGAGCCATGGGCTGAACGTCAAGCTTCCTCTGTGCAAGACCCTGTATTTCCTGGCGACCATCAGCACGATCCGGACAGCCAACTTCCGGCTCAACCGGTCAGACAGCACTCGGACCCCCAGTCGATTTACTTTCAAGGGGAAAAAACAAACCCATATACCCCCTCTGTTGTTGTGACCCCCGACCCATCCAATAGAGACCCATTCGATGTGCAGCAAACCCAACACCCGCACACTCCAAGCAAACTCACCTTAGAGGCCGGAATCCATACCCCGTCGGCCACGATCTCCAGTGCAAACACGGCAACCACGGCAACCTCTCACGAACTCATCGATTTCGATGACACGGATCACTTGGGCGTCGAAACAGAGTCTTATTGTGCTCCATCGTCTGTGTACTCGTTCGAGGGCGGCGACGGGGCCAAGAAAAGGGAGCTTATGGACACCCCGGAGCTAGAACGGGCCTCGTATTTCTCCAAGGTTAATACGGAGTTGCAAAAGTTGTCGGCGCAAAGGACGAGTATCTCTGCTGCAGAGACCGCGCGACAGAAAGAGCAAAGGTCCGAGACCTATGCTATTCGACATGTCAACTGGACAGACCAGACGGGCCAACTGCAGGAATCCTCAGTTCTTGTTCAAAACAAGAACGGGCCATGCCCCCTGCTTGCATTGATCAATGCTCTAGTACTGCGCGCCGACCCTAAGATGCCAACACCGATTCTCAAGGCACTGCAATCCCGCGAGCAAATCTCGTTGGGGCTGCTGATCGAAGCAATGTTCGAGGAATTGACCATGTGTTTGAGTCCCGATGAGGAGTTCCCGGATATTGAAGCCCTAGCTCAATTCTTGACGATGTTGCACACCGGCATGAATGTCAACCCGCGTTTGACTTTGGTGAGCACCACGCGCAATCTTGAAAGCACAACAACTGATCTGTTGCCAGGAATCTGCCGACTCATTAGGCTCGTTTTTTCAAACCAGCGACCTTCGACTGTACAGTACATTTAGGGTGCCTTTGATCCATGGCTGGCTTGCATCATGGTCTAGTCCGACGCACGAAGCCATGTCTCGGGTCGCGCAATATCATGAGGATATCCAGCTCTTGCCCTTCCGCAAACACGAGCTCGAGGAGCGTGTGATGCGTGGTGAGCCTCTCACGTCAGAGGAAGAGCAGGCTATGGCGGACATCCAAACTATCCTGTCATTTGTGGACATCGAAACCGCCACGCAGTTAAGTCCCTTCGGTCTGACTCAACTAACCACAAAATTGGCTCCTGGCTCAGTCTCCATCCTCTTCCGCAACGACCATTTCTCTACTCTTTACAAGCATCCAACGTCACATCAACTCTACAGTCTGGTCACCGACGCAGGCTATGCAAACCATGCCGAGGTCGTTTGGGAATCCCTTGTCGATGTAACAGGCTTCAATGCAGGGTTTCTCTCTGGCGACTTTCGTCCTGTTGGGAACGACCCTTCGGCCATCTCCGGTCCTGCCGGTCCACGCACGTCAAGTGCTACTGCCAACCGCCCTCCTGCTACGAGTGAAGATCCCGAGAGGAAGCTATCCTCCCAGGAGCAAAGCGATGCAGATTACGCCTACGCGCTCTCTCTCCAGTTTCAGGAGGAAGAACAACGTGAGACTACCAGGAACGATCGTCGTACCTCCAGTCAACCCTCCCCTAGCATGAACAATCCACCCAACCGAACATCCAGTGCTGCCCAACCTGCCACTGGCCCTGATCCGAATGACCCCACTGCACCTCCTCCTTCATACGAACAGGCGGCCAATGGCCCGGCATATTCACCACCACAGCAGAGGAGATACCAGGCTACACCGACGAATCGAAACCGGCACTCGCAGGGCCACCACCCCCGCCGATCACCCGGTGCCATTCCCGTCGGGAGTTATGATCGAAATAGAGATCGGAACAAAGATTGCATCGTTATGTGATTTATCTATACGATCAGTATCTCATGCCGTTGCTATGGCGCAATAGGCCTTTTTTCTCTCTGTTCGCTGAACACACTTTTATGGTCCTTTTTTTTCCATCTAGCTAGCGGCATTTATTGATGACGGAACGAATTTGATGAAGTGATGCATGGCCCTGCAGTCAGAAAATTGGGGTCAGATGGATGGTGACCTTGTAGCTTAGAATATTTTGAACTATATTTAAGAACAAGCCTCCATCTGAATTGTGCTCCCAATCCACCACGGATCTATTTCCCGCTATACTCCGTCTTGCAGCGAGCGCCACAGCGGGGTGAGATGGACCTGAAACGGCGCAACGAGGTCCTTGATCTGCTGTTGTGGACCAATCGCTTCTCCAGTCTCGGGTTGGGTATTTGAAGAACTGCTGAAACCCCAACACGGGCCAAGTCTCCGGGGCAGTAATGTAAATTGCCTACCTTTGTGATGATCTACATGCGCGGACAACCTAGCCTTGGATCCTCCAACCCTCGTCTTTATACATCAAGCAACCCGATGGAACCATTTGATGTCGGTTCGCCGGCCCGCTTGGTGAATTGGTCAATTCACCATCGGCCTTGGCTTCTTCAAAGAGACGTTTCCCCGTGTACCTTAAGATGCTGCAGGGGTTTAACCCCCTTACTAGCAGGGATAAGCTTGACTCTTTCCCAAGTCCTTGACCAGAAATGGAAAAGGTATTACGGAGTCTACCTCCTTGCCGTGATATACTCGGAGTAGGATCTGTCACTCAGTTAGAATATGATAAATAGGAGAAAGTGCTCTGTGATAATCTCTTGAATGTAGCTACTATAACGGCAGACAGCCTTTGCGTCGGAATATTTCATCATGCGGGTTTTACTTGCTGCCGCTCTTGCGGCCATCGCCAGCACTACCCGAGCCCAGGTTGTGGGTTATGGCCAATGCATGTGTACCCTGTCTGCTGTGCTCAATATTTGGAGTCACTTAATTAACAGCATTCAGGTGGGGGAACTGGATACACTGGAAGCACGAGCTGCACTTCAGGCTTTTACTGCACTTCGCAGAATCCCTGTAAGCTCTTGAACGCCGATTTTTACTTGTCCAGGATTCGGCTTATATATCTCAAGACTACTATCAATGTGTTCCTGGAACCTCTACGACAAGCACTAAGACGACCACTTCAGTTCATTCAACGACGACAACGACAACTGCAACTACGTCGAAGACAACCCTAACGACAACTACCACAACATCCCAGACGACGACCTCGACAGGAGCCACTTGCACTGGAACATTCAGTTCTATTTCCGCATCCGATTTTGTTGCTAGCCTCCACCCGGGATGGAATCTGGGCAATACGCTAGAGGCCTATCCCGACGAAGGATCTTGGAATAACCCACCGGTGGTTGCATCCACATTCGAGATGGTGAAGTCTGCCGGGTTCAAGAGCGTTCGCATTCCAGGTCTGGACCGCAAAAATTCTTCCCACGATTTATATTGACGAGTTGCAGTTACCTACGCTTATCACTTCATCGGCGACTCCCCGGAGTGGACAGTCAATTCAACGTGGCTGCAGCGGGTTTCGACTGTAATTGATATGGCCACCTCCCTTGGCCTTCCCGCCATTGTCAATGTTCACCATGGTCAGAAAAATCTTCAACCCTAAAGTAGTACACCTCTTACTAATCGTTTTTAGATTCCTGGATTTGGGCCGATGTCACCCAGGCCGATGCTAATATTACTATGATCGAAGAGAAGTTCTACCGACTATGGTATCAAATTGGTACCGAGCTGGCCTGCAAGTCCAGCCTCGTTGCGTTCGAGCCCATCAACGAGCCGCCCTGTGATAATGCAGACAACGCTGCGGAAATTAACAGGTTGAATCAGATCTTCCTGCAGGCTATCAACGATGCTGGCGGATTCAACTCCCAGCGCGTTGTGACCTTAGTTGGTGGCGGTGAAGACAGCATCATGACCTCCGAGTGGTTTGTGGCTCCATCGGGCTTCTCGAATCCATATGCGATTCAGTTCCACTACTATAGTCCCTGTGGGTTTCAATCGTGCCATATCTTATATCTTTTTCCTGACTTTTTATAGACGACTTTATCTTCAGCGCTTGGTAAGAAACACCCCTGCACTGTAACTATTCCACTAACCCGCAGCAGGGGCAAGACTATCTGGGGTTCCGACGCCGATGAAGCTGCCTTGCTGTCCGACTTGACTTTGCTGCGTAATAATTTCACAAATGTCCCCATAGTGCTCGGCGAGTATGATGCTTCTCCTACCAACACCGAGCCAGCCGCTCGCTGGAAGTATGTTGACTATCTCATTCGCAACGCTCTCTCCTTTGATATCTCCTGCCTCCTCTGGGATAACGGTCTAGATCATCTGGACCGCACTACTGGTGTCTGGCGCGATCCGGAATCGATCTCGATGATCACCAAATCGACTGAATCCACCGCCAACAGCTTGCCAGACAGCACCGAGGACGACAACGCCGCCACGCAGTGGTCGTCGGCCTATATTTTCCATCAATACGGGACTGCCGTGGTGGCGCAGAGTTTGCCTTTCATTTTCAATGGAAATACGCTGTCCTCGATAAGCGACTCTACTGGCTCAAAATTGACATCTGGGACGGACTACTCTGTGTCCGGATCAAACATCACTTTCTCGGCCTCATATCTCTCCAAGCACTTGTCATCAACGACAGCGCCGGGAGTCATTGCAAACCTCACTGTGACTTTCTCTGGTGGTGACTCGTCACCCGTCATCCAGATTGTCCAATGGAAAACCCCGACTCTCTCATCCACCTCGGCCGTGGCATCTGCTGTCGAGGGTGCTGACCTCTCTATTCCAATCACATGGGGCGGACTGGCTACAGTGGCGGCTGTTAAGGGCATGACCACTAGTGGCGTTTATCTGGTGGATAGTTGGACGGAGTACCTTGGTCCTATACAGCAAGCTAGAATGGTAAGTCTCGCTTTCTTTGTAGGTTGTGTCTACGCTAATATTGAGCCGTGTAGACTTACTCGAGTCAATATAACTGGGACGCCTCGGATGTGATCATTACGTCCTCTGCTATTGCCTCTGTCATCGCTGGCGGTGAAACGACTGTCTTTACGTTTGAGTTCTTTCCTCGAGACAATGGTGCCGTGAATGCGGTCAATTTTACCTTGACAGTCTGAATGTGGTCCCTGGGGTCTATTGTGCGCTAGTCGATTGATAGGAAATGAATATATCGAACAATGATTTGTACCCATTCTACTTGATATAACACCCATTATTCCGATACCGACCAATTAATTCCATGCGCCGAGTTGCCCAAAGGTCGCGATATAGTAGTGTACAAGAAAACAAGCCGTCAAACATGAACAAAAGGGAAATCATTAATAAAGAGTCTTCCTCTCTCGCAACGGGAGATGCGGGTCGTATTTATCCCAGATGATCTTGTTCTTTTCATCCAAATGGGCACCCTCATTCGTAATGGGGATAATAGGATCCGTCTCACTGACTTCGTGGTGACTGAATCCCCACCTGTCACGCGGAATCCAGAGCGTCGCCGGGGACGACGTGATGCACGGTTCGTAGTACGCTGTGCTCATCTCCTCTGGAGTATACTCGATTTGGGCAATGTTGCGCCGTACCTTGCGGCATAGTTTGGCGTAGTCTTTGTGTACGTCCGGGTGGAACCAATTCCAGATTGCCGCCACGCGCCGTGATTTGCGGCGCGATTCGTTGATTTCGGCCACAGCATCTTCTTTTGCTTGCATTTCTTCCTCTTCTGCATCCAGGGTCCGCGGCAGATAGGTGTTGAGCGGGGCTACCGCTTCGTTGAGGGACATATGAGCCAAAACTGTCCCAATGGTAAATAGTACCATAATGACCACGGGCCCAATGGCACCTTTAATTGCACATAAGCCGATCATGCAGATTTCAGCCAGATAGACGCCTGTGAGTAGATGCTGCAGCGCTCGTGGGTACACGAGGCCCTTGGTGTCGATGTTGAGATCGTATACAAACAGGAAATTATATCGGTAGGCTTGATACACCAAATACAAGCCAAGGAAGGAAAAGGCGAGAATCAACGGCGCAATGCAGGAGTATGTCAGTGCTAGAGCACGTTAGCTTGGTGAACCGAAAAATGCAAGATAATTCTTTACCAATCACACCCATGTTCGTGAAAACGGGGAAGACATTTCCCCAGCTCACGCCGCCGAGCTCTGCCCAACGCTCGAAAAGACGGCGCGGAGAGTACGCAAAGAAGGTGGTGATAAATTTGAACACCACGGCGCTGCCAACTTGGACCAGAGCGAGTGAGCTGGTGCTCAGCCCTTGCAGGAGAAAATACGAAATGTAAAAATTGGTCGCTTTGGGGAGATTCTTGGCCAGAAGATCCTTGGCAGAAAGAGGATTCTTGATAATCTGCTCCGTAGCCGCCGACGCAGCCGATGTTAGGGTCGTCACCAGGAAGACTTGTACTACTTGGAAGACGAAATGGGCGCTTTGTGTGAAAAGCTCCACTCGCGCCAGTGACGGCACTCCTGATTTTCGAGCGCAGACTTGTGGGTTGCAATTAGCGGAGTTGGATAGCCGGTGGAGAGGAATGCTTACTTCGACAGATAATCGGCACCAAGGACATCAGCAAAACCAGGGCGGCCGACGGCAGCAGTCCTTGAATAGCGCCCTTGAGAACCGAGGGAAGATGGAGAATCCACCTCAGGAATGGAAGCAGCTTGCAAAGGTAGGTAATGTTCGAGATGGCACCGACGATGGCAGCGGGAAACGACCAGAAGATGACCAATGCAGCGATTCCTCCCTGGACAGCAAACCGGCGAACAATACGTTGCCACCAGCTGAGATTCAATGCCCCCCACACAACCTCTTGCGGCGAGATACCAATGAAGCGTGGTGCCATGTGGAAGGGCTGATGGTGAGATAGGGTCTGCAGCGCAACCTGAGCTTGAGATTGCGAGCCAAATTCGATAAAAACTGCAGACAGTTGCTTAGCTTCGCCTTCGAGGTGCTTCTGTTGGAGAAGTGTAGCCTCCTCGGTCACCCTGGCCAGTTCCGACCGATACCAGTGGATAGAGTCAACTTTCTTGCCAAATAATAGTTTAAGCCGGTGGGTGGGCCGCTTGACCGTGGTGTTTGCAAATGGATCGTTTGACTCGCAATCCTGGCATGTGTCGGCAGATAACTCCCCTTTCTTCAGAGCATTAATGCGGTACTTGTTCGCCTTTCGGATCAGCTTGGTTTCGGTTCCTTCCAGTTTGTAAGAGAGTTTGTCACGTTCGATGACCAACTTGTCCAGCTCCTTGCATTCTGAGGTGATCCAGATCCGGCGGATTGAATCGCCAAATACTTGTCGCAGCTTCTTTTCGTTCCTGTAGTCGGGTGGCACGTTCATGAAGAGCACCGTTCTCGACGACATTCGAGAGGAGTAGGCGGGGGAGTTAAGATAGGCCTGGCGCAAATTCGCATAAAACAAGCTCTCCCGGGTTACCACATAGAACACAAACGCTGAGACCCCTGTCAGCCTTGCTCCAAGGTGCGACAGAAATGTGGCACTCACTGAAGTAAACACACGCCACCAAAACATTCGCATAGTACTTAGTGGGGTTCTTGATATTGCTGAAGCTGAGAATGTCGAGCTGGCTGTTTCCATTGCCGCCGGTGGCATGAATCGGGAGCAGGATGGGCCATGTGATAAGAATCCCGACAAAGGATATCGTGCACAGCATGCGCAGGAACCGCAGGAACAAATACCCATCCAAGGAAGAGTGATGAAGCACATGGTTGTCCTCCATCTTGAAAAAGGTCCCGAACCAATTGATCCAGCCCGTAGGCAATTCAGGGCTCCGCTGGCTGGGGGCAAGATTTAGCTGCCTGACAGCGTGCGTGCAAGAGACGCTACTTACTGATCATGGAGATCCGGCAGGTGAGATCTCGGTGCGTACCATCGGCGTTGTGTTCGTCGGCAGATCAGAAACAATAGAAACCAGAAGGCGGCAATAATCAACGCCGGGACCAAAGTCGTCACAAATGCCGAGAGCGACGAGTCGCTGGCACCAGTGGCCCCAGCGGCCAATTCGCCCGAGGTCGAACTGGGACCGCCACGAGATGAGCCGACATTCGGGTCACTGTTGGGATTCTGCAAGCAAGGTCAGTGAGTGTGCTTTTTGGCTGGACGGGGCCACATACGATACTAGGACTCGACATGGCGAGAACCTATTTCCGCAAAACACAGCGAGACTGAGCAACCAGGATGATAAAGGAGGAACCTAGCTCCTAATAATCTTCGCCTGAAGGGGAAAAAAAGCATTGCGTCGGCCCGTCCCCCCCCCCTCCCCACCGAGCATGCCTGTCCATTTTTGACCTGTCACTCGAAAGGAGGTAGGCTGCCGTACATAGATCGCACGCCAGCCAATTTTTCATGGGTGGGGCCCATCGAACCTAAATCCGGGATTGTCATGCTAGGATGCGCCGATCTTGCAGTCTGTCCAGCATCGCGAACGGTGAAGGACTACAGTCAATTCCTGGAACTGGGGGTTGCCATCCACGCTCTGCTTCCAATCTAAAAACATGGGCGGCAACAACCTGTGCACGGTGCCGGTAAAACCACTCGCGGAGGACACTATTGAGTGGAGACGTGTCGATCGGAATTGATGATGACTTCCAGTACTAACAGTCTATGGCCCCTGAACTCAGCAGCCGGGGCGCCGATCCATGCGCCGAACACCCCCACGAACTGCCATCTCGGGACAAGACTTCCCATTGGTGTGCGATGGCCCGCAGCGGCAGTGCAAGGTCATTCGAGCCGATGGTCACACACGATGTCAGTGCGGGACGATGATCTGGGCTGCAGAGTTCATGGCGTTGTTTGTCCTACCGTCCCCCGAACTCAGGGCTGTGGTCATAGGGCTGACCAAGTGGGTGAGAAGCGGTTGGCGTCGTCATTGTTCACCACACACGATCTTGGGACTAGCTTGTCAGGGCTTCTTGGACTTTTGGACTTTCTGACCGAACGCAAGGGGGGGGCCTGTCTTCTCTGGCGGTGATGACGAGAAATTCGGCTCGGTGGCAGCACCGCACATTCCCAAGGATGGTGAGTGATGCCTAATGCACCAGCCCCGATGAGGATGCCTCGATTGGAGCTGCAGAGTTGCCCCGTTTCGTGATCTGGAGGTTCGACATGTGCAACCACCATCAAGAGATCGGATCAACACTGGTGTCACGGCGAACATGTGGGACCCGTCGCTGTCAAATCCTCGGAGATCTACTCGAGTCAGAGAGGCTCGAGCCAAAGACAGATGCGGCGATGGCCCGTGCCTTGGCTAACCATGCATTGACGAGGGTCGTACAGGAGACGAAAGAAATAAGTTCTGCCAGTCAAGTGTGAGAGATTCGTGGACGATCCAAGTCCGCGTCTTGCTCACTGGGGATGGACAGATGAGGTGCATGTAGTGGCATCGTTATATACATTTCGCTATTATCCATTATAGCCCCATCAAAAACACGGGTCAACAAAAACCCCAAGATATAGCGTAATTTAGACAATATTGATGCAGAACATATGGGTAGCTGCCCAGGTATAGAGTGGTAGCCCTGAAAGGAAAAGGCGGTGGGTCGCATCCCGGCAGAAAAAGCCCCCCGTCAACAACTTGGGAAGCTTGCCTGTCTCTCTCTGTGTGTGTGTGTGCCAGACAAGATGGACGACTCATCAAAAGAGGCGCCTTTCAATGCGCCCTTTGAGAAGCAGCCATTCCCGTCCCTGTCAGAAGACGACCTCGCCTCCCCAGATGGGCCAGGAAGCTATGTCGAAGAGGACGGCAGTGTCACCTCTCCGGGCTACGAGGAGGTCGAGGTGGAGGATGATGCCGACTTCCAATCGCATTACTCCGAAAACCAATCTTTCTCTGACTCCGAGGATGATGATGATGGTATTGGAATGCACTCTTCGCTCCGACAGTCCACCAGCTCGCTCCATGGACCCAATGCTTTTGCGCCTCCCTTCTACAACCGGCCACCGACGCCTCTGCCGCCATCGCCCTCGCTGACCTCTCTTCTCCGACCGCCGTTCTCAACCACGACCTCGCGCCCAACGACTCCGGACAGCTCGGATGTGGAAACCCCGAATGACACTGAAGCTGCCGTCGCCAAGTCCGCTCGGCGCGCAACCACCGTTCCGCGCGCCAGTCCCAAGGTTCCCACCTACGAGTATTACGGTTTCGTCCTATATCTGGCTTCGTCTCTGGCATTCTGTAAGTTGTAACGTCAATCGGGCTGGTTTAATTGGCTGATCGATGCCAGTGATATACATTCTGTGGTCGTATCTTCCATCCCCATTTCTCCACCAACTCGGCATCTACTACTATCCCAACCGTTGGTGGTCGCTGGCAATCCCAGCGTGGCTAGTGGCGTTGATCATCTACATCTACGTGGCACTGGCATCGTACAACACCGGTTACTTGACCCTACCTATGAACAGCATGGAGAATATCGTGGACGATGTCGCCAACGTCGCAGTCATTGACGGAAAAGCGCGACGACGACCTGGGGGAGCAGCAAAGATGAAACCGGGTGCGACGTCCTATCAGATCATGGGCCCTCAGAATCGCAAGGTGAACTGGCAGGAGATCTGGAACGAAGGCACCGACGCGGTTATGGATGTGCCGGTGGGAGGCGTGTGTGAGGTGCTGTATGGCCAAGAGCGGAACAATGGCTTGGAACTCTCTTCGCAGACGGCAGATTATCGGCGGTCTTCTTTCTCATAGCGAGTGATTCACTCCCTCTATAGACTGTTGTCGCCAATGATGTCGTTCGTGTCACGTGACTCGATCTTTCCTCAAGGGCCGGAGAACCTCTGCTTTTCCTTCTGTTCTTGCCATCCTGGTCCACTTCAGAAAACCCCGCGCGGTGGTGACTGTTGGCGTGTCACCATGTCAGATCAACCTTCGACCCCATCCCGATCCGGTCGCCCGGGACCAGGGGAACTTCCTCGGGCTCCGCTGACGCCAGAGCAAAAGCAAAGAATCGTAGGTGCCCGCATCCAAAGGATAGGCTGCGGAAACCAGTGACCATTTTCTAACAGCGCCCTTTATAGGAAGTCAACCGCATGAAAGCCAAAGCCCTCCGAGAACAGCGCGACGCTGAACGGGCCAAAGCCGCCACTGCTCCGACCTCTTCTCGCACAGCACAACCCACTCAAGGCGTCAAGCGCTCCTTCAACTCGATGACATCCTCAGATCCACCGGCAACCATGCGCAATGCGCGCACAAATACGGCCTCGTCGGAACTCGACGCCATCAAGCCTGCCCGCAACTTCACTCGATATGTCGACTATGACTTTAGCAAAATGACCGATACCAAGGGCGGATTCTTGACACAGGAGGACGACCCATTCAATAAAGCGCTTCATGTATCGGATGGAAAGGAACAGAAGCCGGCACATATGACACAAAAGGAATGGGAACGCCATCAGTTGCTTGAATCGTTGCGACGGAATCGCGAGGGGCCCTTTGAACCCGGGCTCAGCGTTCTGGATGACAAAAGTCGGCAGAAAAGCTGTCGTGAGTGCGGCAGTCTCGAAATTGATTGGAAATGGGAGGAGATGTTGCGGTGTTGCATTTGCCACTCCTGCAAAGACAAGTACCCCGAAAAATACAGCCTCTTGACCAAGACGGAGGCAAAGGAGGACTATCTCCTGACGGATCGTGAGTTTGTCTTGGATCGGTGTCGTTATCACGAGCTAATGGATCTGCTGAACAGCGGAGCTGCGAGATGAAGAGCTCCTCCCGCATCTGGAACGTCCCAACCCGCACAAATCGACCTGGAACAACATGATGCTGTATCTTCGATATCAAGTCGAAGAGTATGCACTTTCGTCCAAAAAATGGGGCTCTGCAGAAGCGCTGGACGCCGAGTTTGAGCGACGCGAGAGTGACAAGAAACGGCGGCGAGAGGCCAAATTCAAGACCAAGTTGCAGGACCTGAAGAAACGCACGCGCGTCGAAGCCTACCGGCGCAGTCGACAAGGTACATCGGGAGGAGAGTTTGGCGACGATCTCAGCAATGGGCGCAAACACGTCCATCAATGGGGCCGGCCTGTTGACAACCCCGAAACCGGTATTCCGGTCAAAACATGTGTGGATTGTGGCATGGAGGTGGAAGAACTAGAATTCTAGCATTGTACCATATGTCTATTGAGCTGATGAGCCCATGAGAATACGAATTGCATGTCCCAAACTCGAACCATGGTTCGTTCAGATTCAGTGATCTCATCCTATACTTCAACCTTCATCCCCCGATCAAAGTGGACTGGCGGTCTACATTTCGCGATGCCTCACAAGGACAGTGTAACAGAGGCCACAAATGGTCAGAGTTGAGTTGAGGGTATATTTGAAGGCCATGCTAACCCCGTCCAGTGTGGACAACGCTCATCACCAACACCGCCTATCTGCCCGGTCTACTCACTTTGGAGTACTCTCTCAGAAAGGCAGGATCCAAATACCCCTTCGTTGCTCTTTATACCGAGTCCTTTCCCACCGAGGGCCATGCTGCTCTCGCTGTCCGAGGCATCTTGAAGCAGCAAGTGCCTTACCTGCTCCCATCTGTGCACAAGGACTATGCCGAAGATGTCCGTTTCTATGACTGTTGGAGCAAGCTCACGCCATTCTCACTTGTTGAGTACGAACGTGTCGTCCAATTAGACAGTGACATGGTAGTCCTCCGTAATATGGACGAGCTTATGGATCTCGAGCTGGACTCTCCCCACTTGGCCGGCACGGGAAATTGTGTATTTGCGGCGAGTCATGCCTGTGTGTGCACCCCCTTGGGAAACCCCAATATCCCCGGAACTGGTAAGAATCTCATCTGCTACCTGTCCCCATTGCGAGAACGCTCACTCGGTTTGAAGGATTCCAGCAAACTGCGCCTATACATCTCAACATAGTGCTCCGAACATTGCTCAATCAACCGGTGCTCCCGCCACAACGGGTTTGGGTATTCCCAATGGCGGTCTCCAGGTCGTGATTCCGTCTCTAGCAGTATACAGAAAGATTCTCGCCCAGCTTGCCCTGCCTGCCAAAATCTTACAATATGACTTTGCGGATCAGTCTCTTCTCGGGGACATGTTCTGTGGTCGCTGGGTTGCCCTCCCTTATGTGTACAATGCGCTCAAGACCTTGCGGTGGGAGGGGGTTCATGACGCGATCTGGCGAGATGAGCGGGTCAAAAACATCCATTACATCCTCAGCCCGAAGCCTTGGGAGGAACACGGCAGTAATGAAGGGGATCCCACCCACGCGTGGTGGTGGGCATTCACTCGAGATCGACGCCAGGATGAGAAACAGAGGGGGATCGACGATGGGTTCTGACGATTATCTCTTATTTCGATCTGGTTCCAGTCAGACTAGCGGGAAGATGCGCAAAATTGATGTCGCAGGATGGTGTTAATCTGAACGACGTCAAGTGCGATGAAATATATAGTTCGACGGTAGCTCTCAAAAACTAGCCCTAGCGCGTCAACGTTCCTTCGTATTCATCAAGAACGTGAAAACGACACTGATCCGTGACCAGAAAAGTCAAATTGCGATTCCACGTGGATAATAATCAGTAGCATTGATATTAGCCGGCGATGACACCCTTGGCATTTAAGAGAGCTCATATATTGATGCCTGGGTTCTCGGGCATCCAAACACCACCACTGCCCACACGTGCCCATGAGCGCCTGTGTCTCTTCACCGTCCCTTCCACGTTAAATCGCATCCTTTCACTCCTCCTATCACTTCCTTTGCTCTCTCATCAACTGAAGCACAGTATCATCCTCTCAGCTGTCACCAGCGCGTTCTTCTCCCGATCTGGAAGGCGGTCGACGTACGGGACGAAGCCCCCGAAAAGCCATCCGTGGCCCATAACAATCACCGACGAGCCGGCCCTACTACGTCCTCGCCTGCCTCCCTTTTCTCCCCTCCCCCCATGATCATTGACTGACCTTGACCCCCCTGCGTTGAAACCCGCCGCTCAACTTTTTTTCTTCTCATTGGTTGACTCGGTGTGGAACGTCGGTTCCCCCCCGTTGTCCTACCACACTCCCCCTCCGGGTCTGGGCGTTCGACTCGCTTACTCCAACCGGTGGATACGATTGACGGGATCAGGAGAAACTGAGCTTCGGACACGCCCACCCCGAGCTCGCTGGTCACTATTATCACGAGAACCAGAACCCTATCAGCTGGCCTGCTGTCTTCTTCCGCCCAGTGCTCTCCTTGACGGTGCTGCCGTGTGTTGAGATCGCACATGGCTTGGCAGTCCCCGTCGGCCATGGCTGGGGTTGGAGGAATGCCCGGAGCGATGGGCGATGGGCCTTCCAATGGCGGACACCCGCAAGGCACAGAATACACGTTGCAAGGTGAGTCTACTATCCCCCAATCGGCGACAGTCCGATCCCGACTAACAGCTTGTCTCCTGATAGGTGTAATGCGATTCCTGCAGACAGAATGGCATCGGCACGAGCGCGACCGCAACGCGTGGGAAATCGAGCGCGCAGAGATGAAGTCTCGCATCGGTCGGTTAGAAGGTGAACTTCGGACGAGCAAGCGCCTACATGAGTCTCTCAGCAAACATGTTCGCTTGCTAGAGACGGCCTTGAAAAAAGAGAGGAGAAGACAAAGAAGCTGTCCAACAACGAGGAAATCGAGCTTCCCAAAGACTCGAAGGAAATTGCGCGCGAGAGTGTGCAATTCTTGAAAGGTGTGTCGCACTGACTCTGATGGGTTTGGCAATCCACTAAACGGTTGACTTGCTAGAACAACGCTCCAAGCCAAGTCCAGACCTTGGCGCGAACCAAGAAGATGAGCGCCCCGACCAGTTCGAATTCCGCCAGGACGACGAGCGCGACAAATCACGAGTCTACCTGTCCAAGTGCGCACAGGAGGTCGCTTACCATGTTATTCCCACATCCCACCCGGCCCCTGACATGAGTGACCCCGATCTTTCCAGCCATCTGTATGGAAACCAGCACCTCTCCCAACAGAACTTGGAGGAAGTGTATCTTCAGCAACAACGACAAAAGGCGAACCATGGCATGGCGCGCGAGATGGCGCTTCAGAACCACCAGGCCGTGGGCTCGCACTACGGCGAAAACGCAGCCATGTCTCGCGCTGACAACCAGTATGGGCACCCGTCTATTCCCAATGAAGCACTGGAGCGACGATCTTTGGAACCGCAGCAGACGCCTGTTACAGCGATCGACAATCGGAGGCAAACATACGAAGGCTTGGTGGATGATCGTGGCATGGAACCTAATACTCAAGGATCGCACGTGGTGGTCAAGGAGGGCAATGAGCGGATGGAAGACATGGATGGGTGGAATTTTGATGACACGGCGGTACAGGAACCGACAAACGAGTCCATTCCTCCCCATCGTCCTGATACGGACGCGTTCCCAAACGCCAACTTTGTTCGTACCAAATCGCCCCCGAGAAGCGGCTCGCTGTCCCACCGGCGAAAGAGCTCTGGTGCCCGGCGGAAGAGTGATGGCACCGTTGACACCGGCGCAGCATTTGGACAGCAGCAAGATACAAACTTCAAGGTTCGATTTGCCCTCCGTGGTCACCTCGATGTCATTCGCTCTGTAATTTTTACGGGCGGCGGCAGCCCATCGGAGCCCGAGATCTGCACGTGCAGTGACGACGGAACGATCAAGCGATGGATCATCCCGGCCACCTACGGTGGTTTCGGAGCGCATGGCCCCAATTCCAGCAACGATCTCGACATCACTAGCTATTTTACGCACCGCGGCCACGTGGGTGCCGTGACCTCGCTCGCGGCTTGCTCTCCGTCGCAGAATATCTCCAATGGCGGCCGTATCTTCGGCGACGGATGGGTGTTTTCCGGTGGTCAAGATGCCAGCGTGCGCGTGTGGGAACGGGGTCGAGTTGACCCCAAGGCTACCTTGGACGGACATACAGACGCGGTGTGGGGGCTCTGTGTCCTCCCGGGGACAGCGGGCTCTGTCTTTGGTGACGCGTGCAGCCATTACGGTGGACCGGAGCGCATCCTACTGGCATCCGGTGCTGCTGATGGTCGCATTCTAATCTGGGCTGTCAGTGCCCCTCCTCAACTCTCTTCACCCCAGGCGGGGTCGCGTCGCCAGGGTGGAAGCCGGCGTGCGAACTCGATCTCCTCTGGATCAAACTTCCCATCTTCTCCGCAACCCAGCATCGCCACCGCGACACCCTTCAACTACACCCTTGTTCACCACATCGTTCGCAGCGACTCGCCCTCTCCAACTTGCATCAGCCCCCTGTCTCTTGCCGGAGTTAACTTTGTTGTTTCCTTCTCGGATGCATCCATCCTCGTCTACGACACCCGGACGGGTGAGGAAATTGCGGGCATGGCCAGCCTTGAAACATACGATGGCACGCCCTCGACTGGAGTCAACTCTGTGGTCGCTACAACTGTTGGCTTCGACGGTTCGGCCAACCTGGACCCAAACCGGAATATGGCGGAGGAAGAAGTGGTTCACGGTGCTACCGGTTCTAGTAGTGTGGAGGGTGTGATTATCAGTGGTTACGAGGACCGGTACATTCGTTTCTTTGATGCTAATAGTGGTAAGTGCGGTCTAGCTGTCTTTTAAGCTGTCCCAACTGACTTGATTTTCCTAGGTCAATGCACGTACACCATGCTGGCCCATCCCGCCGCGATTGCATCCCTGTCATTGTCTCCGGACGGACGTGAACTCGTCTCAGCCGGCCACGACGCAAGCTTGCGGTTTTGGAACCTAGAGAAGCGCAGCTGCACACAGGAACTGACCAGTCACCGGTTGATGCGCGGTGAGGGCGTCTGTACCGTCGTCTGGAGCCGTGATGGTCGCTGGGTCGTCAGCGGCGGCGGCGACGGCGTGGTCAAGGTCTTTTCGAGGTGACCCTCTTCTCGAGATGACTTGACGAGATGACGGCCGTGTATGATCTTTGCCCGTGTTGTACAACCGTGTATATTTCTTCGCCCTCTCCCCCCCCAACCGTTTTGTCACATGAGCCATGAACCAAATGAGCGATTGGCCGGACCATTTCCTTTCTTTCCGAGCATTTACAATGGTGTCCCGTCCAAACTGCCTGGCATATTGTGCCCTTTTACGAGCGGTCCCTTTTATTTCTCTTTGTCATTGTACTTTTTGACTCTACTGATAATATGCCGCTTCGCAATGATTCCCTGGCGCTCGTCTGAGAGATCATACCCTACTTTTCCTTGTGTTCTCCTTTTGCTTCGGTTCATACCACGTCCCCCAAGTGAACTGGTCCCCGGTTTCCGCGCATTGAATTATTTGGTGGCCGCCCATGACTTTGTCTCAGGGGGTCTTTCAGGCGTTTCGTACTTCCCCGTGTCCCTCGGCATTCCGGGGGCTGACTGGCCGTTCATCTTGTGGCCATATGTTGTGTGTATAACATTCGAATTCATATCTCTTCCGTTACTCGCTTCTCTTTGCGTCGCGGAGACCACCCATGGACATCACATCAGGTATCATTAGAATAGAGGGTCACTATCACTGATTGGTACTCCAAGCATTGTGAAACATCGCCCGCAACCGCTTTGCTTCCTTATCATCCTTGAGACGCTGCCCAAGGAAGCCTTGTAGATCATCCCAGAATGCCTCCGACTGCAGTACCTCCGCACCACTCGGTCCCACCGCAGCCTTGGGTGGTGGCTTGTCGCCTGAATCTGCATCTGCAGCCTCAGGTTGCGTGGCAGCCACCTGAGCGCCCCCGATGATCATCACGCCAAACTCGACCGCCTTGCCCCCGGCTAGCATATCAGGCTCATCAGCCAGAATCTCTGCAATTGTCTTCCCTGTCCCCGGCACCGGCTTGCGGCGGTACAGAATCTTGATCTTGTCCAGCGGCACCGGGTTACCTTGTGCATCGATAACGCGCTGGCCCACCGCATCCCGGATATCCTGTAGAGAGGTGGTTGCAAGCGGAGCGTTTGGAATCGCAAACTCCAATGCAGGATTGCGGGCAGACTTGACATTCACCGTGATTGATTTCGACGAGCCGGGGGCTTGCGTTGATTTCACTTTCTTGGGCATTTCTGGGTGCGGGGCTTGGAGACGGGGAAGTGTGTACTGCGGGATAGTTAGTTGATAGACTCGAGACCAGGAAGAGGCACTCACGGGCACTCGCAGTCCCACTTGCTCTGGGTCGAAGACATGGTCAGCGCGCAGCTTGATGGGCCGAGAGTCCAGCGTGGACAGGAAGGATTTGGTAAAGGCCAGCTCGGACATGGTGGATATGGCGCAACTAGAAATACAGGAGGGAGACAGCTCAGCCCCGTGTGAACGCAACTCGCATTGAATAATGCGAATGTAGACGAGGTGTTCCACGTCGAGGTGGGTTGGGGACCACTAAATATTGTTGCCTGAAGAACCAGGCCACAACACACCGCCCAGAACGACGGTTTCCTGCCACCCCCCACCGCCCGCAGAAAAAAAAGTGCCGCGAAAATTGTTGCGTTCGCAGCAGGTACCACAGCCCAACATTCAACCCAATCCGTCAACTCACCATGGGCAAAGGTCGTCGCATGAAGAAGCAGGGCCCTCCGGCCCCGCTGGATGAGAGCAAGATTTCCATGCTCAAGAAGCGCAAGGCCGCTGAGGCAGAGTCGGCCCCGAAGGCTGCTGCTGCGCCGGCCAAGAAGCGGCGCAGGGCCGATGTCGACGAGGAAGAGGTGGTGACGAAGAAGGCGGCACCTAAGAAGACCAAGGTCAATGGTGCAGCTGCGACGAATGGCAAAAAAGAACAAAAGAAACCCGTGTCAGGGAAGAAGCAGCCCGTGCCCATGGATTCGGATTCAGAGGATGATGAGTTTGGAGATCTGGATGGCGTCAGTGAGGGATCAATCGATAGCGATGAGATGGTGGAGGGACTGTCCGACCTGGAGGACGACGATGACGACGAACTCGACGCTGAAGATGACTCGGTTCTCGACTCCGACGAAGATAATCACCCGCGCGAAACCATGTTCTCCGACGATGAAGACCTGTCTGATGCGGAGGAGAGGTTGACTGCAGCCAACATTGAGGGATTGTCGCGGAAATTGGACGCTGCCAAACAGGCGGAAGACGAAGAGGCAGAGCAGGAATTACAGGAGTCTGCCATGCAGACCAACATCGCCGGTGACCGTCCTGATGTGTTCGGGGATGCCGAGACTGGCCAGCCGGGTCTGGCACCCGACCTGCAGCTGCTGCGGCAGCGTATCACCGATACTATCCGTATTCTGGGTGACCTGAAGACTCTGGGCAACCCCGACAAGTCGCGTGCCGACTACCTTGATCTGCTCCTCAACGATATCTGCACCTACTATGGCTACACCCGCTTCCTGGCCGAGAAGTTGTTCAACCTGTTCACGCCCATGGAGGCCTTCGCCTTCTTCGAGGCCAACGAAACCCCCCGCCCAGTCGTCATTCGTACCAACACCCTGCGCACGAACCGTCGGTCCCTTGCCCAAGCTTTGATCAACCGTGGTGTCGTTCTTGAGCCCGTCGGGAAATGGTCCAAGGTTGGATTGCAGGTTTTCGAGTCTGCCGTGCCCCTGGGTGCCACACCTGAGTACTTGGCCGGCCACTACATTCTGCAGGCGGCGTCCTCTTTCTTGCCCGTCATGGCTCTGGCACCCCAGCCTAATGAGCGCGTCCTCGATATGGCCGCTGCGCCCGGCGGTAAGACTACCTACATGTCCGCGCTGATGCGCAACACTGGCTGTGTGATCGCGAACGATGCCAGCAAGCCCCGTGCTAAGGGTTTGATTGGTAACATCCACCGTCTCGGCTGTAAGAACACCATCGTGACCAACCTGGATGCTCGCACCGCGTTCCCTAAAGCTATGGGTGGCTTCGACCGCGTTTTGCTGGACGCTCCTTGTACCGGTACCGGTGTCATTTCGAAGGACCCCGGTGTGAAGACATCCAAGAACGAGCGCGATTTCCTGGCCATCCCGCACATGCAGCGCCAACTTCTTCTGGCGGCCATCGACTCGGTTGACCACTCCTCCAAGACCGGAGGATACATCGTCTACTCGACCTGTAGTGTCACCGTGGAGGAGAACGAGGCCGTGGTGCAGTACGTGCTGCGGAAACGACCCAACGTCAAGATTGTGGACACGGGTCTGGGCGACTTCGGTAGCCCCGGTTTCACCAGCTACATGAGCAAGAAGTTCGATGCCAAGATGGCGCTCACCCGCCGCTACTTCCCGCACCGCGAGAACGTCGACGGCTTCTACGTCTGCAAACTCAAGAAGACTGGTCCCACCGTCTCTGCCAACCCGATTGACGACGCCGCCGCTGCTACGGCTGGAGATCGTCCCGCCAAGAAGAGTGCCCCCTCTGCTTCCTCTTCTGATGACGAGGTGGTCGACAAGACCCCGATCCGGGATGAGGACGGGTCCGCGATGAATTTTGAAGGAGGAGCTTTTGGTCCATTCGAGGAGGATGATGATGCTGACCGCATCGCCCGCGCTGAGCGTAACCGCCTGCGCCGCAAGGGCCTCAACCCCAAGGGTGTTCTGAACAAACCCAAGAAGACCAAGAAGTCGGACGATTCGACCTCGCAGCCAGAAGAGGCCAAGACTGAAACTAAGGCTACTACAAAGAAGTCCTTGAATCAGGGCGAGAAGGGCGAGAAGAGTGAGAAGAAGACGGCGCCGAAGGGAGAAAAGGAGAAGAAGAAGGACAAGAAGGACAAGAAGGGAAAGCAGGCGAGCAAGTGATTTTCTTGTATGTAGTAGTTCTTGATGTGGAAAAAAGCATTGTCGGGCAGGGCGCATTTGGATATACCTCTTTTCTCAGTCAATATCAATATGAAATGATTTGCTCCAAAAAAAAAGAATTCTATGAAACCAAAAAAATCTATGTCCACCAAGCGGTGGCATGCAAGTATATACCAAGTGATCAGCTGCAAGCAAACTCCCACGAAAAAATCAAAATCACTGGCCGGTTTTCCAGTCCAAATCCATCCTTCGCTCAAAAATTGAAGAAAAAGCCGGGGTATGTAACGGTGGGAGAGGCCCCCCACCCCCCAAGTATATGAAATGTCAATAAAATATAACCCCATCTCTCATGACTCCGTTCCCAACCCCCTCAGGGGGTGTACACTGCACATAGTTTATGTCCGATAGATCTTGATGACGCTCTTGATAGTCTTGCGGCAGATCGGACAGAGATCCACCTGCTTCGCACAAGTCACGCACGCGCAGACATGGCCACAGTCGCAGAAGACAGCATTCTGCTCCTCTGAGTAGCAGATCTGGCACAGATCCAACTCGTCCTCGGCCACCTCCCAATAGCTGATGCCCTTGCCATGGCGTTTGCCGTCTTTGTAGCCACCGACGTACTTGTTGCCCGTTGTCTTCTCGATGTAGGTACCTTGACCATGGCGCACGTCTTCAACCCAGTCGCCGTCGTATGTATCGCCTGTAGGATACTCCATCTTGCCCTGGCCCTGGCGTCGGCCCAGAACGAAGTCACCCTCGTACACCGTACCTGTGGCCGAGATGTGTTTTCCGTGACCGTGGTAGTAGCCCTTCAGGAACTGGCCGCTGTAGTAGTCGGCTGTGAAAGTGGCTTCCACAGTTTTGGTGCCGGTGAAGCCTTGGATCGGATGACCGCGAGATTCGGCCCACAAGTACTGAACGAGGCGATCGGGACTGGCGAACAAGCCAGCAGCGCCAAGCTGAGAGCGTCTATACACATTGTTAGAATTGATCAAGCGCTGGGACTGCCAAGGGATGTGTGGGAGCTTACTTGTCTTTACTCAACTTGTCCCCGATAATGATACATGCACCGTGAGGAACAACCACGTCAAGGAAGTTTTCGGCCGGCGAAACTGTCGTGACGGTGGTGCCGTCCACTCGCTTCCACATGAGGAAATCCTGTCGAATCGGCCGTTGGAGATGCTTCCGAATTGATGCCTTGACATTTGCCTCGAGCTGGGAGAAGAACGAGCCCACAGTGCGTAGGACTTGGTTGTCGGCATCGAAGATCTGAATGAAGTAGTACGCGTGGCCCACGGGAAGGGCTACTTCTGGCTCAACCGAAGTCACCGTGGATTCAGGCTGAGCGGGTTCAACGGGCGCCGTACTGGTGGAGCTACTTGGGGTCTGTTCAGTCGACGTAGTCGGCGCAGCCTCCGCCGCTTGTCGGTCATAGGCTGCGGCCACTGCCAGAGCGGCTAGAGCCTCGGCTCTTTCCGCAGAGGCATCACCTTCTGGAGATGCAGTGGCCACTGGAGGAAGTGAATCATCGATGTCAGGAACACTGGTGACTTGTGCAGGAGCGGCAGCACTCTCGTTGGGGACGTTGCCAGAGGAACTAGCCTCCGCATCCCCGTCAGCCATGGAGGGGGGCGGTTCGGGCGTGCCGGAGTTTTCGCGCTCGAACACAGAGTCGTCAGGTTTGTCTTCAGCTGTAGCCGCTGTGGGCGGATCAGGCATGGCAAAGAGCTTGGCATCTGCTTCTGAGATAGTCTCTACCCAGAAGCGAATGGTGCTCAGCGAGGGATCAAGCGGTGCATTCAGATCCGTAATCCGATCAAACGCAAGCGTGGGACCAAACTGGGCGCGAGTGTGTCCGATCTGCCAGAGACGAACTCGCTCGGGCCGAAGGGCCTCTGAGTCTGTTGACTTCCACATCGCAATCTTCTTACGCAGATCGACGATGGGCGACGAGCGGGGCAGGGTCATGTACATGACCCCATTCGCAGCTTTGGCCTGGGACATGAGGTCGTAGGTATCGAAGAGACTGTTCAGCTGCTCGTACCGGGGCAGGGAGTAGACCTCGACTTGAACATCGCCATCGGCTGACTGAGGGATTGAAGGATAAACACCGGTGTCGTAGTACTGCTTAAGCTCTTCTGAAACCTCCCACGGACCCTGGGGACCGGGCAAGAGCTCGGACACCTTGTCGCTGCGGATGTACATCACGCCGATGGGAACGTCATGACCCTTCTTGTGATCCACAGCTTGAGACGAGTTGAGACCTAGATGCGGACCCAGGGCCGTCGTGCGGGTCAGGCACTCCACGCGGTTGTCGCTGCCGTCATCGAAAGCCAGCCATCTGGTTCCAGGGCCGGCCGGCCGGAGAATGCTGAAGAATTTGCCCGATGTGCGGCGACCACGGTGCACGATATAGCCGTAAAGGACATACTTGCCATCCTGACCATCCACCACATATGGAGCGAGATTCAGCTCCTCGTCCAAATCGACCTTGCTGTACAGCAGCTGCCACCGCATGCCCTTGTCGAGCACATGGCGGTTGAGTTCAATGTGCAGAATCGGTGGTAGAGCCCATGAGCCTGGTTTAGCGTCGAGCCAGTTCTTGACCGCTTCTCCAGTGGACGAAAATTGATCAGCCGAAACACGCAGACGGGAATTGAAACCCGTTGGCAGGGTATTCACGGGCCTGGCTGACTGCGAAATCAAACTCTCTGGGGCTGGGCTGTCAAACAACTGGGCAAATTGCTTGCCTGCGTCAGTACCCGCGAGCTCCAATTCTAGCGTCCGCCGCAGACGCTCCCAGAACTCTGACACGTCGCTGGAATACTCATGGAGATTGCGCAAAGTGGACGTGATGCCATCTGTGTCGACATACTGCAAAGACTTGCTCCGGCAGCGTAACTGCCACAAGAGCTTCTGGAGGGCATCACACAAAGGCTTGGGCTTGACATCGCAATTGTTCAAGTGTTCGAGCACATCCACACTTTGGATGATCTGGCAGAATGGGGCGATGTGCAACCACGAGGCCAGCCCGGCTACCTCAGCACTGTGGTTGATGACCGAGTCTCCGAGAGGCCGGTAGCCCGTCAGAGCCAGGCTGTCCCACGTCGGCTCCGAGTCACTTGGATGCCACCATAGGGACTTTGTTGGATCATCGATCACTCGAATATAGGCATCGAAGGCGAGCGTGTCATCGCACAGCAAGGGACGGTGCTGGCCTCGTCGGCGAATATGGATCTGGTCCCATGGGCCGTGGAAATAGGTCCAACCCCAGTCCAGATTGTGCGGGTTGAACTGGTGGCATGAGGACTGCATCCATCCCGTCCGCGGCTCCTCCGGATTGTACACCAGGACACCAATCTGGGACGACACCCGCCAGAGGTCCGCATCTGCCCCAGTCGGCGCGGCAGCCGCGGCCGCGGGATATTGGGCCTTGTATTTTTCCAACCAGGCCGCTGGATCGTCGGTTGCGTCGAACTGCATGTCCAGCTCTGGCGCATCGAGAGCGGAATCTGACGGGCCTCGGCGGACTTGGAATTCCGTCTGGGGCTGTTGCTGATCCGGGGTGGGGAGCGTCCGCGAACATTCGAGATAGACACTCAGGGCACCCACATTGTTTCCACGCGGGTAGAACTTGATCCGCCACCAATATCCACCCACGTATGCGGCCGGAGAGCGCATAACCTTCTCTCGATTGGGCTGTTCTGCGGTGCCTCGGACACCCTTAATCTTCCAGGTGAGACGAGCCTTCTCGCTGGGTTGATATTCGGGGTCGTCGAGATTCCCGAAGAAGTTCTTTTCCCAGTACTCGTCTGGACAATCCGGGTCAGCCACGCTTACATGCCACGGATGGGATATAACTTACAGTCATGCGCACTGTAATCATTTTCGGCCGCCTCAATCTCCTTCACCTCCTCCTCGTCTGGGGCACTTGTGTCTGCATCGAACTCGGTCCAGTATGCATGCTCGACGGACTCGGAGGATTCCGTGGTCGACGGGGTCGGGGCAGGCGGATGGGACTCGGCGACGGGCTGCGACTGCTCGGTGGAGGTATGTCGACTCGGCTGGTCTGCCAGTTGAGGGGACTGTGATGAATTGACCACGGTCCCGCTGTCGGTCCCCGCCTCGGGGGCCGACAGCTGGGCGTTGGTCACCGGGTTCGGGCCAGAATCCATGAGGATTGCGTCGGGGGAAGATGAACAACCAAAAAAGAGCGAGGCAAGAACAAGATCGAAAGAAGAAGAGGACCCAATCAGGGTCTCAACGGGAGCGACAGGCCAGCTGGATTGCGAATTGCCAACGGGACTAGATCTTATCGCGGCCGGTTTCTCCCCCAGCGATAAGAGGCTTATCTAAAGACAGGGAATGTAAAAGAATGGTGGGGGGGGAAGCCGAAGGGGCACAGAAAAGAGAGTGGGAGCGTGAGAAGGAAGAAGAGACGGAGGAGAGGAGAGGAAGAGCGAAAGAGAAAAAGAACATGAGTGATTAGTGAGGACCGCCCAAAAAAAACCCCCCCATTTGCCCCCGAAGGAAAAGACGAAAACCGGGGGGATGTGCCGGAGCCAATGAGGGACGGCGAGGTGGGCCCGGTGCCTGACGGGCACAGGGAACACATGGTCGGCCGAGACGCTTCCTTGCATCCACACACTCCCCCCTCGTTCAAGGGATCATGATCTCCATTCTCATTCTGGCCGAGTATGCTCCCGGCGACTATGATGGTCTCTATGGAATACAATTCAACCTCCTCTCCTCCTCGTCCCGATCGGCGGTGGATCCAGCCGACCGGCCCCACTCCGCGTCCACCTTAAATGTGCAGAGTGGCGAACGGGGTTATCTCTGCCGGGTGGCGACTCGACCTCTCGACTGTCGTTCTCGACCGCTACTCCCGCACGGAAGCGGGTCGGCAGCTCTCGTGATAAGCCTGGGCTGCACGAATGGGATGGTTGATGAGTAATAATCATCCATGCCGGGTCCCTGCAGCGCTGATAAACATCGAAGACTTGACGGCGGCCCGCGCACTCCTACGTCGAGGAGGCACCCGCGCGCGCAAACGAGGCTGCCACAATGAGCGGAAACACCACCGTCGCCTCGGCGTACACCTTGACCGATCGCGCGTCCGGTTTGATCTTGCCCCAGCTCACCGCCTCGTCGGGCCGTGCGCCGGCATCGCTGCCGTCGAACTCCTGCGCCGTGTTCACGTAGACCGCATGTTCCGCGCCATTGCGCATCAGACACGCGTTGGCGATGTGGTGCTTCACCACGCCGCCGCCCAGAATAATCATGCCGGCGTGCGCGGCTCGCACGGCCATGGTGTTGATCCGGCGGACATCATCGACAATGTCCACGCGCAGCCGCTGTGGGGACGACTTGAACGTGTGGAAGTAGAGCATGTCGCCCAGCGACCCATCCGTCAGCGCGGGACAGAACACGGGAATCCCGTTGCGGGCGGCCCAGTAGAGCACCGAGTCCTCGTGGTTGATCTCCCGACCGAGTCGTTCCGTAATGCGGCTAGGGGTCCAGTGCAGCTCATCCTCCTCGTCCCCCGTTTCGAGCGCCTTCTTTTTGGCGGCCTCCTGCTCCTCCAGCATGCGATCGAGAATCGGGACCACCCAGTCTTCAAAGGCACAGTAGTTGCTATTGGGCACCAGTAGGTTGCCAATGCGGTTCAGGCCCTTGGCCCGCAGTCCGGCCCCGGGCGTCGTGAACGACCCCATATAGGTGGGTGCCAGGCACTTGATCAGGTCCTCCTCCACCCCTCCGGCCGTGGTGACGATGGCGGACACATGCTTGTGCTTGACGAGGTACCGCAGCGTGTCTCGTAGACCGGATGAGATCAAGTTAGAGGTGTAGCCGAGAAAGATCGTGGTCTTTTCACTGGTTTCTGGGTGACGGTAGGCTCGCTGGAGGGGTGGACAGTCCATGTCAGACGCGGGCGGGCCACTGGGGGTGCTGAATAGGTAGGCTTACCATGTCGTTAATAATGCGAGCCGCCTCGGCAACGGCGCTGCCCTGGAATCCCGTATGGGTCAAGTTGTCGACCAGCTCGGCAACGGTGATATCGCGGCCCTCGTAGGAATCAAAATCCACCCCACGTACTTCCTGAGAGCCCTCGGGGACCGGCTGCGAGGTGACCAGCACAGCGCCGGTCGCGGAGGAAGGGGGTGCGTCCGAGGGTTGCGGAGCGGCCATGATGTTTTGGGAGAGCGAATGCTTCTACGTCGACTTCTAGAATTCTAGAATGATTTTTTTTTGGCCGCGGGGATCAGAGCCTCAGGCATGGGAGGCGGATACCTCAGGCATCATACCTCAGGCACCCGCGCTGTTCATTCTGTATGGTGGACACAAGTACGAGATTAGAATGAAACGGTGCATCGCAAATCACCATTCCAGAATGATTCCGGAAATAAGAATCCCAAGCAAATCACAGGACGGTGGAACTCATTCTCTTTCGTAGTTCCCGGCCACCCACACTCGCCGGCGCGTGAACCATTCACCGCGGATGCCTCAGGCCACAGTGCGCGCCAATCGGCCCATGCTTTCTTCCTCGGTTTCTCTCTCTCAGCTCCATTCATGATTCCCTCCTCTTCATCTTCGTTTCGCACCTTCCATCTTCATTCTTTTGCTCCCGCGGATCTTCTCTGGCACCCCTACGTGGTCCATTGCTCACTCTCTCCAGATCCCATCCGCAGTCGAGTCCAGACCCACCCGCTGCAGAATCCGTGCGACTTGCCCGGTCGGTCTCTCCAGACGACCATCCACGTTGGATGCCCGCCACTGGCACGATCTTCAGATCGAATCCCGAAATTCATGCCCGCGTTCGCCTCTGCTGTCCGATGATCGCGCAGGGGGCTCTGACCCGCATCCTTGAATCTGTTCCTTATCCGCCTCCTAGACCCCCTTGCCAGTAATCACCACCACCACCACACCCGCCGTTTTCGATCCGTCTGGATCTATCTGGCGATCACAGGCGCCCCCTTTTGCTCAGGCTGCAATCCTCAACCGCCAAGTTCACGCCAGCCCTGCGCCACCTTTCCCGATTGGGCCTAGTCACATTGCCCTTCCCCCGTGGCCCGTGCACCGTTTATCACGTGCCCGCCTTTCCCCTTCCAGGTATGTGATGGATTAGATCTTCCTTTTGCCGCATTCTTCGAGCTGGAGCCACCCCCGGGCCCGGGTTTGTTTTTCTTTGATTGTAGCTCTCTAACGGTCGCCCAGGCTCTGCCCCAGATAGCATGACCTGGTGATGTCCTCTCGATACCCCCCTTCGTCCGGGTTTAATTCCCGCGACCGTTCTCCCCAGCGCTTTGGAGACCGTCGTCCTCCCGCTGGTCCTCGCGGCCCCGACGATGCCAGCCCGGCTCCCTTTGGCAGAGACCCGCCCCGCGGCCCGCGCGCCTTAGTCGATTCCCCTCGCGGCGGTCCCTTTGGTGGCCCTCGAGGGCGAGGCTATGGTCGTGGTGAGTTCCGCGACAGGGACCGTGATCCGAGAGACCGCGACCGAGATCGAGACTTCCGAGACACTCGCGATGGGCCACCCCCCTTTCGGCGGGAGATGGATCGCGATTGGGGCCGCCGAGACCGAGAATTTGATCCGCGCGAGAATCGGATGGGTTTTGGTCGTGGCCGATCGCGCTCTCCAACGCGCGACTTTCGTGATATGAGAGACCCTCCGGGGCGTGAGTTGGATTTGGTGCGCATGCGACGCAATTCTCGGGATAGTCTTTTGTCGGCGTCCTCGGGTGGTCCAGACGGTCCTCCTTCCAGTGGTGGCCATCCGCGTGGTGGTTCCATTCGAGGTCGTGGCCGTGGGGATTGGGATGGAGGCCGCGGACGTGGCCGTCCGCCCTATCTCGATGACCGCGACACGTTTCGCCGGCGGAGTCGATCTCGCGATGGTTGGCGAGACCGTGGACGGGATCGTCCAGTCGATCGTGATCGAGACCTCATCCGAGATCGAGAGCGGGACCGAGACTTGGATCGCCGGTTTGATCGGCGCGATGATTGGGACGGTCGACGACCGGATCGTGATGACCGGCCCAATGACCCTTGGAAGCGACCTCCAAGCCGAGCTGGGAGCCGCGCGCCTAGTGGCTCAACTCCCGCACCACTCCCTCATGCAGCCCCGGTGGGTCTGCCTGATCGCATCCCCGACCAAGCTCCTGCAGATCAAGACTGGAAAGCATCGCTCCCGCTTGCCCCAGACCCTCGTCGTGATGCTGAGCGTGCCGAGTCGGTGCAGGATCTTTCCCCAGTCGTCAAGCACTCACCTCCGCCAGCAGCTCCTCAAGTGCCTGCCTTTGGATCAGTGACGGCTGCTATCCCAAGCTCCTCTGCGGGAAACGATTATGCCGACAAGGACCACAACGAGCTGCCTCCCCAACCAACGGCGCAGCCTCCCACAGGACCAAAGGAGGGCCGTGGCGAGCAGGACCCGTTGAGCCGTGTCGTTAAAGCATCCACAAATCTATCCGATCTGTCACCACCGACGGCTCCCGCTGCCATGACCAAGCGGGATTCGATCCCTGGTGAACCATTGCCTCCCGGCAGATCGAGCTCTGTCACTTCTTCGCCCACCTTCGCACGACTACCACATCCACGAACTGCATCCCGCGAACTATCTGCCTCCCCAAAGATGCAGCCATCCAACATTCCCACCGGTCCGCGGGCGCTGCAACAGCGGCAAGGTTCTCTCCAGCGCGGCATGCCCAAAGGCAGCAAACAATGGGTTCGTCCAGGCTATCCACGCGCCCCGTCCATTGCCAATGCTCCACCAAAGAGGGAATCCATTGATGAACATGATCCCTCTTCTGTTGGAGAAGATTCGCATTACGGATCCCGCGATCTTGAGCGGAACGAGCTATCACCAAACCGCTCTAGACGCAGTCCGCCGCATGTGCCAACAGTCGAGAAGGAAGACCCTGAAAGAGAAGACTTTGAAGATCCCGCACCCATCCTCGATTTTGATGAGTCTGAGGAGGAGGAAGATGAGAACATCGTTTTCACCCAGGACTACTTGGAGGAGAGAAAGCAGATATTCGAGAAAGACATGCGACGCCTGCGGGCGGAGATGCCTCCTCCTCCATTGGAAGATCAGACTATCGTTGCTCTCCTGATGAGAATCCAGTTACTTGGCATGATCGCACTCGAACCAGTGCCAGAGCGGCCATCAGAACCCGTTCCATCGGTGGAGAAGGACGAACAACCCGCAAAAGCTTCGGCAGCCGATCGAGTCGTTTCCTTCGCACCCACTGTGCTGGAACGTGAACCGATACCCATTGGCAAAACCATCATTCCGCCTGTTGTATCCCACGAAGAGATCACCATCGACAATCTACCCTTCTTACATTCCGGCCCTCCGACACCGATCTCTGACATGGAGGTGTACCAGGAAAATACTACGGTTCGGGACCGGCTCAAGGATACCTTTCTAGATGAACTCTCGAAGAGACAAAAGGAGATCGCCAAGAAGAATGCGACTCTGCGGGAAGAATACATGTCTTACTACAAGCCCTGGCGCCTTGCTGTGTGGGATCGAGATCGCCACAAAGATCAGAACAAGTCCGTGACCCCTGGTCCTGTCTCTCCACCCGCTCCCATCCTTCCGCCCACGCCAGCGCCCATTTCCGAGGGACGGGAAGGACGCCGTTATAAGGGCAACAGCGAACTTGACTTCCTCAATGCATTGAAAGCCTCCGAAATTTCGGCCCAAGAGGAGCTGGAACGCCGTCGGACGAAAATGGCCACCGCTCGGCCTGACTTGTCCCGCGAAGCAGTCATTCCAGACATGATGGAGCCGCATGAGGAAAAAGCGAGCGTCTACAAGGACGTGAACAACATCATTGAGCCGGAAAACGCCATGGCGGTGTTTGGCTTTGTGCCACGTCCGAACGATTTCAGCCCCGAGGAGCATACAATCTTCACGGATGCATTCATGGCACATCCCAAGAGATGGGGCAAGATCGCCGAGTCGTTACCGGGCCGAGATTTCCAGCAGTGTATTGTCCACTACTACCTTACCAAGGAGGAAATTAAGTACAAAGCGAAGCTCAACAAGCGCTGGAGCCGACGGGGTCGCGGCAAGGCCAAATCTTCCCGACCCAAGTCCAACGCTCTTATCGCCGATCTGGGTGTGGTCAAGCCAGACTTCGAGGGTGAAGAGGAACCCCAGGTCACTGATACAGGCCGTCCACGGCGCGCTGCGGCGCCCACGTTTGGAGGCGATACAAATGAGGTGGGAGATGGTACCCCCGCCCGGCGAGGTCAAGCTGGCAAAGATGGCGAGGCCGCGGAAAAACCGCCTGGTCGGCGTGGCGCACGCGCCGGTGGTCCTCGCACCCAGCGCCGTGGTAGAGCGGCACAACAAGAGCAAAAGGCCCAAGCAATGCAAGCAATTCCCATGGGTGCCAAAATGGAGATGGGTGGAGATGGCATGCTCGAAGGCCTGCCCGCGGATGCAGTTGACAAGGAGGCCAGTATCCCCATGCCACGAGGCAGGGCGCCGCGTGGACGAACAAAAGAAGGGATGTATGTTTTCGAGTCCACTGAGACAGATATGCCCGCAAAGCAGCCTGAAACTGGGTATGGGTCGTTGCAGCCGACAAGTTACTGGTCTGTTCCGGAACAACGCGATTTTCCTCAATTGCTTGAACATTTTGGTCGCGATTTCGAGGGAATTTCAAACTTCATGAAGACCAAGACGACCGTCATGGTATGTTAATACCTATCGCTCATAATGCATGAGCCTGGCTAACATGGATAAAATAGGTGAAAAACTACTACCAGCGCCGCCTCGACTCCGGGAAAAAGACTTTGAGGAGTCCCTCATCAAGGCAGAGGAAAACAAAGCCCGCGGCGAGCCTACGGGGCCTCTTCCAGTGCCCAGTGTTGCCCCCAAACGACGTTACGAGGCGACTCCATCGTCCATTGTACCCCGTCCACTTGCTCCACATGGCGAGACCGAAGCAGAAGAGGCTCGATTTGGCGTCAAAGGCAAGCCTGGGACTCTGTCTCCTCAACCCATGCCAATGCCTGGACGACCTTTATTGGAGAAGGATCGCAGTCGCTATCCGCCTTTGGCACAGGCCGTTGCTGCTTCCACGATGCCCCCCAGCCTTGCTCTGGGTGATCGGGGAGGACTATCCCATCGGATACCGGGCCCGCGTCTTGGGTATTTCACTGAGGATCGTCGCGACTCTTCGATCCTGTCGGCGCCTCGGATGGATCCCCTAGCACATGGACCATCGTCTTTGTTGCAACCGCAAGCTTCAATGGGCCCATCTCAGCAAGCTTACATGTCCGCGCAGCAGGCAGCGTCCCTCATTCCACCGGCTCATTCCCGCCAGCCCAGCTTGACCCAACGTCCGGGCTCGCCGTCGCAACTGCAAAGACAAGAACTCGATCTTTCGTCGGTCCACCGCGACTCCTTTGCTCAAAGACCTTATTATGGTTTAGGTCAAACCGGTGGTCTCGCTCCATCCCCCCGTCCCGGTTTGTCACCTGTTAAAGATGCTCCCCGTCCAAGTGCGACTCCTGCTCCGGAGTCTGCCCGTCAAGTGCCAGCCAAGCGTTCCAATATCATGAGTATTCTCAATGACGAACCGGAGGAGCCTCAGCAACGAAAGCGGTTTGCTAGCGAGCACATTGCATCGACTCCTCCCTCGCGGTCTATTTATCAACCCACTGCCCCGTTGCAGCAGTATCCGCCATCATCTCGAGGCTATCCAGACTACCCTGGCTACGGCGCTACATCGGCTGGCTCCGGTCCCTCAGCTAACAACGACTGGATGGCACGGTTCGATCCGCGAGCGCAGCAAGGCTCGCAGCCACCGGCACCGCAACAGCAGAGCGGTAGCCCGGCTACATCAATAGGGTCTCAGTCGTTCTCGTCCTACGCGCCTGCTCCTTCTCAACCGTCTGTCTCTTTGAGCAATCTTCCGGTCCCTTCTCCAGCACCGACTCCACCCCCCAGGCTGGGTCGCAGCGATCGTCCTACCCTAATGTCTTCTCCCAGCCGCCTTCTTCCCAGCCCCCACCGCCATCTGGCTCCCGAGAAGGCATCTACCGACCCGGCTCGCCTCCACCTCGTTATGGATCGCGCTCCGAGCAACTGTCCTCCAGTCTGCTTGGCATGCCCGCACGCCCCTCAGATGCACAGTCAACATATGCATCGGCAGCGCCGCCTACTCCTGCTTCGGGGCAACCCCATAACCAAAGCTACCAGCAGCATGTTCAGGGTTTGGTTAGTGGCTCACAACCTCACCGGTCCAACTTGCCGGGCGGTTCCCCTCAGTACGGGCACAGCACCCCACCACCTCCTTCGCACGGCTCTCGAAGAAACGGGCCGGGATCGATGTCCTCACTTGCGAGCTTTGGTCGCTCGTACACCCCGCCGCCGGCGTTCCACCATTCCGTGGGCGGTGGTTACCCGCCTCCCTCATCAGGACCGGGATCTATCCCACCGCTTCATCAACGGCCTCCAGCACCGGGCGAGAATGCGTCTACGCCGCCGACACACCAACGTGCGTACAGCCAAGGAAATAATTTACCTCCCCCATCGCAGCCTCCTCGCTGAACTGGTTGACTGTCCCCATTTGTTGTTTCTTATTGCGTCTCCAGCAGGGTCTGGAATCGATGATGGTTGTATAGTAGGACTAGTTTTTGATTGTCACGATCTCCGTTGTCATATCAGGTCTGTACCCTGCAAGACCTTTTTGGGATGTGTACTTTTCATGTGTACAATAAGATCAAATGAATGGATGCATGGCATTGCCTGATTTGTATGTCTACCTTAACTATCTTACCGATCCAGCTGGTTCATATGGCTGGGCAGATTCCAGGGGTCGTAGTCGAGATGGACAAAGGCCCGGTCAACCGTCGGCACGCTCTCGAGCATGTATTGCAGGCTCTCGCCGACGTCGTGACTGTCACGGAGAGCGATGCGCTCATCTACCACCAAGTCCACTTCGACGTTTAATTTATCACCTGCATAGTAGGCTTTTAGGTCTTGAATCTTTAGAATCACCCTCGAGAACCGCATCGTCATATACAGCAGAATGTTGTGGTCATTCGCCGAAGCCGCTGCGCCCGTCAGTCGCTGGATATACTCGCTGGCTGTTGAGCCCCAGTTCCACATGATGTACACCGAGAGAAGGAGACCACCTAGAGGGTCCAGGAACCAGAGTTTGGCAAAGGTACCGACTACCATGGATCAAATCAGCCATGAATCAGAAAGAGCTCTGGTAACATACCTAACGGGAAAATGATACTGAAGGTATTGAAGATGACATCTGTCATGGCATCTTGCGCCAGGACTTGCACGCTGGGGCTCGGAATCAGCCGGCACCAGATCCAGCAGAGGAGCTTGATCAGCACCGTGCCGGCCATGAGTCCAATGGAGGGGAGGGAGAGCTTGACAAGAGGGTGATCATCCCCCATCAACTTCTGCAGCGAGGACAGCCCGACCTGGAAGAAAGAGGTGACCATAATCACGCTGAAAATCAACACGCTCAACGGTTCCAGCCGTCGCCTGGTGATCGGGTACTGATTCCGGTCCTGATGACGGATCATGATGGCTGTGAACCAGATGAGCACTGTGCTGAGGAAGTCCAGCACGCCATCGACCAGGCCAGCCAAGACAGACATGGAGCTGGTGAGGACCATAATGGCGATCTTGGAGATCAAGAGAATTACGTTGGCAATGAAATTGACGCGGATCGCAAGATGGATCATGCGTTCCTCCGCCTCGGGTGACTGGATTCCAGGCGACTCTATGTCGGGCATGACATGCTCGCAGCCAGACTCTGTTGGCGAGAGCAAGGGCTCCATTTCATCGGCCGATGGAACTCGATAGAGGTTGTGCGGCGTGCGCTTGATCCTGGAGGTCTTGGGATTGGGTAAAGCTACCTCCGGGGCTTCAGTCGGCGGTGAAGAACCATTTGCAGGAGCATGGACATGATGATGGTGACCGCCGTTGTATTCTGCAATTAGATGGTGTGGAAGGGAAGAGTCCAGTAGACGATCGATATACAGATACTGCGAGATCAACGAGTTGTTGCGCTCATAGTACTGGCGTCTATTGCCTGTCAGACATGCTATCCAACGGATGGAGAAGCATACATGGGCTTGCGCATCTTCTTCAACGCGTCTGGCGGAGTATAGTATCGATGCCTGCATATTGCGTCAGACGGGCCTTCCTGTCCACCCGCAAGGGAGGAACTTCTACCATTCATAGCGTGGATTGCTGTGTCCAACCAACAATGACCCCCGCCGTCGGAGAAAGGTTGGTCGTTCCTGGACGGGGGCCTCGGACTGGCCCAGCGCGGGAAATAAACCCAGGAGGCGCTGCCCACGCGTCGACAGCAGCTCGTGCTCCGGGTCTAGACTCGGACGGTGCGGCAGGAGCAAAGGGGAGGTTGGTGATGAGGCGAGCGGGAGAAAGGAAGAGGAAGCCATGCTGGATGGTGAGGGAGTGAGTATTACGGATGGTCGACGGAGAGAGATAATGTACGGCCTTGTTTCCCAGGCATAGCGAGGGTTACCAACCCCGAAAATAACACAAAACAACCACCACCCCCTTGGCTGACATTTTACACCAAACAATGGACTAGCAGCGAGCAACACGGGCTCCCTTCCAGGGGCCTTGATCAAACACAAAGTACTCTTCCCTGACCGACAATACATATCATATAAAATTATCACCGGCTGCAACTGCCTTCATCTCGGGCCCCATCGATACCGGCCCGCGCGAGATCTACTTCCATACCCACTGCGTGCCCCGGATCAACCAGGCCATCCGCCTCGGCCATCACTTCATTATCGGCCCTCTTCCCCACGGCGCAGACGCGGATGCTCTGACGTACCTCGTCGCGTACTCCAGGTCGCCCAATCGCATCACCATTTTCGTCACCCGCAGCGAGGACGAGGTGTGGGGAACTAACTTCTGCGCGATGGAGGTTCATGTTCATGTGGTCCAGATCCCTATGTCCCGGGGCCGCGACGTCGCCATGACCACTGCCAGCACCTACGATATTCTGCGGCTGTGCGTTTACGAGGAGGCCCGCGAGCTATACGGTCGGATATGACGCCCGGGGCATGTCACAAATACGGAGCGCAACCGGAAGCGCTGTTGTGGGATTGCGGCGGATGTGATCGAGAGTGTGGAGGAGATCAGGCGTTCTGTGGGGACAGGTCTGTCGGACGCGTCTCCTCTAGCTGGCAGGCCGACGGGCGCATTTGGAGTAGACGAAGCGGTGGAGATGAGCGCGTGGTATCAATTCTGTACTGGCGCTCGCCATATTTTCATCGTTCGAGGTTCGCTCTCTAAGAAAGCCCCTGTGAGCTCTCAGACCCCTGCAGGGCAAGGATGATAGCCGGATTGTTCCCGCGCCATGATGAAACTCCAGGTTAGCCCGCAAGCCAACCAGCCTTAATCATTCACGCAGGAGAACCGGTTTTCGAGGTCCCTTGCCGAGAGGATCGTTACATCATCGTTCGATCGCCACTTGTCTAGGCGCCGGCCATTCCATTTCCGGTATCCCGACAGGCGCGGTACAAATCTTAGTGGGGTCTGCTAGTGCCAATCACCGCGGATCCTGCCGGAGGATGATGTATAGCTGAGCGTACATGCTATCGCGGTGGCACTTCACGGCTGCAAACGAACATTCAGCATTCACGCAATCTGGTGTCGATGGAGAGGATCTGAAACGAGAAGCAATGCAGCGGTTGAGGCTTACACAGCAAACATGTGGGCGGAAAGGAGAGCAAAAGGGATCGAATCCCAGTACTTTCTGGGGTTCACGCCGCGAACATTACGTATGCGGGCAGGGCCTGGTGGAGATGCCATGTTGATCTGGGGCCGTGAGCAATGATGAAATATAAAGGAACATGGCCGTCATATTGTTTCCTGGCTTCTCATTTTATTCTCCTCCCTTGTCCGGCTCTTAGCATTACCCCCACCGCGATTCAAGCCAAGCCTTCCATCATTCATGCTTTTTAAGCCCCTGTCGGAGTGTTGCCACACCCTGATTTATCATGACATCTGAAAATGGCCTTGTCCCGGGCCCGGATCTAAAGGAGGAGGCAGAAGGCTTCGAGGCCACGTCCAGCCGAAAACCTGCCGACGCACAGGCCGAGCATGCGACTGATGCTGACAGCAGTACCTCGGGTCAAGCTGAGAAGGTTCGGTCTGATGGCAAGCGAGAGCTGACAGAGGAGGATTGTTATGATAAACTGGGATTCTGCTTCCCCCGGTACAAGAAATGGGCCATCTTGACGGTCATCTTTACCGTGCAAATGTCCATGAACTTCAACAGCAGCGTGTACCCCAACGCAGTAGAGCCTCTCTCTAAGCATTTCGATATCAGCGAGCAGGCTGCTCGAGTCGGCCAGATGATCTTCTTAGTCGCATACGCCTTCGGGTGCGAACTCTGGGCACCCTGGAGCGAGGAGTTTGGGCGCTGGCCGATCATGCAGCTCAGTCTCTTCCTCGTCAACATCTGGCAAATTCCTTGTGCGCTGGCCCCCAACTTTGGCACGATCGTCGTCTGCCGTGCCCTGGGTGGTCTTAGCTCCGCCGGTGGCTCCGTCACGCTGGGTATGACTGCTGATATGTGGGAGGCTGATGATCAAGGGTTCGCCGTCGCCTATGTGGTGTTGTCGTCGGTTGGTGGCACAACTATTGGTCCTATCTTTGGTGGCTTAATCCAGTCCTACCTCCCCTGGCAGTGGAACTTTTGGATCCAATTGATCTTCGGCGGTGTCACTCAGCTTGCACACTTGCTGTTCGTAAGCGAGACTCGAGCGACTATTCTCGTCGATAGGGAGGCCAAGCGGCGCCGGAAGACGGGTGAAGATCCGAACGTTTATGGACCGAGTGAGCTGGCGGAGAACCGGCTGAGCTTCAAAGAGATTATGCGAGTCTGGCGCCGCCCGTTCGAAATGTTCCTGCGCGAGCCCATCGTGCTCTTCCTCTCGCTGTTGTCTGGCTTCTCCGACGCACTAATATTTACTTGCATCGAGTCTTTTACATTGGTATTTAAGCAGTGGAAGTTCAATGCGTGGCAGATTGGTCTCTGCTTCATCTCGATCGTCGTCGGTTATCTCGTCTCATACTGCATCTTCGTGCCGGATGTGGCCCGCCAGCACCACGTTCGGAAGTCCTTGGGTGACACCGCCCGTCTCCCGGAGCGGAGGTTGCTCATTTTGCTCTTCATTGCGCCTCTCGAGACCATCGGCCTGTTCGGTTTTGCGTGGACATCGATGGGACCAGAGTATACGCCTTGGATTGTACCTCTGATCTTTATCTTCCTCATCGCGGTTGCCAATTACGGTATCTACATGGCGACGATCGACTACATGGTGGCAGCCTACGGACCTTATTCTGCCTCTGCTACTGGGGGGAACGGGTTTGCACGAGACTTCCTTGCAGGTATTGCCGCCATGTACGCAACACCCATGTACTCGAATATCGGAGGCAAATTCCACCTGCAGTGGGCCAGCACTATCTTGGGCTGTATCGCCATTTTTGTGACTATTCCCATCTACGTCTTCTACTGGAAGGGACCGCAGATCCGCGAGGCCAGTAAGTTTGCGCAGACGCTGGCTGCCGACCGGGCTCGAAATGCCGGCCGGCGAGTGAGTCGAGCCAGTAAGAGCGAGCTCGACGTCCTGGGCCCGTAGTGAAGCCCGGCCATTATGTACATTTTCCGTCTCGTTTCATCCGCGACACTATTCTGTGGAGATTGTACATACCCGCCCACTGAAGTGTCGTTGATATTCAACATCTAGTGACGCCAATACCTCTAGTCTTTTATGATTCCCCGAGTTATTTCAACCCTCAATTTCATTACTCCGTCTCGGTTCAGCTGCTATAGATCCGCCTCCCTGTGTCCACATCTTTCCACTGCACTTCCGACGCGGAATGACCATTCCGCCTTGTACTTTCGTTCGATAGTCATGTGACTCGGGCGGATGTACCGGACGTACTCGCGTCTCTCCCTCTTCTCCCTTTACATAAATAACTCTACTACATCTATCGCCAAGGTGACTAGTAATCTGTATGGCCAGCCGTGAAGAGTGACTGATAGAAGAGAACGTGGGTTGACGGATATACTAGCTCCATAGTACATCGCAGTGGCCGGGGCTTGAAATACGCTAAACCGAATTCGACTCCAACGGAGGTACAACACCCATTCCGTCCCTACCGCGATCGACGCGCAGCCTTTAGCGGATGACCATACTTGTGACTGGCTGCCATGCGAGTGGTGCAGGGTTCCCCAGCCGGAAATGCCCCGTTGAGGTAGTTACGTCAAAAGATAAATAAAGCCGACATCTTCCCCCGCCAGAGAGAGAGAGCAACGACTTGAGTTTCTACACCATGACGGTCCATACACTCGCCATCGCCGTCGTGACGGTTGTCTACTTCATCATCCGCTACCTGAACCGCACAGATGTCCCCAAAATCAAGGGCATACCCGAGATCCCGGGCGTACCGATGTTCGGCAACCTGCTGCAACTGGGCGACCAACATGCAGTCGTCGCGGGCAAATGGGCGAAGAAATTCGGTCCGGTGTTCCAAGTGCGCATGGGCAACAAGCGTATCGTATTTGCCAACAGTTTCGACTCGGTGCGCCAGCTGTGGATCAAGGACCAGTCAGCCCTCATCTCGCGGCCCACCTTCCACACCTTCCACAGCGTTGTCTCCAGCTCGCAGGGATTCACGATTGGTACCTCACCCTGGGATGAGTCCTGCAAGCGACGTCGGAAGGCTGCCGCCACCGCACTTAACCGCCCCGCTGTACAGTCCTACATGCCCATCATCGACCTCGAGGCCAACTCCAGCATCAAGGAGCTGTACCGGGATAGTCAGCATGGGACCCGCGACATCAACCCCACTGCCTACTTCCAGCGATTTGCCCTCAACACCAGCCTGACGCTCAACTATGGCCTCCGGATTGAGGGCAATGTGGATGATCAGCTCCTGAAGGAGATCGTTGACGTCGAGCGTGGTGTCTCTAACTTCCGTAGTACATCGAACAACTGGCAGGACTATATCCCTCTGCTGCGCATCTTCCCCAAGATGAACAGCGAGGCGGACGGATTCCGTGTCCGCCGTGACAAGTACCTGACCCACCTGCTGGAAATGCTCAAGGATCAGATCAAGAAGGGGACTGACAAGCCGTGCATCACTGGCAACATCCTGAAGGATCCCGAGGCCAAGCTCAATGATGGTGAGTTTTTCCTTCTAACAGTCCAAAGAGAACCCGCTGACGAGAATATTAGCGGAGGTGAAATCGATATGTCTGACCATGGTATCCGCCGGTCTGGACACGGTGCCAGGGAACCTGATCATGGGCATTGCCTATCTGGCTTCGGAAGACGGCCAGCGGATCCAAAAGAAGGCGTACGATGAGATCATGTCAATCTATCCCGATGGCGATGCCTGGGAGAAGTGCCTGGTCGAAGAAAAGGTGCCTTATGTGACCGCGTTGGTCAAGGAGACCCTGCGATTCTGGACCGTGATACCCATCTGTCTGCCCCGAGAGAGCACCAAGGATATTGAGTGGAATGGGGCTACGATTCCCGCTGGCACTACGTTCTTCATGGTCAGTACGATCTGTTGGAACCCTCTCGAATTTTTTGCTGACCGGACTACCTAGAACGCCTGGGCTGCCGACTATGATGAGGACCACTTCAAGCAGGCGGACCGGTTCATTCCCGAGCGCTACCTAGAGCTCGGCGAGGGCTCGGGCACGCCGCACTACGGCTACGGCGCGGGCTCGCGCATGTGTGCCGGGTCACACTTGGCCAACCGCGAACTGTATACAGCGTTTATTCGACTGATTACGGCATTTCGGATGCATCCGGCTCGAGATCGCGCCGACCGGCCCATCCTGGATGCGATTGATTGCAATCTGATCCCAACGGCACTGACGACGGAACCAAAGCCGTTCAAGGTGGGGTTCATGCCGCGCGACCCGGAGAAACTGGAGAAGTGGATCGCGGAGAGCGATGAGCGAACGAAGGACCTGTGAGACGGATGAGGGCCGTTGTACATATATCTAACGAGCGTAGTCGAGCACTGCAAAATTCCAAACCATTCACGATGCATGGATTCACAATAGAAGGGGATGTAGCAATACGAGGTCGATTCTATAGTTCTTTAATGATCAATGCGACTCTTAGTGGACCACTTGTACCCCACAACACCCCATCCATTCTTCTTCCCGCCGCTCTTCCTTCCTCCACAATTCCCCCGGTCCATTTCTCCCCCAAACACAAATGGACGCCCTGCATGACGACAACCCCGTCGATGTGCCCGATGCTCGTCCTCGCAAGAAACGTCGCAAGTATATCGCCAAGGCCTGGTAACGTCTCCGTCAAACCCCCCCCCCTCCCCGGGTCAATCAAGCCGAGGGACTAACAGAGACCGCGTCCCGCACAGTAATGAATGCAAACGTCGCAAGATCAAGTGCAATGGCGAAACTCCCTGCCAACGCTGTGGGCGCCAGCGTATCGAGTGTGTCTACATCGAAAATGCCCCTCCGAATCACTTGAATGAGCAAGAGTACGCCTGTGCACCTTCCCCGTTGATGAAAACCACGGCTGATGCGCATAACCCAGGAATTTTGAGCAGCTCTTTGAGCAGATGAGCAGTATGCAGGACCAGATTATCTCTTTGTCCGCTGCGGTACGGTTGCTGGCCGGCGGCGACAGCTCTCCGGGGGTGGCGGGTCGGTCGCATCCTGTCGTCCCTCCCGCTGTCAGCACGCATGGTCCATGGTCAGGGCAGCGTTCATTGCGGCGTGTCTCCACAGCTCGAGAAAGCACATTCCAAGGTCCAACCACTTCCGCATTCAGCTTTGGCTTAGCTAAATCGAGTCTCGAAAGCCGCGGGATCGTGGAACGCAATGAAGGCGGCGAAGAGGAAGGTGACTTGACCCAGGAGCCGTCTCCCCTGGCATCGCCTTCAGCACTGTATCACAACTTGGAGCCTCAGCAGTCGACGGATCCGTTGTGGATGCTGCCCAAAAGTGAGGCCCTCCGGCTTTGTCGTGTGTATGAAGAAGAAATGGGGATCATGTATCCAGTCCTGGAGCTCTCCGAGCTGCTGGAGCAGGTACATCTGCTCTTCGGCCCGATGGATCGCGCTTTAGGATCTTCTGTGCAATTTGATGGGAAGTTGGGCGGGCTGGAACTTGGAGATGTCAATATTCTTCGCCTGGTCTTTGCTTGTGCATTGACCGCCGAGGCTAGTGGTCGCAGCGAGCAGGCCATCGCTCTCTTTGACAGTGTCCGCGAGGTTCAGGACAATTGTGTCTGGGGTCCACCCGACATTAAAAGCATCATTTTTTTGATGCTGGTGGTACGTGCTCACACCGTACAAGCTAGAAGCGGCAGATCTAATTTCCTTGTAGTCTATATTTTATTTCCAGATGGATGAAGAGACGCTCGCCTGGCGGACCATCGGCATTGTTGAGCGCATGTGTCTTGAGAAAGGCCTTCATCGACGAGAGACATTGAGCCATCCATCCATTGTGAATGTTGGCGAGGACCGTGCCCTACGATTGTTTTGGTCGATTTACGTTCTTGACATACGCTGGAGCTTCGGGACGGGCATGCCATTTGCCTTGGAGGATACAGACATCGACCCGTGGCTGCCAGAGCCGTCAGAGAAGACTCCATATCTTCAGGTCATGATTCAGTACAGCCGCATCGCCGCGAAGGTGTGGAAATTTATCTCTGCATTCAACAATACCAATGAAATAAAAAACGACGAGATGGGATATCTCAACTATCAGGTGGAGACTTGGGTGAGGGGTATCCCAGACACCCTGCGCCTCGACCATCCGAGTACCACCGAGTTTGGCGAGGGCGCAGAAGGGCCGCGCAGCCTACGGCGGTTGCGTGCCATGCTCTACCTGCGCTCCAACCAGCTACGGATGCTCATCCACCGACCCGTTCTGCACACGGCCGCGCACATTGCACGGCATCCTGCCGAATCCGAGACCGTCGTGGATTTGGCCAAAGACACGATTCGCTTCATCACCCGGCTCAACGAGACGTCCGACATCTACCAGTTGCAACAAGTTACCTTCAACTGGTTCCTAGTCTCGGCCCTTGCCGTGTTGTTCCTTGCCGTCGCGCAGGCCCCGACCCAATTCAGTGTATCGTGCAAGGAGGAATTCTACTGTGCGCTCGAGCTGGTCAAGGGGTTTTCGACAAAGTCGTATATCTCGCGGCGTCTATGGAAGTCGATTCGCAGTTTACGCAAACTCGGCCCACAACTGGGTCTCGGGTTGCAAAAGCACCGGCAGGAGGGTCCAATGGATCACCAAGCTAACCTCCAGGCCTCTCTCGTTCCTGCCCCAACCGGGAGTGTCCATAGCCAGACCCCGTTGGATGGCGCGCAGATGACGCAGGAGCTGATGGAATGGTTCGAAGCAGTCGGCAACCTGGAGGACCCAAACATGGGGGTCGGAACAGGTCCAGTGCCTCAGTTGGAGCCCTGGCCGCAACGCATGCCCAACGGCGCGTATTTGTTCGACTATGGTGGGGAGTTGTCTAGCGTAATGAAGGATTGCTTCTAGAGTAGTACATACGGAATGACACATCCTTGAGTGTATATACCTCGATACTCATACGAGCTTGACGCTGTCTCTACACAATGCCCGGCCACAACTTTTCTAGATCCGCTGCAGTCCAGTCAGTGACGAGCATGCCAAACTCCGTGGCCCCTATCAGATCGGCGTGCTTATCAGAGCCTGTTTCGGCCCGATGAGTGATCGGCAGTGTACAAACAGGCAGGGATCCACGGCCTCCTCATCACAATCGTTTAAACTCGGTAGTTCTCCGTGTTCTTGGAGACTATCAACCTCCCTTCCCCCTCGTGCCCAAAACTGCATCCCATGGCCCCCGACGCCGTGGACGACAATGCGATGTCTTTGCAGCAAAAGCCCTCCGCCCAGAAAGAGGCAGATCTCGACATGCTAGACGAGCCCTGCGCGGGCGAGGCCCTGGATATAGTGCTCGACCCGACAAAGGAGCGGAAACTATTGCTCAAACTGGACCTGGCCTTTGTCCCCATCATCATGCTCACCTATCTGTCCTGCTTTTTGGATCGGTCGAACATTGGTAAGGAATCTCCCTTTCTCGATGGGATATCCTCGACTCACCGATGAGCACAGGAAACGTCAAAGTTGCCCACATGCCTGAGGACATCAACGCCTCCGACGGCGAGTTTTCTACTGCCGTGTCTATCTTCTACGCGACCTATGTCTTATTCGAAGCTCCCTGGGCGGTGTTGATGAAGAAGCTGACACCGCGGAACATCCTTACCGGGCTCTGTCTCGTCTGGTCGCTCACGACTGTTTTCACGGGGTTTATTCAGTCCGTGGCCTCGCTCTATGCGACCAGACTCATACTTGGCGCCTGCGAGGCCGGGCTATTCCCCTGTTTGAACTTGTATTTAACCATGGTTTATCGCCGTGAAGAGCAAGCGAAACGCGTTTCATATCTCATGAGCTGCGCGGCCATCTCGGGTGCCGTGGGTGGCCTCCTGGCATATGGACTTCTGCAGATGGATGGCATCGGGGGCAAGGCGGGATGGAGGTGAGTTTTCCGCCCAAAACCAATTGAATTTAGCTCTGATGAGGTATCAGATGGGTGTACATGATTGAAGGTGTTTTCAGTGCTGTTTGCGCCATCTTCATCTGGTTTGGCCTGCCCAACAACCCAGCTGAGGCGTACTTCCTGACCGACGACGAGAAATGGATGATGCGCGTGCGAAATGAGCAGCGGCGCCAGTACATGGGCAGCGAAGAGTTTAACTGGGAGGAGATGTGGACCGCCCTCACCGATCCGAAGCTATACTTCAGTGGTCTCATCCAGTTCTGCCAAGATATACTGCTGTACGGGTTTAGCACCTTCCTGCCAACCATTTTGCAGGGTATGGGCTACGACTCGCTGATGAGCAACGTGCTGACGGTCCCCGTTTATATCTGGGCGGCCATTGTGTTTGTGACGGTGGCTTTTTGCTCCGACCGTTATTCCAAATTTGCATCGGTACGAAATCGCATTTTCAGACGAAACCGAAGACTGACCATTTGCAGTTCATCTTTGTCGGTAATGTTTTTGGCATCATCGGCTATATTTTGTTGCTGGCAGTCGACAACACGGCCGTCAAGTATTTCGCAACATTCCTCTGCGGTATCGCTACTTACACCGGAGTCGGTTTGAACGTAGCCTGGTGCAATGTGAACGTCGCCCCTCACTACCGACGAGCTTTGGAGATTGGACTGCAGCAGACGATGGGTAACTGCGCCGGTATCGTCGTTGGCCAGGTTTATCGCACCTCGCCATATGTGCTGGGTAACTCCTTCTCGCTAGGCTCGCTGGTAGTTGCACAACTCGCCGTGACTGGCTATGGGTTGTATCTGCGGCGTGAGAACAAAGTCAAGCAGCAAATTGCCGGTGGCGAAAAAGAAGATACCCGAAGAATGCAAACTGGTGACAGCGCCATTGACTTTAAATATCATTACTGAGAGGATGAACGCGGGAAGTGGGTTCAGTTCACGATGAACAGTGGCGAGCGGTTCGAAGATGACGTACAAGACTTGGTATACAAATAAATGGCAGATCTCCACTGAATCAAATGCAATACCAGCTTGAATCAAACCTGGGTTTAATTTCCTTTGGAGCACCTGTCCAGTCACGTCTACTATTTCAACCAGCAAGGGGTAGAGCAAACGTGCTCCGCATTTTTTTTATCATCTCACAACTCCGCCTCGCACGCCAAATACAAAAATGGGACTCTGTTTCTCCGTTCCAGGCCGTCGTCGCCACCCAATGGGCATGGGCATGATGGGAGGAGGTATGATGGGGGGAGGCATGATGGGCGGCGGCTGGGGCCCACCACCGTGAGAGCCCCTGTTCTCGTCTACCAAATTTTACAAATTGATTGTGTCGAAGTGCTCGTCGATATCATGGGGGTATGGGTTACGGCGGGGGCTGGGGCCCACCACCGTGAGATGCCACTTTTCTCGTCTACTAGATCTTACAACTAATTGCGTCGAAGTGCTCGTCGATATCACGGGGGTATGGGATACGGCGGGGGCGGGGGCTGGGGAGGCCCCATGGGCGGTGGATATGGTTACAGTTCAGGTTTTGGTGGCCGAAGACCTGGTGGCTTTGGACCAGGGTTAGTTGAAGAAATCCTCTGCGCTAATAATGCTTCCTAGCTGACATTTTGATAGGGGTGGATTTGGAGGCGGAGGACGACGTGGCGGGGGACGTCGGTGTTGATGAGATTATGTATGACACGGCAACTAATATCAAATGTACACATGTGCCAGTAACATATCGATCGCGTATCCAGAAGATTCAACTTGGCCTCATTGTCAATCGCAAAACCCCCAATAAATGGGTCCAGTGAACTCAAAATCGATCGTACTGATTTAAGCAAGATATTCCGAAATGTGTAACACCATGGAGGGCTAACTGATACGTACTCCAACAATCATCGCCCGTCACCGTCTACATCAAAAGTCTTCCTTCCCTTGTACCATGTCTGGCAGACTCGAGCATCTAACAGCTGCTCGGCGGTCCACTGCATGTCCAATACTACGAAATCAGCTTGGAATCCAACCTGTAAACTTCCCGTTGAGGAATCGGCAAAGCAAGCAAAAGCGGCGCCCGCAGTGGCAGCGGTGATGGCCGTAGAGAGAGACACGGCGAACTCGGGATTGACGGTCTCCGTAGAAGCCGGATCGAGGGCAGAACGGCGTGTGGTGGCATTATAGAGATTTGGCAAAGGCAAATGCTTTGCGGTTGGGGCATCAGTCCCAAAGACTAGGCGGGCACCACCCTCTTCAAACTCTCGATAGGCAAACGCCCGTTTGCAGCGGTGCAAGCCGAGGAGCTCTGGCCATGCCCCAAAGGTAGCGGGATCAGAATGAACGGGCTGAACAGAGGCAATGATTCCCAGGTCACCGAGACGCCTTGCATCCTCCGGAGTGGTCAGTTCCAGGTGCTCAATTCGGTGTCGACAGTTGCGAAGATCTGGAACTTGGGACAAGCAATCAATAGCTTGTTGGACTGTTCGGTCTCCGATAGCATGGATGGCACATTGAAGCCCAGCATTCGTAGCGCGGCTAATGGCCGCAGCTAAAGCAGCCGCTGGCCAGATGGGTTCGATAATATCTGGTCTGCCGCCATATGGCTGTAGTAAGCCGGCCGTGCAACCGTCCACGGTCCCGTCACATATCAGTTTAATGCCGTTGATGCTGATTCCAGGGGAAACAGAACGATTGAATTTCTGGTGCAAAACGATCACACGATCAATATGGCCGAAAATCTCTTCCAGATTCTCCGAGTATGGAATTAACCAATGCGCCGCTACATGCATGGGCAGTTCACCGCGTTGGCTACGATATAAATGAAGTGCCTCCCAGTTCTTCTCATCCATGGCCATATCCACTAGTCCGGTATATCCAGCAGACCGATGCGCGTTGAATGCAGCATCAATTGCGGCCAGCTTCTTATCCATGGACGCAACCTGGTCAAGAAATGGCCACACGATATTAAACTGGGCAGACTCGTCGAGCAGGCCGGATGGTCGACCATGATCATCGCGATGAATCGTTCCGCCGGGAGGATCGACTATCGACTCTACCTGTAGCTCTAGAAGGGCAGCCGTATTGCACCAGGTCGAGTGCAGATCCAGTGCCTCGACGTATATCGGTCGAGGGTCCAGATCATCCAGCATCGTGGCGAGAGCCTGACCCGGAATGGTGGATTGAATCCATCCGCGACAAAGAATGCGTGGTTCGGACGGCTGCTTTGCCGCAAAGGTGGTAATAGCCTGCCGGATCTGATCCAGTGTCTTGCATTGCAGAAGGTCCAGCTTCTGCAGGGACAAGCCGAAGTTGAGAATATGGACGTGGCCGTCAATGAAGCCTGGCAGCATCACTCGACCACCCAGATCGACCGAGACAGCCCCAGACGCAATGGCCTGGACCACCGGGGCATCGGCCTCTGAGCCCACGTAGCTGATGCGGTCGCCGGTGACAATCAGGGCGGAGGCAAAGACATCCCGATCGGACGATCCCAAGGGACAGAAAATGCGGCCGTTGGAAAAGACGGTGGTTGCCATGAGTGTTGCCGATGGCGAACCAAGATGGATACAAGGAATTAGACTGCAAGAAACGTAAGAAGCCGATCTTCTTCTATCTGCCGGTTGTTGCCCTGAAGAGGGAAAAAGCAAACCGGGGAAGAAAAGCAATACGGCGCAAAGTGACGCCATTGGCCAGATCGGCGATCTCGTATTGCCTCGTGGAAATACCGTAACCACACCCTTCTCCCAGCATCAACCGGAAGGGGAAACTCTCCCCTTCCCAGAACGCTGCTAATGATGATGACCTCCGGTCCGAATCAAGCATGCTGCCGGCCTTCCACATGGAGAATTTCGAGGCGAATCCCCTCGACGCCCTGGTGGGAGATAAATAGGGGGCATGGACATCAGCGTCCCAGACAGTAACATCAGATTACACCGAACTTTTCCTACCAAGTGAGACCATGTCTGTCATTGGAGCCCAGGAGCCACGCCGGGGATGCTGTGCTCCCCAGTCGGCTGCTTCGGCCCGACCGATGCACCCCCTTGGTACGTGCTGTTTACTCACCAATATACATATCCCGTCCACAGCAAGCTCGGGATACTAATTTGAGCCAGATGCCCTCTCCGCCCAGGAAATCCCGGCCGCCGCAGACCTGATTCGCCAGTACGCTGCTCCGAAACAACTCAAGTTCAACTGCATTACCCTGCATGAACCAGCCAAGGCGGAATATGCAGCTTTCCGAAATGGCTCGGGCCCTCGGCCTGAGCGACGTGCCTTCTCCATCGCGCTTGAACGAGGAACCCCCAAGGTCGCGGAAGTGGTGGTGAATCTCACGACTCGGCGAGTGGAGTCCTGGAAGGATGTCCGAGATGCTCTTCCCACTCTGACTTTGGACGACTTGGACATCGTTGAGCGGATTGCCCGGACCCACCCGAAAGTGATCGAGGTCTGTCGAGAGATTGGCATCACGGATATGTCCAAGGTCTACTTCGATGCATGGGCTATAGGTATTGATGAACGTTGGGGATTCGACCGAAGACTGCAGCAGGCTCTGCCGTATTACCGGAGTTCAGCCTACGACAACCAGTACGCTCACCCCTTGGATTTCACCATCGTGGCGGATACGGAGACCGAGGAAATTCTGGCCATTGATGTGCGTCGGGTCAATGGAGAAAGAACATCGGTACCTTGGCAAGAGCATAATTACCTGCCCGAGTTTATTTCCGACTCCTATCGCCATGATCGCTTGAAGCCGGTGGATATCACGCAGCCCCAGGGCGTTTCATTTCGCATGAATGGCAACGAGATTGAGTGGGCTGGGTTCAAGATGCATATCGGCTTCAATTACCGAGAAGGTATTGTGTTGTCTGATGTGCGGGTGGATGACCCGTATGAACAGCGTGAGAGGACCCTATTCAACAGAATCAGCGTCGTCGAGATGGTCGTGCCCTACGGATGTCCCAAGCCTCCACATCATCGCAAACACGCCTTTGATGTTGGAGAATATGGGAGTGGCTTGATGACGAATTCTCTCAAGCTCGGCTGTGACTGCAAAGGGACCATCCACTACCTCGATGCCGTGCTTTCCACGGCAACGGGGGAGCCGACAGTTGTGAAAAATGCGGTGTGTATCCACGAGGAGGACAACGGCCTCCTCTATAAACATACAGACTTCCGAGACAGTAAGCTTTTTCTGATACTGTATCAAATGTCGTCGCTGACCGTATCTAGATCGTGTCATCGCAGCCCGGGACCGGAAGCTCATCATTTCCCAAATCATTACCGCGGCTAATTACGAATATGCGTTCTACCACACCTTCACGCTAGATGGGACCTATAAGTTGGAGATGAAATTGACCGGGATGCTAAACACCTATTGCTTACATCCCTCGGAGCAGGCGGCTCCCTATGGGACGGAGGTGGCCAAGGGGATTGATGCCCAGAACCATCAGCATATATTTTCTCTTCGTGTTGATCCGGAGATTGACGGGACATGCAATACTGTGGTGCAGAGTGATGCAGTGCCGGCGGAAGAGCCTGTAGGCTCAGAGGACAATTTCTATGGCAATGGCTTCCTGGCGAGAAAGACTCCTCTGCGAACTGCATTGGAAGGGGCCACCACTTACTGTCATGAAACAAATCGATCCTGGGACATCATCAACCCCAGCCGACTCAGCGTCGCCAAGAAACCCGTGGGTTACAAGATCATCAACAACCAGTGTCCGGCCCTGCTAGCCAAACCCGGCAGTACCGTTTATAAGCGAGCTGGGTTTGCCCGCAAATCCCTTTGGGTCTTGCCGTACCGAGATCATGAACTGTTCCCAGCAGGAGTCTATGTCTGCCAGTCAACGGGAGAGCCGAACCACCCCGATAATGAAACCATTGTCGACTGGGCAGCGCGCAATGAATCGATCGAGAACACGGACATTGTGTGTTACATCCAATTCGGCCTGACGCATTTTCCGCGCACAGAAGATTTCCCCATCATGCCTGCAGAGCCTGTCAGCGTCATGCTGCGGGCATCCAACTTCTTCCAGAAGAACCCAGCTCTGTGGGTGCCTCCATCCAACGTGTCTCGAGATTATACCTCGTGCGATGCCTTCCCGACCAAAGGTGCATGCTGCCCGTCGAAGGCGGGTTCGAAGCTCTAACGAGGATATGATACTCGGAGCTGTGTATACTGTCAGTAGCCAAGAGATAGTTAATGATAGACACCTTCTGCTTGTTTGCTATATATGTAGATCGGTTCCTGGATTTTCCGAAAGCCGGGAGGAATCGGGATGTATCACGTGCCATTACCCTCATGCCTCAGGCCAGCACAGACTCTGGGACCCAGACACCAGCACCATTATTCCAGCAGTCTCGCCTGCCATATTCGCACGGCATGTATGAAGGATGACGACGCCAGCAAATGTGGCAATTACGCCGCTCACATCATCTTATAAAACTTACCGGCGACCACGCCGGCGACCTGCTCATCTGCGGACTAAAACTGGGTGTCTGACCTGTAAGCTCCGTGCCCTCTACAGAATACATGTGCTTTACTTCTGGCTGTTACTCACCAGCCCTCGCGTTCCACCGAGAATTAAGTGCTGATTCCTCTTTAGGCCGTCGGCGGAAGAAGAAATGTGATGAGACTCGTCTTGCGTGCTTGAACTGCGCCAAGCGAGGCCTTATCTGCGAATGGCCACAATATGTGACCGAGACCGGGGACTGGGCGGGACATTCTCCTCCTTTGAACAGACACAAACCAAGTAATCTCGACAACGGAGCCACCACGGTAGTTGTCAAATATGATGATCAAACGCCGCGGAGAACCTACTGCCTCGATGAAGTATCGGATGATTCCAGCGACGTGGCATCCTCCACAGGCTCATCTGTTGCCGGCGAAGGGCCTTGGACACAATCAGCTTCTTCTGCCATGACAGTCCTCGGTAGCTTGCACCGCCTCTCTGCCAACCCTTCACCGGCTGTCATCCAAGAGAGTGGGCTGCTCTTTGATTTTCTCAGAGTGACATTTCTACCTCAACTCATTCGACCAACAGCAAATAGTCGTGTCATTGATTTCTTTACACAGGAGACACTGACACTAGCTCTTCACCGGCCATTTTGTATGCATGCTCTTCTCGCCTGTTGCGGATCAGAAATTCCTACCCATAACCGAGAATTCCGTCAGCTGGCTCGCTTTCACTATGTTCGCGCGGTGGAAGGGCTCCGCACCAACCTGGATAACGGTAATCTGAACCAGCAGTGGATTGTTACGATTCTCACCGTTCTCATGCTTTGTATTTACGAGGTGTGCACTTTCACAGCAGATCAATTCAGCAAGAAAAAAGGGCTAATATAATCGTCCAGAGATCCAAGCCACAGGGCTCAATTGCCGTCGACGTTCATCTGGTAGGAGCGGCGCGGTTGATTCGCTTGGACTCCCAGCGTTCTCCCTCCGAGTGTCCCAAGTCAGAGATAGACCGGGCCATGCATCGCCTAGTCCGGGAGTCGTTCATCTTCCACGTTGCGACTAGTCTGCCTTTCCAGCAGATGGCCTCGCCCAATGCTGAAATTGACTCGGCGTTCTCACTCGCCGAAGATACGCTGGGTCAACATTTCCACATTCACTCACACTCTCATCCCGACTCACCAGTGCTCGGCGTTCCCCCCCAACTATTTCGATGCATCTATACGATCTATCGTCTATACCAAGACTGTTCCAAAAGTAGTGTGGATATTGCTCACTGTCGCCGCCTGGAACAAGAAATGATTTGGTGGGACCATTTGATGACGGCTCGACCAACACCTGGGCGAGACCAGTTGTGGGAGGACGACTACGCTGCGAGAGGAGCCTTGGCGCACCACCCGAATGCGCATTCAAGTTCTTCTTTCATCGGGCCCAGATTGTACGTTTTGGGCGCCCGCATTCTTCTCCAACGCATGATTATCCCTGATCCCACTGGATCCGATCCCGTCATCGACCAACTGGTGACCGAGGCGATGACTGTAGTCCAACAGCTCCAGCCCGCACGCGACTATTTTGCCGAGTACTATTGCTGGCCATTCTTGATCATAGGGCTCAACTTGGACAATATGCCTGACCAAGAATTTCTTATGTCGCAGATTTTGGCATTTTGGTCCGCCACCAACAACGGCACGATGCGACGACTGGCCGATATGCTTCGACTCTACTGGCAGTCTCCTCCGCCGCGACAGTTGCCGGTTGAGATTCTCAAGTAGTAATAGTGAACTTCGATCACACCATCACAAAGCGACTAATAATGTTGGACCGAAATCCATATTGTTGCCCCATCATCCCCGCGGGTTAGAAGTACCTCGGGCAAACCCCCGAGGCCATTTGTCAGCGAACCAGATCGGAGGGGCATAAAAGAATTTCTCCAATTCCTCGACTTCTGCCTCAAATTATATATCGAGCTGTCAGAACCATGGGCTCTACATCTACAGTTCGCTCGCCTCACATCGTCAAGGCGGAGGGACTTCCTTACTTTACCCCCGCCAATAATGGCGGTGCCGCCCGCAACGCGCAGGATCCCAGCACACCCACGCTGTTTCGTCCCTTGCGCATCCGTGACATGGTCCTCAAAAATCGCATTATGGTTGCGCCCATGTGCATGTATTCCACCGAATCCAATCCAGCGTCTCCAGCTGTCGGCGCTTTGACGGACTTCCACATCGCCCACTTGGGCCACCTCGCTTCGAAGGGCGCCGGGTTGGTTTTTATTGAGGCGACCGCGGTGCAGCCGAATGGTCGCATTTCACCCAATGACTCTGGTCTGTGGCAGGAAGGCACTGATTCGGAGCAATTCAAGGGTCTGCGCCGCGTCGTGGATTTTGCGCACAGCCAAGGAGCCAAGGTTGGCATCCAACTCGCCCACGCTGGCCGAAAAGCAAGCACGGTTTCCCCTTGGCTCGCAGCGCAGCAGGGCCAGAAGAGTCTTAGGGCGGACGAGAGCGTCGGGGGCTGGCCGTCAAACGTGGTAGGCCCTTCTGGTGGCGAGGAGCACCAGTGGAGCCCCGGCGATGTTGAATATTGGCCTCCGCGTGAGCTGAGTACGGCGGAGGTTGAAGAGGTTGTTCGTGCCTTCGCACGAAGTGCCGAGCTCTCTGCCAAAGCCGGAGTTGATGTGATTGAGATCCACGCAGCTCATGGTTATCTGGTCAATGAGTTTATGAGCCCCGTCACGAACCGCAGAACCGATAAATACGGCGGCAGCTTTGAGAACCGAGTCCGGATCATTCAGGAAATTGCGACGGCCACCCGTGCAGTGATTCCGAGTGGCATGCCGTTGCTACTTCGCATCAGCGCCACTGAGTGGCTAGAGAACGATGCTGTTGCCGCCAAATGGGGTAGTTGGGGTATGGAATCGTCCATCCGACTTGCAAAAATGCTTCCTGAATTGGGCATTGACTTGCTGGATGTCAGCTCTGGTGGAAACCACAAAGATCAAAGAATCCAGCCGCATACCAATTATCAGATTGACTTGGCTGGTCAGCTGCGCAAGGAAATTCACGCGGCGGGTCAGAAAACATTAGTGGGAGCTGTTGGGTTCATCACCGAGGCGGAAAATGCCCGACGGATTGTTCAGGGCGCGGATGAAGCCCACTCGACCGAGGCAATGCTGTCAGGCGAGGAGCCCAAAGCCGATGCGGTCTTGATGGCTCGCCAGTTCCTGCGAGAACCGGAATGGGTGTTGACGGCGGCCAAGAAGCTCGGTGTCAAGGTGTGGCTCCCCTGGCAGTTCACACGGGGTTTGCTCTGAGCCATTGCATGGCCTGGTGCCTGGGGTTGGCATTTAGATAGACTAGTCACCGATCAACGTAGAACATACGATACGCGAACTATAGCACTCCTGTACGATGTCTCACAGATCTACTCAGCTACACAATGTGTCCATGGGCCCAAGCTGTTGCGTGATCTGCTTTCAATCGCTGATGGACGTGATCCCCAAGTATAGATTCAAAAGCAAAGTAAATCTCGGCCAGACGACGACGGCACCGTCTTCGTCCAAAACGCGCCTGAGTCCTGTCAGAATGATATCCCCACTCAGCCAGCAGCAGAGCTCGCCCAGAACGCTGTGACCCATAATTGGGTCACGGCATCCGGCGCGGTGATGAGCGCTCCGTGGAAGGACCTTTCGACAATTTATGTTTATTGCGCCCAGGACCAAGCGATATTGCAGCCACTGCAGCAGAGTTTCGTTCAGGAGGCGGTAGACGCAAGTGGCTCCGCACCTATGGCTACGGAGACCAACGATTCGTGCCACTGCCCTTTCCTGAGCAGACCAGATGAAGTTATTGGATCGTGAGATGCGTTACTACCGTGGAAATTAGACACGGGGACCTGACTAGTCTACAAGCAGAGAGGGAACAATACATATCGAATAATATCCAGGCGGTATTGCTCCACCTTAGATGAAACAGCCAAAGCGAAGATCAGAGAAGAATTTTTTTGTTGGCGCATCAGTAGTAGCGGTGTACAATGATCTCATCGAGTCCCCTCCGCGGGTTTTCTCCGAAACCCCCTTTCTTGTGAACTGTCCATCCGACACATCGTGTTTCTGCCCACCCATTGGACATAGCATCATTGCTGAGACTTGGTCGAGGAGTGGACTCCCCGGCCCGATGGGCCCAATCAGGCGACCATGTGGCGGCCTGGTTCAGCCGTTCGGGACTCCCGATGATTTCAGTGGATCCGGCTGAAACCACCAACGATTCTCTTCCCCGCGCAAGTCGCACATCGGTTCCTGTGGAAGCGGAGACCGTGTGCCTGTTGCGTTTCACATTGCGTAGCCCGAGGCTTTGGTGTCGACCGTTATTGGACCGGGGTGCCATACCCACCACTGGGCCTTGCAGTCGAAGGGCCCACAAAGAGTGTAGCTCTCGAAGAAATAAAACTTTGTTTGAAAGCAATGGACAGGAGATGGCCGTGTCGGACCCAGGGACATAAGACACAGGAGAGGCCCCGTCTCCTAGCGGCAAACGAGACACATTCTTTCTACTAGGTGCTGGGCGCTCCCTTTCGTTCACTTTTTACGATGTTCTTCACTCCTTTCGTAAGTCAGATCGACTCAAACCCTGGTCCGTTTCTTGCCTAATCGGGAATCAGATTTTGGCTGCTGGCAGCCTCCCAACACTCATTTCGGGAGCCCCCATTCAGTCGTTTTTGTCTCGCCGTGACACCGACACTCCTTCTCTGACTACGCGTGAGAGCGCTGGCTCGTACACCATCTTTGGCGGCAATGGGGAAGCCTCCGATGGATGGCCGGGGACAGACCAGTGGAAAACCTTTGACGAATTGTAGGTTTTCAAGAACTATAGGCAGTACCAAGATTAATCTCCGCCCCTAGGTTCCAAGATAACATGGAAGTCATCAAGGGCTCATGTGGTACATGGGGGAAGCCGTTGGATTCGGATACCGAAATCACCGACCTGAAAGACAGCATCGAACAGGTTGCAGGGCAAACTGGCGTTGACTCCCGATTTATTCTCGCAATCGTGCTACAAGAGAGCAACGGCTGTGTCAGAGTCCCAACCACGGACAATGGCGTGACCAACCCCGGTCTGATGCAAAGCCACGATGGCTCGGGCTCATGCAACAACGGCAATACAGTCTTGAACCCATGCCCGAAGTCCCAAATCTACCAAATGATCTACGATGGCACTGCGGGAACATCCAGCGGTGACGGTCTCAAGCAGTGTCTCGCACAGGCGACGGGCAGTGGAGCAACTCAATATTACCAGGCTGCTCGCATTTATAACTCGGGATCTCTGGCTGCGTCAGGAAACCTAGGCCAGGGGGTGCAACGGCCTGTTATGTCTCTGACCTCACGAACCGACTCTTAGGATGGTCTCTTGGCGGGACTGGCTGTGATGCAAACACGATCGGTTCTTTGACCGGTTCGAGCGGTGGGTCTACTAGCACTGGGTCCTCCCCGACCAGCACAAGCTCTCCTGCACCGTCGCCCACCGAGACCGTCCCGGCCACATCGCCCACAGAGACTGTCCCGGCCACATCGCCCACCGAGACTCCAAGCCCAACAACGACCAACCCCGATCCTTCTACAGGGAGCAGTGCACCGGCTGCATCTGTGTATCCCTACGCCGCATCCCCCTGCCAGAAGTACCACACGGTACAGTCTGGCGATTATTGTGATAAGGTTGCAACAGACGTCGGCATAACTTTCTCTCAACTTCGTCAGTGGAATTCTGGCTTGGATGCAGAATGCTCGAATCTCTGGCTTGGATACCAATATTGCGTGTTGGCTTAAACGTCCGTGCTGGAGGCTGGGCCACTTTGAATGTTTATACGTCAGAAAGAAAGGCTCTCTTAAACCATGTGGAAGCATGTTCTATGATTGTGGCGAAAGCTGGTCTCAACCACAATACTAGCCAAAATAAACAATTACGGATTCCATTGATTGTGCTCTCTGTAACGAATGAAATGGGGATTAGGCATACGTTAGGTCGAATTATTCACAAGAGCTACTTAGGCCTACTAGAAGGTAACTTATACACAGAGATCACCCTGTCGGTCAATATTTGGTGTAGCATAGGGATGATCTGAACCTCTAAGCTAGATTTGTTTCTGGTGGGTGACAGATGGCCAGTGGTTATTCACCTGCTATTATTGAATCCTGAGTGACTGGCATAGATAGCTGAATTGCCGAATACAATATAAAAGCCTGGAGGCTTCTAAGCCGAACTCGGTTAATTCTCATGTATTGACTCTGGATGGGTGGCTCGGTAGGCGGGTCAATCCCGACCCTAGAGTATCTCTTAGACAACGTTGCGATGTAACCATTCCGGGCATTTGGCATCCCCGCAGTCCCCCGCCCACTTATCCCGATGCATATAAAAATTCGTGACCGCTCGAATTTTCTTCTAAAATAAATACAAAGAAAAGTACCAGAGAGGTTGAAGGTAAACGCTTCAAAATGCGAGCGATTTGGCCCAGTTTCCTGTTCGGATGTTCCACCGTCTTGGCCGCGTCACCACGGTCAGACTCAAGATGGCATGAGGAAAGCATAGAGGATCTTGCGCCATTATTCTCCGAGACTACGACAGGCAAGATATGGCGAACCGCAGTCGAGTTTGCGGAGCAGGTAAGAGCGCCTTGATCACCACAGGAGCTGATTTACTGATTCAGGAAGGTCCCTTCCAACTATCCGAATTATGTTCCTAGCACTGGATCTAATGTCGGGCAGTACGTTCTTAGTGATATCTCTTCATGGACGAGCGGCTTTTTCCCAGGATCCTTGTACGAGCTGTTGGAACGAAGCATCAAATTCCCAAATCATCTGAGTGCTAATGGCATTGATCCATCAATGGTACATGCACAGCTCCTCAATCTATCCCGCCACTGGGGCAATCCTCTGCACCGCGAAGCATTTCGAACCGACACCCACGACTTAGGATTCATGCTAATGCCAGCTCTCCAAAAGGACTGGGAGTTGACGGGAAACCGAGAAAGTCTGGACTTTTTAATTACAGCGGCTCATAGTCTAGCTACTCGGTTTGACAAGAGGGTCAACGCTGTGCGCAGCTGGGATACCCTGGTCACCAAGAGACAAAACATTACTGATCAGAAGACCAACTTTTTGATTATCGTTGATAGCATGTGTAGTAAGTCCCGTCATATACCAAATATACTACGCGGCATGTTTAGGTTCTGACCCTGCAGACATGGACCTCCTATTCTATATAGGCAACTACACCGCAAACCAGACATTGATTGATATCGCGACAGCACATGCACACACGGTTCAGCAGAATATTGTTAGAAACGATTACTCGACATTTCATTGCTGTGATATTGATCCCCAAACCAACAAAATCAAATTTCAAGAAACCGTCCAAGGATATAAAGATTGGTCAACATGGACTAGGTATGGGATCTTACCCTCTTTATTACATCCAAGTCCCGCAGGGCTAACTCCTAATTAGAGGCCAGGCGTGGGGGATTCTTGGTTATACGCAAACACATCGATGGACAAAAGATGCGTCCTTTCTTCAGACGGCCAGAGGGCTTGCAGATTACTTTGTTACGCAGCTGTCCAGGTCTACTCATACGTATCCGTATGTCCCTCTATGGGACTTTGATGCTCCCACCGTCAACGGTGTCCTACCTCCTCGCGACACCTCAGCTGGCCTCGTGGCTGCAAATGGCCTCCTACTGCTCCATGAGACACTCCTGGAGCATTCGCCGTATTTGGAAAATGCGATGAGGATTGTGAAAGAAACCATTGAACTGTCACTCTCATACGATGCCGCTGACTTGACCGTTGGATCGGGTGGGAACATCACTGTCCCTCCAGGTCATTGGGATTCAATCTTGATGAATGCAACGATTGATAACAACGAATATGCTCTAGACCGATCGAACAACACCGGACTTGTGTACGCCGACTATTATTTTTTGCAGTTTGGAAATCGACTTTTGGAACGAGGCCTCCGTCGGCAAAACTAGCTAGTGTGATAGTAATGGTTTCAACTCAATTGTCACCCCGATTGTCGTCGTATTCTGGTAGTTCCTGTCTGTTTTGACCTTCTACTGGTTTACTTTGAAAGGTATAGATTAGTGTAAAACTGTCCCCTTAATTAGCAGCAACAATAAAGAACGGAAGCCAGAACAGTCTAAAATACTCAGGAGAAAGGCAATCTGTTGTATTCTTGCTTTATCTATGCCTTTACTAAAATATATGCTTATCTCACGCTGGCTCCATCATCAAACTTCTTCGTGTCGACCTCAACCAGCGAGACCAGATGCACGCCTAGGACTGACTTCGAAAACCCCAAAATCTCAATAGGTATTTACCGAACTATTGGGTACAAAAAATATGCATGTCGCCTTTACCCTTGACCTTGTTCAGCGTTTGAAAATCCGCAACTCGATCGTGCGCAGAATAGCATAAGAAACGGCCGCAAAGGCAAATCCTAGCTCGAAGCCAACGTCGCCTCCACTAGAGGTCGATCCTGCTGTTCTGGCAACCGGGCCAACATACCAGGTTTGACTCATTCCAATTACCATTCCGATTATTCCGCAGCAGAAGGCAAGGAGAGCCGCAATGCCCGGTGGCAACTTTTCACGCTGATCATAATCCTCGGGATGGTAGCCCGAAAAGCCTCGCCGAAACACGAAGTGCTCAGTGAGCGCAATGCCTTCATATATGGCAAGCCAATATCCGATGAAATTCATGAAGTTTTCTAGAACAGCTTCGAAGTGGCTATAGCCGGGTATGGCGATGGCGATGTAAACACCGGTTGAAACCACTGTCCAGACGAAACGGGGGACATGGCGAGTCCACCGTCCCATCACCATGAGGGTAAGAGAGACGGAGTAGATATTTGGGCAGTTGTTCGCAACAATTGATAGGGCAAGTATAACAACGCAAAACTTGCCAAATCCTCCCAACCGGGGGAAAAGTAAAGCACCCAATAGACCCCCAACTCCTGACTCTTGATAGCCTTGTTGATATGGATTGTGGCCATTGTTCTGTCCCGTGCTTGTGACAAGGGCCAGACCTAGCAGCTCTGTAAAGAGAAGCGTCGGGTAAATTCCTAGCCATGTTGCGAAAAAGACCTTGCGCCGCGGGCGATTGCTTGGTTGATATACTGTGTAGTCTGCCGCATAGCTAGTATAGCCAGTGCCAAACCCAAACACCGTAGATCCAAAAGAGAGTACCTGTCCCAGTTCTGCGAGGCCGCTTTCCATTGGGATGTTCATGAAGTCCCCAGAATGAGCGAACACACCGATTACCACAAGGAAAACGATAAATGTGGGAATCCAACTCCAAAATTCGTATATGTGCACCACTTTGTATCCAAAGAAGACAATTATTAGTGTGCAGAAAGCGATAATCAAGATTCCGGCAAAACCTGGCACATTGGGATTCACGGCGTTGATTAACTGTGCTCCCACAATAATGTTGGCAGCGGCCCAGCCGATACAGGCCAACACATTGAATAGCGCAACTGCAATTGGAAAAAAATTAGCTGTATTCCCAGGTTGGATGATTCATAAAACCTACTTAGCTTCACACCCCACCAGCCGAACCAAAATCTCGACAGGACCATTTGCCGTAGCCCAAAGGCCGCTCCGAATGTGGAAAAAAAGCATACCGTCATGACGGCAATCAGGTTGAAAAATATAATGACAAGCGCGCCATCCACAAAGTTGACATTGAACACCGGCTTTCCTAAAACCCCAATGGTGAACGATGGAACAACCATATTTGCAGCGAGCCACTAAATCAAAATTATCAGAACGAAAGACACCAGAAAATAGCTGGAGTGGGAAAGAAGCACCATAGAACCAATATTCCAGTAAGAGCTGTCTGTTCTCTCATCATCTGGGACGCGCTCAATGCCTCGCAACTCAACCTTGAATTTCCCGCCCAGTCGTTGAAGTTTCGCATATGTCGAATTGCCGTATTCAAAGCTCGACGCTGGTACCGCGCCCGTCTCGTCCTCGATCAATGCATTCGGACCTCCAGGTTGCTTCTCTACATCTTCGTTCGATATTTGATCCATGGTCACCGGAAAATACTGTTCAGATCGTCACAGTGTTCTAAACTAAGGAGCAAGCGCTGTCTTTAATATCGCCTCAAATCACACGTGATCCACCGGACCCACGGGGGACTCCGATCCACAAGCCATTCTGGCTTCGAGTCCGGGGATATGTGGCGTCCCATGTGCTGAGTTCCGCCTGATCACGATAATAATAATTAGACTATGTGAACCCGGCCCCTAGTCCGAACCCCGCGTCCAGGATGGCGGGCTGCCCAAATTCCGCATAAAGTGCATCGCGCATAAAAGTACCCACCAATCCAGTAAGTCCTTCCATGTCATATCGTCATCAAGCCTTGGAGCTATGCTCCTTTGGTCTGGTACAGCCGGGATCCCCACAAGCCGGCGTGACGGGAAACGCGGATTCCCGCGACAGATGCGGGGGTTATCACTGATTGGAACGGAGGCCGCCGAGACCCAGCAATGGTCGATCAAGTGAAATCTGGGCGGGTGCAAGTCAATCGAAGCACCGGGACTGCTGTCGTGAAGTCGATCATTCGACTCATAGCACTATCCTTAGAGATCGTTTATCTGTGCGAAATATTTAATAACCAGACGTCTTAAAGCCGGCCTGCGGCGTGATCCGCTATCCTTCCATTGCGGTATCTAGACCAATTCAGGATCTCTCTCTTAACCCTCCGTCGTGCTAAATATTCCGACAGCTTTTTGGCATATCCGTTGCCTGTATGTGTGTGTGTCGGATTAGTCTTTTGACCAACAAGTCCTCACTTCCTGACAGAAATCAACATGACACTCGACTCTGTGACAGATCCTATTGAGCTGCCTTTGATCGATATCTCAAAGTCGGATGATCCTGAGGTTGGAAAAGCGATACTTGATGCCACAATCAAGTATGGCTTCTTTTACATCGACAGTAGAGCTACGGCCGTTACAAATGCCGATATTGAACAGGCCTTTGCTCTAGTATGTCTAGAAAACTTGCAGTTTCCACCTCCCCTCAGCAGGCATTCCTTGGTTTGAATTCTCGGAGTGACATGAAGATCGTCAGATAGTTGACAGTGTTTATTATCACTCATATTCCTGAAACAAGAATTCGATACTGATATAGATTCAGTCCAAGGAGTTTTTCAAACTTCCAGTTGAAGAGAAGTCTCTCTATCGCAGGGAGCCAAATGTGAGAGCTATTACGGTTGCTTTTATGACATTTTTTACGACACTGCTAATCTGACTGGCCATTATTAGAATCGAGGATGGATTGGAATGAATGTAGAAACACTGGACCCTGAGCGCCATGAGGTAGGTTCTCGAAAGTCGGCGTTGTTACTCTCAATTTTAAAGCTGACCGACGCGTATAGCGGGGGGATTTTAAAGAGTTAGTCTAATAAAATGTTTGATGACCGGTAGCATTGGCTGATATTTCATTTTACTCATCAGGGCGATGAATATTGGGGAATTTAAAGATGGGAAAGCCCAGCAAAAGTTACCTCAGTGTCTGGCAACCAACGAGGCGCAGATCGCGCATTTCACAGATCTCTGCAATCAAATCTGCGGCCAGATCCTAAGGCTTCTGGCACTTGGTCTTGAGGTGAACACTGCACTGGGTTATTCAGGCGATAGGATTAACTGAGAATGATGTCCAGATGCAAGAAGATTTTTTCACTTCTAGGCATGATCCAGCAAAAGGCCCTACTGGCAATTCAGTGCGATTGCTCTATTATCCAGCGGCAGTTTCCTCTTACAGACCAGACAAGGATATCCGAGCAGGAGCGCATTCAGACTACGGTAGTGTGACTCTGCTCTTCCAGTGCCCTGGCCAACCAGGGTTGGAAATTCTCACCCCAGAAAGCAAATGGGCGCCAGTTCCAGTGTATCCGGATGGGAAAATCGATTTTCCTTTCCCTCCAATCCTTGTTAACATTGGAGATATGCTGAGTTATTGGACGGATGGACTTTTAAAGTCAACGGTTCATCGGGTTGTCTTTCCTCTAGAAGAGAAGAGCGACCAGAACCACAAACCACAAGATCGCTATAGTATCGCGTTCTTCTGCCAGCCCGTCAGCAGCACAGAGCTTGCGCCAGTGCCCAGCAATATTGTGGCCGCTTACAGAGATCAGAAGCAAGAAAAGGGTCAAGATGTAATTGTCGGTCATGGTGGCGGTGTTCGTCATCTCCATCTTGACAAATACCGACTGACAGCTGGTGAGCATTTGCAAGCCCGCTTGCAGGCCACCTACATTTCGAGCCCCTAGACAATAGTATCACAATCACAAGATTTTATATTCTATGACAATCCCTCTTCACAGTCTATTATGACTTGATAGGGAATAGTTTCCTATCGGGGACTGCTATTTAATGCGGATTGTCTTCGCTCTGGTCGAAATGCTCCCGTGCCCACGGACTTCGCAGTCGGATGGCCTTGCCCTTGTAGAAGAAGATGAATGGAATCGGCACCAAAAGGATGGAAATAAATCCGAGCAGACTAGATGCCCACTCGTAATCCAGCTTCTCGTACATCTGCGTGGCAAATAAGGGAAAGCCGGCGCCGACAATATTGCGAACTAGGATCACACCAGCCAGCGCAGAGGCTGAGTATGTCTGGTAGCTGTCAACAACATAGTTGAGAATACTCAGAATCACAATATAGATCCCGGCACCAAATAGTGAAGACGCGATAATAGGAACAATCCAATGAACGGAGCGATAGCTAGTCCAGCCAAACCAGAAAAGACTGATTGGAATAAGCATAGCGCCTCCACGGGCCATCCACATTCGAGCTTCGGGAACACCTTTCCCATCGTTTTCGCTAACGCGACGGAGGTAATACCGTTCCTGAAGCGGGTAGAAGCAAAAAGCGATCAAAGGGCCAATGGCTAGGCCCAAAAAAACGAGACCCTGTTGACCCGTGTTAAAGGGGTGCCCCTTGGGAGGTCCAAAAACCAAAGGGATGGCTTCATTGAACAGATATACGAGGCCGTAGAGGAAACCGTTGTATATGGCCGAGAAGGTTGTGATGGGTTCCGTAAAAAGGAAGCGGAATGGTCGCGTAAGAGTGATGGCAAAGAGCTTGTGCAAGCTCTTGCTGTTGCCAGTATGCATATCTGTAGTCGATTCAGAAGATCGCAAATTTTCCTTTTGCATTTGCTTGCGCACACGTCGGGCCTTCTTTTGTAGAATGATCGTGTGTCGCGTCTCTGGCACGGTGAGGACCAGCAAGATCCAAATGCCTCCCGTCATTGCCATGAGAACCCAGAAGATCATCCGCCAGCCAGCATTGAGCCCAATGTAGCCGGTGACCACAAGGGCCATCGGTGGACCAAACGTGGAACTTAGCCCATACACGGCCATGGGCCCACCACTCTCATTTCTTACCCACAAGTCGCTGATGCTTCCACCGGTATTGGTTAAAGGTGCGCCCCCGGCACAGCCGCCAATGAACCGACACACGAGAATGGTGCCAATGTTAGGAGCCAAAGCGATCGGGAGCTGGAAGATGAACAGGAAGAACCATGACACGACATAAACCGGCTGACGCCCAAAATACTCCGAGAGCGGAGCGAGGAGCACGGGGCCAATCGCATAGCCCAGCACGTACAGAGACAAGCATAACGTCGTGACCTCCGAAGAGACCCCGAATTCCTTCTGTATCCCCATCGCACCGGAGGAGATACCTCCCGCGCACCAGGTCCTGTCTCACGGATTAGTTCATCAAATCCCATGCAAGGAGACGGGGTACACACGTGAACACATTAAGCATACTGACGAGGCACGTTATATACCATTTCCTCCATTTCGGCCAGTTGCGGGGGTTGTCGCGGTCGTCAAAGGAATATCTGATGAGGATGGGCAACGCATCGTTGGGTTTGCTCCGGGCCATGGCGATAGCCTGTTCCTCCGACAGCACTAGTGTGGAGTTCTCCCTACAGGAGTCGCTGACTTTCTCGGCATCCTGTATTTCGTCAGTCCGGGGCTCCTCCGTCGGTGACATCATGGCTTCCATCTATCACGGCAGGTTGGAACAGTTGAAGAGAAGAGCCCTGGAGTAGTCGTAGATGATGTGAGGGGGACACAGAAAAGAAAAACAGAAAGGAAGAAGAGTGATAATAATATGAAAATAGTGTGTGGGTAGTGAAAAGACTGGAGCCTTCATCCCACCGAGTGCATTCTTCTCCATAATTGCCCCCCAGCATTACCGAGGCGGGTAGGGTTTGCCACCGGGTCGGCATTCGTTCAGTGGTTCGGGCTGCCGAAACAGAAGCCATCGGTGGACGCTGCTTGGCTCGGCGCTGCTCCACCCGAAAATCCCAATAGTAAATGTGGGGGGTGAGGCAATTCTGTGTGTCATGAATTATGATATGTTATTATGCAGGAGGCGGTACTTATACGGACACAGTCAGGCGCTTTTGTTTCTCCCGGGATGGCCGGGAAATGTCTTCTGTGTATATGAATGAACGAGCCGATGGTGTAAAAGCTTCAAATTGTCCTCCCATCTAGTAAGGTTCTGCAACTTTTTCTCCATCAGTCCAGATGCTGTCCATCTTCGTTACAATCAACGTCGATGCCAAATCTTCTTCCCTGTCGCGTGATTCGCTCAGCGTCAGCATGAGCCTCGACATCACCCTCCGTATCACCATGGCTAGACCAGCTAGGAAGACTCGAGGCTCTGGTTATCGTATCCGCCGCGTAAAGCCCACTTTCATCTAAAGATTTTCCGGCTGTCGTCCACCAACCCATCGAGAATGTCCGGCCTTCAAATACCCCCCGCCTCTTCAGCTCGTTGTCGTCACACCATTCCGCTTCTGAAGGTAAAAAATCATTCTCCAGGATCCGGGATCCGTACAGTAAACTCGCCACAGCTGCGATACTACATGGGTTAGTAGGCAAGACTCGTTTCGTCCGCATGAATGCTAGAGAAACTACGGCACACACGACCATAGCCCCCATAAGTCCTTGAAGAATGCGTGTTGAGAGCTCTTCTTGAACAAGATAGTCGCTCCCATCATGGAACATCGCTTTGTAAACTGGTGCCTTCGAGGTCATGGGTGATATTACCCATGATCGATTGAGGGGTTTGTCAAAGGACTCATGACCACAGCTGTTCAAGGCCTGCGCCGTGACAATACCAAAGATCTCGTTGGCACGGGATATGAGCCTCGATGGATCACTGAGCTCCTCTGCAGGGACACCATCAATTCCATATACCAAAGCCTGCTTCATGAGGTCAGGATCACCGAAGGTGTTGTACCCTTTGGAAGGCAATACATCAAGCAAGAATGTATAGATTTCTCCAAAACTGACAAACATTGTCTTGTCAACAGTGATCGGCCGGGCGGATCCCTTCACCACTCTCGGCTCAAACTCTGGATCGAAGGAGAACGACGGCACTTCCAGACGGACGTCAACATCAACCTCCTCCATTGTTGCATTGCAATCTATTACGTGGTGGTTTGCGGAGGTATTGTATCTGGGGTCTCGATAACATTTGCTCCACAACATGCGATGACTCGGACAGTATGAGGGGAGCCCAGGATAATAATCATAAATCCCGGAGGAGAATTGGTATCCCCGTTTATTTGGCTCTGCATCTGGCGCACATGACGAGGATCGCACATAATTGTTGCAATCAGGAGTGGGATCACATTGCCAAACATCATGGTAAATTTGTACTTCGTTGGTGTATGTGGTATCCTTCCACGTGCAGCTGCCGTTCTTGAGTTCGTGGCAGTTGAGTCGCGCACGCAACGCTGGCAGGCGGGCTTGAATATATCCACGTGCAGGAGTGTCAGTTGTCTTGTCGTTGGAATTCGCGAGGGTAAACTTAGGGAACGCAAGATCTTTGTAAGTCCATTGGGGATAGGACATATTTAATTGAATGATCATGCCGGAAATAGGAGCGGTCGTGAAGTTCTCGCGATTCCAATATGCCGATGGATCTCCAATATTCCATCTTGTCGCTTGCGTGAGATTGAGAGACGAAATCGCTACGGAATTCCTGGTTGTGTAGAGGCCAGAGACAACAATGGGTGTGATTGCGCCTAAGAGCAACGGGAAACTTGCTGTCGCCATGGCCCACTGTCTTTTGCAAAGGGTGTCGTAGACAGCGTAAATGGAAATTTTGCGCAGCTGATTTTCCAAAATACTTGTCTCCGCTGGAGCGGATCCCTGTGTGAGAACGGAATATGGTTGAAAGACCCGTGCGCCAAACTCGACAGATTGAAACAAGCAGCGGATACCAAACATAATAATTGCGGGAAGATAGGACCAAACATAGTGAAAGTATGGTGACATGCTTCCAACGGATGCAATGCCACGAGAGCGCTCAGAAATGCGGTAGATGATTTCCAGTGCCACGATGACCGCAAGAGGGATAGCGAGCAGAGGGAACCGAATAACCCAAGTCGACGAGAGTGGGCTCCACCAGACCAGTTCATTGGTCTTAGCAGACGAGGCATGCACTGTACTTGGCATGTCATCGCACGGAAGAATCCTAAAGTCTCCGCTGTTTGTCGTTTGTGTTATATACCGGCTCTGAGGCAAAGCTGAGACTGTCATCTCTGACTCTGACTTATAGTGAGAGGTTTGGAACGTAGACATAAACTCTGAGCTCCGCGATAATACAGTTGCAAGCCCTCCAATGGAGCTAGTATCTCTCGAGCATACAGAGACAGGGACATATAAGTATAGCAGAAAGGATGTATCCACGATAAGAATCCCAATCAGAATAATCATCGACCAGAATGAGAGAGGGCGAACGAACAGTCGTTGCTCGATGATTTGCTCACTACCTTCGACATTGTGTGGATTCGGCACTAACAGTGAGTCTCTGACCACCATCCGCATAATGCAGCTCCATGAATCCTTGATTGCCGCCACAAAAAGGTCAATGGAGTCCAAAAATTGTTCAGGCGTAAGGGTAGAAGTATAGACATATGGGTTACTCATGCCTAAAGCATTTGCTGTGAGGGCCAGCGATCCATAAGCTGTCGAAAGGATTTTGCCGCCTGTCACATTTGCAATGGTCTCCACTGTGACGAGTTTGTTGGCTGGTATGGAGGTAGATATGCCGTTTCGTTCAGGATCTCGCGAAATTGTCACCGGTCCTCGGAATATAGTATAGCCTGGCTCACACATGATGGCTTTGGTTTCCTTCGGGAAGAACCCCTCACCTGGAGCAACTACTGCCCAAAGACGATAGCCTTGACTCCAGGAGACATTCATCGAGCCATTCGCCCTTTCACATTGGGCAAAAAAAGCATCAATTCCAGAAACTTCGTACCCAGGCTTTTGTCGTACCGTGCATCCATCTTTCGAGATAAATTCAGCGGTCCAGGCCGCGGGACTGCCAACCATCGTAGGGTTGAACTCGAACTTGACGGTCACATTGGAACATTTGAGGGTTGGCTCAAAAATATCCAATTCAGCTTGGTATTTGTGGTTTGCAGTTATAGTGTAATTATCGATCGGACCAAGGTTTGCGTTCTGGAAGGGTGGGTAGACGTAAGGGTCGTGAAGGCCAATTGGCCGACTCATATTATCATTCATAAATCCAAGACAAGCCCCCATTGGCCGGGAATTGCTATAAATAGGATTCCAATCTGTCGCGTTGAATGTGTGTGTCACAGTGAGGTTCACGGCCTGATTTATAGGAACCGGGGTGAGCTCGAATAGAGCCGTGGAGAACACAGTTACTGCGTTTAGTAGCAACGAGCCCGCGATGCAAATGGAAACCAGATAGTGTTTCTTCTTAAAGGACTTGAAGAAAGATTGAACATTCCAATTTGAGAGGTAGTCGAGAGAAATGCTTTCTGAGGCGAGCGTCGGCCCTTGGGACATTAAAACCCACGGCATCAATTGCACAGCCCGATATTCTACCTGAGTCCAACCCGCAGCCAGGGTCGTGAACACTGTGAAAAATCAATTAGACTAACTGCATATACATCAGGACCAAACAAGCTCAAGTAAACTGGACATACCGGCTGTTGGACCATATGTCCATAAGTAATAATATTTTGAGCCTGGTGTTTTTATCCCAAGGCTATTATGCTGACGTCCAGAGTAGACAAACAAAGCCACAAGCGAGCACAAGATGGCAATGAAGATAAGTAGAAACAACACAATGACAGATCGGCGTAAGAAGAAGGGTGTCCAACGGGGCCGACTGTCATGGCAGGGGGTATCATCTCTCTTTGCACTGTAGGCGTTGGTGTCTTCTTTTGCGGATTGGATCCAGTTTCCGGGCTCCCGGACCATAGGAGTGACATAGCATTCAGTTGACATTGTGGGAGCCCACCCTGATAACTGCGAAAATAGGCCAACCCGACAATTTTAGGATCAATGGAGACTCTTTCTCCAGTAGATGAAGTAGAGGCTTGAATTATCGAGAGAAGATTGAATCATGAGCACAGGAGCCACAGGGAAGAGAGCCCGCATTTATGGCTCTGGCTAAAGTGCATGCCAGGGTCCAGGCCGCTCAATGAGCCTCGGCGGGTGTGTTGCATAGGCGCGTATTTTTATGCAGCCATGGGCGGGTAGCGTAGTTGTGTAGTCAACGATGATAGGCGAGCAGACTGAGATCGGCACTCTGAAACACGAAGCCGCCCCGATTCTTATGCTCGCGCCAACTGAAACCAAACGCCAATTTGCTGTTTTCCGACCGGGAGTAAGGGCAAATAATTTAGTTTCAACAGATGGCTAAATGTGGTCACATAATTATAGTAACGCATATCACTTCAGCGCCCGCTTTGGAAAACAACCATCAGCGAAATCAGGGCAAACGTTGACTGTGTGAGAGCAATGAATCGAGGAGCACATTGAACAAAAAGGCACGACACAGACCAAAAGCCTAAATCAAATTGCCGCTTGGTCTAATACGAGTTGTATGCTATTCACTTAATTTTTTGGTGGTAGCTTCCAACTAGTATTGTTTATAGAGCACTAACACCTGCCTCTGTGGCTAGTGTGAATAAACCCTACCGATTTGTTATTAGACGGTTTGTTGTTGAAATTGAATCGTAGTAGAAACAATACCAACAATGCCACATATGATCATTAGAGAAATAACAAAAAACCTTGGAATGGTAGCTCGGAGTATAAAATGAGCCAGAGCGGTAGCTGGCGCGAGCAGGGAGCTGCATAAAGTTGTTGAAATATCGTTGATCCATGCCAGACGAGCCATCTCCTTTGGAGGGCGCAGCTTGCCATGCCCAGCCATTAGGCACGAGCTGAAGGATGAGCAGTTGTTCAGGGCTACAAAGGTAATGGAGAGCTTTCCTACCGCGTGATGCTCTGTTCACAGAGAGAAACACTTCAGTATCCTAGCTATTCCACTGTGAATGTTCAGTCTCCATCTAGTAACAACTGTAGACCAAGAAGCCTTTGTTCCTCTCTGTTTTCACTGTCAGGACTACACGTCGTGGTCCAAATTGTCTGTAGCCGTCTCTGTACCCAGGTCGCTTGGCCCCCAGGTCGGGTATTGATTAGCAGAGAGAGGAGATTCTGCACCATTTGGTATTCATTTGAAGACACCGCAATCGATCCCAGTATAGCCAGCGGCCATAATAGGAAACTGGTGAAATAGTGCTCTGCATCTGCCAGGGCCATCGCCTCCAGCCCTTGTCCCAAGTAAATGCCCATCCGTCGACTCATCTCTCGCAGCGATATCTCTGGATTCTTTTTCAGCAGTAGGATTCCCAGAGTAAGGGCGTAGAGCGTGCTGGACTGCTCGTCCTCGGCTCGCATCAGTGGGACACACTGCCTGAATTCGTCCTGCAGGTGCCTCCAATTTTGTCGTTCGCCTCTTTCCAGAGGGCGAGACAGGCGAGCAAGCTTTGTAGCGTCGGCAATGAGCACAAAAAAACGGTAGGGCGCATGCAGAATAGGCTGCGTGGAGACGGAGACGCTCAGATCTGGATGGTCCGGAAAATACTGCGTCAGGTCCCGTTGATCCCGAAATCTCGACAGTGCATCCAGCGAGGGGTCAAAAAGCATCATCAACGAGGCGTGATACACGAACGATTCAATGCAAATGCGGTCGAAGACGGTGGCTGTTTGGGGTGAATTTCCCCCCGCGGGGACGACGGAGGGCCAACAGCGTCCCGGAGGCCATGACATGCGGTGTGGTATTGGGCACCGCATCTCGTCGACAGCTCTGTTGAGTGATTAGCGTCGCGTATGTTCCACATCTTCCCCGGCCATGACATACCTCGAACACGGACAGCGAGATCACCGTCGCTAGAAGACCATCATTCGTCTCTGGGTTTCTGAGTTGGGCAATCGTCTTCTGGAGGCCCGAGATGGTATACATGTAGCTCTCAATGGCGCACTGAATTGCCCAGTGCGACGAGGAAGCCAGCTGCATGCCGGCAATCGATATCATGGCTCCCATCAGTGGAGGAAACTCCCACGCCAAGCGTAAGAAGTGCGTTTGATCCAAAAACCGTGCCAGTGAATTTTTCCGCACCAGACGAGGGACCAGAGTGGAGGCGTAGTACCGGTACAGATAGCCGTGCTCTTGTAGCTGGAACGGAGACGGTAGGGGGACTGGGGGTGATAGTCGCAGGTCTGACAGCCCCGAGGACGATCCGACGGCGGTGCTGATTCGATATCTCTGGGCTCGTCGTCCGTCCCCCAGTTCGTTTCCCGAGGGCCACAGGCAGCCAAGCTCGTTGCGCGTGCAGGCTCGGCATCGCGGACGCGTTTCGTCGCACTTCTTTCGGCGTTGGCGACCTTCGTCCAGTCAGCATCGGCCGATATCTGTTAAGGAATTGTTTAATCTCACATGGGAGACAACCCGTTTTCGTGCGCAGCCGGGCGGTGGATTGGGGGATCATGGACGCGATCACGGACGGGAGGGGAACGCAGAAGAGAGATTCGCGGGGAGAAAGATGCCGAGGGTGAAGAGTGAATCCGAGAACTAAGGCGATACGAGCACGATTACCCCAAAGCGGGAAGTATATTTCTTTTTCAATATGACAACATCGTCGTAGATTAGTTACCTCCGACAGGTTGAGATATATCTATATCCTCGATCGTACATGGCCCAAGGGGAGAGAGATGTCTTTTGCCTCCTACAATCCCCACAATCCTCTCCACCCTCACTTCCCTCACCTGATCTTACAATTCCTGATCCCAGCCATCTACGCCCGGCCCTGGCTCAGATGCGTGACGATCGTGTCGTGGTACGACCGTGCACGCGGCGTGGTCGCTTCGATGCCCACCAGCTTGGCCGCGTCGTCCCACCGACGCAGGGCAACCATCTCATCCCGCAGCGGATCCCGGTCGAACGCGCACAGCTCGTCGCCCTGAAACGGTCCGCCCTGAAAGGCCAAGGACTTTTGTGATGCCGTCGACAAGGAATCATAATAGGCGCGATCGACCGCGGTGAGATATCTGTCCCCATGAGCGATGCGTGCAACCGGCTCGAGACGCGACTTACCGTTTGGCCGCCACATGGCTGTTGACCAAGCGACACACGGTCTCGCTGAATCCCACCGAGTGAAGGTACTCGGCCCCGATCGCCTCGTGGCCGACCCGGCCGACATTCTCCGCGCTGTTGCGGAGGCTCATTCGCACCTCTTTCGAGGCCTCCAGCGGGATGATCTGGCCAATATCGTGCAGCAGAGCGGCAATCACCAGCTCGTCGCGGGCACCTACGACCGCCATGAGTGAGGCGCTTCGCCCAGGGAGTAGGGGACACATACCGGCAGTGCGCGCCTGGTGGGCCGCTTGAAGCGAATGCTCCAACTGGTTGATCGATTCGCCAATGTAGTCTCCCTGCCCATACTGTTCCAGAGCACCGAGCAGAGCCTCGGCGATAGCGGCGGGCGACTGCTCAGCCATGGTCATGGGTGTCACCGGAAGGGCAGAGTGAAAGGCCGTGAATGGACGAGAAGGGGGTGCAGAAAGCAAAGTGTGGTAAAAGCGAGGCGAAAGGAAGACACGGACAGGACTTTAAAGCAAGCAAGGTATGGTCTGGTCCGGCAACCCGTTTTGGTATTTTCTCTGTTCATTGATGGGATCGGAGCAGGCGCCGGAGCCAGTCTCCACCCACGGTGGGTGATGAGTCGCGATGGACTCTTGGGTGGTCTCATCCCCGAAAATTAATTCATCTGCGTGCTCCCCTCTACGTCCACGCTTTTTGTTTTATTTTTATGTTATTTTTATTTCTCTTCGCGTGGGAGCATACAGGGACTAGGAGTACAGTTGCTAACAATCCATGCGCCAGATTCCATGACGTTACACTGCGGCCACTGATTTCGCATCCACGGTCAACATGGGGGAGCCAAAGGCGTAGCGCACCCGGCCCTCCTCGTACGACTCGCCGTCCTTTCGCATATGGGTTGCCGGCCACAGCTGCCGCCGATCTGCATAGTATTGATCGTGCAGATTGCCCTCGGCGGCACAGTTGTAGGTCGCATAGATGGCCTTGCGATCTTTCGTGCTGGTGTTGGCGCCACTGCGATGCGCCAGGTAGGATCCAAACACGAGGATGTCACCTACGGCCGGTCAGAATCCCATGCACTCGACATTTTGGCCTGAGGGTCACCTACCAGACTGCAGATCACACGGGGTCCACGGGTGCTGCTCGACCCAGGCGGGCTCAATGCATCGATCTCCCCCTAGAGGAATCTCCATCCGGTGGCTGCCGTCCACCACTTCCAGCCCGCCATTGGTGGGGCCCATCTCGTCAACGGCCGCCAGGATGGTCAGGTGCTTTATGTTCTTGACGTGTGTATAAGCGTTGGCATCGATATGCGGATCAAAGCCTCCTGGATTGCCAGTGAGCGTGGGTTCACACGGATTTGGGACACGGGCTCGCACCGCTGCCTGCCAGCTTGTAGTTGATCTTTTCCTTGAAGAGCAGCATCTCCTCGCCGGCCAGCTGCTGCAGCACACTTGTGGCGCGCTGGCCCCTTAGGATGCTGTCAAATCCGGTGTGGGAGTTGGCAAAGTTCTCCGTCCGACACAGCACGCGCTTGCCCTCCGCGTTGACTTCCTGTCCGTGGCATTTGATGAGCGTGATTTCTCGCTCCACGAGTGTCGGCCTACCTCATAAGGCATCCACGGCACGTCCGCCGTGCGTGGAAGGTCATGGATCTCCTGAGCCCATTGCCGCAGTCGTGCTGCCTCCTCCGCGTTAAAGAAGGCGCGGATCAAGAGATAGCCCCGTTCCTGATAGCTCTGCAGCTGTTCCGAGCTCAGAGCGAAGTAAAAATTGTCCATGACGAACAGCACGAGGTGCCACAAACGTAAAGTCCAGGGTCCGGGCGTGTTCCCAGCACCCCTCCACCTCGACGGCATTTCATTTTATATTCGGCCCCAGTGTCACCGAGGCCAACCGAAGGGTCTCGAGAGTGTCGCGCTTCGCACCGACGGCGGCTCTTCCAGGCGACGCGAGGGTCGGGCGCCGTGCGATCAGTGGGCCTGCCCTGAGCCAGTCAGCGGAACACATGGGTGGACCATTGGCACGGGCGGGCCCCACCCGCGGGTCCCACGTGTAGAAACTGTATTGTTCCTGGGGAGCTTGGGTATTCCTAGTTCGGCTAGGCCGTCGATGATCATCGCGCATTTCCCCCGACGAGGTTACACTGCGACCGCGTGCGTCTCTGGTCTGGCATCATTGGATGCGGTGGCCGCAGAATTGGCTGGCATCACGGCGATGCTGCAGCGTGCTTAGGCTACAAATGATCGCGTCCGGTCCAGTCCGAGAGGGCGGATTCCGTGTGCGAAAATACTTTTGTCCTTGACTGCAGCACTATGGCGGCATCGCCCGATGACTCGGTCATGCAGATGAATGAGCCCAAAAAAGAGATCGCGGATGAGGAATGGGATGTTGAGCAGCGCGATGCGGCGCCGACCCGACACTCTGGTATCCTCAACGTCGTCGTGTCGGGACTGGCGCTGTTTAGCGATGGATACAATGCCGAGATCAGTCCGTTCCCATCTTTCTCGAGAGGGTGGCCGATGCTAACGTAGTGGTAGTTGGGTACATGGAGCCTCTTTTCGCGGTGCTGTCAGTACATCCAACCCACCGCTCTGGTGTTTGACCCAAGCCCAGTCAAGCCTGTCGCTAACAAGTATCGGAGGGGTAGTTACAAAGATGGCATGTCCAGCACGATCACATCGCGCCTGTCCAACTCCTATCTCATTGGAGAAATTTTCGGAATGCTCTTTTTTGGGGCGCTCATCGACCGCGTGGGTCGTCGCGCGGGCGTGGTGGCTGCTACGATCTTCTTGATTCTGGGTGTGGTGCTGGCCACCGCGGCTCATGGCACATCACAGCTAGGGTATGTCCGTCAAATTCTGATGGGAGCGGGAGTTAATCCTCTGACCTTAGGATGTTTTGGATGATGATCGTGGCCCGCGGCATAGCTGGCTTTGGCGCGGGCGGCGAGTATCCGGTGTGTGCCACGAGTGCCACGGAGGCCGCCGATGAGACACCTCAACTGCGCAAACGGCGCGGAATTCTGGTCGCCGCGACCACTGACTTTGCCGTGGATCTGGTATATAAGTCTTTTCAGGAGTCCTGGCGTGGTGGAAGGGCTAACAGTCATTTAGGGCTTTGTCGTCGCAGGGTTGGTTGCATTAATTGTGGTTGCATGTTACCACCAGGAAAATTCGGAGGGGGTCTGGCGGATCACTTTTGGACTCGGAATGGTGGTAAGCTTGAACCCCGGGAGCTGGCGACCCGCAGCGAACTAACGGGGATAGTTGCCCATCTCTGTGTGTTTCTTTCGACTACGGATGATCAACTCAACCCAGTATCGGAAACATGCGATGAAGTCACAGTACCCATATTGGTTGGTCCTCAAGCGGTATTGGAAGCCTATGCTGGGAACCTGTTCGTGATCCTTCAACATCTATCCCGTTTCCAGGACTAAATATCAGGACCTGTAGCGCTCGCCTGGTTTTGCTATGACTTTGTGACGTATCCATTTGGCATATTTTCATCGACCATTATCTCCCAATTGGCAACGAATAATACCACCGTGCAAAACATTGGATATGGGGTCAGTACGCTCGGTGTGCGAGGATCAGGCAGGGACGCTAACAAGCGATTTCATAGACTGTCATCAATTGTTTTTACCTCCCAGGCTGTTTAGTCGGAGGGCTTCTCATGGACCGCATTGGTCGCAAACAGACCATGACCCTCGGCTTTATGCTGTGGGCAGTGTGGGGGTTTATTCTCGGAGGTGCCCTCAAACCCATCCAGACCGTGTTTCCTCTCTTTGTGGTCATGTACGGCATCTTCAATGCTCTTGGAGAAATGGGACCCGGCGTCTCCACCTTTTTGTGTGCCGCCGAGTCGTTCCCAACACCCCTCCGTGGCCATTTTCTGGGCTTTGCCGCGGCAGTCGGCAAAGCGGGCGCCTCGATTGGGACACAGGTTTTCACGCCGATCCAAAACTCGTTTGATTCTGTTCAGAAGGGCCAACAGGCAGTCTTTCTGATTGGATCTGCATTTACGGTGGTTGGTGGTCTCGTCGCATGGTTCCTCATTCCAGACATGTCCCGTGAGTTGGAGACAGAAGATGCACGGTTCAGAGCATATTTAGAAGAGCATGGGTATGATATCAGCATGTATGGAGAGGCCTTGGTGGTCAATGCAAGGAGCTGATATAGAGTGCCTTTCTCGGCCGTGATTTGTGGGTGGAGGAAACCCTTCCCTGAAGCAGACACAAAGGAAATAGGTTCTGGTTGATATACAACACTAAATTATCCGAAAAGAGGGGGGCTGGGGATGGGTCAATTTGAATCAAAATGATGTAAGAAATATGCCATTAAAGTTGACGTTATTATGTGTGAAGTAGGAATCAGTAGGGCAGTTGAATGTTGAATATATGATTTGAAATGGAACAATCATTGTTCCCTACCTCACTCCGTGGGCTAAGCTTTTCTGATGATACGCCATTCCGCAAGTTACGAGTAGCATTCATTTGACTTGATCTCTCATAATTGTTCGGAGGTCTTCATAAGTAGCAATCAATGAAACCCACGTGCTCAAATGTCGGAGGTAGGTTACGTGTAGGGCGTCCTGCAAGGCGTGTAGACTTGAAAGGTGATGGATGGTAAAAGGCCTTGGCAGTACAAGATGTGCAACCTACATCGACGATCTGCTCGGTGCATTGATAGCCGCCGTTGTGATTGACCAATTTTGACCCAGGCCAGCTTTGTGCATATTGAGCGAAGGCGTTGCACAGGTGGCCGACACCCATTATGAAGGTGTCATTATCCTTGGTCGGATTGTTATTGGGCTTGGAGTTGGCAAATTTACAACTACGTCGTTGCTATGGCTCCTTGCCAAAATCGAGGCCCAGCACTCATGATGTATCATTTTTTGCAATCATTCTCTCAACTCATTGCCTCAGGTCTAACTTAAGGCACCCAGAAGACGACAACGTCATTGACCAACAAGCTTCCAATGGGCGGGCCTTGTCGTTTTTCTATTAACCATTTGCGTGGGACTTCCTTTAATTCCCTAAAGTCCGGCTTGGTTTATCCGGTAAGGGAAGAGGAGCCATGTTGAGCAGTCGTTGCGAAGAATCCATTGAAGTGAGAGAGAATACGACCAGTCATCCAATATCATCCAACTAGAAAGGAGAAAGCAATGCAAAGATGAACGAGTCCAAGCATCATGCTCATTTAGATCTCTTTATACACCTGCGCCTAACATTCTACACTCTCTCCACTCTTTCCATTTGTTGGCCACAGCCTCGAATGAAGACGACAGCCGCTGCTACCCTAAACACAAAGGGAAGCATCGTTGGGCCCAGCCAACTATACACTTTCTGCCTCTGATGTACACAGGTCGGGAACGGAGCGCAGCCAACGGTCAACAGTCGAGCACGTTACTTGAAATGCACACTAGGGTTGTCATGTTTGTAATTAATTCCATAGCTTTGCACGTCACTATATTCCCCGGGAGATCTCAGGGCTCAGACCTCCGCCCGCGCCCCGCTCGACGTTAATCAAGCTACTACGATTATCCTCGATCAGATCGAGCCAAGAAGACGACCTGTTCCGCTGGAGGTTCGTTAGCCCAGCAAATATGTAGAGTGACATTTTTCTACAATTATGGAGTCATTCTTGCCCAGGCAATGGCAGTTGACGACTTGTTATGATTCAGTTGATTATGAAATTTCTTCAGATCTTTGCAGTGGCCACTTCTTTCTCACAAGCAAGAGAAACAGATGCCGCACACATCTTCTGGTCACCGCGTCCATGATCTTATTTGCGTTTGTTATTCTAACCCCTATTAAGACCCAGAAAATTCCTTACATATCCTGCCAAATATGTATATGATTGTTGTGTTTCCTATGTGGTTATAGTGGCCTATAACTTCGGCATGGGGCCTTTAATCACATCATCTTTCGAGAATTGGCCGTCGTAGTCAACCGAAACAAAATCATATCGGTCTTCACTGTTGTCCTTTATTTACCTTCCCGGACATTTCCTTCACAGCACCATATCTATATTATACTTCAAATCTGTACCAGTGCTCGGGTTTTTTTATGCAGGCTCAACACTTTCACTCTCCCGTCGGTTTGATTTTGTGTTGGAGAGACAAGGGACAGAATCAACCTTGAGATTTCACGCTTCTTTACTGAGAGGTACCCAGCAAGCAAATGGAGGCCATAATTTTTACCCTCTAAAAGGGCTGACGGTGAGCACAGCTCCATGGATATTGAAGAAATGTGCATTGAGCAGGTTAGTTAAGGCATACCTAGCTATTTTTCACCAAAATCGGTCAAGCTTGTTAACTTACACAAGCGTCAGAATGCCGACTAAAACTTTAGTATCTTCAAAAGGCGAAGGCCGCCAATGTTCTGTATATGAAGGATGATAACCCACTGTCTAGAATTTGACAAGACGGATACACAATTAAGAGACCAGGGATATATAATACAGATAATGAATAGACAGAATAAAACATGGGATATCATTAGATTCCGGAGATTGTGAATTCAAGCTTACTGGAATTTCCCGTTCCTATTGTGGGCAGGTGGGGGGACTTAGGCTGATATCTCAATAATGCCTTGAAGTGATGGACAGTTCCGCATCGGGTATTTGATATCCTTGGCACATTTAGCAGGCTGAAATACGATCAATTCTCTTCAACAAAGACACATATCACTGTTATTTAGTTACGTTATGCTTTTTTTCATGACAAGGTGCCATAAATAGATGTCCTCAAGCAAGGGTTGAGACCTTATTATTTCCCATAAAACGGATAGTGGGAACAATGAGTTTAATAGAATGTCTGAGGACGTGATCGGAGCTTGATTTTTAATTCATGATATCACTAGAAATTCAGCATGCCAAGTAGATGCCCATAAATGGTCTGTCTCTCGCAAGAAATCGGCCGTCAAAGTGGAAAATCTATGTTAATAATATAATAATGGTCCGTGATTTTTAGTCAATAACCCGATAACATGCCCGGCATTCGTGGTTTCTACTTACCCCGCTCAAGCTCTATGTATGCTACCGTCGATCACTGCCAACTGGAGTCAAGAGCGATGAGCCGAGGTGGAAAGATGCGAAAAAACATTGGAATTACGATTACTACGGTTGCTTCACCCAAGAACGCTAGTGGGTCAAAAGGAATGGAGGTCGTTCGGGAAAATAATGTTCTTCGGGAAAAAGTGAACGCGCTTTATTTAGGCTATTATCGTGTTACATAAGAACTTATAAAGGTCCTCTGTGGACAAGAATACTTTAAAGTCTTAGACAGATCAGTCTACGCTATTATTTACGATGATCATGGCATTTATTTCTCGATTATCTCTTCTGCTGACATCACTTGCAATCTTTCAGTTAGTTAGTCACGCACAAGAGATCCAAGGAAAATGGGCATCTGGATCACAGGTGGACGCCAAATACCCTAGGAACTCACATGCGGCTAGAAGAGATGCTTTCTTAGACAGTTTGGTTTCTAATCTCACGGTTCCAGAGCTTGGTTAGTCTGCTTACCTGCGGATCGTCCCATCCCAAACGAAACTAAAATACTTTAAAAGCCTTGCAAATGCATCTCATGTTCGCCGACAATATTATTGGACCAAACTCTGATAATGCTCTATATGGTAAATTGTTCTTCCCCAAAAAGATATACATTTTAACATTCTGCCTTAGATAAGGCTCTCCAACCGGCACCTGGTGCCCCCATTGGAATTATTCATGATTGGTATCCAACGAACAAATCCCAGTATAACGAGCTACAGAAGTTGAATTCCGAGCGCTCTAGAGTCAACATACCGTTCATTCAATCGGGCGAATGTCTCCATGGTGTGGGGTCGTTCAAGCAATCCATGTTTCCACAGTCTATCGGGATGTCGGCATCTTTTGACACCAACCTTGTGCATCGAGTCGGTAGAGCCATTGGCACAGAAGCTAGCTCAATTGGAATCCACGCGTGCTTTTCCCCTGTGCTTGATTTAGCAAAAGATCCTCGATGGGGCCGCGTTCAAGGTAAATTGTTCAGTTACCGAGACCACAACTCTTATTAACCATTAAAACTCCAGAGGATTGGGGGGAAGACATGGTCTTGACAGCCCATATGGGAGTGGCATACGCGTCGGGTCTGTCTAAAAATAGCAGTTGGTCAGATCATGATGCAGTGGTGCCAGTCATGAAGGTTCGAGGAAATATACACAGTATGCAGTCGGTTTTCGATACTAAGAATATCTTTGTTTAGCACTTTGCTGCCCACGGGAGCCCCCAAGGGGGCCATAATGCCGCACCTTTCATGGGATATGGCACTCGAGAAGTGCTCCAAGAGATGCTTGTTCCGTTCAAGGCTGCAGTCGAGCTTGGAGGTGTCAAGGGCGTCATGATGTAAGTTCGTTATGTACCAAGCTCCCTGTGTCTATCTTGTTCCACTAAGCCATGAATAGGGCTTATAGTGAATTTGATGATGTGCCTTCTTCGGTGAACCCTCTACTGTACGAGGCATTGGCAGACTGGGGGTTTGATGGTTTGTTTCTGACTTAAGTTGAAGCTATTGGTCTGAATTTTGACCCTGTATTAGGTTACGTGACTGCTGATGATGGCGGTAAGAGTCAAAATAACGAAGCGAAGAACAAAGATTAAGTTTACGTGGGGCTGACCGCTCTTCTAGGTCTTTCCGAGTTGCTTTATACCCATCAGGTCACAAGCTCCGTGGCGGACACGATTGCACAGTGGCACAATGCTGGAGGCATGGTTCAATATTACGATTTTCCTTTACAGGAATATGTGGATGTACGGTAGTATAACTCCTTGATGTACGCTATTACTGACCCATGGTCCAGGCGACCGTCAATTTGATAGGGAATGGAACGTTGACAAAAACAACATTACAGTCATTAGTTCGACGTATACTCGCAGTGAAGTACGACTTGGGGCTTTTTGACAATCCTTATATCCCCGAAGACGTTGATTCACATGCCATTACAGCGTCTCATGTCCCACTTACTTTGGAGGCAGCACAAAAGAGCATTGTTTTGTTGGAAAACCACAATTCTACACTCCCGATCCGTCCATTACAACAGGATATTAGACGAATTGCCTTAATTGGTCCTTTTAGCGATATATTCAACTACGGTGATTACTCTGGGCAATGGGGAGGATATCCCGTCAAAAATGCGAGTACCATACGCCAGGGAATTCTTCAACACCTTTCAAAAGAATTTCCTCAGACTGAGCTCCTTACCAGCTGGGGAGCAAACACATGGACATATAACGCACAGTACAACATCCCGCCTTATTTGCTCTCTGCCAACGGCACATCAGGGGGTTTACTTGCAACGTACTATGCATCGCCTGACTTCAATGATGCAAGATTCCAAAAGATCGAAACACCGAGCTTAGATTGGGGTCTTTATCCGCCAGTGGGACTACCTTCAAACAATTTCAGTGTGATCTGGGAAGGGAAAGTCACAGTGCCTGTTGACAGCAGTATTGAAGGATGGTTTGGGGTTGCTGTCTACCCAAATACCACTGCAAAGCTTTACATAGATGGAAAACTGCTTGTCGAAGCCGAAGCGACCCTTTCAGGAAACATTCTATCCAACATCCCCGGATTGTCATACACCTCGGTAAACAGCACGGTTGCCCCTCCAGGTTCAGCACCATTCACATTCCGAAAGTCCGCCACGCATGATGTTCGGCTGGAATATCAGGCTTGGAATTATTTCCAAAAGGTTGAAAACGTTAATTCCTTGAACGCGCAGGTGCTAATGTTCTGGAATCTGGTGGATCAAACTGATCCAATTGGAAAGGTACGTAGTTGTGAGCTAGGCCGTCATTAATACTAATACTAATAATGCAAAGGCTGTTGCGCTTGCCAAAACATCCGATGTCATTGTCCTTGCTGTCGGTGCGAACTGGAACAGTGACGGCGAGTCTGGAGACCGAGCAACCCTTGAATTGTCTCCAAATCAAAGTAAATTTCTTAATTTACCCAGAGTTTGAAAAGTGATAATTGCAACTAACAATATATAGCTGCCCTTACTAATGCAATTTTCGATCTAAAAAAGCCGGTGATTCTCGTGCTACAGGGAGGTCGTCCATTCGCTATTCCTGAATATTACAACAGGGCAGCCGCAGTTCTCAATACAGTATGTTTTGCTTCAAGTCGGAGGTAATATATATATATATATTCAGGACAGCTAAACGATCCTCAGTTCTTCCCCGGTCAGTCTGGTGGACAAGCTATCTCGGACGTCCTCTTCGGCACAGTCAACCCCGGAGGGCGGGTCCCAATCAGTGTACCATACAATGTTGGAACATTACCAGCATTTTACAAGTAAGTTTTCGGTTACATCTCAGTTTCATAACTATATCTAATTGCCGGCTTGTCAAGCTATAAACCGTCATTCCCAAGGGACTACACCGATATCCCATATCAGCCAATTGTGAGGGCGACTTTCATTTACATTGCTTTAAACTTTCACTTCAAATACACTGCTAACTCAATAATAAATTAGTATTCGTTTGGATACGGCTTATCGTACACAGAATTCAAGCTCTCCAAATTCCACGCCTTTGCAAACTCGACTACGAACACACGTAGTAAATCTCAGTTTAACCCACATTCAGTCATTACCTTTTCGGTGGAAATCACGAACACTGGCAGCTTAGCGGGAAGCTACACAGCTCAGGTCTATCTCTTGGGTCGCGTTTCCTCGATCACCCGGCCTGTGAGGCAACTCGTTGCCTTTAGCCGTGCATATCTCTCAGCAGGGGAAACACGAATTGTGACTATGGACTTGGATGTGTCACGGTATTTGGTCATTCTTGATCGTCGATATAACTGGACTGTAGAGAGCGGTGATTATACCTTTGCACTCATGGAAAATGGTGGCAACCTTGCCAGCACTGAAATGAATGTCACCCTAACCTGTACCTAAGCAAAGGACTGCAATGTTCGGATACTATCTGAATATGAGGTCTAAGCTTGTACATCGCGTGCGGCCAACTTCGTTTCGATACAGTTGAGAGCTATTCGGAGCTATGTACTAGGCTAGGCTCTACGTATCGGCCTTGGGTATGATTCCTTCAAGTGATAGCTAGATCACACCCAAGTTACTCTGGTTTAACAACGACATTTTTTCACTCGTCAAAACTCCTACCACGGCAACAATTCATGCTAATGTAAATCCTTGCCATTAAAGTCCCCCTAGAAGGCAGAGATAGCAATGATAAAATCAGAGTCAATTCCCGATACAGCGGACTTAATGGTAGTCGCATCGCCTTAAGCAGCCTTTTCCTCAAGCGCAGTGCCAAGCTGATCCGAGAGATTTTTCAATTCCTTGAGGCTGGATTGAACGGTGCTAGTCTCTCCGATGTTCGCAATACCGGATTTCTGCGCGTATGTTAAGATCGTGTGCAACTTGTCTATCCAGACCGGGGGATGGGTTCAATAAGTAAGAAACATACCTTGCCAATGGGATCGTCCAGGATGGTGCTAATAATTGGCTTCAATGAAGTGATATCCTTCGTGGTAGTGGTGCTGTACTTTTATATAGGTACAGCTGTAACTACGACGTATATATTATTAGACCACTACTTTTGCGGTGAATTCAGGAGGTATATGATCTACTAAATTTGTGGGTTACATTAGTTATATCTAATTTCCCGTCTCCCCACAAACGGCTATTCAAAGGGCCCCCGCCTCGTACCCAAGTTCTTCGTAGTCACCTCTATCTGAGAGTACCACAGTACCACATGTGACTGACAATAATACGCATAATATATTTCGTTCATCTCCTATCTCCTGAGGACAAAATGGACACGCTTTCAACCATAACATGCATACTTAACTTGTGGAATTACGCTCAGACCAGATTTGAGTGAATGGAACGTTCACATAGGCTCTTACTATGTAGATATAGCAAAAGTCTCTGAGATGATTGGGACAATGGTTCATATCATCTCGTTGTGTCCGAGATTAATTTACTTTTGAGGAGACTAAAGTAAACCACCTTACCGGTGAAAGTAGAGTGGTGTCTTGATATTACAATTCATGAGAAGATAAGATGTAGCAGTGACTGATTTAACCCAAGGCTCGCCTTCCTTGCGATGATGGCATGCCTCCGAATGAAGACGTTCGAGAAGCATATTGTTATTCTCATATGTTTGGAGACCTGGCTAGGTTTCTCACTGAATGTCTTGCTGACTGTGTCCAGTTATCTATCTCGAGCGCATGCTATTTGCAATCGCAACACATTTAGATGATGTGAGAATGGTTGTCCAAATGACTGACTTGTAGCATTGTCATGCGAAGAATGAATACTCTATCCTTCTGCACACAAGGTATCAGGTATCTTGCTAGTGACGTGGATCCGAAAAGTGTCACCAAGTTCCTCGAGCGTACCAGATAAGTTTTTTTTAGCAGGCCCTCTCCGAGTACTTCATTTCTTTTCATTTACTAGATAGTGCAAAATGAAAATATCCAAAGATCAATCAAAATCCTCCTGCTCCCCTGACTCGCTGGACAGCACCAACAATTCCTCTGGCCCAGCTGAAATGCCCGGGATCGGTTCCAATAGAACCGTCAGGGATCTTTCCTGTGACTGGATCATGCCAGCAGCCGTCCTCGGTGCTGGAAGCGCCGTACTTAGAAGTGTTTTGATTGCGGTTAATTACCTCGATCCATTTCTTGCAGACAATTTCCGAATCAATGAGCATGTTCACCTCCTGGCTGTGGAAGCATGATTGGGTATCGAGATTTCCATTGCCTAGATTAAGACGTTACTTTTGTTGTGGTTAACCGGATGACTTGACTTACCCTGTATAGCAACCTTCTCGTCGATAACCATCAACTTGATGTGACAACTGCGGCGCTTGAACTTGTTGTGAATCGGCTGGATCTGGTCTTTTCCAACGTAGTAGAAGATCTTCAGTCGAGACTTCTCTTCATCAGTCTCAAGACTTCTATACAGTCGATTGGAAATCATCTCGTTGGTTCCGTTTTGGAATGGGAGCAGCTCGCCCGCGTCATTGTAGCCTAGACACAAGTAGGCAGTAACCGTTACACCGCGACGGACAGCTTTTAGGAGTGGATCAAGCAGGGGCTCCGCATTCATGTTTGGGGTTTGGATGAGAACTGAGTGCTGTGCATGGTTAATGGCAGAGAGGAAGGCTGAATTTTGAGGAACATGGACATCGCTGTGGTTTGGAGCTGAATGAGGTTGTTAGCTATTTATTCTTATTGTAAACCCATCAAATTTATACTCACATCCATATGGTTCTCGGTTTACAAGAGCGATTGCAAATGGTTCCTGGGGGGGCATGACGACGTACGGGGTCATTCGATCCACCTGGTCGCTGTCGGGTGCGTTCCCCGTTGTGTCTGGTTGGATAGTGGTGTCTATGGATATGTGAGCAACTCTGAATTAATAATTCAAGTTGAATACACATACTGAGATGGCGGCTCACAGCCTGAGTAGCTGTTTCGTCACCACGCGGTTCGACGGTGCCATTGACTCTCCGTGCCTCGTCGTCAAGGGTGGAATCGTAGTGAGGGGACTTTGTTGTATGTTCTTCAAGGGTCTCATTCTCGTTACCGGTTGCATTTCCCTTTTTTCCATGCCACGAAATCGGCGCAGATGCGGCGGGGGACTCGAGTAGAGGTAGCGGAGGGTCGAGCGGCTTGCCCCATGACAACAATGCAGTGTCGTAGAATGAATCAACAATAGGACCTTCTATATGAGCCAGCATCTCAAGATTGTCATTATCCTGAATGTTACTACTTTGCAACAGGGCAATGCGTCGGTCGATAACAGTAAACTTGGAGTGAAATGTTCCAAAGACAGGACGGTGATAGTTGACCACTTGAAGATCGAGATTGGGGATCTCTTTTGACGGAGGGATGTTGATTTTGTCGCTAGTCCATTGCTCTTCCTTGACAGTGAGATGGTTCTCCCAGGCCTGCACTATTAGTCAATGTTTACTGTCACTGTTGGTTTGTGACACATACCTGACGAGGGTCCCCCCTGTCGTACAGCATTTTGACGATGACCTTCTTCCCCCTCTCCCCAGCTCGCCTTGACAGTTCCCGCAATGCGTTCGTCACCAGCGTCGATGCATCTGAGTGAACCCAAAAGTTCGTGGCCAAAAACAATTCATGCTCGGTTCTTACGATACAATTCGCTAGATGACGAATCAGATCAGGCAATGGCGCGACAATAGTCAACGGGACGACTCCGGAGCTCCCCATCAATGGGGGAGAAACCACTCCCGCCATGGGCTTCTTATCCAGAGAACATAGCGCATCGTGGTAGATCTATCCGATTCCCTCGTCAGAATTTTGTCGGTAAAACCGTCGAAGATCATTTCTCACCTGCAGAAACAGGGGGCTCGGCTCTGCGGTTCCCCACTTCCCACATTCCCGCGCTTTTTGAAGTTCATCTTTCTGCTCAAACTCCTTGACACCATCCGACTCCGATTTTTCGTGGCTATGATGGTGATGACGCGAGAACAAGGATTCAAAAACCTCGGTCGGGCACTGCGTCGTATCTTTTGCCAATTCCGAAGTCACAGTCTGTGACTGCTGGCACTGTTGGTATACGCTCCAGGGAACCATTTTGCAACGAATGCAACAGTGGTTTAAGTTGATACGGGAGGGTTCGCAGTAAATTATGTGCTGTAGAGACCAGGAAGATTCCCACCCAAAGATATTTTCACTCCCCATATATAAAGCCAGGCCTCAACGAGGGGCTAGCTAATGACGTAAGGCGTGCCGGTGGTTAACACCAAGTTTTTAGCCAATGCGAGCGTTGGAGGGAGATCCAACATGAGACAAATGGAACTTTGGTGCCTAGAACACGGCGCTGAGTGGTTGAATTGGACTTGGTGCTTCAGCCCTGTGGAGCCCTATGTCATCTGATCGCTCCACCATCGTTGCTTGTTTTCGTCGGTTCTTGGCAGGCATTTTTCCAAAAATGGATATGACATAGCGTTCTTCATTACCGCAACAATAATAATCCAGGACTATGAAATTCAAATTCGATTGAATTCCAATTAACTCCAGCAGGGATAAGTGGCACAGTTGAATCCATTGCGAGCATAGAGTGAGTGTCTAGAGATTATAACATCACTAATGAGTTATGCCGACTACGGCCAATCGAAAGGAGTTCTCTCTCTCAGTTGTAGACATCACGTTAATCATGTGGAAAGCGACCGAGTATCTCTCTTGCTTGCATACGGGAGCCAGAAAGCACTCCTGACATCTACATATGGATATGAGCATGCATAATTGTGGACCCCTTTGTGTACTCCGAGGAATATTAAAAGTCGAACCACGTGCGTATAGCTCCCGTTCGGTAATCGTGCGGTAATCCTAACTATGGAAGATGTCAACTCCGAGTAACTACTAGAGGACTCGCAACGCAATTCAGAATGCGAGTAGTATTAAAATAAAACAAGTGAGTGGACTTTCGGGCTAGAACGCTGTATAGTAACATTATCCATGACACTTTACTTAGGCGTCTACTCCACTAACGTTACTTTTGCTCACATACCGTAATCCACAAGCGAGTGCGCCATCCAAGCGAGCGCGCTGTGACCGGATGTCATATCAAGAAAGAAAATCAATAAACAATTCAATTTGAGTACGTAGTCGACGGGAGATCCAAGCTGAGAAAGGGAAAAAGAGACCGGAGAAGAGTCTCTACTTATCTACAACAGTCTATGTCCTGTGTCACCTGTCAAACGCAGTCTTCAAACGCAGTCCTCAACCTTGCATCATGTCGGAGTTACCAGGGTCATGGAACTCTGCATTGTGGATGCCAGCATGACGGGTTCCAGAGACAGCGGTCCCGTCATACGTGGTTCTGTATGCGTAGTTCCGTTACGACTGGTCACACGCGCCACCCCAAAACACCGTAGTAAATACATTATTTTCGTAACTCTATATCTCAACAACATACGTTAATTTGACTTGATTATTAGTATGAAGCTATTAGTATGTATAATAAATAGCATAAGCTGACTTAGTTAAAATCAAAAACAAAAAGTTCTTCTATTGCATTACTAAAAAACATAGATGTATATGCGACAAGTATATGTATCAGACCAACGAAGTCTTCCAAAATTTCCAAACTTCTTAAATAGGCTAGATATAGTCTAAATACTATGAAGATACTATTAAATCTTATACTAAGTTATCCTTGTTGAGATATTAAGATGTATTTATCGCATTTACTATGGTGTTCTGGGGTGGCGCGCTCGCTTGGATTGCGCGCTCGCTTGGATGGCGCGCTCGCTAGTGAATCACGTTATAGCTTGCGTGAGACTGTTAGTATTATGTAACCAAAGTTAATAACTAGTTAAGTTAATGAGGGCTTGTTTAAATTCCAGATTTCGACAATGAAAACCACTCAACGCTTTTCTGGTAATAATGCCAATCCATGAAATGGCAATAATAGGTGCAGGACTCTGCGGTCTGACTTTCTCATTGTTTTTAAAAAGAGATGGATACTCAGTCACAATATATGAGCTCAGGTCTCCGGGCGTCTCGTCTGACGGCGCCATCGCTTTGTCGCCCAATGGATTGAAAACGCTCGATGCAATCGGGCTTCTCGATACGATTTGTAGCGATGGCTATCAGTTCAGAAGCTTATATTCCGAAACAACGACCATGAAAACTTGGACGCTTATGATGAGGTTGGAAATCGTCAAAGATACGGGCACGACTCGTTCCGTGTATATCGACAGGACACTTGAAAAAATTTCCGAAGGGCGGCTGAAAAGGCCGGCATTCCTCTTATCTACTCCCAAAGGTTTTCTCATGTTGTGTCCGAGGATGACAAAAGCATCATATTTGCATTCGCGGATGGAAGTCAGCAAATGGCTGATATTCTCATTGGTGCCGATGGAATCCACAGCAGCGTCAGACACTACCTATGGCCAGATGTCCAGCCCACCTGGTCAAACATGGTCGCAATTTCTTGTGTAGCGCCGGCTACAGCTGTCCAAGTTCCTTTCGATTCATATAGGACGACGATGAGTGTTTCGATTCATGGGCCAGCAGGCGCAGTGCATATTGCCCCAAAAGATCACGATGGAAGTGAGCTTTTTGTGGCCATCAACTGGCCGACCCATGAGCGAACCAGGGAAGGCTGGGATGATCGCGACATCATGATTTCCAAAGACTTGTCGAATGCAATTGTGCAGTCCGCCATTAATGCTGCACCATTGGAGACATTCTTCATCTGGCCTTTCTACACGGTTCCAAAGCTCGATCGGTGGTGCTCTGAACAGGGAAAGGTCATCATTCTCGGTGACGCAGCACATGCCATTCCGCCGACTGGTGGCCAGGGATTGAACCAAGGCCTCGAAGATGTACTTTCGCTCTCGCTAATTTTGAAAGCCATTCGGGACAAAACTTTGGATTTGAAAAGCAACCTTAGCTGGTGGCAATACATGCGTCAGCGCAGAGTCAATCGCGTGATTGGCTTGGCAGGAGAGATCAGTGCTCGACGGCGGCCTGGCTGGACAGGGGAAAAATCGGAGAAAATTGATGCCTCCTGGTTGTTTGTAGTAGATAATTTTCAGATCGTAGGAGATTGGATAGAGAGGCAGGAGGACATTATCGGAAAGAGGGCTTCAAATCAGAGATAACTCACAATCAAAACTTTACCCGACTACTCCAACAATTCTTGGAAAGAGTGAATAGCGGGTTGAGAATTAATAACCTTGGTCATTCCTGAGGGTATAAATGGTAGACTTTGATTTGCTTTGTGGGTGGCCTAGAGAGTGGTGAAATTTACACATCCTTGTTCTACTATGCCCACCCCGCGGTTTTCAAGGGTCGATGAATGTGAACTTGTAATATTAAAATGTTACCCTCAAGATCGATGTATAGAAATCGCAGATTGGTTTGTAAGTCTCAAAGTTTCTTAACCAGACTCTCAATCCAGCTTCCGTATCAACAAAACTGGAAGCTGGGCTGGGGTTATCTTTAAAACAAATTTTTAAAAGAAGACTTGAGACAAGAATTGCGAAAGTTTATGCAAGGGCAAATTTGATCTAAGACTCGGGGGTTGGTGTAAAGAGGGCGACTTTTCTTTTGCTATAAAAGTGGATGACAAGAATAAGCAGACCAACTTGCATGACATCGAGGCAAGAAGTTGTGAATTCAATATCGAAAAGGCAGTTTATTCGAGAATAAAGGGTCAAATCCCAACTGCTGACTTTGTGGCTAGATGTACGATACTGGGAAGGCAAAGACAAGAAAGCGTTGAATATGGCTCTCGGTCATTGGTACCTTCTTGCTCAGTGGCTTGTACGCCCTTCAGTCCTGTCTCTTCCATTCGATCTGCCACTGACCTTATTACCTATAGTGGTTGTGTTGCCGGTGCCGTGAGGGGAGCCAACTCCATTTCCAAGTCTAGTGATGGGCAGGCGATTGCTGTAGAAAGGAAGATCGAATGGTCTGAAACCTCTAGAGCATTCCCTCGCTCAATAAAGAGGATCTTTGCGTACTGGTTGCTTTTAAAAATTTAAAGCAATGTGGTTGAAGTAATATCTTCAGGCGAAGATAGCACCCCCTTTGTCCACCACACTATACGGTCGATATTTTCTATCTTATAGTCAAAAACAATATTGTATATATTTGGGGCTGAATCCCACAGCCCGTTAAAGTCTCGTTTTTGTATTCTGTCCCCTTTCCATCAAGAAGTGTCAAAATCAAACCCCCTTCTAGTCTTCGCACACCCCCACTCAATCTATTGGGTTTAGGCTGTATCTATAAAGAATTCTATACACATTCCTCATATGTAAATTACATCCAAATTTGGACATCACGTGAGGATTGTTTACTTCTTTAAACCATGAGAAAAACCCCGACTTGGACCAACAGTCACATCAACATCTTAAACCGAATAATATAGTAGAGCATGGTTTTGTGATTAGCTACTTCTAAATATTTAAACTGAATTTCATTTAATTAGTACGGCTATTCAGTTATGACCCGCAGAAGTTGGCTTAACTTTTGGTGTTCATGTGACATTGACATAGGTCGCCCAGGACAACGAAATCTCTAATAGCCTATTTGGCCTAATATTTCTGCATAAATCGCTGATTCATTTAGATTGATTACTATTATTCACAGCTGTTTTGGTTTAAAAACCTACCGTCACCACCTTCCTTGCTTATTCTGTGATGGAATTATATGAAACGTGCTTGTTTATAAGCATTTTACTGTAATGTTGGCCGGTCCCAACAATGCTTCAGGACTTTACAGGTAATGGTGTTAGAATATATATTTCGCTTTTATGCTCCTTGACGAAATTATTGAACCGCACCATTGTATTTACTTATTGTACAAAGCTAGGTTATTTAAGGTCTATAATCTAGGGGTTATTAGGATCGGGCTTGATCCAAATAGACCAGAGGCTGGGCCAATTTTCTTGAGTATGGGGGGCCATTTGTACATGCCAGTAGAAATGCCCGTCCAGATCCTAGTAGGCTTTTATCGGATTCCTATCAAAATTAGGTGGGTATAACCCAGCACTTGCCACATATTTTGGCAAAATACAAAGCCCGTCACCTAGCATCAAAGGGTGGTTGCAGCGATCCATACATATGTCAGTTGTTTTTGGGTTCGTACTGACGGCCCCGCTGCAACTGTGGCACGTTCCCACTCGCTGTCCCCTAGACCCCAAATCTGGTAATGGAATGACTCGTCAGACAATTGGACTTAGGAACGGAACATTCCTGATCTCTTTGAATCCGTCCACGAAAACTCATTTGCACTCATTTGTACATTTGTTTTCCTGCCGCAGGAAGAAGTTTGAAATGCTCTACATAGCGTCCGTCAACCGAACCTATTGTAACGTGTCATTAGTAAACCTATTTCGAATGAACTTCAATCCCTGGACACCTACTCCACTGCCAAGACCGCCAAGTAGCGGGCTGCGCACTGTCCCATGCTATATTACACCGGCCCATTGGACGGTGTATGTATCTGAGAATTTGATTCTCGCTCTCATGCGGGGTTGGCTCGTTCCAAGTCGGGACATTCCGCCGTGCGGCAGGGTAGCACGGGAAAAGATACTAGTCCGAGTAAAGCGTAGTCTCACGCATCTTGAAGCTCTCAAAGGAGCGCTATTCCTTGTTAGGCCCGGCAAAAACGAGGTGATACTCCGGTGCTCTCGGCCTTTTTAGGTCCGATGGGGCATATAAATCAAGAACATGCGCTAATTGGCGCCATTTCAATCTTTACACGAGTGTTAAGATCCGAAGCTCTCGGTTTTTCTAAGCTTGGATACATTCCGGCTCTCTTAGTCTTATATTATGCATTTACTGCAGGGCCTTGCGCTCTCGCTGCTGGCTGGCACTGGTTTGGCCAACCCTAGCCGCCACAGTGGAAAAGATCATGGAGTCAAGCAGGCTCGTGGCTCTGGATATGCCATGAAGCAGCCTCCACTGACGACCCCATGGACGAATGATGTAGGTACCGACCCGTGGCCTGAGTATCCGCGCCCCCAAATGCAACGCTCCAAATGGAAGACTCTCAATGGCATTTGGCAGTATCAGAATGCCTCAAGCCTTAATGCTGTTCAGAACCCACCATTTGGGCAGAATCTGGGACAGGAAGTATTGGTTCCATCGTGTCTCGAGAGTGGTCTGTCCGGTTAGTATTATGTGTCTGTATATTTTGACTCTTATTAACTCTTCTTTAGGTATTCAAGGGGAGAACAATTTATACTCGTGGTATTCCAATTCATTCAAAGTCCCTTCAGATTGGACAGGCCAGCAACTTCTTTTGAACTTTGAAGCTGTTGACTACGAAGCCACTGTATTTGTCAATGGAAAGAAGGCCGGATTCCATCGTGGAGGGTACTTCAGGTTCACTGTGGATGTCACTCGATTTGTAAAGGCTGGCCAGGAAAATGAATTGTGGGGCTCCAAGAACTCTCTGCATCTAATATGTTTTACTAATATACACTTTCCAGGCTTGTCTTTGTGCACGATCCCACTGATTCTGGGGACTATGTAATCCCCATCGGGAAGCAAACTCTCCACCCGAGTCACATTTTCTATACTCCCTGCAGTGGCATCTGGCAGTCTGTCTGGCTTGAGAGTGCCCCGGAGAACCATATCACTAGACTGGACCTCGATGCTAACATGAACGGTCAAGGTAAGCTAGCAACCTAACATTTTTCTGGAACCCCAGTTAATCTTAATATATTTAGTCAACATGACTGTGCATACATCGGGTACAAATATCACTAGCAATGTTCAAGTTATTGTCCATGATGGCGGAAATATAATCAAAACCCATAGTGGACCGTCCAACCAGCCATTCCAGTTCAATGTTAATTCGCCGGATTTGTGGTCCCCAGACTCACCTAAGCTTTACAAGGTGACTGTCAAACTGGGCGAAGACATAGTCCAGAGCTATACTGGATTCCGAACTATCTCTAAAGGTACTGTCAATGGCGTTGTCCGACCGCTATTGAACGGAAAATTTATCTTCATGTTCGCCACCTTGGATCAGGGTTTCTGGCCAGATGGCATCTACACTCCGCCGACTAAAGAGGCTATGGTTTACGATCTCAAAGTGCTGAAAAATTTGGGATTCAACACGATTCGCAAGCATGTTAGTCTATATTCTAATAAGGAGTCCGCGGTGCAGTGGATTGACTCACACATCGCAGATCAAAGTCGAGAACGAATTATTCTACCAGACATGCGATGAGCTGGGAATCCTAGTCATCCAAGACATGCCTGCCATGCAGTCTTTGCCTAATGCTTCGCAGCAAGTTGAGTTCCAACGCCAACTGGAGCTGCTTGTCAATCAGCACAAGAGCTTCCCAAGTGTTGCGGTTTGGGTAAGAAATCCGTTCGGCTGTGTACGCGCTTTGTTCCTCTTTAATGATAATATCTACTAGATAATCTATAATGAGGGCTGGGGCCAGCTAACTAGCTATTACCCAGAGATCGGGTTGACAGATCTAGTTCGGGAGCTGGATCCGACCCGTCTTGTGGATACCACCACTGGTTGGTTTGACCACGGTGCTGGTGACTTCAGCGTAAGTTATGTAAGAGGCAGAGATTGGTGAGCTAACTAAAATATTCTAGGATAATCACCACTACGCCAATCCACAATGCGGAACTCCATTCTACTCCATTAACTCTAGCCCTTTCGATCCCACCCGGATCGGCTTCCAAGGTGAATTCGGTGGTCTTGGAAACAACGTCTCCATTGAACAGTAAGTTTTTGAACATTTGAGAAGAATGCCTTTACTGATAAGATAATATTCAGTCTCTGGAACAACCAAGCGTCTATCAACACTATCAACCAGACTTACGAGATCGACCAAACCCTTGATGCCTGGAATTATCGGTCTCACCTCCTGCTTAGCGAACTTCAGGATCAAGTGCGCCGATTCTCCTGCAGTGGCGGTGTCTGGACTCAGACTACCGATGTGGAGGGGGAGGTCAACGGCCTGATGACATATGACCGCCGGCTTCAGCGTGTCGATGAGAAGCAATGGAAGGCAGACATTCAGGGTCTTTACGATGCCGCTTCTGCCCGCAGCAATCCGTCTACTTAGACACCATATTCCAAATATAGTTACTCGATTTTCAGAAGTAAGGTTGCATTCAAAATCATTAAAGTGGTGAAAAGGCTTGCATCCCTCTACAGTCGTTTAGATCTATTACCTCTTAGACAATTTCACTTTTAAGCAATCAGCCTGAATAAAAGCACACCGCCAAGATGACAGGTATAGTAGTAGTTTTCGGCATAATTCGCAGAATTTAAGCCTCATATTACCCTCCACTTCCAACCTGGAGATGGCTAGTCCGGACAGTTCATCTCCGTCCGACTGTTATCTTCGGACCGCGTGCAACGAAAGAGAAAAGTACGATACTTTCTGAATTTCCAACGATAGACAGATCTATGTCGCATAGGATCGATTGATGCTCAAAGTTGGCTTCGTTCAATCTACAAAACATCTCCAATCCTCCAATGCTCCATTTCACCACAGACGCAATGATATGATGAAATTGACCGCTTTTTAAGTGTATCTTTACTAGTCAATTTATCCCATAAAACTAATTAAAGTGATTAAATTTAGTTCATTTGCTAAATCAAAACCCGTCAATCCACTATTCCAGGATTGATGGCTCTCTAAGCATATCGCAACTCACCCTTCACGCTCTCATAAAATGATCATGGTGATGATATTGGGACACTACTTAAGAACTTTACAGCACACCATTCAACTTCCCGAACACCGGCCACGCTGTGCAATTCTATGCACAAGGGAACTGACCACTTACATACCTTTTTAGACGGCCATTTCACCAGCACCAGGAATAACGAAGTAATTCAATTTGAGCACCAGTTAAACACACCACGGCATTCCATTTTCCTCCCAGTACAAAGACCAAGTCGATGGAAATTTATCACTCTCTACTCCCTAGGGGTATGTGATATAGGCTCTATCCTAAACGGGGTTACACCTGAACCATGGGGTCAGTTTGGCGCTAAAGGGTCTATAGTATATGCTTTCGCTGAGTCTCCTAAATGCCTTACTCACGTTTTATGATGTCTAGATAGTATTTTATTGTAGAGAGGTGACTAGATTTACTTTATTTTTAATTTGAGATGTGACGGCCAGTTTCATTGAAGAAGATGAAGTCAAACTCTACAAGAATACTTCAAATTAGAGAGGAAAGAAAAGAAGAAAACAGAAGAAGAAGACATGCAAACTAAATGCACATAGACCAGGGGACAGCAGCAACAAAAACAGCATGCACACAACACATACAGGTTTCGAGTGATTTAATCTGTCTTTACGAACGCTTGATGATGCGTTAGGCCCCACATCATGAGCCAGCCGCATTGACCGGATACGTACCGGATAGATTCTACAAGGAAGAAAAGTGTACAACGTTTGGGTATATATTACCTTATATCCTTCTTGAATTATTTTTTTATTTCAACGGAATCTGACTTCCAAGACCGGCCACTCACTGTTCGACATGACTTCCAACGAGCATCCCAATAGACAAAAGCTGATCGATCGCGCCCGCGAATTCCTTGCCGAAGTGGAAGATTTGTAAGTTTTATTACTGAAAAGCATCACTTGACTAATTTATGTCCGAAGAACTCCCGGGAAAGACCTCGAAGAGAGATTGAACCGCAATTATGGCCCTGGAAATGCCTACTACGATGACTTCTGCACTTTGATCCGACAAGGACTAGCGAATGACGAAGGCTGGGTCGCGACGGATGAAATAGACGGTCGAAAATATCGCCGAACAAAAATCAGCCAGCCGTCTGAGCTGAATCGCTACTTCAGCATCACCGCCGTTTACATGGACAGCCAAGAAGAGTACCGCGGCCAATATCACCTTCACCCTTACGGCGAAATCAATTGTGTGATTCAGTTAGATCCTTCGGCCGAACTGATGGGCATGTCCGGGTGGCAGGGAGCGGGTTGGACATCACCAGGTGCAGGAACACATCATTATCCTGAAGTCCGTGGTGGTGCTCTGATAGCTTTGTTTTTCCTCCCTGCTGGTCGCATCTCGTACCATAGAGCGAAACCGGGGGATGCGCAGCCGATTGCCATGTAGAAGACAAATATAAACAATCATAATTTTTTTCCCTCCATTTTATGCGACGATTATTCTATATCCAAATTTTTCTTCAAGGTCAGCTTGAATGCTTGCAAGTGTGAACAAAGAAACTTTCCAAGGATGTTACCATGCTTACTAACTGTTGCCTTCATGACGTCCCTGTCTGTGCGAACGCTATTCTATCCACCCCTCATATTAACCAGTGGGAGTTCACTGTTCAGATCCTTTTTGGTCTACAAGGATCGGCTTCCGCTTCGAGACTATGCCTCGTCCGAAGGTCTCAGAGCAGACCCGGCGACGGATCGCAAAAGCCTGTCTATATTGCCAGTCTAGTAAACTGAAATGTGATGGCTTACGTCCGTGTGGACAGTGCATCAAGCGGGAGCGATCGAGCGAGTGCGACTACTCTTCTCATCTACGTTCATACGGTCGTCAGCGCCATCGTCGCCAATCCAGTCCGATGAGCAGGCCAACTGGGCGTATTCACTTTGACAGCTCCAGCGAACGTATCCCTGTTGATAAGGGCGCAAAAGACAATTGTCCCGCAGCACATGTTACTGTTGCAAATATTCCTTCCAACTTGTGCGATACCAATCAGAGAACCCGTATGCAATAATTGACTAGCTGATCTATCATCAGAAGATGTGAATATTGCTAACTTATGTCAATCATAGTGTACCTCGGGAATTCTGCTGCGCTTTCTTTTCTTCAGAATATTCAAGAGCTGATGCAGGTGGAAGAGGAGCTTCCTGCATTGTCAGAGGATTTGTCCAATAATGCACCATTTGAAGAGCCGACGTCTCACATCCGTGAGAGCTTCTCGCTCTACGATTGTCTTGATGGCCCCGGCCTAGCCTCGCTAGTAGACGTTTTTTTCACGTCGGTAAAGTTTCATATCAATTAAAACTTATTGGCATCTTAAGCCGTATTAATACTGTCAGCAGACTTGCGGTATTTTGGACATCTTCAACCGGTCTCACATCCAAGGTCTTGTTGACTGCTGGGTAAATAGAACACTTTCGGGATCGAGCTCTAATGCTACAATCCTATACCTTGTGATTGCATACGCTGCGCAGACTCGTAGCGCCTCCGAAGCTGACAAAAGAATTTCTCAAGGTTGCTTTCACCACGGTCATCAGCTTGCAGTTCTTGAGTTAACGAGCGAGCCTAGCATCGAAAGCGTGCAATCGTTCTTACTTATCAGCTTATATATGCTTGGTTGTTCTCAGCGTAATGGTGCCCATTTCAATTTGGGAATTGCGCTAAGCGCGGCGAGGGCTCTTGGGTATCATCGTATGCATGCAGAAGTTGAACAAAAGAATGAGTTGCGGTAAGGCTACTTGTGAATGAACATCGCAACAGACCTATATTGGTGGCTAACATGGCCTAGGAGGCGCATTTGGAGGACTTTATGCTATCATGACTTATTTTTCTGTGCTATGATGGGTCGCACTCCGTCGACATCTACTACTGATTTGGTAGAAGAAGATGATTCGCGACTTGATTCAAGCGATCCGGACTTTTGTCAACAGCTCGGGATGCTTGAATCAGCGCGAGCTTTCTCGATAATGCGACAAACTGTCATCGAAATATATACCAAACAGTCTGTGCCATTGGGATTACTACAACATATCTCGACTAAACTACAAGAACTTAGCAAAAAGGTCCCTGCTGAGCTACGCAGCCTAGAGTACGACTCACCACAAAGCGTTTTAGGTTATGAACATCAACGATATGTACTCCGAAACGCTAGCGTTGCTTGTGACTACCACTTCAGCATGATGCTCCTCACGCGGCCGTTTCTCGTGGCTTGTTTGAGAATCAGTTTTCAAAATAACACAAATCCGCAATCTGGAGAGTTCTCAAACTATCAAAACTCGAATATTCACAAGGATGTTGCTCAAGGTGCGATGCAAGCTATTGATGCTGCACTTAGCACAGTTCAACTCATCTATGAAATCTATGTGGCTGGCTTGCTATTCAATAATATGCCTCTTGTTGTGTGAGTTGCAGACTAAATGAATCTTCCTATTTCTTAACTAATGTAGCTAGGGCCCGAGTATTTGTATCAGCTTTGACAGTTTGTGCGGCCTTTCTTGGCCGACTAGGTGATCCCAAAGAATGTGAGCTTGCCATTCACCGGGCCGATCAAATCCTACAGCACTTCATGAAAAGCAGCCCCCAAGCAAAGCAGTATGACGCTATTCTGAAGAGGTTGTCAAAGGCCGCTTTTGGGTTTGGCAATCATCAAGGACAAAGAGACTCGTCTAATCGCATCACTTCAATTTCGGATCTATTCGGATCGTATGCGGGTGATCACCGCGCTTCTGAAGCCCCTCATGATACCCTCGCTACGATCAACTCAGTCGCAGTGGATCACCCTCAAGGCATTTCTTTCTCTCGACATGCTTCCACATCTAGGCCTTCCCCGCAAGCGGACCCGATGGTGCCAACAGAGTACGAAACTGCTATTATTTCTTCGCAAGCTGAGGAAATCTGTCGACTTGATGATTTCAATCTCCCCGGCCACCAAACGACAACCGACTCTTTTGGTTTTACGGGAATTAGTGGATACAATTTCTCCCTTGATCTTCAAACAACTGAGAGCATTTGGGATATCAATTGGGATGGAATGCTTCTATAAGCCTGATGACATTATGATAACCTTTGTCCGACTTGAGTTTCTTTGGATGCCTTTGTATCATCGATTCCTCGATCTTTGCGTTTCCTCATTGATAATTCGGTCTATCAATCTATTTTGTGAGATAATGATACGTCATAACTAGAAATGAGGTAAACCGATACCTGGAAGTCCTTCGTCAACCAAATGCCCTTGAATATTGAATATCACCAGTATCTGACTATCCGGGCAAGTTACTGAACGTCTCTCGAGGTACTAACCTAATCTGACGATCTCTGTGTTCTCTTCTGCCGGGCCCATATATTTCTTATTGATAGACTGGGTTGTAGTCTCCACATTCACGGACCGACCACAGGATTAGGCACTTACATGGCTAATTGTCTATTTATAAAAGAAGACAGCTGTAGTATATATGTCTAATGCACGTTGAATCGTTTCATATCTTTCCAGTCAGCTGAAATTATACATTCTACGAAGGCAAATATTAAAAGTCATAGCATTATAAAATTTCCTCCGTGGCCGGCATCAATTGCATTATGCCACGCTAAACTAAACACAATCAAGACCCGGGGTGTCTGTGACTCTGTATATCAGCTTCCTTGCGCATATATTTCCATCCTTCAACTGTTGCAAACCATTTTCAACAGATGCTAGGCCATTAGGTAACAACTGATATGGGTGGCTGGTGATTTTGCCTTCAGCGAGCCACTTGCCCGCAAGTCGAAACAAAGAATAGGCAAAATCCACGTCTTCCTCGTATTTTTTATTGGAGTAAGGTGTGGGCTGACCATGTACCGTGCCGATAAATGTCACCCCAACAGTGATCTGAGTTGGAATGGAGGTGTAATCTAGACGAGGCAGATAGACTGACATTCGACTGCCCTCAGGCTCCAGGACTGCGACGAGATGGTTCCAGCTGGTACCGTTGTTTATGGCATCGACAGCATGAAAGCATTTCTCACCATCCAAGGCAGTCTTCAGGTCATTGACAAGGTTCGCCTTTCGATAATCAACGAAGTGGGTCACTGCACCGATTGACTCGACATAATCTCTCCCACTCCCACACACGGCAATGATTTTGGTGAATCGGCCGAGCTTCGCTAGTTTTAATGAATAAGCCCCAATGACGAAGATCCACCGTAGATGATTAGCGGTGGTTGAACCTCAGCATTATTTGGTGAGGTTGGGAACGGGATTTCAGGCGCTGATAGAATCCTAGAGCTGCTGTACACAAGGAGAACGGGATAGTGCAACCCTCTGAGGGAACCTTTATCAGAAATATTGACATATTCGAAACAATGAAATACGAACCTTCAAGTGATATGTTAGGTGGCAGCAAAACATGTATTGACAGGTGCCGTGGCATACTCTGCATAGGTCCCATTTGCAGTCTGTATCGGGTGGGCTGCGACGACCCGACCACCCTTTCGAAATTCGTAGACGGCACTTCCAACTGCTTCGATCACGCCGGACATTTCATTCCCTTGGTTGATATCCTCGCCGGGAATCAAATGATCAGGAGCCTTCCAATCCCGTGGGTTGCTCGCGCAGTAGGTGACTTTGATAAGTACCTCCTGCGGACCTGGCTGAGGGACGGGCACATCAACAATCTTGCAGCGGAGAGGGTGGGCCTGAACGATAACAGACTTCATGATCGTTTGATGAATTCTTTGTGCAGAAAGTTGGAAGATGAAGGCGATGTTCGAAATGTGCGGATAAAAAAATTAATATATGCGAGAGCGGTGTATCAGGTCCGACTTAGGGGCAAGTATAAGGATACTCCTGTGCGTGATGCGATGTTTTCTAGTTCATCGACAGGTGCAGTCCGCCTCAAGTCTGAATAGTTCAAGAATTTAGCCAAGATGTTGGAAGGGCTTTTTTTTTTTTTTTTTTTTTTTGAAAAAAACCCGGTTCCTATCCGGTGTCTATTTGTTGATGAAATGGCCCGACGGGGAGGGGGAAAGGGTTCAATCGGCTTTCGGATACGTTCCGGATAGATACTCGACATAGCTAGTCCAGAACTTGAAGATGATCTGATCAGCGCGGCTTGGGCCGAATGGCTATCACTACAAAATTTCCAACGGCAATATCAATCCGAGACCTAGATAAGCGGCAAAATAACAAAGTAGTCGGCGTTGTTAAAACCGCAATATATGGTGGTTAAAACCAGCTCTCCTCTAGGAGGGAGGGCAAACAAGGACAGAGTTCTACAGTTACTGAGTTGCATGTGTTTTATTTTCAAGTGCCTCTTCACGGAAAGCGGTAATCCTCATTGTACAAGTGGCCAAGTTTGGCAGTACGACCCATAATAACAAGCGGTCATCGATAAGGCTAGATGAGCTAAGGAGGATTTTGTTCGGTAATTTAAGAATAGAGTCTAGTTAGGGTGTTTGTTGGCTGGGAGAGAATAGTGCAAGCCGGGAACCCGAATGCTATAGGAGACTCGGTTCGAAGGATTCATCGTCTGCCTCACATAATATAAACGAGAAGTTGGGCCCTACTTACTAGCTCAAGTCTGGGCTGTGGCGAGGTCTATCAGGCTTAGAGTATAGGCTATCTGCTAGATGCATTTGCCCTAATCAAGATAGAAGCTTGTCAGGGCTGAATGAAATACTTAGTTATTGTCAGAATAATGGCCCTCCAGGTAATTTATCCAGCTGCCGCATCTGTCCGCTTACCCATCTGGGAATTCCCCATCAGGAAACTGTGCCCCGATGTGGCCAGATCTCACTATGTAGAGTTTTTCCGCTTCTCTACTATAAATATGGACATGATAGCTAGACCTTAATACCATCGTTTTTAATCATTGTCACATGACACTATCTAGTAAATTTACTAGTGAATACAGGAAATTTAGACTCCGACAGTTAATATTGCCTAAGCATCAGCTACAGGTTTCAAGCGCTGTGACCAACAAGGTTTAGCCTACAATTGTCTCGTCACGGCGGCCGTCGTTATAGTAAATGTTTTGTGATAGCGAAAAATGCGTATTGATCACATCCAGGAACCTAGCACAAGATCTTGAAATGAATGATGAGCGCTGTAAGAATTTGAATCATGTCCGTACCGTCATAATATTGTTTTAGCGGTTTTTAGTGACTGAACAAAGTACTTTGTACATTTTACGCCTAGCTCTTGCACGCTTGCCTGCGTACTGTTTTTTGGGGAGGATGTCTTAGTTATTTCCATTAGGAGCTGCACGATGGCAAAGAGCTCATTCTCGGTTGGAAGTCAATCGACTGATTGAGCGCCGTCGCTAGATTTCTACATCTATTCATTTAAATCGGTTTCTTGGGTGATGAATGCGAGGTGTGTAAGGTGGACTCACGTTGACAACTACTTCGTTGAGCGACATCCTGTATATTGAAATTTGCTCCGCAGTTAGCGAGATAGTTCGGCGGCCGTATGGTGCAAGCTGGGACAGAGCCATATTTACTGTTTCCCAGGTGAGGGTTCTTCGACGGCGGATTGCTTGGGAATTTGAAATTCGGAAGTAATATCTAGAGTTCTCATTGGGTGGCTCACCACGACCTAGATTGGCAAAACCGAGACATTTAACAACTAATGGTCAGTTAAAGTTATAAATGAATACTTATTTTTATTGGTATCTTCTGTGGGGTTACTGATGGGTGCCATACAAGGGAGAGACAAGTGCTACCTGGGACGGCGTTGGAATATCCAACCACAAAAACCAAAACTAGAAAGTTCGACAATTTTGATTTGACCTTTCTTCATGCATCCTAACCGTTTGAGAGCAAATCAGATCAAAACTCACCGAAGACCCCCATTGGTAATGGACTCGCTGCCTTTCGTGCGCCGTTCCCTATTTTTCAGAGAGATTTCTTTGCAATTGTTTGTAGACAAGAAGTCACTACATACATTCAACCGCAAAACTATACCATATATCGGAATCCCATGTGCAGTCGACGGGCCGCTGCAATATCAATGCCCTCGAAATCGGCAGTAGTCTGTAATCTGCGTAGCTCCTTCTCCGTCAACTGCACATCCTCATTCTCCAGTCGCTCCTGGCGTTTGTTGAGTGTGTTCAATTTGAAATACATAAAAATAGCCGATAGACCACCCAGAGTCTGTAAAGCAATGCAAACACCGAGGGCAACGCGGTAGTAGGGTTTCTCAGAGTTGTAATATGTATAAGGGGTCCAGATGCTGGCCGAGTTGCCAATCGAGTTGATGAAGGCGTATGCAGCAGCGCGCTTGGCAGGAGGACGTGGAAGAGAGTTGGCAATCCAGGAATATAAAGTACCGTTTTGAGCAAATGTAAAGTTCATCAAAAAGAAAGAAAAATACCGTGCTCCAAACGAGTCACAGGTCATAAAAATGACAAATCCGACAATGGTGATCGGAATCGGGTAGAGGAAGAACCAGAATCGAACACCAATTTTATCTGAAACCCAGTTATGCATAAGACTGTAGAATACCATAAAAATGTATGGCGGCGCTACTAATAGCAACGAGATGATATTGTTGTAGCCCAAAGTGCTAGTCAGGGTAGGGAAGAAATACTGGAAGCTTCCACCGCCCGCGATGGACATGTATGCGAGAGCTAGTGCGTAGGTTTTGATATCAGTCATAGCCATCTTGAGTCCTTTCAGTTGGCTTGCACCTAGGATTGAAGGTCAGTTATAACTAGTGCTAAGCTTTTCAGACTGATTCATACCGCCCTCTTCATCGATATCGGCCGCAGCTGCTTCAATCGCAAGGCGACGTATAGCAACCGCCTGAGTCTCTGGCGAAAGAAGTCGCCATGTATCTGGGAAGTCTGGTAGAACAAATATAATAACAATGCCAATCATGCAGGTGATAGAGCCCTCGATGATATAGAGCCACCGCCATGCAGCGAGTCCACGTTTGTCATTTAGTCCGCTTAGAACGCCCGCGGCGATCAGGTTTCCAAAAGCGCCACTAAGAAGCGAACCCGAGTAGAAAATGCTCATACGAAGAGCCAATTCTTTCCTAGTGTACCACTTAGACAGATAGAACAAGATACCTGCGAAGAAAGGAGCCTCTAAACAATTTATCAATATTAGTCAACACGTAGAGATGCCCAACATACCGACGAGTCCTAAGAGAAATCGACACGCAACGAGGCTTCCATAGCTTTGGACCTGACTTGTGCATGCAGACACAAGTCCCCATGCGCAAACAAAAAATCCTATATAAAGCGATGGCCGGCCCATATAATTGAGGAGGAGATTTGATGGGATTTGCATAAGAATGTAGCCGACGAATAGAATAGACAGTCCAGTCTGATATTGTTGATCGGTGAGTTGGAGCTCCTCAACAAGACCTTGAAGTTTCGCTGCAGCGTAGTTATTCCTAGAGAACTTAGCATAAGTAACAGGCATGAATCGTTGAGCAAAATCGAGATATCAGAAATCACGAACCGATCGATATAGTTCATCAGGTAAACTAGAATGATCAATGGCATGATAAGGAAATCGATGCGCAACACCAGCTTTCTTTCCATTACTTCTTCCTCTACAGTCAGCTGATCGAGATGCACAAACTCTTCGTGTGATAAGTTAGATTTTTCTCCCGTGGCAATTGTATCCGTAGCTGTACTGCGTTCCATGGTGACCAGTGGTAGTGATAGAAAATCAAAATTTGAATAATGGTCAAGTGAGTGCAAATTGCAAACTTATAACAGCAACTGCCTTGGCGACTACCCTATGCATAAAGCCTGTTGGAGGAGGGGAGAGGGGGTGGGGAGTTTCTAGATATCCGGAGATGTGTATGGATTTAGGTTCACCTAAGTCTGAACCTCTGCCAGAGGCTAACCCAGTCAAGGCTAATTGCAGGTCAGTCAGGAGACCAAGCGGTGTTATCCGTAACGGCGAAAGACGTCAGGAATTAGTAGAACTTCCGAAGGACATATCCGTGTCTTCCGACGGAACCATGGCCAATGACTGACGAATGCCTCTGTGCAAGCTCCACCCTTGCCGAGAGTTTGTCGGCTGCCGCCCTCAGCCCCTTGGTTCTGAATTCCCGTGCGTATTCCTTTTCCGCATGTAGCCCTTTTCTCTATGTAACCTTGTACGGAACCGAAGAGAGCCTTAGCGTGTAGTCTCATCCGATTGTCCGCGGGGTTTTGTCCAAAACCAGTTTCGCTCGACTTCTACTGATTGAGAGGGTCTAGGTTTAGGACAGAATTGCGTCCCTTAGCAGCAAAGAGAGCCTGACCATTGTCCGTATCGGCCTTCCGGGGGTTTATCTCGATGCAGGTATGCTGCTCTCCTGTAACTTTCGTGGGAATATATGAAGGAGATGTTATTCTGACCCCGCCCATGATTTATATGATCGTATGCGGCGTTCGCAACAGCCGCATCCCTCTAGCAGGGGTGGGAATCCGTCGACTTCCAATAAGGCTCTCACCCAGTGCAAAGGGGTGGGTCACTGGGTGGTACGTGATACCAACAATATCTACCTGGTAGAGTAAAGGAACCGGCCAAAAAGTGAAGCTAGTAAAAGTCGGTTGCAATCCATATTTAAATCATGAATCAATTATGGTTGATAAACACATCCATATTGCCCAATCCCGAAGAAACCATGGAAGTGAACTGATCCCAGCCCAAGCAATCAGAAAACGAAAAGCCTGGGACATTACTATTGAAGTCTATCATAGGCCCTTCCATCAAATCTGTATAATAAGCAGGGGTAGGACGATTTTCGTCTGTCGGGACAACCTCGGGCTGGAGCCAATTGGATTGTGACTGACTGTCCATGCCATCCAGAATTCCCGTAGACGGGCGTATGGATTTCGTTTGGCGTAGAGCTTCAATGCGTAGTTCCTCTAGCACGAGGTAATAGCGCTCTGATAATGACCCCTTCTCCGCGATGGAAGAGATATGGGACTGGCATCGAGTGGCGGCAGAGAAATAGCGGCTGTAGATCTCTGATGGAGATGCACGCTCCTGTATCACGTAGATGTAAAGCATGATGGTGGCGTTGAAGGCGAAGTATGTGGTAATCTGTAGCTAGTCAGAACTGAGATCAAATGTCTAATTGAGACAAACCCAGAATGCGCGGAATAACTGATGACTTTCGGTGATCTCATTGATTGTGTTCACAGTCTTCATCGCGGCATCTAGACACTCCTTCAAGCTTTCATCAGTCGGCGCGTCTTTATATGCGGCATTTCTTTTATTTTGCTGCGAAATTTGCGAGAGGCTGCTTAACACGAAGGGCCGATGGAGAAGAATGACAGCATGCCAGTAGGTGAGATTGAGAACATTTCGCTGTCGCTGAAACAGTGGAATAAGAAACGATGTGCTGAAATTGTCGACATCTAAAAACCGAGCCAACTCTGCCCGCCAGTTACTTAGATCTTTTGAGATCTCTTTCATGGCGGCTATTCGGCGGGCGGCAGGTATTGGCTTGATGGAGTAGAGATTACTCAGTATTTTACTGATAATTTGAGCGAGTCTGTTCTGTTAGCCATAGATAAGAGGGTTTGCGCTTAGACTTATCTCACTTCATATGTGCAAGTGCAGCAAGCATAGTTGATGGGCCCCTGGTTGAGGTCATTTGCATGTTCATGTCCTCACTCACCAAATCTTCGTCTTCGACGCATGCTGGGAGTTCCGTATCAATGTCGTCGTCGTGAAAGGTCCGCGGTCTGCCCAAAGCAGCGCTGAGATATGTGTCTAGCGTGTAGGCGCACCAAAAAGTTCGTCGGCGACCCTCAGCCTCAACTATATTTAATCTACTTGCAGCATCAGGGGGTATGTTTCTGTTGAGGCCAATAGCCAGCGCTAGATGTGCAACTGTCCCAAACAGGCTCCAACAATGGTTAACGCGGGATTGGGCGAGGAGATAATAGCACTGAGTCAATCGTGCTTGTACGCTGGTTAGACGTATCGAGCCCTTCTCCTTTGTGAGCTGATGTTCAGCTGCTAAGAAGTATCGCGTGCTATAGTACTACATGTTAGCATGCCCTTCACTTCACACCTAACTATAGTGGGCGCTCACCTCATGTCTGGTGGGCCTGGCCTGTCATCGTCGGGCATATAGATCCTTGCGTGGGCAAAAACCATGAAGAGCAAGGCTACCTTAGCGGGAGCATTTTGAACGTCATGCATGATGCCGAGAGTATCATAGAACTCGTTGAACCATTGCTGAATAGTAGGCCGATGAAGGAAACGGTATGTCGGCATTGCAAAGTCGAAGTAACGTTCTATAAGACGCTGAGCATCCTCCCTATGAAGCATCATGCAAAATGACGGGTCGGATTCTGGAAGATGCAAAGTTGCATCACCGAACGTAAAGATGCTGCTCGCCTGAGAGAACGAGCTAGCCTGATGTAGGCGTTTCTGGATCCTGTGAAGAAAGGAAACTCCGGATGCAGGTCCAATATAATGTCCCTGCAAATCGGTCTGAGAAGGTTCTGGGGACGTCTGCGAGATTGCGTCTGCATCCGTAGAGGCGGAGGGCGCCATAGCACACGATGAAACATATTGGTTTTGTAACTCCGTGGGGTTATCCCCTCTAGGCTCTGTTCTGGGCAATAAGGTAGGGTACTGCGGTCTTGACACTATAGGACCAGTGATGGGGATATTCTCATCCTCCGCTGGCGCTAGATTCCTCCCGTTGTCAACGCCAGACACAGAGAGGATAGCAGGTACCCGCCCCCTTGCATAGGCCGAAGTGAAAGTGCAGCTAGCATTCGTCCGATGACAAAAGGCACACGGCTGTGTGCCATTACATTTGATCTTTCTCCTAGAAATGGTTATTGTCAGAAAGCGACCTACACAAAAAAAAAAACACTCACTTTTTACACCCATCGCAAGCCCTTGTGACCTTCACTCTTTCCCCTTTTCGATTCCGCTTCTTTCGCATCTGTGGCCAATTATCCTCCACCGGCGCCGGTAATAGTATTGGTTGGTGATCTGAGGCCATAGTGCTAGGTGCGTTACGCGAGGGGGTTCACTCGTAAGAACGGAAAAGCAACAATGAGAACCAGACTTTCGGAGGTGGCCGAAACGACAGAGACCGCCTTCTTTTTCCGGTGTGCCAGATAGGTGGGGCACCATCTAGTTATTTTTCCGTCCAGCTGCGGTGCTCTATAGGTTGCACATCCTAGCAAGATACCGTAGTAATTATTCCGTGATCTTTAATTGTGTATGAATAGTGCTGTCAGAATGGCAAGCAGAGCTGCATCAGTGGAGAATCATCAGTTCGGATACAAAAGAATTCATAGTCGGATGAGACTAGCGCAATCAGATCAGCATCTTCGCTTAATTCAGCGGAAAAGGCCAGTGGGATAGAATTGAGAATCCGATAGTCATCTCACGGACGGGTCATGTTGGCATGGTGATGCTGGTGGCTACGCAATTCATTTTTTCTGTATATCAATCAAGCTCCCCCAATTGCAACTCCTTTTCCCCTGTCATTTCACCACACTCAGTAACCTAATCCACGACATATCGAGTCTCTAAATTTGCACTATGGCAACAGCAATGTCCAAACGCCTTGAGGGAAAAACGGTTCTCATCACCGGCGCCTCATCTGGCATCGGACGATCTACGGCCTTTGAATTCGCACGCATATCTCCCCAGAATCTCAAGCTCGTCCTGGTCGCGCGCCGTATTGACAGTCTCCACCAGATCGCCGCTGACATTGTCAAGGATGCTGGCGCGGGCGTCAAGGTACTACCAGTTCAGCTCGACGTTAGCAATGCAAACGAGGTGCGAACATTCGCGGATAAATTGCCCGATGAATTCAAGGAGATCGATGTTTTGGTAAACAATGCGTAAGTATTTCCACAGGTGGACAAATTACCAAGGCAACCAATCTGCTAAGTCTGACATGCATAGTGGTCTGGTCCGAGGTATAGCCAAGGCACCCGAGATTGCGGAGGAAGACATTGAAATCATGTTCAAAACAAATGTGACTGGCCTGATCAACATGACACAAGCAATATTACCTGCCATGCTGAAACGAAACAACGGCGATGGGGCTGGTGACATTATCAACATCGGATCCATCGCGGGCCGTGAGCCATATGTCGGCGGTGGAATTTACTGCGCGACCAAAGCTGCTGTTCGGTCATTCACCGAGAGCTTGCGCAAGGAACTGATTTCGAAGCGTGTCCGTGTCATTTGCATCGATCCCGGCCAGGTGGAAACTGAGTTCTCGGTCGTCCGATTCTATGGTGATAAAGACAAAGCCGATTCGGTCTACGCGTTAGTACCCATGCTGATTCAGACTGCCTTGTCTTATCTAAATTTTTACTTCTTTGATAGGGGCTGTGAGCCATTGACACCTGCCGATATTGCCGAAGCCATCGTATTTGCTGCTGGACGAAGGGAGAATGTTGTTGTTGCGGACACCCTGCTCTTCCCAAACCACCAAGCTAGTGCCACTATCATGCACCGAAATTTCATTTAAAGGTGCCAATAAGGAACTATCTGGGCGGATCAAAAGGACTTCACAAAAGTAGATAGTACATAGAGGTGTGCTGGACCGGAAGTGGGATTATCTGACTCACGACATGTCTAACGCTTTCACTGAAAAATAGTTTATAAATAGAGGCTAAGTCATCCCCATATGCTAGACGCAGAGGGAGATCAAATTAACCGACTTCTTTGGTAGCTTAGTCCCGTGCTCAAGTACCGTCGAATATTTGGGCGCGAACTGCTTATCCGTCGGAAATGATCTTTGCATATCCGCAAGGGGAAGTTGCATTTTCAAGAAGCTTCCGTACAAAAAAACCGTGAATCTGGCTACCTAAGCACGGAAAGAAGTATTTGCCGTCCTCATTCGTCATTTCAACAGCCGTTTTTTCAAAATAATGTACCCTTAACCCACATAATATTGATTTAGTGACGCGGATGTCGGATGTAACTTGTAAAATAATAAGCCTCACACGAGTCGGATATCTCGCAAGGGAAACTCGGATTAATCATTGATAGCAAGTGCACTGTCGGTGGATCTTTTGACCTTGCAGACGGATAACGCCCTTACTAAAGACCATGAAGCATTTTAAGTATTGCAGTTTTCCTAGGATAGCTGGATCTTTTACTGCGAAGAAAGGCAAACTACCACTACGATGCTACTCGCCAAAGTCCCGCCCAGCGGAGTCTGGGCCCCAACAGTCACCTTCTTCGACCACAGCACTGACAGTCTGGACGAAGTATCCCAGGCCAAATACTTCGACTATTTGTCAAAAACTGGTCTGGCTGGACTGGTTGTGCTAGGAACAAACTCCGAAACTTTTTTGCTGAACCGCGAGGAGCGCAAGACGCTGCTGGAGGTCGCTCGGAAAGCATGCGGCCCTTCATATCCTATCATGGCTGGCGTAGGTGGCCACTCAACCAAGCAAGTTTTGGAGTTCATCACCGACGCGGCGGACGCCGGAGCCAATTATGTTCTTCTCCTGCCCCCGGCTTATTTTGGCAAGCAGACAACACCGACCGTGATCAACAGCTTCTTCGATGACATCGCCAAGGCCAGTTCGCTGCCTATCATTATATACAATTTTCCGGCTGTCTGCAACGGCATTGATCTAGATTCGGCGACAATTGCGCGCTTGGCAAAGAAGCATAGCAACATCGTTGGCGTGAAGCTGACTTGCGGTTCCGTGGCCAAGATCACGCGTCTTTCGGCGGAGTTCTCGCCTGAAAGATTTGCCATATTCGGAGGACAGTCGGATTTTCTGATCGGTGGCCTGGCTGCTGGTTCAATGGGGACCATCGCTGGATTTGCAAATGTATTTCCCAAGACCATTGTGAACATCTACAACCTGTATCAGGAGGGCAAGGTTCAACAGGCAATGGAATTGCATAAGAAGGCTGCGCTGGCAGAGCAGCCTTGCAAGGCCGGTATTGCGTCTGTCAAATACGCCACAGCATTGAACACGGCCAAAGCCGCGGGGATTGAAGGTGCACTGGAGAAGTTAAAACCGCGACGACCGTACTCTGAGCCATCGGATGTCGAGAAGACTGGGATTGAGTCACAAACGGCAAGCTTGGTGGGAATTGAGGCTAGCTTTTGACGGCAAGGTATAGCATAATTTGACTTTACAAAGTAGAATTAATCAAATTCAGACGCACACCAATTTCGAGGGCAATTGGCTTGCGGCAGGGACTATTGAGCGTTCGACCTAGATTAGGGATGCACAATGTGACCCCTAGCATAAAAGAAAAGCTTTGATTAAAATCCCTTCTCAGGCTGCTTTCCCGCCGTACTTGAACGACGAGGTCTTGTCTTCCATATCGAACAACCTCTTCTCGGTATTGCCTCGAGAACGAGCTAGGCCTTCTTTACATTCCCAACTTAGAGCTGCGTTCGAGGAAGAAAACAACAGACAGTCCGAAGCCGCCAAAAGTCGGACTAAGACCAGACTGGCCATAGTTGGACTTCTCTTTTTCGAGGCATATGACGCTTCCCAGGATAACGCCGACATGGCCGTCACAGTGGTCGCAAATCCGATGGCTCACCATTATGAGGCCCAGTGTTATTTGCGTTCCAAGATGCAGAAATTGAAGGCCATTGTAACATGAAATCCACATGTTGTCGGCGAATTGGCCTTTTTCCGTTTCACGAGAGCCTGGGATAGCGGATAAGTGTCCAATCAGAACGGCCTCTGTTGCGGATGCAGTTATCCGTGCGCGCAACCCGCGCCCCTGTGCTTGTGGGACTTGCGGGGTACAGTATCGAGCTAATCTCCGGAGTCACGACAGCTCCTTCCTCCATATCAGAAAATTTTCAACCCGGGTCCGGTTGTCATGAAGGCCCAGTGGATATCGTCGTATATCTTTTCAACTTACCCGCCCTCCAACAGCTGGAATTTTGAGTTGCATTCCTCGATGGCCAGATACCTGCCCAGTCAGCAGTCATGTCTCAACGAGCCGTCATACAAGACATCATTATCACACCGGTGGCATTCCACGACATGCCCTTACTGAATAGCGTCGGCGTCCACGAAGAGTTTGCCCTGCGCAGCATCATCGAGATTATCACCGATCACACATACGGGTTGGGTGAGTCTTACGGTGACTTGGCTCACCTATCGCGCCTACAAAAAGCAGCCGATGAAATCAAAGGCCTCTCCGTGTACGACACAAATTCAATTTACAAAATCTGTGTTGGTTCTCTGACGGGCGACACTACGACCGGCGGCGATGGTATGGCCGGCATGGTCACGACGGCATCTGTTGCCGACAAAGTCTTCTCTCCCTTTGAGGTTGCATGTCTTGATATCCAGGGCAAGCTGGCAGGTCTCCCCGTGAGCGACTTGCTCGGTGGCCGTGTAAGAAACACTGTCCAGTACTCCGCATACCTCTTCTACAAGTGGGCGGGACATCCTGGCCAGCCGAATGATGAGTACGGCGAGGCAATCGACTCCGCTGGTCTTGTGAAGCAAGCCCAAAAGATCATAGCCGAATATGGCTTCAAGGCCATCAAGCTCAAGGGAGGGGTTTTCCCACCCGCCCAGGAAGTCGAAGCTATCAAGGCACTGCATGCGGCCTTCCCGGGCTTGCCACTGCGACTGGACCCTAATGCTGCGTGGACCATTGAAACTTCAAAATGGGTCGCTAAGGAATTAGAAGGCATTATTGAGTACTTAGAAGATCCGGCCCCCGAAATCGAAGGGATGGCAGCCGTTGCGAAGGAGGCAGCTATGCCCCTAGCTACAAACATGGCCGTCGTCGCCTTCTCACATCTTCCGTCTTCGATCAGCCAGAATGCAGTACAGGTGGTTCTGTCCGATCATCACTTCTGGGGTGGGCTACGCAAGTCTCAAACACTAGCGGCTATTTGCGCCATTTGGAACATGCGGCTCTCGATGCATTCTAACAGCCACCTGGGTATCTCCCTTGCCGCCATGACGCACCTGGCTTCTGCGACTCCTAATCTTGACTTTGCCTGTGATACGCATTGGCCATGGAAGCGTCGTGATGAAGATGTGATTGTCGATGGTGCTTTGAAGTGGGTTGACGGTGGTGTGATTGTGCCTACTGCACCCGGCCTCGGGATCGAACTCGACAGAGAAAAACTAGCGCACCTTCACCGGCAGTATCTGAACTGCGGAATAACGAAGAGAGATGACACTTCTTACATGAGGAAGTTTCACCCGGAATTCTCACCCCATATCCCTAGGTGGTAGGAAAGTTAAATGTTGAGATAGTGGAATCTGCCGATTAGAAAGGGTGTAGATAATTAGATAATGTAAGAAAACATCCTATTGAGTATCGCGTATAAAACAGTAACTATTGAAAGAATGCCTACAATCTACATGTATCATAGAAAAGATCCAACTTCGCAGGGGGGCAGACGGGCGAGGCTCGCTCTAGTAGCGGGGGTTAATTTAGGGACATTATTAGTAGAGGACGGGCCGCCCACGCCCTGGTAGACTTCCATCCTAGTAGGGATCCCACTTGTCGGACGACGCTCAAACTGGGGGAGGGTTTAGAGCATCAGTCGGTCTAACGGGCTAGGGCCGCTATCTAACATTAGGGATGAGTGCTAACATATGCTTGAGAAACAGGTAATTGCCCTACAAATTACTAGTAATCCCCTCTTCAGGCGGGGGAGGCATAAGAAGGTGAGATGCCAAGCACTTGAATCTGACCGCCCTGGCGATAGATGGCATTGGTGAACTATAACTAATAGGAGTGGAATCAAGGTTGGAAAGAAAGAAATACTAAAAAAAAATATAGAAGGGATATTATACAGTAAACTATGACAGCAGCAGCCAAAGTGTGTTTTGGAGTAGCGACATGTGCTAGACTATATCAAGCTATGAGTGAACGAGATGGGATTTCCTGGGATATAAATGTACAGAAAATTAATATACAGGCGAGTCTTGGGCTTTATGTGCTTCGAATCAGATCCTCGAATATGTCTCTGATCTGGTTTATCACAATGCTTGCATGGGTCTCATCCACCAATCTGAGATGTGCATTCTCACCCAACCGTGCGGTTATCTGGATACCATGATTAGGTGGGACGAAAGTGTCGAGCTTCCCATACCACAGATTCACAGGTAGATCATGGCGAATATCTTCGACTCGAAAACCAAAGTCCATGCACATCAACTTTCCGTCTTGCCATACACCTTCAAACCCCTGTGAGAAGCTCTCCCGAGAGGATCGCAGAGATAATGGGGGCCATGCAGATTTCAAAAACGCAATATCTTTCTCATGGCCAACTGGTTGTCTAAGCATAATTTCTAGACGCTTCTCATCAGTCAAGTCTAAGCGTCCTAATATATCGTTTTGCCAAAACCATCGAGCAATAGTGAAGGGCGCATAACGAAATCCATACGGAAATCCAAGCTTGTGCAGCAAATCTGCCCCCCTCATACCGATATCAGGAGGTCCCATGGCACAGACCAGTGATACACACCTGAGCTTGTTACTAGGCATTGCTCTAGCACACGCAAGGGCAGATGGTCCACCTCCTGATATTCCCTATCGTAGTGTTAGCAACTAGTCTCCGGCAACCTTAGGAGCCATGGGGTCCCTGTACCAGAACACTGTATCGATCCAGTCCAAGATGGTCTGCAAGTCGTTCCAAGTCCTTCGGATGATCGAGTAGCGTTCGACTGGGGTGTGGTGAGCTCCACCCTATACCAGGTCTGTCCACTGCAATGACACGGGCGCCGAGCTCTAAGCCTAGCGCGTGAAAGCCAGCACCTTCTAGGCGAGAGCCTGGAAGGCCATGCACAAAAAAGATAGGCCGTCCGTTTAGCGAGCCGTATTGAGCATACCCAAGTTTTCTTCCATCTGGAAGGGTCAGAATATCCGAACTGTCGGTATCCGTACGGAACTGCGGCTGAGCAGATTCGGCTGTAAGGGCCGCTGGAGCGTTGGCTAGGTTATTATTGGTAGCTGTAGAGATGCCAAATAATTGAAGGAGCCATGTTTTCGCGCTTGATGTTGGAGACATGTTAGATGTGAGAGATTATAGAGAATTCCGTGTTCGCTCAACGTGGTTGATTTTCTTTTATGCTGACAATGGGACAGCTGACTGCAAGGCCCCCTGCGAAACGACGCCCCTCCGAAACCCCGCACGCCCATACGCTTATACGAATGAGTCATGGGAGTCAAACAGAACATGGAATCAATAAATATTCACGAGCCTAACTGGATAGAACGCGCTTCCCAGGCACGTGAAATCAGAATCCCTAGTTCTGGCTCAGTGATAACGGAGTACCTGCTACGCAGGCCCAGATACGCGAATTTGGTCAAGCAAGAAAGCGTTCAAAGGAGTTAGAGAGCTACGAGACTAGGATAAATTAAACATCAAATGAATCCTCACTTTTACCCTAAAATGCTAGTAGATGAATAATCAAATTGCTACATAATAGGTCATTAATTTATCTCACCTTGTTTTATGGACATGATGGGCGACCAATGGATAGCCAGCTATCTTTCATCCCTATTGACAAGGGGTCTGTCCATAGATGTCTATGGATCGCCCATGGACAATGTCAATATCTAGCAAGACGCTATCGTTAATATGTCATGATTCTTTTTTGACTACGAGGAAGAGTATTAGAAGCGTTATAATTCCCTTTGAAATCATATCTTGAAATTAGTCGTTCAATTCCGACCTTCTACTAACGCTGACCGTAAAGTATTTAGCTATTAATAACTTCTGCTCAATGGTCTTAATAGCCTGATCTATTTATTCCTAAGATTTAATTACCTTCATTGTTAGTCTTGTGTAGCCTATCTAGAAACCGTGCTTGATTCCAATAGAATAGTTTTGCTAACCTGAAGGCTCTTATAGTATATAAGCGACTAAGAGATTGATAAGCTATGCTAATTTCTTAAAGTTGAGAATTACGCTTCTGGTAAGGGGCTCTCTTCAACAACCTTCTCTGATATTGGAGGATATGCTTTTCTTGGCCTTGAAACGTTAAGACCCCAAGATGCACCTCTATGGAGGTATCTCCGCAGAAGCTGAGGATAGTGCCCCAAAAGAAAATAGGAAAGATATGATTTCCATATTTTACAGAATCCGTAGAGAAGAGTATCAACAGAGAAATTGTATTCAAAAAAAGATCATATCTCTCAGTCCCTCGTTGTCTGATCCCACAGACTCCGCACCGTTACACCTTTCTTCCAATCTCCACCAGATTCATCTTTCTGAACATTGAATCGGAGTTCGCGCTTTTCTCCAGGAAGTAGTACAAACGCATTATCGTCGAAATATCCTATCGTTCCAGCTGGGTAATCGAGCCAAGTGTTGAAGGAGACGGCATTTTTGGCTTCTACAGTAAACATGCCCGTCTTGGTATTATGAGAGAGCTCGAGCTTAGGATCTACCAGGGATAAATCCCTCGGGAAGGCAGGCGTGAAGTGGTTGCGGTGCGTGAAAGCGGACACGCTCCCAGTATTTGGGAGGCGCCCGCTCGCAGTGAGGGACATGATCAGGATAGCGTTCTTTGTGTCCGAAAGCGACAGATCACTGATATTGATAGAATATATCTGGGTGGTATTGATGGCCCCAACGGAGAAGTCGAGGGCGTGTGGGGTGCCCGCATTGCCGGAGATAGGGTTACCGGATAGATCCATCCAAGTCAGACGGACGGACCCACGAGCAGTCTCCCAAAGGTCAGAAGTCACATAAATGGAAAGATCGCCGTTTGAATTGTTCCAGAAGGGTGAAACAATGACAGGCTGATAGATGTCACGACCGACATAGTGGAGGACTTTCCATCGTCCATCATACTCGATACTAGACCATGTGGGAGCCTGCCAGATATCTTCGAGCTGCCACCAGAGGGAGCCAAGTTGCCGCTCCGGCATGCCACTTCCACGACGATAGAACTGGATCTCAGATTTGTACATGTCTGCCTGGAAAAGCTGAGTTGCATGGCACCAAGCGCTAAAGTTGGCTATGGAGTCGGCCTTGTTGGGGATCGGGTAGTACCGCTCCACTGCCAAAGTCATCTCTGCCATTCCTTTGGATGAGTTCTTGAAGTTGTCTGTGAACAGTCCGCCGGCTGGATAATGATGGTTCCGGAGCATAATAGTGCTGCTGTTGAAATGCAGATCCTCGGGGTCCAATGCTTGCTGCCATGTTTGTAGGCTCGGCATACTGTGGAAGCCGAATTCGTTTGCAAAACGACCGACTGGATATCCCCAAAAGTCGAATGCTACACTGCTGTCGTAGTTGTAGTAGTCCGTATCGCCGTAGTAAGATCCTGGGGTTGTGTTCCAGTAGCGTTCGACCATGGGGACAGGCAGGGACAGATTGACTTCCAGATAGCCATTGTTCGTACTGCTGGGCATGTACGAGATGGACCGCGAATTCTCGTATACCAGGGGCAGGATTGTGGTGATGAATAACTTTTCGTACTGCCCGACGTATTTTGGATAATTTTCAGGATCGACTCCCTGGGCGATGGGGAGCATCAAGCTCTCGATTTCATTTCCACCAGCCCATAAAGCCAAAGAAGGATGATGGTTGACTCGTCTCACATTGTATACGACCTCAGCAGCGACATTATCCAGGAACTCCTGGTTGACCGGGTACAGAGCATCGCTGAATTCGAACTCGCTCCACAGCAAGACTCCATTTTCGTCGGCGATGTCATACATAAAGTCCGGAATATAGGCGCCTGACGCCCAAACACGAAGCATATTTTGGTGTGCTGCCACCACTGCACTGAACAGCCTCTGCATTTTAGCCTCAGTGACTCGCGGCCAGAAGGCATCTGGTGGGATCAGGTTTGCCCCCTTTGCGTAAAATTCGTGTCCATTGATTTCAAAGTGCCAGTTCGCACCCGGCGCGATACCCTGGGCGAGCTGCGCATCTGTAATGTTGGACCGGTTGAGAAAAATTGTGCGGAAACCGGTGCGCTTGGTCACGCTGGCCAATGCCTGTTCCTGTTTGTCATGGATTGTGACGGTCACATAATACAAATTCTGCTTGCCTAGGCCGTTGGGCCACCACAGGTTCGGCACATTGGCGTCGATAGCCATGCTGCCGGTGATAGCCATTTTCGATACATTGACCTTGTCGACAGACTCCGATCTCAAGATTTTCCCTGACTCAACATCTCTGACTTCAATTGTCATCGACGGATTACTGGGAAGAGATCCAATAAAATCAATACTCGCGTTCACGATCCAAGGCTGGCTTTGGTCAGGGGCAATATGATTGATCTGGCCTTGTCTGTGGATATCCAGATCTGTGTTCAGAACATACACGCTCTTCTCGCGCTCAAACTGAACGAGGTAGGCATCTCTCCACGGTCCAGCGGGAGCAAACGCTGGGCCCCAATCCCATCCAAAGTCCGACTGCTCTTTGCGCATGTAAAACATATTCGGAAACTCAAACGTCCCGATGATTCCGGAAGGCCATTCTGCAAACAGTATTAGAAACAGGCAGGGTCCTCTGTCATTGGAGACATACTCTCTGAATTCGGGTCGGCTGCAATCGCGTCGACAATCTGCGGCGCGCTCCCAAAGTTGATGGACACAACCGGATCGCCATGACAGCGATTTATTGCTTCGGAAATATCGAAGGTCCATTGGCGAAACATGTTGTCTGTTGTGCCTATGATATTTCCACAGACTTTAATCGTTGTGAAAGTGTCGAGTCCATTGAAGACAAGCCAAGACGATTTCGAATCAGCCAACAAACCACGGAGAGGTTTGCTTGTGTAAGTCCAATTGCTGTTCGCTATCCAGCGCAAATTGAAGTCATTAAGACCATAGTATGGATCATCGGTCACATTAGCAGCCCACAGATCTAGGTGGACGTCGGAGGGAAGATGACCTGGCACTGAGATATTTAGCGCCTTGTTACTGACTGTCCACCCATCGCCACTGAGATCCAGAACATGCTGGCCAAGTACCATGGAAAGGCTAGACGAGAGCACAGCTAGTGCGAGCTTCTTGTTAAGGTACATAGCAAAATTACTAGATAGCAAGACAGTTGTATGTATTGCTTTTGATTGATTATCACCAGATTGTATCTACTTCCGAGTAAATCACCCCGATTTAACGTGACTCGAAATCCCACTAGTCCGCCACTTACGCAAAGTTGCTAGTATTAGTTTTAAGGAACGAGTCACAAAATCGAGGGGTGCGGTGGTAAACCAAGTATTAGATCATGCTGTCCCCGCGCCCTAGCATGAGCATGCAAGATTGCAGAGCAATAGTAGGCCTCTATATGAGCAGTGTGAAGTAACGGTAGCAGCGCTATGTTGCAGAGCTAGAAACGGACCCTGCTATACCAATAGCGAATCCCCAATTCTTGCATTAATGTCGGGAGAAACGGTGATGTGCGGTGGCTGACTATCAGTGTGGGGTGACCCATGACCCAAAACCGCCTCCCCGGGCCGAATTAGAATCCAGCTAGGTATAATAGGAAATTCACCCCGACTCTGAAACCTGCCATGCATATGCTGTTAGAATTGTATAAGTTCGGCTTGGCCACTGTCTTCCTAAGGTTTGTGAACGATTTGTTTCCAATGATTTTGGGCCCAGTCTCAAACCGTTTACCCACCCATGTGGATCTTGGGAATGGATTTCACTGCCGCTAGACGCTTCGAATATGATCAGATTCACGAATCTATCATGACGGGGTGAAGAAAGGTGCAAAGCGTGGAGCTTGGACCACACCAAATTTGGAGAGGCAAAGCTTACTCTCGGAGCGAAGTCCGCCGAAGTCGTCGGGAGGGGCAACGCGCCGTTCAGCCAGAACTGCTTGAGGGAGCAACCATTAGGAAAAATCCGACTTCAACTAACAGCCACATCAACATTTTGCCGAACAAAATATATTATTGTGACTACTTGATTCTGGAATTTTAAACAGAGTTTTATTAACTTGTATGGCGGTCGAATTATAAGCCGTCGAAGTTGGGTAATTTTTGATGTTGGGGGAACATGAAAACTAAACCCCTTTCGATTTTTGTCCTTAAAACTGAGCCTCTCTGAGGATTGCCCCCTATTTAGCGACCCTCTCTACTAAACTTCAAGTATGGCCCCCTTAGCTATCCACTCTAGCTCTTACTGACCGAATTGGCTCTCTTCTACCTATAATAGCCCCTGCCTCCCTAATGTATCGAAGCGGGAACGTGGGCGGCCATGAAATAATACGTCTGTCGAACAAAGACAGGAGTCAAAGATCAACGAACAGCAATAACAACGATAGTCTGCTCGTGCTATACAGGGAACTATACAATTTGATTAGTACTTCTCGACTACCGAGTACCCGTCTGCTGATCTTGACCCGTACGTACCTACCTACTTTCCTCGGGGGAACTGACAATTCCTACGGAGCTTGAGCAACTACTTCTTCCTCCTAGCCCCTAAGGAGGACCGTACGAGCTAGCCGCAGATGATCTCCCTTTTATCAACGATGTAGTACCTCACGCCATACCTCCCGAAACTGTGCGTATAAAGATCAACCAACGTAGCCGTCTATTAGGGATACCTCGTGACCTATTGTTGGTGAACGAGCCACTTCTGCGTCCAACTATCGAGGAAGAGCCAGAGCATTCTGAAGAGCCAGAGCTTCTTACTCGTATCAGTACCTTTTCTTACCGTCATTCATTACCTGATGAATATGTGTCTACAGTTGCCATGGGAATGTTGTCTTGAAGTCTAGGTATCGAGAGTGTTTCAGGCGATGATTTAACAGCCCTATGCATCCGATGAAACGAAGCCTAACAAGAACTATGGAGCTGATTGAAACCCCACTACCAAACGAGAAGGCTCGTTCTGTGTCTGGATTTATCGTAGTAGACTTAAAATTGTGGAGATGTGGGGATTATGTCCGGGAAACTCCATTCCCTACCTATCCGGCATCTATCCGGAATCTCGCTATTGTAGCCCGAGGATTCGCCAACGCGTCCTAATTTGCTGTCTAGAATGCAAACTCCCGTTGTTGGATGGTTTTGCCAAATTCTGCTGGCAAATCTGTGTAATACCACAAGCCGCCCATGGTGTATATTCGGATACTTATCGGATCTTGATGTCTGGAGGCTTATTCTATTTTAGACTATGCTCAAGCCTCGCTTCTTCTATCCGGTATCTATCTGGACACAGAGATGAGCAAGAATATAGTCATCCACCGCGACTGGGGTGATAACGCACAGAAGATTCGTCTCTTTCGGAAAAGAACACAACATCGGAGATTTAGATGATGGGCCTACAGCAGCGTGGGAGAGATTGCTGAAGGGGAAAGGTGCTGTGCAGGAAGTAGATAAGTTGAGAACATATATTCATAAAAACCCCTCAGTCACTGCAATGTTGCGTCTCACTGTTTGTATACACTTCTAAATTCTTTTACACTGGCCAAGCTTCAAGCACTAGCAAAATTATTCCGCATCCATGGAGGGTTCAGAAGGAATCGACTTGCTCATCGTTGGCGCAGGTAAGGAACTCTTTACTAGGATGAAGGTTCTCATGATTCTCGAGTCCAACTGACGTAACCAACCTAGGCTTGCACGGCCTCGCCATGGCTAAAACGTATCTCCAAGTCCATCCAAATGGCAGACTTCTCGTTATGGACCAAGCCAAGTCAGTAGGCGGCTCCTGGGCCAAGGAGCGACTGTACCCAGGACTCAAGACCAATAACACCATCGGATCGTACGAATTCGGCGATTTCCCTATGGTCCCAGAACGATATGGAGTGAAAGCCCATGGGCATATTCCAGGCGAAGTTGTACACGCGTATTTCTGCGATGTCGTGGTGCACTATGGTATCGACTCGTATCTTCGCCTCGAGACCAGAGTGCAGTCAGCAACGCTTGGAGCAGACGGGCGATGGTCGATGAGGGTCGAATCTATCAAAGAGTCGCAGCAGCGTGCGGATACGCTTGTGGCTGCGAAGATAGCCATTGCCACAGGACTCACCTCCGAGCCATACATTCCGACATTTCCCGGACAAGAAGATTTTGGTGGGCTGGTACTGCATTCGAAACAGTTAAAGGAGGAGACCGACAATCTTGGGTCTTGCAAAAGTCTCGTCGTCCTTGGCGGGAATAAGTCGGCATGGGATGTTTGCTACGCAGCAGCCCAGTCCGGCTCTCAGGTCCATATGGTCATACGTCCGACTGGAGGAGGTCCGAGCTATCTCTGGCCGAGGGAATTTTCTTGGGGATCATTCAAGCTCTCTCTAGCCAAACTGTCAGCTACCAGACTGTTCGTTTCATTCGACCCCACTCCGTACGGGAAGATAGGGTGCCTTGCTCTCCTGCGGCATTTCCTTCACCAGACTCTAGTAGGCCAGAAGGTCTGTCAGTTTTTCTGGACACGACTAGATGCGCACATTAAAAAACTGAACGGTTATCATACGCATCCGGAATTGCAGAAGCTCGAGCCCTGGACGACTCCATTCTGGATGGGCAATTCTCTGAGCATCCACAATTACGACACGAACTGGTTTGACTTTGTTCGAGAAGGGAAGATCAGCATACACATAGCGGATCTCGCTTATCTGTCAAAGGGTCGAGTGCACCTGTCGACTGGAGAGATGCTAGATGCTGATGCCTTGGCATGTTGCACGGGCTGGAAAACGGTCCCTACTATCCAGTTTGACACGTCATGCGCCATGGAAAGAGCGAGACTCGGAATAGCAAAGGGGGCGGGCACATGCAACTCGGTTGGCACTGAATGGGAAATCAGTCGGCTAATCAGCTATCTCTCATCTGTCCCAAGAAGAGTTGGAAATGCCCCGGCAATTCAGGAAGGTCAGATTCCGCAACTTTCTTCCTCCTATCAGCTTTACCGCATGGTTATCCCAAGCCAGCCTGTCTTCCTAGAGAAGAAGAACTTAGCTTTTATTGGATTGCATTCCTCCGTCCACGCTGTGCTAGTTGCTCAGGCCCAGGCTCTTTGGATCATGGCTTTTTTTGATGACAAGATAAGGCATCTTAGTCCTCTGCATATTAATATCAAAGCTGTGGAATACCGCAGCTTTCAAGAAGGCATATATGAGAGGTTTAGACGTCCAAAGGAATGTGGGGGGGCGGCGGGCAAGTATCCCGATTTGGTGTTTGATTCTCTGCCTTACATAGATACGCTGCTCAGGGATCTTGGGTTAGCGCCGAATAGGAAGAGCAGTTGGTTCAAAGAACTATTGGAGGTCTATCTACCGCGAGATTATAGAGGCATTACCGATGAATGGAGGAGAAAGAACGTCGCTGACGCGAGTATATTTGAAATTGCTAGGGACACCACAACTTAACTAGTTAGTTGTCACTACAATGGCCCCCAGAATTTACCCGGACATCCTGACGCTGACTCACTTGGCATTCTCCCAATTAGAAATCTATGCCCCGATGTGGACAGACTTCACCTGTATGTGGGATTTTTGTGATTTCCTATTATAAATATGGACAAGATAGCTAGACTTGAATACCATTGTTTTCAATCATTGCACATGACACTATCTAGTAAATGTACTAATGGATACGCAAATTGCGAACTCCCACAACTGATTTACATGCAGCTATTGTTGTCCCGATGATACAGTTTAGTATACATCCTGCATATAACTTAGGATAGATATCATCTTGCAGTGGAATTGAGGATCTTGACAGAACGAGATTATCGTCACTTTCACGTGCAACCGTGAGCATAACTTGGATCGATCTTCACTATTTGCCGAGCCGTATCACTGCTCTTACCAGAGTGAAGTTAAACAAACACAAACAACGGTGCTCCACAGTTTCAATCATCAACCAAGCGATGTCCCCCGCATGATGTTCTCCGCATCAAGGTCTTAGATCCCATGGGATATGATCCAAGTAACTGGTCTCGGCTTTTTGTGGACGTTGTATGTCGAGAGGCTTACAGGATTCAGAGCCTTCTCGGTGCCTCGGTGATATCTATGCCGAGTTCTCTCCTTCCCCGCTAACCATTGCAGCTGGACTCGTTTTCTATAACGACATTACCATTCGCTTTCAACCACCCCCTCCCAAAAAACCGGCTTGTCTCATCCATGAAACGCAGCCATCTATCGTCTCAAAATCAGACACAATGATCACACCTGCTGCACCGGGAACCGACCTCAAGCGCTCATATGAAGAGAACGGCGTGGTCAACATCGCTGGGGTTTTAGAACCTGCCGAGGTCGACGTGATCCGCGATGCATTCATGGCCCAGGTCGAGGGGGACAGGGCCAGTCTCGCCCACGACGATCATGTCCCGGATGACGACATCCTAGCCCGCTATCCCCGCTTCGTCCACCCTCATCGTCACCCTGAGTTGGAGGTCGGGCGGTTGGCTCGCAGATACATGCTGGACCGCCGCATTCTCGACAAGGTCGAGGCAACGATTGGCCCCGTCAATGGTGCGCAATCTATGTTCTACTTCAAGCCGCCGAAAGCTCGCGGTCAGGCAATGCACCAGGACAATCTATTTCTGCAGTCACATCCCGAAACATGTATAGCAGTTTGGATCGCAATAGATCCAGTCGACGAAGATAACGGCGGGCTGCAGATAGTGCCAGGGTCCCATAACTATGAGCTAGTCTGCCCGGGTGACGCTGATTCGGAAACTTCGTTCAGCCGTCAGGCGATTCACCTGCCCAGAGATATGACCGCCGAGCACACGTCGATGGCGCCTGGTGACGTTTTATTGTTCCATGGCAGCATGGCGCATGGATCAGGGCCGAATCGAACTGCCGACCGGTTCCGTCGGTCGTTGATCTTCCACTATGTGCCGCAGTCCAGTACCAAGATCGCGAAGTTCTACTTGCCATTAATCAGCCCTACCGGGAAGGAGATTTTCGTGTCTGAGTCTACTGAGGGTGGTGTCTGCGGCGACGGCTGGATACCTTCTGGTCCGCATTGAGGCTCTTTTTATAATGTTCGTTGGAATACGAATTTGCTTTACTCGTTGAGGTTCAATTCTGCTCTAGTAGAAAGTGTGTGCGAGTCTGGTATACTCATACAAGGCAGACGACGGTTCCTATAGTGAGCTTTGAAACATAAGAGATGGAATCATGCCTTAACAGCACTTCAAAGATGCCCATACCTACCGCTCTAAGCCGAGATGACTTGCATTAAAGGAACTATAAAGAGTCTCCCTGCTGGCAGCTCGACAATCTAGCCCCCAAAGACCCTGAGCTCCATGTGAACTATCACAAAATGCAGTCTGACATTTCAACAACCGTAGATTATGGACAAGTTTTCATTCTCCAGAAAGGCAGACGGAATGCGAGTGAATATGATAGGACAAAATCAAACTTTCTGATGAGCAACATGACTGCTACGCCAAACTTGCATTATATATTGTGTGACCCGTGGCTAACTGATCACTGTGAGTTGGCGCTAGGACAGGGGTGATTACCTTGTCTTGAAGATTTGCATTATATTCTATTGCTTGCCGTAGATGATCGCTATAGTCATCCCCATTCTTAACTCCCTCTAGATCTACGCGTTTGTTTAGCTGACGTGCTTCCCATGCAATAGCAACGGCCCATTCTATGTCCTGTGTCACCTGTCAAACGCGTCCCTCAAACGTATTCTTCAAACGCAGTCCAGTCAAACGTAGTAAAGTCATGCTTGGCCACATAAGAGTCACGACAGCCAGGGCTACTAATACTAGCAGACGGGGAATTTGTCAAAAAGGGGAGTCGTCGCGGCACTAGGGAAGACACACATAGAACTGACACCAGATGCCTAGGTTGCAAAGCTTTCTTGGGAAAGCGTGATCACGCTCAACATGTGGCCACTAATCCCACTTAGCGGAACTTTCAAGCCCTGTAGGTCGTTCATGTTAATCGAACCCTCTTTGGTGCCGCCGGCGATGCTGATAACGTGGGCCAGCGTCGAAGACTCTTGAAGAAGAGGAAGAAGATTTTATTTTACATAGGCACGCGTGTAAGTGGTCAGTGCTGTGAGTGCATGAAGCCCTTAAGTCGTTCCTAAAAGGCGTTGGACAAATTAAAGTCAAGAAGGAGCTTGTGAACGCATACTACTGCCATCCATAACCACGGTCCCAGCGAACAGGGAAAGGATGTTAATCTCGGTATAGGAGACGCTGTCTGATTTCCCGGCGCTGCAACTTTCTTCATCGTCGCATTCGATATTTACCTGCGTAGGTGATTAGTTGGCCGGCCTATCTTCTACAGTCTTCATTGCAGACAGATTTTGTATGATGCTTACACTAAGCTGTTTGTAGAGATAGCTCTGATGCGGGCTTCCATCCCCGACCAGCTCGGTGTCGGGAATCCACTGACATCATTATAGCTTCGGGAGCAACTGATATCTTACGATCTTCATGAATGAAAAACGTCTTGGAGCCAATAGCAAGGGTACGGGCACCATCCTCGTCCACATTGGCCATAATGGGCAGATCAGCAAAGACACCCGAGTCGAGGGTATTAGAGCAAGAATAACCCAGAACTTGAGAAGTTTCCTGGCTCACGACCGCAATGTCCATCTCGGAAGAAGCCTTGACTTGCTGGATCATAACATTGATCTTTTGGGCGTTCGTCGAGGCGTGAGGGACGGCCAGGGCGAGGGAGACAAGCCCTGCCACGACGGGAATGCCATTCAAAAGTCTCATCTTGGCTTACAGCTTTGGGATTGGTTTAACAACAGCGATATGATTGAGTGCCGGGTCTGTCTAACTTTGACGGTATCAAACTCCCTTTTATATTCCTATTTTCCTCCAATTTGTTTTTAACTCCCGATATATGATACCGCCACTATAGCGTACTAGACCGGATTCGATTGAGATAGCGCTGTCCATGAAGAGGAACTGCTAACTGCTAAAGAGAAAGAGTGCAACCGAAGAAGGATGATCAAGCCACCGCAAGGTCCCCTGCATATGGACGATAAACAAGGGGGTCAGACAAACTTGAATTCTCCTTCACCGTCGCACAGGCACACATCAACTTCCCTTCCGTTGTCGCCGTTCATCTTTTCTCCGTCTCCAGTCTTGATTTCCGAGACCTCTCTGCATCAGCGTCAATTCCCTCGGCCCCCACGGGGTGCACACAGTAGCGGCACTTAAGCCACACTACACTCACTGGATACGAGCTGATAGTTTGTGTATAGTGGCAGTGCATTAGTCTGAAAGCCTTAAAACTACCACGCTAGTTATTCTGCCGGCAATCAGGTACCCCACCACTCGTAAGTTACTACAAGTGAGTGGTGTATACGAAATAGGGAGGTCGTAACTAATGGCATTTTGGAAGGGTTTCAGACTATTGCAACGCCACTGTACAGCCCGACACCAAGTGGATCTCGCTTCGCACTAGCACACCATTATCTCCCAGATGTGACCGGATGTCAGATCAAGAAAGAAAATCAATAAAGAATTCAATTTGAGTACGTAGTCGACGGGAGATCCAAGTTGAGAAAGGGAAGAAGAGACCGAAGAAGAGTCTCTACTTATCTACAACAGTCTATGCCCTGTGTCACCTGTCAAACGCAGTCTTCAAACGCAGTCTTCAATCGCAGTGATGCCAAACGCGGTCCCGTCAAGCGCAGACCCGTCGAGCGTGGTCCCGTCATGCGCAGTCCCGTTAAAATCCCATCAAGTGTGGTCACACCAGATCTGAGAACTCAAAGACTGATATTCTGTCGAGATATTCTACCCCTCTACCTTACAGGAGAATCGGGAGTTAGATGAATAGTAAAATTTATCGTTTATTTGAGGTCAACCAGGAACCTACAGTATAATATTATTTCCACAATCTTCCTCTGTTCAAAATAATCAACAGTAAAAACTTTTCCGGTAGTCCATTCTCGGTAACAAACCAGTTAATAAAATCCCCGAGGCGTACAGCAGTGTTGCAGAGTTCAAAACTCGGTTTTTGTCTATACCGTGTACCGGGCCGGTGCCGATATGGGTCCGCCCTGGGGTGGGGGAGTATAAGCGTTTGGCCCCGCAAGTCCCCGTCAATTGCATGGTAATCAAGACGCCCCCAAAACCTCCGTGCTCGAAATTGTTCAACATCTCGCTTTAAAAAAGCACATATCCAGCCAAAGTCCGCTTACGGGTGGGCCATATTCTATGGGAGTAGAATGGCAAGTTTTATTTTAAGACATCTCATGGGTGGTCAATTTAACAATGTCTCAACTCGTAATTTCACTACGTTCATGAAAGGAGTGGACATTTATGTGTTCAATGTGACCAGGCATGACGAGACTGCGCTTGGCGGGACTGCGTCTGAAGACTACGTTTGATAGGTGACATAGGACATACACTATTGTAGATAAGTAGAGACTCTTCCCCTGTCTCTTCATCTTTTTCTCAATTTAGATCTCCCGTCGACCATAGCACTCAAATTGTAATCTTTTCTCGTTTCCATTCTTGACCTGGCACTCGGTCACACAAGATATCTTGAGTCTGGTATACACTGAATCCTCTCTCTCATCCAATGACAGTGTATATAAACGAGACGAAGCTTGGTGTTAATGACTTAAGTCGTCGATAGTCAAAAGCCTAACTATCTAGCGATTTTCGCATTGAATTAGGATTGTATGTGATGCTTCATCCTGTGAATTCGAATTCCACTCCCCGTGCCAACTTGAACGACATCAATTCCGGTGGGAATCGCTTCAGATTCTGACAGATGAGGGCAAGCAATCAGGTCCTGAGAGTTTCATATCATTATTTCGCGATTCTATGTGGTACTGACCGCATCGACAGGCACTATCCACGATGGATGTACTCCGGAATTTTTGGTCCATACGGAAACTCTATATGTACCGTCACCACCAGTTAGGTAGTTTCATGCGTTACCCTAATTGGGGAATAGAGTAAGATTGATGGAAAAATTGCCGAACCACGCATCAATTCCCACGGAAAAATTAATGAGCGCTGCGGGGAAAACCCCACAATTAGTCCACCTAAGGAAAATCGGCAATTGTCGCATTAGGGGTGTATGGGGTACAGCCCCTCAAATTATTGATGAAAAAATAACTCTTGATCTGGTATATAGGTCATGAATAGACAGCAGCGATCAAGATCATTCTCATTTGCAAAATTGGGTTTTTGAACCCACTGGAACCTACTGCGCACCACATAGTGTCAACCATCAACATGCGCACTTTTTGGCTCACTATCCTTGCTCTGGCTGCCGCCAAGAGCTGCGGAGCTACAGATGCCCTTTCGCCTCGTCCCCACATTACGTGCTTTCCCAATCCGTGCCCCGGAGAGCATCGGACCTTCCCACTACGCGAAAAACTGTGCTATGTTAAGAGCACAGGAGATGGCCAGGATGATTCGCAGCACATTCTCAATGCAGTCTATGAATGCAACAATGGCGGTCGCGTTGTGTTTAGAGAAGGTGTTAACTATACCATTGGAACTGCATTGGATCTGACCTTCATGAAAAACATCGACCTTGGTAATCCGTTCCAATCAAACTACATTGGACCTTGAGAGCTAACACGGACTTTAGATATCCAAGGATACATTCAATTCACCGATAACACAACCTACTGGCAAGACAATAGCTTTCAGTTTGTCTTTCAGAACGCCACAAGCTTCTGGCTTTGGGGTGGAGATGGTGTTGCGGTCTATGGTATGCTCCTTCTGGTTCAGGATCTCTGGAGTTTCACTGAAGGCTGTCGCAGGAGGGGGTACGATCAATGGCAACGGACAGGTCTGGTACGATTTGTACGCTAAGGACCCGCTTTTGAATCGCCCAAGCCTGATCGGCATCGAGGGTTTGCATAATTCTGTTATTTCGAACCTTAACTTGTAGGCTCACTTTGCATATATGTGATTTTGATCCTGTGTCTGGTGATACTAACCGTCTTATATAGGAGACAGTCACCCACATATCACTTTTTTATGGCCAACTCATCTGAAGTGGTGATCGACGGGTTGAGCCTGATCAGTGTCTCGTCAAATGACAATGAAGCTGCAAATACAGACGGTATCGGTAAGCTTATGCGATCAACAATCGAGGGGCTTAAATTGACTGGATATAGATACGTATAGATCTAATAACGTGGCACTTCAAAACTGGGTACGTTTGAATAACGACTTATTAGTTATCAGGCTGCTGACTCCTTCTGCGATTATGTAGGTAGTGAACAATGGTGACGGTAAGTCCACAATCATTTTGGCATGGGTCTTTCGCTTATGCCTTTCGAACATTACCACATCCAAATTTCAGATGATCTGTTTCGCTGAGTGTGAACCCTGAAAATTCTTAATAACTTTCTATAGACTGTGTTAGTTTCAAGCCGAACAGCACGAATATGCTTGTCCAGAACATGCAATGTACCGGCTCACACGGGATTTCTGTCGGATCTCTCGGCCAATATCCAAACACGTGAGCGTGATGATTACATAGTCTTCTTCTCTAACTGACGTGGTCTGGTGTCTATCTCCAGATACTCTATCGTCGAGAACGTCTATGTTTATAATGTCTCGATGATCTCTGCCTTGACAGGTGCAAGAGTCAAAGTGTGAGTTTTCTCTAAACCCATTGAAATGTTAGGGGTGGTATCAGGCTAAACAATGCGCCAGTTGGCCAAACACTCCGTCATCTGAAGCGGCTGATCTGCAGGGAGGCGGTGGCAGCGGCAGAGTGAATAATGTTGTATTCGATACATTCACTGTCAAAGACGTATGTTTTCTCCCCTCTCTCATTCCTTTCTCTATGCATTGAGTGAGATGAGCAACGTATATTGATACGTTTATCTTCATAGGTGGACTACGCCATCGAACTGGACCAGTGCTATGGACAGAGTAATCTTACTCTGTGTTTCGATAACCCTAGTCCTCTCAATATCAGCAATGTGATATTCAAGAACTTCCAAGGCATAACCAGCAGCAAATATGCACCCGATATTGTGACTTTCGCTTGCAGTTCGACTACGTCTTGTTCTAATATCCAGGCAATGAATATTGATGTTCAGGGTCCTGAAGGGTCTCTGGCTTACTGCCATGATGTTGATGAGTCTTCCCTGGTCGGTGTGAATTGCACAGGTCCCTACAAGGGCTTTGAGTGAAGAAAAAGACAAGAGACAGAAGCAGAATTATAAACGCAAATGTGATTAATTGAAAGTTGAAAGCTTGGAGTATCAAGAGCATAATGTAACGGAAGTCCTGCTTATAATTGTTGCAAGTCAGGCCCATGTTGCTTGATTATCTTTAGACAGATAAGAGTTTATATTTATGAACAAGGCTTTACACGAAAGGCTAACAAACCTGATACCACAAAAGGAGCGAACTAAGGTAATGGACCAAGTCCATGGATGGGAAAAGCGTATTTCATCAAGACTCTTGAAGATGGAGAGAGAAGAGACAAAAAGACAGAAGGTTAAGTGGATTGAGAATAAGGGTGTGCAGTGACTAAAGATGCTAAAAAACAGGTGTTATGAAAGGATAATCATGGTAGTTAAAAAGGGAAAGGATTGTACCTGGGCTGATCTAATGATGCAACAGTTTATCAGCAATCTCAACATGTCTCAATCTCAACGCAATTTCCAATGCGGGCTGAAACAAGTATATGGGCTGCTCTAGCACCCTGGGGGACTCGGGATTTCTTTGGGTGCTCCATGCATCCACAGCGTCTTTGAATTGGGTGAGGTTGTTGGACTCTATTGCGGTGAGAACGGCGGGGAGGATGTTGGACATTACAAAGCCCCACTTCTCCAAAACTCCGCGACTCCGCAACTCCGTCTTCACGTTTAACGTTTCTAAGCTTCACATCTTGCTGACCCTGGAGAGTCTGGAATCCTCCTAGACTGGCCTTTAGTGCTTACCAACACTCAACTCCGTCTACTCCAGGATGTGGCCCCGCCTAGACGTCCGCAGATGCATATTGCAAGCGGACCTCTAGAGAACATTATGACACTGCCCTTGGTCTCTTCCAGAGCTTTGTATAAATAGACGAACATTTCTCTAGTAAATGTTCCTTATATGAAGCCCATATGGTCTGTGATTCTTATGTTTCACATATCACCAATCTTGATCTCTTTACTTGACCTTGTCTTCCCTTTTACCATCTCAAGGACCCATCGTATCCTTCCACCAGAGTCTATTCTCAACATTCAAGAACACTTTCATGCTTCCATTTTTCTGTCCGCTTTTCTTGTCTACAAGTGTTCTTCCCCCTTGAGAGCTTCGGCTCATTTCTGCCTTCAGATCCTTCCATCTCAGCATCATCAAAACCCCATCCAGGCAGGCCCCTGACCGCTTTGCCATCTGTCTCACCTGATATTCTCAAGCGATCATTACCGGTCATATCTGTTTTGCCCTTGTATCTGTCGGTTTCGAATGCGATATTGTTCTACATCTGTATCCCGGGCAAAATCACAATGAACAATATTAACCGATTCTTGTCCGTTGCAGAGTCAAGAGTAGTTATAGTAGCCCTCGGGAATCTTCTATCCAGAAATCTTATTTCCCTCTTTTTTTTAAAAAAAAAAAAAAAAAAAAACCCCCAAAAAGCAAGGCCGGGTGAAAATGGCATGAAGTTGGTGCCATCAGGCCACTAGGCCAACCGAACCGTTTATGCGTACAATGGCAGCACTTAATCTCATCACCTACCGCGCAAATGGTTTTGTGGTCAAGCTGAATAGCTTGTGCATCATGCATATTATTGCAATAGGTTGACCAACTCATAGCTTAGTAATTAAGCCGTTAACCCCGCAATTTACCTCCGACAGACGATATATCCGACAAGCGTGCGGAGCCGAATAATTGCATTCGAGGTTCCACGCGTGTCCCGATCGCTCAAGTCTATGTTCTCGACAAGCTGACGAGGTGATTTAAACGAATTCAGCATCGTTTATCGGTAGGCCTTTCATAGCAGCGGGGGTGGAGAGCTTACGAAGATCTGGGGACTTGAAAGCTGCAACCTGTATAACCGCCCAAACGTACCTCGGCTAGATGGGATATAGCCTGGAGAACCCGCAGTCACACTAAGCGTAAAAAGCACAAGCTCCTCTCCATCCTAATGTTTGAAATTGAAATCAGAGAAAAACATATGAACATGGCAGACCAGATTAGAAATTCTTCCTATGTGAATCCAGAATTGGCCAAGGTCCGTCAATATATCAATCAAAACCAGGCACTCATACCATGCTCACGCTTAAAGTATCTAGATCTTGGAGACAGGACCAAAGCCAGCAAGCTTGAGCGTCACGAGCGACATTCAGGCTCTGCGAAAGCTGCTGTCTCAGCGAAAAAAGGAGTTGACGCAATCCTACGCAAATTCTGGGGGCCCAGTGATCATCGAGGAAGATCACTCTATCCCCACTCGAGACGGATCTCAAATAACCGTCCGCGCTTACAAGCGCGAACATCAGGACGAGCCAGGGCCTGTCTTAGTGATATTCCATGGTGGAGGCTGGGTACTCGGTGGACTAGAGAATGAAGTGCTTCTGTGTCGAACCTGGTGCGAACACTTCTCTGGTCTATGTGTTAATGTAGACTACCGACTGGCTCCGGAAAATCCGTTTCCCATTCCTGTTTATGATACCTATGATGCTTTAACATGGGTATGTGGTCCAAATATATCATGAGATCTAATTCTTTAATGGTTTTGCACACTGACAGATGCAGACTGCTTCCCGCGCCAAATTACTCGGTGGAAATCCGGAGAAAGGCTTCATCATCGGTGGAATATCTGCGGGTGGAGGCATGGCAGCTGCGATTTCGCATCTCTACCGTGACCAAAATATCCAGCCTCCTTTGACGGGAATTTATCTTTCTATCCCGTCGGTGCTCGCACCCCAGGCAGTCCCCGAGAAATACAAGAGCCAGTATCTTAGCCGGAAAGAAAATGCCAACGGGTTGATCCTGGATGATGGCGCCATTGCGCTTTTCCGACGTATGTCGCAACTATTACTCTCGGCAGATATGTAGCTGCATATTTGATCACAAGAAGCTAATGTTGTTTGTAGGTGCATACAAAGATGACCCGTTATCCCCTCTGATGTCCCCCTTCAACTGGCCCAACGGCCATGCAAACCTCCCACCTACATATTTCCAGATCTGTGGGACCGACCCGCTGCGAGATGAAGCACTTCTCTATGAGCAGGTACTGCGGGAAGATTATGGTGTCAAGACTCGGGCAGATCTGTATCCTGGTCTCCCGCACGGATTCTGGTCTTGGTGGCCTAAAACGGAATTTGGCAAACAGCATATGAGGGACTCTGTGAAAGGGCTTGCCTGGCTTCTTGGGCAGTCGGAGTAGATACTCTGTCGACATAGCAATGGATGGCTAATGCCTTGAATTAGCCGTAGTAAATTGACGTATATTGTTGGATTTTGATTTACTGCAAGCTTCTCACTGAAGGAATATGATCTTAAAATCTATAGGAAGAACATTCATGTACTGATGACATTCTCCGAAGGCCGATAATCTACGCAGACTTGAGCTCACATATTCGATCGTATGAGAGGAACGGCGGTTTTTGTTTGGGCCTTGAGGATGCCTGCAACAACAGAGTGGTTAGTTTCTATGATCCTCTTCATAGCATTGCCACTATAATGCAAATACCAACCTTCTGCAATGGTTCTGATCTCGACTTTCTTCAGCTTTCCGTTCGCCGTCTTGGGCCATATCGCAGGAACGCCCTTGCTAGTATCTCCCAACCACCATAGATGAACAGGAACCTTATACCTCGCCAAAGTCTGCCGTACCCAATCTCGAATCTCAGAGTCTGAAGGACGCCTCTTCTCATCATCCTTCAACTCCAGAATTGTCGCTACTTCCTCTCCATACCGATCACTTGGCACGCCAAAAACAGCGGCCTGCTGAATAGAAGCATGTTCAAACAACCGCGCCTCAATCTCCAGCGGCGAGATATTCTCACCACCACGGATAATCAGATCCTTGATCCGTCCAGTTATGACAAAATACCCATCTTCGTCCAAATAGGCCTCGTCTCCCGTATGCATCCAGCGACGCAAATCCCCATTTTCATCTCGTCCCGCGTGCCCCGGTAGAAGGTCCTCTTCGTGGATCCGAATAGCCTGGCTCGTGCGTGATTCATCGCCGTAATAAGAATGCATAACGCCGAATCCACCCACGACGACCTCCCCTCGCACGCCCCAGGGAACAGGCATACCTGTTTCCACATTGATGATCTTCGCGATGAAGTGCGGTAGAAGTCGGCCTGCTGTTTTCATTTTCTTGACTATTGGGTCTTGGGATGTGGTCATTGTGGCGACGGATGAGAGTTCCGTCATACCCCAGTTTGTGAATAGCTCGCGGACGGGAAATTCGTTGATGATGCGGCTTAAGAGGCTGTGTGGCATGCTTGAGCCGGCCATGATTCCGAATCTGTGTGTCTTTATGTCAGCTCGCAGCAAGTTTGGGGACTGGGGGCTTACCTGAGTGTAGAGCGATTGGCTTTTTTAAAGTCGGGGTGAGCCATCTCATCAAGGAACATTGTGGTCACTCCGTAAATTCCCGTGCATTGGTATTTCTCTACTGATCTTAGTGTGGAATCGACTTCGAAGTACTCAGACGGGAATACGGCGGTGGTGCCTGCCACCATAGACACACAAAGACCTGAGCTGAGGTTAGTATATAAGTGAAAGCAGAAAACAATTCGGTAAGATCACTCACCCATAACCAATCCAAACGCATGGAAGAGTGGCACAGGAATAGCAATGATATCCTGCTTCTTCACCTTCATTTTTATGCTCAGATAGCGAGCACTGTTCATCATCCCAAAGTGAGTCAATGCCGCAGCTTTGGGGGCACCGGTGCTTCCAGACGTGAACTGCAAATTCAAGATATCATTGCATTCGATAATCTCTCTTGAGGCCCAATCAATGTTGATGGCAACCGCTGTATCGACTAAAGCCTGGTATGTGAGCCAGGATCCAGGTAAGACGACATCTCTGTCCCGATGGCTGATATCGTCGAGAATTATGATTCGCTTCAGGAAGGGAACTTTCTTTTCTACTGCTTGTAAGGATGACATATAATCATACCGAGATGTTTTGGCGGTGGTGAGTAGTAGCTTGCTTTTTGTCGAAGAGAGCGCAGCGGTCAATTCGTGCGCCGAATAAGCATAGTTCATCAGCGTCACATAGGCGCCGACTTTGGAGCAGGCGAAGAATATCTGCCAGTCGTTGGTGATCAGTATTTGGCTCTGCCAGTGCTGGTAATTTCCATATCCATACCTCGACATATTCAATGCGGTTCCCCAGCATGACTGCCAGACTATCTCCCTTCGTGAGACCCAGAGCGATCAACCCCATTGCCAACTGCTCGGACCTTTGCTGCAGCTCCTGGTATGACATCATAATGTTTTGGTGCTGTGAAACCACAGCCACAGAAGCTGGCATACCCTTTGCCTGTTTGGCTATGAGGTCGTTAAAGGTCCATTTGACCAATGCAGGCTCCGAAGGCCCGCTGATAATGGACAGGCGAATATCCTGTGCTCCCATTGTGAATATTTAATGGCAGGAAGGAAGTTAGTATAGCCAGCATTCAGTAGTCTAGTATGTGCTGAGGCGAATGTATGATGCAACGAAAAACAGAAACCAACGGGCCCAGGAATAGAGACTCTAGTTAATTGAGAGTCAGCTTTAAAGTACCCTATCAGCTAAGACTAAGACTGTTACCAAATATATATTTTAATGGTCTTACGAATTAAGTACCACCTCTCATACTTTCCACTCCACCGTTGCAAGCCCCCATGAAAAACCCGCACGTCCATCGGGTCGGATATCGGGTATACATCCATGGATACTTGAGCCACGATAGATGGAACCCACACCACTAACTTTCCGATATCTCGGGAACCCAGGCATCCGAGCTCGCGAATAATCGCATTATCGGCCCTGTTTGACCCCGCATTTCACAAGACTAATGTCCGAAGCTGAGGGCTGACGCGGGCACTCTCTGTTGTCCACGACATGCCCAACAAATCAGTCTGGCTACCAAGACTCTCTAGTTTCTTTTGATAAAGAAAGACACTGGTTAACAGAAACACCAACGACAACAAACATGGCAGTCACTGAAACCTACCGTCCAGCCTTTACAGATCCGCCAGCAAGTATTCTCGCTGGAATCCCCGCTCGCGATCTCCAACTCCCTTCTCCAGACGTGACATATGGACTCCCATTCCCAGATGCCTGCGCAAAGCATGTTCGAGATACCTTCAGGCGCTCGAGAGTCTACATTATCGTTTCCGGGACTCTGTCTCGAGAAACAGACGAGCTTGACAGACTCGTTGCGGCCATTGATCCTGAGCGTGTCGTGAGTGTCCGCAAGGGCGTCATGCCTCATACGCCTTGGTCGAATATCTTGGAAATTGCCGCGGATGCTCGTAAAGTAAATGCGGATTGCATTGTTACGCTTGGTGCTGGCAGCATCACCGATTGCGCGAAGATTGTTGTTCTGGTGTGCTCACACGCTTGAAGCATTAGACAGTGTTTTGTCTTGAAAACTAACCTGAAGAACAGGCACTCGCTAATAATATCGAGACGGCTGAACGCCTGGCTAAATACTCTGTCGAGAGCACTGATGTGCCAGACAAGGTTGAAGTACCCACTATACCACTGATTACTATTCCCACGACCCTGTCTGGTGGCGAGGTAAGTGATGCTCTAGCTCAAGCTAATTAGATAAACAATGCTAAACCTATTATCTACAACAGTACTTCAGCTTAGGCGGCGGCACCGATGACCGAACACACCACAAGCAAGGCTTCCTCCACTCCGGCATGGGCTCCAAGCTCGTCATCCTTGACGCAAATCTCAGCAAGCACACTCCAGACTACCACTGGCTGAGCACCGGCATGCGCAGTGTGGACCACTGTGTCGAAGCCCTCTGCTCGCTTAACAGCACGCCCGAGTCCGACGTGCGCGCCGAAGCCGGTCTCCGGAAACTAGTTCCCAACTTGCTCAAGACCAAAAACGATTCATCCGACGTGGAAGCTAGACACCAGTGCCAGATGGGGGTTATCTTTGCTATGAATAATGTTCGCTCTGGTATCCCGATGGGAGGTAGTCATGCTATCGGGCATCAGCTGGGCCCATTGGGTGTTCCGCATGGAGTGACGAGCTGTATCTTATGTCCGACGGTGATGAAATTCAATGCGAGATATGGACATGATAATGAGCGCATTCTCCAGAAGCAGGAGAAGTTGCGTGAGATTCTTTGGTCTGAAGAAATACCGGCTGCAACCTTTACGAAGGCCGGGTTGAAGAAGGATTCGGCCGATCTGGGCGATTTACTAGATATTATTATCCGTGCCTTGGGACTTCCGAGAACATTGACAGAGATGGAGATTAAGGCGGATATTCTACCTGCTTTGTCGGAGCGTGCTTTGGATGACTTTTGGGCGGCGACTAACCCGATTCCATTGACCAAGTCGGAGCATGTACTGGAGATTTTGAGGACGGCACTATAAGCATTATGAATTCCATGTTGACGTTGTACATGCTCTCTTATATCTGTGAATATCTTTACACAATCGAAAAATAGCAGCCAAATAATTCCATCGATAAATCTCGGTCGTCGACGCGAGTCTTCTGCTCGTCCTGTCTCTTGATGAGCTCTCGAAGAAGAAGCGCAGCTCGTTTCGCATTCCTCGTAGCTCCCGAGCTCATCTTAAATGGAGGCAAGTCTTCCCCACCTTGGCCTTCAGATGTCACGATCGGTTTCGATTCACCGAGGGCTTCGAGCTGTTCAATAGCCCATGCTCGTTGTTGCTCAGAGGTACATTCAGACCCAAATAAGAACAACGGCCACAGGAGTGCGGGATGGACGACTTTCTTTTGTCCGTTACTGATGACTTCGCCGTATGCCCGTTGCATGTTCCCCCAGACCTCCACCAGGGCTGCATTCGCGGTCGGGGATAGAGACAGGTTCCACCAGCTCACGCGATGGAGATAGACGAACAAAATCCAGAAGCTGGCCAGATAGATACTAAAGATCTCTTCTACTCGCACAGCCATTTCTAGTGTTATGGCTTTCGCGAGGTCCTCCACATTCAAGGAGATGATCGTAGGTCGATGTCCCCAAAACTCCCAGAGGTCTTTCTCCAATTGCTTGCAGGCAACAATGACCTCGAACTCATCGTCTGGCGTGAACCGTTTGCGATGGTGTTTGTCGTGTGACCGGATCCAACGACAGTAGGATTGCGACGCCAGATACCATTCCAGGGCCGGCTGAAGCACTGCGCGGAGAACAACTTGCTTGATGTGACCGCCTGTAAGCGTGGCAGAGGGGAATGACCGGTGAGAAGGGACAATCCTGGACATTGTATCGGACGTCGGAGACTCGGCATGTCTCAATTTATCTGCCTCCGTTGCATCGTCGCTCTCGTCGACGTCCTCATCGTTCGAACCGACGATCTGGTTCGGGTGCCGAGAGACAATCTCGAGGATTTCGGCAGGCAGTAAAGAACCTCCACTCAAATGACTAGCTTTACTATCCAGAGTATTGAACCAAGAGAGAAGTTGCCTTGAGTGTCGGTTCCAATCTGAGTTGTTGGTGATGATCGCCTCAGCCAAGTGCCGGGGAAAGAGGCTATCAGCGCCATTCTGATCACGTACGACTTCAAACCAACCCAAGAGAAACAGTGTTGCTAGTGCTTGTTCTCTTTGTAGGTGGCTCATCTCAGGCTGATTAGAAACCAAATCCTCGATCTGACAGCGTGCCGAGCGATGGCTTTCCAGAATACGATCCATGCAGATATCGTGAGAGCGACAGGGCCATCTTGCTGTTTCCTCGATGGCTAAGAACTCGACGAAGCAGAGGAGAGCATCCAAGACGGGCGGACTTTTGCTCGCCAGCTCGATTAGATATCGTTGTAGATGTCTCCATTTTCGAACGCCACCTATGAGAATTGCTGCCGGAGGTTGAGTCACTTTCTGGAAAAGTGATACCAATTTGACAGTTTCTGGGTCATGGAAGAAGGTCGCTCCTCGGGGTCCTTGATTCTCCTGCAGGGATGAGCGCCCCTTGTTTTCAGTCTCGCTTAATAAACCTCGCAAAGCCCCCCGAGAGCAGTCGTTCTCCGCATGTTCGGGCGAAACTCTTGAAAACTGCAGCGCTGGATCATATTGCTCTCGCCGAATATGTCGCCGACCGATATTACTATCGACCGCACCACTCACAGGCAGCATCCAAATTTCTGGACTCGACTGCGTATTCTCCTGCGAGACATCTACTGACTGAACCACATCTCCGTCCGGGGACATCCCAGCGATGGCAGGGAAGTTACACATCTGCCCCGCCCACGGGGTACCAAAGTCGGGCATTCCATACCCAAATGGACCAGTCACCGAAGCCGACTGGTCCTGCGAGAGCTCATCCCATCCAATCTCCTGCAATCCCGTACAGCCAAAGGCATCGGATAGCGCGAAATCACGTATAGCCTGGTTCTGTGGGACGGGCCTTGGGGAATTCCCCAGATACCCAGAGATAGGAAGTGTCGTACTGGCATAGGCCGATTGCTGGAATGAAGGCAGATCGGAGCGATTGTTGGACAGGTTCCCACTTCTGGATAGCCGGGTACCGGAGACTTCAGGCTCGTGGCCAGGCTGTCCTCGCTTGCGTTTGGGTGGTTGATACACGCATTCTAGCTGTAATCTTGCGCAGTGTCCGCAGACTGGGTGGACCTCGTCGCATCGGACATGCCGTTGCTTGCATGTTGCGCAGCCTAGTCTTGAGCGAGTGCGCGCTTTGCCGGCTCGCGAACGGCTGGCGAAGCCAAATGACATAGTTTTGCCGAGTTCGGTTAGTATTTCGTGTTGTCGGGCGACTCAGAAACTAGGGAGTTGGTGGGCACAGTCTGAGTTCCATATGGGGGATATTGATATTAGAAACAAGAAGAAGTCCACTGCTGATCAGCCAATGTCATGATCTTACTCCCTTACCCCAGACTGCGAAGGTGCGGGGGAAGGCAAATGAATGCCCCACAGTCACTTCGAGCACTATCGTTGTTGTATTCGACTTATGAAGTATGAAATTATTGAGTACTGTAGAAATCAAATACCAACCCAAATACCACACTCTATTATACGATCAAAATCAAACTGATTGTTTTCTGAGCTGCTAGTTCCTATCTGGTGGCGTTCCAGTAGATCTCCAGGGCTGCTCTACAAGATATAGGGATAAGTTGTATTGGGGTTGCCCCACATAGTGCCCGCACAGCGTCCACAGGCATACAGAGAAGTTTTTCCCTCCTGCAAATGTCTCATAGGAGTCAATTGTCTCGCCTCTGCTGGTAGCTTGTCATCTCTGACGCAGTCAAGACTCGTTTTGTCCCTCCAACCTTTCCTCTGTACATAGAAACTATCGCAATATACAGACACATTGCCTCTCTGTAAAGGAGCGCGCACAGGCCCTACCTGAAGCTACGGTCTAAGACCGCAGCGACAGGTGATCCGTTACGGCCAAACCATACACGTTCCTGATCCCTTTTGACTGTGTGAGGTCACCAATCAATGAAGACTTGATGAACGATCTCTCTCGGATTATTGAAGGGTCTAACCCAGGACTGCTTAATTTGCTTTCCTGTCCGTGAATAATGTCTTTCAATAATTAGGACGTGCCAATAATGCTCCGAAGTCACCTGCTCCTGGTCGGCTAAGTTGCGCTGGGTATCGGATGTCGGGTCTGGCACGCGATATGTAAGTCAATAGCGGGAAAAATCAAGCGGCAGTCATCCTTGGCATGGATTATTTACCGCGGCATTCTGGCCGATTTAGGCGGGGTCGACAGATATAATCATTTTATTCATCCTAATCCCTATAGACAACATTACGCCCCCAGCCTTTCGTGTACAGCATACTATCATCCTGGCAACCTGCAGAGGCCCCCATCAACAACGATGTCGCCCTCCCAGCTGATGTCCATTTCCGCGGGTCCGGATCCGCACGCGATCCCCACAGAAAGCTTCGTCCACGAAAATGATTGGTATAATCAAGACTTCGATGGCTATCGCATCTCCGAGCAGGCGCTATACACCAAGCGCCATATGAGGGTCATCTGTGTCGGCGCAGGTGCAGCTGGTCTCCAAATCGCCTATAAAGCGGAGCGTCTATTAGAGAACATTGATCTTCAAATATACGAGAAGAATGACGATGTCGGCGGCACCTGGCTCGAGAACCGATATCCAGGCTGCACTTGTGATATCCCGAGTCACAGCTATCAATTCACATGGGCGCGAAACCCGAATTGGTCGCATTACTATTCTTCCTCCGAAGAGATTTGGCAATATTTCAAAGATGTCTCCGACAAGTACAACCTCACCAAGTATGTTCAGTTCCAAACAGCCGTGCAGTCTGCCACGTGGGATGAGACGGACGGACAGTGGAGGATACAGATAAAGGGTCCCAATGGCGAGTTCGAGGACTGGTGCGATATCCTGATCAATGCATCGGGTGTCTTGAACTCGTGGAAATACCCCAATGTCCCTGGCCTCGACCTGTACCAAGGAAAATTAATGCACAGTGCCAACTGGGACAACTCGTACGATTTGACCGACAAGACAGTCGCTGTTATCGGAGGTGGTTCATCCGCTGTCCAGATTATCCCGTCGATCCAGCCCAAAGTTAAGAAGCTCACGGCCTTTTTGCGGTCTCCCGTGTGGATTACAACCGGGTTTGGGGCAAAGCATGCCGGGCCGGGAGGCACCAACTTCAAGTACTCTGAGGAGCAGCTTAATAATTTCAGAGAGAACCCAGAGGAGCATACTCAATACTGCCGTGATGTGGAAGGTGAATTGAACAAGCGGTTTACCTTGATGCACGACCGAAGCAAGGACCAGGCAAAATCGCGAACCACTATCGCCAACCTGATGTCGGAGCAGCTTGGACACGACGAGAGCCTTGTCAAGAACATGGTGCCGAAGTTTGCGCTTGGCTGTCGGCGAATGACGCCTGGATCGGGCTATCTTCAGTCATTGACTGAGTCAAACGTTGAAGTTGTTCATCAATCTGTCACGAAGTTGACGGAACATGGCATTGTCGATGAGAAGGGTGTTGAGCACAGAGTGGACGTTGTCATCTGCGCGACCGGCTTTGATACTTCCTTCACACCGCATTTCAAGATCACCGGTCGCAATGGGTCAGAGCTTCATGAGCAATTTGGAGATTTTCCTATTGGATACCTCGCCATTATGGCAGTGAACTTTCCCAACCTTCTCTGTGAGTACAGCTTTTTTTCTGTTGTTAAATTGTGGTCCAGCGCTGACACAATACAGTGTTTATGGGCCCTAATGGACCTTCAAGTCACAGCTCTATTCTCCCAATTATGGAATGGATGACAAGGTACTCTTTCCAGGTCATTGAGAAGGTCCAGAAAGAAAATATCAAGGCTTTTGAGCCCAAGAGGGGCGCTGTCAAAGACTTGTACAATCATACACATGAACTGATGAAGCGATTGGTTTGGTCAGCTCGTGAGTGTTCTACCTCTTTTCTAAGTCCCCGAGTATAAGCTAAAGTGACTTCTAGCATGTCGGTCTTGGTTTAAGAACGGGAAAACGCAGGGTCCGGTAACAGCTATCTATCCAGGGAGCAGACTGCATTTTTTTGAGGTGTTGAAGAACGTACGATGGGAAGACTTTGAACTTGACTACCGCACCGAAAATAGATTCCAGTTCATGGGCAATGGCTACACCGAGGCGGAGATCAGCCCCGATGGAGATCCTGTTTGGTACTTCGACGACGACTTTGTCAAAGTATAGAAACGCCGCAGAGCGTACTTTCACTGTTCATAATTGCATATATCCCTAGTGCCTTCATTTATATATTGCTTCCATGATCTATATGCCTCTTTTCTTTGAATTAATTATTCCGCAATGAATTAGATGCTGAGCTTCATAATTCCCCCACTATTCTCCAGCTTAGACCATGACTCGATATTTAATCTCGATTAACTCCAACATCTCTATCCGCGGAACCAAGCATTCAGTCCCCCCAAATCCGGAAATAAACGCAATACCCGAGAGTCTAACTGCAACTTGCTCGGCTGTAGAACTTGGAAGCCCGGCAGTCGGGTGGGTCGTATAATGGGGAGCCCCTCATCCAAACCTTTCCAACTCCAGATGCGTGACATGCTGTCCCCTTAAGTGGCTGACTTTGACTTTGGCCAAACCAGGCGAGCTAGGACTATTTGTACGAAATGAACACGACGAGCTCTACTCTGAAATGATTTTTTGATAACTAACATCCCTCGTCGCTCTCAGCGCGGGGTCCTGCACTATACTTCGAACTAATTCAATCTCCTTTTCACTTGACACTGGTCGCTCGGCAACAGGATTCTTCTCTCAATAGCTACCACCATGGCCAAACCTAATGCCGCTGGCGAGACTGTCCAGCATATCCAGCATGTCGATTATCAGAGCAAGAGACAATTCAGGACGTATAATGTGATGGTTATCTTCGCCATGGGCTTGGGCTCCATTTCAATGGGGTACAGTGCCAGTATTATCGGCACAACCTTGGGTATGATCCATTATGCATATTGAGGCCATGAAACAATGCTGACCACTATTCGAACAGCCCAACCCTCTTTCCTCGAATATTTCGACCTTGAGACCAGATCCAACGGTACCAGTCTGATCTCTAGCATGAATGGATTGTTCCAGGCCGGTGCATTCTTCGGAGCCCTTGCAATCAGCTTCATCGGTGACCGTTTCGGTCGGAAAGCGGCCATCATATTACCAGCAATCTTAATCGTTATCTCAGGCGCTATGTTGGCTGGATCAGTCCATATCGCCATGTTCTTTGTCTTCCGCTTTCTCTCTGGATTTGGCTCGTTCATGCTCTTGGGCTCCATCCCGCTATGGATGACCGAGATAGTGCCTCCGAAGAACCGAGGGTCCTTGGTGGATATCCACAGTACTTGTCTCCTTCTCGGATACGCTTTGGCTGCGTGGACTGGTGTTGGCTTCTCCCGATACAAAACGGTGAGTTTATCGCGATTCACTCTTATTTCTCTGGTTATTCTGCTCGTTTAACAACAAAATCTCAAAATTGACTACGGGTTATATATTAATTCGTTGGCAACAGATCAGCGCGTGGCGCGGACCGCTCGCAATCCAATGTCTTCCGGCTGTGCTAGTCTTGAGCTGTATGTATTGGCTGCCAGAGTCACCACGATATCTGATCCAAAAGGGGAAGCATGAACAAGCAAGAAAGGTCTTGGTTAGGCTACATGGAGAAGAGGAAGGTGCTATTGAGTTCAACCAGATCAACACTCGGGTCACTGCAGACGCCATACTGCCGAACACTTGGATTTCGCTGGTCAAGAAGTCCTCGTATCGGAAGAGAACGCTGTTTGCGGTGGGATTGGCTTGTGGAATTCAATTTACCGGAGTTCTGGTCATCAACAGTAAGCGAGGTCTCGTCTTGAGTTGCACAGGTTGCTTTCGCTAATCTCATTTAGACTATAGCTCCATTATCTATAAAAATCTAGGATGCACCAGTGGGACTATTCTTTTTTATTCGGCGGGTCTTAACACTCTTGCGTGGGGCTGTGGCATTATAGCCCTATTCATCATTGACTTCTTCCCACGAAACAGGCTGGTTGGCGTGGGCGCTTTCCTTACCACGTCTTGTCTCACTGTGGAAGCCGCTTTAGTTGCTTGTCATCCCGTAGGAGACAGTTCAAATACGACTGCTCTCCAAGCTGCTGCTGCCATGACTTTCTGCTACATGGTGAGCATTTTCCAAGGAAATACAGAGAGCTCGGTTTCCTCCTCCATCGAGTTTTAATTAACTGTTGTTTCCGACAGGCATTTGCTCAGCTCCTTCTTGATGGTACTCAGTACGTCTACTACGCGGAAATATTCCCGAACCACTTACGCAGCAAGGGAATGTCCATCGGTATCGGCGCTATCTCGCTGATGAATGTTATGTGGCTCCAGGCTGCACCAACTGCCTTTGCGTACGTATTCTTTACATTGCACATATATAACGAAATGCATTCGGCTAACCAGCTTGATCAGAAACATTGGATGGAAATTCTACTTGTGCTTCATTATTCCAGCCTACGCTTTCGCTCTTTTCTGTTTCTTCTTCTACCCAGACACGCGAGGTCTGGCCTTGGAGGAGATTGCTGCATTGTTCGGTGACAAGAACGAGGTCGTTCTGGGGAATAGTGACACATTTGGTGATGTGACGCCCAACAACATGAAAGAGGCGCAGTACCTCAGCAGTACCGTCGAACATCTTGAAGGTGTCTAGGCTGAAATTGCCTTACAGCTGTGCTTTGGAGGGGTTTTTGCAATGTAATTATTGCGTTCTAATTTAATAAATCAAACAAGCTGCGCTGAATACTGCATATACAATGACGGTATTGACTTGAATAAATCAGATGTTCCGCAGTAAGATTGTTCATATCTACACCTTGTCAACACAACTGGATGGGAATTACGGAATCTAGATTCTCCTCTTATAGTGGCCCAGTTCTAGCAAGGAAATAACGAATTCGTAGGTATTATATCTCTATATACAATCAGAGCTTCGAACTTTTCTCCACGTCTTCCGAGCCCTCGACTCGCTCTACTTTCTGAATTACCATGGCACTCGCAGCACCGCCTCCATTGCAAATTCCAACAACGCCATACTCGCCAACTTTCAGCTGATGAACCAGCGTAGTGAGAATTCGAGATCCAGAGCTTCCGAGTGGATGCCCCAAAGCGATTGCTCCGCCCAGAACGTTCATCTTGGCACTTGTATTTTCAAGGCCGAGTAGCTACAATCAAACTCTCAAATGAGTTTCAGGTCTTGAAAATCGAGAGTAATGTATGAAGTAAGATTACACACACCTTTTCAGTTATTTTGATGACCGCCGCAAAGGCTTCGTTGACCTCCCAAAGTGCGATATCCTCTTTTTGAAGGTTTGCCCTTTTCAACGCAATAGAGATAGCCTTAGCAGGCGCCAGTGAATAATCCATCGGATGCAAAGCCGCATCCGCATACGATATAATCCGACACAGCTTCTGACTCGGACTGCTGTGCAAAGCGGCCAATTTATCCGAAACAAGTACAACAGCGCTGGCACCGTCATTCATTGATGACGAGCTTGCGGCCGTGATAGTTCCCGAGCCATCATGCACGAAAGCAGGCTTAAGACTCGGAATTTTGGACTCCTTCAGATCAAGATATCCTTCGTCAACCTTGATCTGTACTTTGCCAGCTTTGGTTTCGATCGTAACTGGAGCAATTTCTTCGTCAAAACGACCCTCCGTCCACGCTTTCTGCGCTCTTCGAAATGACTGTATAGCAAAGTCGTCCTGGGATTTCCGAGAAATCCCCTCTTGCCGAGCAGAGTTATCAGCACAGGCTCCCATCAGACACTCATTATAAACATCCAATAGACCATCTTTGATGAGTCCATCTTCTGCCGTCTGCGCACCAAATACCGGACCCTGTGCTGGTCGTGGCAGATAATAAGGGACTCTAGACATCGACTCGAACCCGCCTGCGACCTGGGCCTCTGCAAGTCCCAACTGGATATTTTGCGCCGCAAAGATGACGGCCTTGAGACCAGACGCACAGACTTTGTTTATCGTGACCGCTTCCACCGACGATGGTAGACTGGCGAATAGTGCAGCTTGACGAGCGGGGGCTTGGCCTTCGTTGGCTTGAAGGACGTTGCCCATGTATACGTCTTGGATGGTCTTGATGGGAATATTGGCTTTTGCAATAGCGGCTTTGATTGCCACTGCTCCAAGTTGTGGGCCGGAGAGTGTTTTCAAGGCGCCATTGAACTGTTGATTGTTAGCTGTAGATTCGATTGGGAGAGAAATACTTCATACATACCTTGCCAGTTGGTGTCCTGGCAGCTGCTAGAATGTATACTTTACCTCCGATTTGCTGCGGGGTAGCTTGGCTACTGGTATTGATATTGGTATTCATGATGAAAGGTTTTGAGAACTGAGATGCAGCGATCAGCTGGATAGCTATCTTTGGGTATCCTGACTTGATGTTCTTTCAAATATGGATCATAACTCAAGGATAAACACATAGATCAAACCCGCCGAAATCCATTTTGCGGGGCATTGTGGCCTAGTAGCTCCATCGCGTCCGTCGGCTGTCGGGTGGCATGTTCTATCATCCCAAATCCCGCCCGCCGGCGCACACGCCCGCCCCCGCGTGCGCGTCGCCCCTACAGAATGTATATGTCCTTGGAGAACTCGTCCTATATTAGACGACTCTTCTTATTTCCCCGTCAATGAGAAGGCAAAATATCTTATAATTTAACTTAACCTCTCGGATCTGCGGCTTCCGCGTAGATATGCAAGTCATAGTAAGCCGTCCATCCAGCCCTGCCATAAGATATCTCACGGTTTGAAAGCATTCTGTTTTCTTATATCACTTATCCATTAGCTACCAAATGATGAACAATCATTTGAGGTGGCTGATTTTGCGTTTACAAACTTGTAGATAGGATCACAAATGGAAGATGGCCTGTTTTGGGTTCACAGTTAATATACTCATAGAGTATAGCGTCAGGACTCAAAGCAAGCCTTTATACCTGGCAATAATGCAGAACACCTTTTCACTTTGTTCAAGCTGGTTCTCATGGGTTTTTAAAGTAGTCCAATATCGAGTTCTAACCTCTTTAGGTGTTTTAGTGACCGATAGAATCCTGCGACGCATGTCTCCCGTCTCCGGCTAAAAAAAATCTGCATTGTTCTAGTTCTGAATGCGCATATTGGTGCTGCTATTGCGTATGAATCGGAGACTAAGTTGTCCGTTATTTCTAATCTTTCCTTGAATATGGCAGAGCTGTCTTCAAAAGCGACTCTAGATGTACAATACCCCCAAAACCTATCCTGGCCCGATCGAATGTGAACCACCACATTATTGCACCATGGCTGTCTTCCCCGACTATCTTTCTTGAAATCCGGCTTTTGTGGGAACACCTCCGTGAGGAAGAGGTCCCATGCAGACGCTGGAAGTCGGCTGTGCGGTTCGAGGGGCTCTCTGGTATCCGCTGAAGTTGTGCGAGACAAGCTCTTCTATTTCTAGAGCGTCTGAACCCGGGAAGTAACTGAAGACTGATTGAACGGTTTCAAGGCTCTCTTTGGGGACAAAATATGCTTCTGACCACAATCCTGTCTCTGAATAGAGATTACTAAAATGGCTCGGATCTAAATCGTTGAGGACAAACTCCCAGATTTGTCCGATACAGCTTATAGAATACCCGGAGAATCATATCTACAAGACTATTCAAAATCTAAATAGAAATTTTCTGATAAGCTGGAGGCGCTGACGACACACATTTTGTCAAAAGTAAGACCTCGCTGTTGTCGACAGATTGGCACTGCTATTCGGTGATGTGTGGCCTCAACTCACGACATAAATTCGCGGGGAGAAGCCTCAACGGCTAGTACCGACGCTGTCAGAAATGCGATCACTATTAAATCTCTGCATGCATTTCAGAATTCTACTTAGCTCCTCCATATTTGCATTGTGGGTGGTAAACTTGTATATTGTACGAAACAAATAAGAAATCTCATGCTTTTTCGATTGGGATTCTCCACATACACGTTCTTATCAAATCTATTCTGACTTATTGTTGAAGGAACTCATTTAGTGCCGTCCGATGTCGCCTAATGTGGTGCTGTATGATGATCTCTGCAGTTACATACCATTCTCCCCGTCACACACCCCAGTCAGTCGTGACCGGTCGGCATGCCGCAGGTGCACCACACAAGACTCACTGTTTATATTTGTTCGTATTTGTGGCCACTTGCCATATTGCAAGTATGTCTTGATGGCAAGAGATAAAAAACTCCAGGGGCGGAAGCTAACATAATATTCACTACGAGCAGTATAGAAGCAAAGTGCATGATCTCAGTCAACTCTCCCTTTCAGGAAAGTAAGCTGACCATCAATACTTTCCTTGGAAATCCTGTCCTCCTTCATAGAGATCAAAATGCCTTCCATCCACTCTCAAGACTTTTCCTAGTGGCGCAAGCCTGGCTGCTTTTTCAGCTGCATGAACAGGGGCTTGCTGATCCCAAGATGGGAGAACGAATAAAAGAGGCTTCTTGCTTGAAGAGACCCTCGAAATTGGCCTGCAGAATGAGTTGAACACGCGTTGCGCTCCTTGGGCGCTATTCTCCCCCAGCCAGTAATGGCTTCTTCTCCCCTCATCAAGGCAAGCTGATTGCGATCAGAAACAAGCGCAACGTATTGAGTTTGAACACTAAGGAAAGATCGAATCCAATCATAAATTGCCAGGGCAGTCAAGCAAACTAACACATTTAGTGGCGCCATCAGGCTAGCTGCTCTTCCGTTCACACAAGGGCAATGCGCGATACCGGCAGCAAGATGATGGTCGTCTGCTAGAATTGAGACTACATGCATCCCGCCAAAGCTGGTACCCCATATAACAATACGCTCAAGATCGAAACGACTGGGCTGATGCAGGACCCAGCCTATAACGTCCCCTACATCTTGCAGCTCCTGAGATACACTCATTAGGTTCCTGGGATTTCCATCGCGGCAGCCGAAGTGTAGATAATCGAAGGTGAGGACGAAATATCCGGCATGTGTAAATTTGCTAACGAATGGAAGCAACCCTGCGACTTTCGTCGCACCGATGCCGTGGCACATCACGATGATTCCCGGAGATCGATCCGAGTAAACCAGTGTATTGTAAAGGGAAGCTGAATCCTGGCCTTAGAAACGGAACTGGATATGTAGAAGTCTATCGGAGCCTCCATGTTGAAAAGGCTTAGAAGTGAGCTACGGGAAGAAAAGTTCACAAGTTGGAACAAGGTATTCGTGGACTACTTAAAGCTCGAAGAAAATTGAGTGGGATGAGAAGAAATCCTTTACTTTTACTAGCGCTGGGACATTCACCGTTCCATTCTAACCCATCAGGATCATTCGCCACCCTGAAGATACAGAAACCAAAACGCAGGCGGGCAACCGGCGACTAAATCCAGACCGTGTTGACACAGATTCAGCTTTTGGCCTAAGTCGCGGGGAGGATGATCACAGTACATTAATACTGTTCTCGGTTATTTAGCTTTCTTTCGGATCACAGAATGTGTAAATCTTCCATGGCTCATTGATTTCTGGAGATCTCGGATTATGCCGGTACCTCGGAAACATTCAGAGTAAAAGTCCACTGATTAGCGATCCCGCTAACGGCAAATTCCCAATTTGGTATAGTCTGTCAAAATCTGGGCGTACGACAGTCCCACATGGACGTGTAATTCACGAAGAAATAAATCTCTGATTCAGATAAATCTGGGAATGCCCGACAATTTAAAGGGCTCACTAACTAGTAAATGACTAATACATAATAGGAAATATTGGTGAGGGGTAAAATCCCTGTATGTGATCTGTAGGAATTCCAATTCTTGACATAGCCTAGAAAAGATAAAAGCCGCTCTCAAACTCTATTGGGCCGTTAATTTCTGGCTGGATTCTACGAAATGCGAGTAACATATCCAATACGCCAGAGTTGAGAGGGTCTCCTTTTACTCTATTAAAATAGCTAGTCTGCCTAATTTAGTCTTACTGTCAGCACCAAACGACGTTGAAGAAAAACGTAGTAACCCTTTATAGATAGCAAGACTTCCTCGAACAATAGGGTACCTACAGAAGACCAGCAATATCACTCTTGGAGGCAGCTTGTTGAAAGGTGACGAGAGCTGCGGAATAAGGACGTCGACGCCTTCAATTTGGCAGCACGGACTAGCCAGATCTTTCTAAACTTGGCGCAGGATCAACTGAGAGATCGGGATCATCACGTGCGTTGCCTGTATATGGTTAATACTACGTTTCGGCAATAGGGCCGACTCCGTTCTATAGGGAAGTTGCACCCTCCACCAGGTACATTTTCAACTTTCGATCTGTATCTGACAGTCCTCAATCTGTTTTCTGCTCGTACTCTTCAAGTCAAATGAAGTCGCTTGTTGAAAGTTTGAATATTCTCCTTGCAGCGGACACTGAAGGTCCCGTGCTTGCTTCTTATCAGCCCTCAAGAATTGACCCGAAGCTCTCTTTCTCAGACAAATACTGCCCAAAACCTACAAGTAAGAATCGAGAATGAAAACTATATGCTAGAATATTTTGCTCGCTTCGTTGAGGGTCATTGTATTTATCGTTCAGATATTTGTATAATATAATTGCACATAGGCTTTCCATGTACCATTCACTCTCTTCAACAGGGTTGTTGAAGACGAACCCCGCAAGCCGATGTATCAGAGAGCGAAATTACTACCGCATTTAAGGTAGAAAAATTAATTGAAAGCCAACGGATTTAAATCAACGAATGGCATGCAATGCAAATTTAATGCATACAATTTTGAACCAATGATTTCTCTTAATAATGTCGCAAGAAATGTGCTATTAGTGACATGCATTGATCGTGTTTCTCGAGGTGCGTGCAGTGTCCCCCTTTAAACTGCACCCAAAATTTGACATTTTTAATCAAACGTAGGAAAGGCTCTACTACCTCAGGTTGTGCAGGATCATCGACGCCAGCATACACTAGAGTTCGTGCCTGGATTTGCGAAAGAAAAGGCCGGATATCCCAGTCGCAAAGACTGCCTCGTGAGATGCACCAATCCGGCCCCCACCTGCCAGCATATATGTTAGCAAGCGAAAACAATCATTATGTAGAAGAAACTCCAATGAACAACTATGTAGTATATCCGAGGCGAATAGGGTTAGAAAGGAGAAGCGGGCGCATGTTCAAGTTTGAAACATACATGGCAAGGTGCACAACGTTCCCTGTGTTGGCCTGCTCCAAAGAGCTGAGAAATTCTGTAGGCCAAGGGTCCATTTGGCAAGTGAATGTGTGCTGGAACTCACGAAGCGCTGTAATGTATTCTGTACTCTGTAGAGAAATTCGGCTTTCGATTTCTTGCCCATGCCCAGGGTGACATTCAGCATTCTGAATCACATGCACTGAATTCGCCGAGATTCGACTGCCTTGCAGAAGCTTTATATTACCGCTGCACCACCCGCCCATCCAGGCAAGTGAATTTGCCAGAATAAGGTTTCTCAGGCCGCATGGTTTTCGCTTGGCAGCAAGTTCAGAGCAGATCATTCCACCCCGAGAATGTCCAAGAAGATCGAAAGTGTCGACGTTCATGTATTCGATCAGATTCATGAGCTCATCTATGAAGAGCGCCACTGTCCAGAAAGCAGAGTCCCTTTCACTAAAATGAGACAAGCCTTCGCCGTTTTGAGAAAGAGCAGACTGCCCGCATCCTATCTGATCGTAGATGATGACGGGTATGCCATGTTCACTCGCCAAAGTGGCGAAAGGTCTCATATAAGTACTTGGTATACCGGGACCACCGTGGACACAGATCAGGGGCCGACCTAGACTCATGTCCCCAAAAGCCCAATATTTCGTGAAAAAGGATTCTGAACCCACAGTAAATGGGATTTTACCAGTGTGCTCGATTTGTAGAGGCATTTCAACTCTTACAAGCATCGACAAAAAACTGGTCATGTGGGCATAGCAAGAATATGCGGCCTATCTATATAGATTTCGACAGTCGCTGAGGGATCCACCTTTTTCTCAGCGACTAGACAGCTTCAAAAGGTCCTAAGTCCCCTTTGTTAATTAGAAGGGGAGGTTCCGCAAAAGGCAATTGCTGAGTTTAGTAATTAGTATCCAGGCGTTGTGGGAAAAGTATAGGTAGTGGCTATCAGGTTTCTACTTTGCCACGTCTTGCATAACGTCATCTCACTCATTTCCGAAGTTATTGCAGCGTCGAAAAATCGAATTATTGATCAGCTGCAACCGACCACTATATTATTAAACGAGCCAAGATAGATGACTTACATTCAGCATTATCTTGTCGCAAACGTCAATACTGCTAAGGATCGGAGAAGAAAGGCCAGCTAGTCAACAAGCAATGTTCGAGCCATCGGCTTTTCCAATTTTCACGCTCCGACGACGCTCAAAGCTTCGCTTTCCTGACCCAAAAACGAGCTACTTTCATAATAGAACAATGATTTTGACGGGCGCAACCGGCGGTATTTGCTCCGAAGTCGCACGAATCTTGATCAAGCTTGAGATAAGCACTCTCATTCTCGGGGTACGCAGCCTTGAAAAAGGCCACAAACTCGCTGCAGAGCTTCTTCAAGGAAACGAAGACCGCACAAAGAAATCAAATGTACTAGTATGGTCATTAGACTTAAGCTCGTTCAAAAGTGTGACGGAGTTTGGTCGGAGAGCGAAGTGGGAGACTGGGGGGTGGACAATTTGATTCTGGGAGCTGCAACACAATCGAAAGATAAAACGTATACCCAGGATAGATGGGACGAGAGTAAGTCGACGCGCACATCAAAGCCCGTGATATATCTCTGATTGCAATTATGGTTCACAGCGTTGCAGACCAATTATCTTTCCAGCGCATTGCTCCTCCTTCTGCTGTTACCTGACCTTCACAAGCGGAGCGATGAGATATCGCAATATGCAAGCTCATGTACGGTTCCAGTCGTCACCCATATTTCTTCCTGGTCTATCCTTTCTTCGGGCAAGGCCACTCGAAACTGGCACGAATGGAATCGTTCATTGAAGCGCATAGACAACAGTACAGGCATCCTGGCAGGGATTAACGAGTGCAGGTTTTCCCGAAGTTCAGACTGTTACGGGCTGAGTAAAATTGCACATTTGTATTTTCTACGAGAATTGTGCTCGAAGCTCCCCGCCAAGGGCAAAGAGGAGATTATCATTAACGCCGTCGATCCGGGAACAACGCCGACCGAGCTCACAATCGCTCACATGGAGAGCATATGGCTTAGAACCTTGTTAAATTATATTTCCCGGCCCATTGTGGATTGTGCAAAGGTAGTTGTTGAGGCTAATATCCCGAAGAGAAGCCTGCACGCTCGTCGAATAGTGGATTTGAACGCAGAAGAGTAAGTGATCCCCGACCTAGAGTCCGTCGAGACCAACCCGTTCATGATGAAACAAGATAAACTAAAAGTTTGCAGGTTTCCCAAGTATATGTTAGACTCTAAAGGCCAAATTGTTCAGAGCAGGGTCTGGGAGGAGACAAAACTCGTTCTGGAGCGGTCGTGTCCAGACATCCGAAAATGCTATGCGAAGATAGAGGCAGGGGCGTATCCCTGAAGGTTAACGATCAATTCTTCAAGTTCCCTCCCAGTTTCACCTCCGAGACGAAGTAGGTTCAATTTACGGTGTTTTCTCTGGAGACATGCTCCAAGTGCCTGAGGCGACCGTGTTTGGCACGTGAGATGCTTTCCGTAGATAGACAGGCCTCTTTTGTTTTTCTGTTTCTTGTTCTTCCTCCTTCCAACTTGGAAGTCCCGTCGAAAGTCCCGTCGATTATAGTATTCAGACTGAATACCATCGTTTTCGTTGTTTTCTCTTCTGACCTGACTACCCGGTCACACTGATCACCCCAAAACACCATAGTAAATGCGATATTCTACATCATGATATCTCAACAACAATAGATTAATATGAGATTCAATTATTTCCTAGTACTATTTGGGCCATACTTGGCCTATTTACAAAGATTTAAGAGATTTTGAGATTTGGTAGTTTGAATATATATTGGAGCGGGAAGTAGGGCGCACAATCGCATGTCAGGTCAGAACTGACAGACCGACAGGAGAACCAGGGCAGAATTCGCTCAACACGGAGTGCTTCGACTGAGTAGAATGATGAAGCAATCGAACGTTTGTATATTCTCTCCTGTGTACCGAGCATGTGTATGATGGTCGAATCTAGGATACAGTAGTTTCGTCCTCCAACCATGTCGATTCCCTATCTGTAAGGCCAAAACATATCACGTGGCCGCCGAGCGCCAGCCCGGCTGCAATATCTATAGCGTGTGACCACACTTGATGGGATTTTAACGGGACTGCGCATGACGGGACCGCGCTCGACGGGTCTGCGCTTGACGGTGACCGCGTTTGAAGACCGCGTTTGAAGACTGCGTTTGACAGGTGACACAGGACATAGACTGTTGTAGATAAGTAGAGACTCTTCTTCGGTCTCTTCTTCCCTTTCTCAACTTGGATCTCCCGTCGACTACGTACTCAAATTGAATTTTTTATTGATTTTCTTTCTTGATCTGACATCCGGTCACATAGCGCTTGGTCGGGGTATATTTTTGGCAACGTCGTAAAATAATTATTTTATCTCATTTTAAGTCAGTTGTCAAGAATTGGAATTCCTACAGGTCACATACAGGGATTTTACCCCTCACCAATATTTCCTATTATGTATTAGTCATTTACTAGTTAGTGAGCCCTCTAAATTGTCGGGGCATTCCTAGATTTATCTGAATCAGAGATTTATTTCTTCGTGAATTACACGTCCATGTGGGACTGTCGTACGCCCAGATTTTGACATCAGTCTATAAGTTACTGCTTGCTCTGCTTATCAATATTATCATACTAATAATAAAATAAAATTAATTTGTGGTTAACGTAATTGTACACCGAAAGTCACAACATACCGAAAGTCACACTTTAATCCGCTCACATAATAAATATCGCGATAATTCCACCACAACGCCTAAAATCAATTGATACTACTAATAATCTTCTTCCTCAGACGTCTCTATTACAATCTGACAGGTGCGTGCGTTATGTCCGGTCTCGCCGCAATTGCTACAGCGCCGCGCGCGCGTTTCTTGCCTTGGTTTCCGACCACTACGTGCCTGCGTTTCCTGCTTTATCTGCTGCATAATGTCCCTCTCATCTTGTAAATCTTGTGCTTCCTGTTGACTAAGTGATCTACCTTGCCGTAGACGTGTCTTTTTAGCCCTCCGGCGTTTACTAAGCTCTTCATTTGCTTGTCGAAGGATCTGAACCTCTGACTGCAACAACGCCAATTTGTGCATAATCTTCGACGTCCCTTTCGCAAACTGGTCGACAGCTTCGTAAATTGAGGTTGGAGAGCTATTATTATGATAGGCAATGCGATTCTTGATGAAAGTAGTCTGCGAAGTGGCTTCGATTGGGTTATTAGGTGTCTGAGAAACCCAGGGTTCAGGGGTTCGGGGGCGGGAAGTTGTAGGTGTTGGCGTCTTTAACTTGAGATCTAGTGTAGATATCACACTTTCCGGGTCAAATGGAATAAGTCCAGCGCCTCGGAAACCTCCTTGAATGTTGCTTTCCGTCATTGTAGCAAAGAATGCGCTACGAAAGGCGGGGAAGAAGTCGTCCTTCGTAATATGGGTGATATGAGCCCGCATCATATCCTCGATGTGTCGGCCATATACCTTCTTCAATAGGCTAAAACACCCAATATCTAGTGGCTGAAGGATATGAGACGAATGAGGAGGCATACAAAGGGTAATAATGTTGTTTCCTTTGCAGTATTCCTCAAATTCGTCCGAGTGGTGGCTCTCTCATGGCCATCGAGGATCAAAAGGCGATAGCAACCTGTAGTTCGGGCTCTAGTATGCTTCTCAAAATGCCGAATCCAATCCACGCCTTTCTCATTTGTTGTCCAGCCGTTATCAGTAACAGCGATTACCCAGTCAGGTAGGAAACCACTATTTTGGTACCAAGACGAAAGGTGATTTTTGCCCGCAACAATGATAAATGGCGGCACCGTCCAGCCTTGGGAATTAACGCCCTGAATTACCGTAACCCATTCCCGATTACCAGACTGTAGCTTTTTTGCCTTTATACGTCCCTCTAAGCTTGTGACAACTATTGCGGTAGAGATAACGCCCATCATAAACCCAGTCTCGTCAAAGTTATAGATATCTGACTCCACAATGCCGTACTTCGCGATTGTATTGCGTACAAGCTCAAACCAGCCACGAATGATCACTGGATCTTCGCACTTAGCTCTCTGGTAGTCGCATCTCCGTTGAAAGCGAGTTCGGAGCTCTGGGCGGCGATTAATGAACCTAGAAGCCCAACGCATCCCGACGCGTGGCGCGTCGCGTGTCGCGAGAAGCCGATTTGCCATATCTCCAACAATAGACACTCGGGGAGGGAATCCTTTGATAGCTAAATCGAGGATATGTTGAATAAGGACTGATTCCTCTAGATCGGTCAAAATTCGTGAATTGGCCAGAATATCGCGTCGTGATTGTATACCGCGCTTGCGACGACTCAGCTTCTCGTGGTCCACAGAATAGATCCTCCCTGCTGCTCGAGCGCTTAACTTTGGGTCATTTTGCATAGCTTGAAGGGCTAACATGACCCGCCTTTCGTCATTTTTTTGAGGCATCTTTTGTTGTGGAGGAATTTGGTGTTTGGTGGAGGAGACGCGTGAGCGGATTAAAGTGTGACTTTCGGTATGTTGTGACTTTCGGTGTACAATTACGTTATTGAAATATCGAGTTGTAGAATATCGTATTTTACTATAGCGTTTTGGAGTGATCAGCTCGTTTACATGATCAGCTAAGTTTGTTAGGGTGTTATTAGTTACTAAAAGCCGTCTTTGAAGATTTGAAGTCTATGAACTATATGACTTAGCTTTTGAATGAGAGTGAGTTCTTCCCGCCCTTTAGGGTAAGACCATGGTATACTAAACTATCGTAAGGTCTGCGTATGTACCCTATTGTCCTACTAAATGTACGAGTGGCCAATAAACATACCACTCTCCCTATCGGGGGTAGGCCTAACGGCAAAGCCCCTTCATTTGTTCCAAAAGGCCACGAGGTAATGTATAGTGTCTATGCGGTGCATGGCCTTCCTAAATTCTACGGACCTAATGCAGACGAGCAATGACCAGAGAGGTGGGAGAAGGTTAGGCCTAGATGGGCATACGCCCCATTCAATAGTGGTCCTCGTGTTTGCCTTGGACAGCAGTTTTCCCTTACTGAGGCCGCATATACCATTACGAGAGCATTGCAGCAATTTGACGCGATTGATAGTCGAGATCCAGGGCCGTTCGGGGAGGCACTGAGTTTGACTATGACAAGTGCCAATGGAACGAAAGTTGCTTTGACGCCTTCCACGGGCTGCTGATCGTGTCCTCTCTTTAGAGCGTGGATGGCTGATGCAGTATGGTTCGAATTCAGTTTCGCCACTCTATTAATTTTAATATTTTGCTGAGTCCAATCTTGAAAAGCATTACAATCGTCATAAGAACAGAAAACACCTCGTCCGGAGTCGCAAATTTACGCTATCGTGCAACGTCGGGGCCAAAAATGAGAAGTAAACATACCTCATAAAGTATAGAGAGCTGTCAAGCTATTATACCATTGAAGTCAAGTAGTCTTATGCGATGAAACGCAGCTTTGGAAATATCGGAAATAGTCGTATTTGGCTTCATCATAATGGGTAGATTCTTTCACCTGCTTTAAATAAGGAACTGCATCAAAGTATGCCAGATAATCAAGGTTGCGCACTGAAAGATGCCATGACCAGAAAGCCCATGGTTTGTATTTCGAATATTGCTGTATCGAGCAGCTCGTTTGATGTTCATCAATTCAGAGTTCGGTGACCTTCCAGTCAAAGTCCCGGGCTAATGAGCACTATCTCTACCACATATCTGAAATGACGGTGTATTGAATTGCAGATCCTCAAAATAGAGGGCGGCTATGGAGTCTTCTCAGCAACCACAGTGGATCCTATTTTGGCATTGGGCATCTTACGGTAACGACAGCCACCACAGGCCCGTTTTATTCGGATGAATATCTCTCCAATGGCACCTTCAGATTTCTCTAGAAGGTAGCCATCAATGTAAATCTCTCAGTTTTCACCCTGGAATACCCTCTGGGGTTGTATAACCGACAGATTAGACAGGCAGAGCCAAATTTCTTCTAAGAGCGTGGACGAGTTAGGGTGTTATTGCCTAGGTCACTATAGATTCTCTGGAAGTTGACAGATGTTGAATTGATTTCAGAGCCATTAGTTGCGGTTCTTACGATATGATTTGCTAGGCGACTTGACTGGCTGTAAAGCCACTACACTTTTTGTAGAGGTTTTGCAAAAGGGATTCTGAGATTCGGCCTGTCGATTGCATCCAGTACTACCTACTTAGTCAAACAAGTGACCCAGAGCAGTCTGATAGTAGATATAGCCGTGGTTCTATTTATGACACGCTCGTCAAGATCCGCTTCGCCGTCAAGAGTAAGAATCTATTTTCCGAGAACGTTGGGAGCGTGAAGATCGTCATCTTACGATTAAACAAGTTTGGTGGTGACTCGCTCGCGTAAGCAACTGGGCAAATATTATGACTTTTCTAATTGGTTGATATTAGGGCGGTGGCAAAATAAAAATTGTCCGGATATTCGTAAAAGGTTGTAAATACGAATGCGAATGCGAATGTCTCAAAGTTGCGGATTTGTATTCGTGCCGACCCCTAGTTTCTTCCAATGAATAGCGTTCCGAATGAAATATTACCATCCAGATACATTGCGTCAAATACAATGTGCGATTTAGATCCATGGCGGGCTGGCCCACCATTTACCAAATACGCCGTGGAAGGATCTAGATCTACATAATTGCCCTATTTTGAGAGAACTAGTGGTACTAGTGGCGTTCAGAAATATGATATTTAAATCATGTACAAGTCTAGTATAAGCAGTTACCAGCCGTGGAGCCCATCGGTGATGACTCGGCGCATATGATAGTTTCTCATTGTGTAGTGGCAGCAGGTAAACACAAATAGCTCCCTTACTAGTTACCTATCTGCCTTTTAAATACGCGAAGAGAGGGATGGAGCCGTCAGAACTCGAGCGAACGGGAGCGCATTTGGCTATGATTCAACCGCAATCCAGCCTGAGTGCAGTATAGCTTCAATCTCTCTTTATGGTTATATGGTTCTACTCCTCGCTTCCCCTAAGATATCACACATTCAAATTATTTTTTCTTCCTCCTATCCGACGACACTGCTAGCAGATACTTAGTCCTGCGGTTAGAAACCCAACCCGACACGTCCGCCAAGAACATCTTGCGCAAATTGATGTTCGCCATATGTACGATGGCCAGTAAATGGTGCAGACAATTGATGCCTTTAGGGAAAACAAGATAAACTCCAGAATCCTGAGAGGGATCTGGCCGAAATTTATCATGGTAAGCCTTTGTGCCGCCGATAGGAAGACGATGAAACACATGGCTGTACAGGCCGCGAATGAGACGAGACGTCAGAAACGGTGCATCGGCGATATCTCCGAAAGAGAGAGCGTGCAAGGGCTCGAAACCGAAGCTCAGATATGAAACACCAGCACGGTTGAGCATGGCCATAGCGGCGACGAGGAGGAGATCACTAATACCTTTTGGGCTGCCTGGCGCTGCGATGCAGGGGTCAACGTGGTAGCCAGCTGCACCCACGCGACGTAGGGCAGCGAAGCCGTTGAGGCAGCCGTCAGGACCACTGGTATATACAAAGATCATAAGCGCGGGTAGCACGAACAGATCATAGATGGTTATGAAAGCTTGCTGGGTACCGGCACAATTGTGATCTGTACGCCAGGAGTCGTATATGGCCACCAGGTCCGTCTCCAGCTGGCGATTTGTCCCGTGTATTGCAGGCGCGTAAACCCCGAGCGTGATCCCGCCCTTACAACGGTGCAGCAACTGCTTGCTTTGTGCCACAATGCGTTTCCCACAGCGCTCGAGCAGTACCTCGTTCGTTTGCGGGTTGAGGACACGCTCTGTACCGAATCGTAACGTTGTCCACCCGTGTGCTTGGGCGTAATTTCGCGCGAATGATTCGCTTACTCCCATAAACGCTAACCCCCAGCGATACCGTCGCCGATACAGCGCAAACTCTGCGAGAAGATCTGGAATCGCAGTCATCTCGCACAGTGGGTCTCCTCCCACGATTGCGACCCCGTTTTGAACCTTGAACGACAGTGCTGCGGTGCGCGTTTCGTTCACGAAAAAACGGTAGCTACGGTCTAAAATTCCCCCATTCGCCACTCGCCCGTAGACCCGTATCAGCCGCTCAATTTCTCTTATCTCAGAGAGGTCATCCAGGCTGAACACGTTCGCATGATTCCGGCGCCCAGGCGGGATGCGGGGAGAATTCCCACTAGAGCAAGGATGGTCAGCCTCAATTGAGGCGGGCGAAGTAAATATCTCATTGTGGTAAGGGCAGCTACGCCAGATCTTCAGTGGTGCAGCATCAAACCCCGCTAGCGTGCAGCCGCTTCTATTGTCGAAGTTGGCACACGAGATGCCAGTTAGGGTTGCGGTGAGGTTACTGCGCAGGCTCTTGATGGCAGAGACGCACGATAGCCCCAGATCGTCGTCGAGCTTAGAGTTCGCGTAGAGGTGGTCGACCAGGCTATCCCCTATCTCGTTAAGGAACAACCCTTTCTTTGATATCGGCGTGACAATGTTGGCCGCGTTAGCTCCTCTTCGATCGCTTCGCCGCGGCCGTTTTTTTCCCTCGGAGGTAAACGGAGTCACGTTGATTGTGGGTGGATCTGCAACGCGGGGTGTGAAAGTGCTAATGGAGATTGGCGCGGTTGCCTCCGCGTCTGACGGTGGAGAGTTTGTGGCCATGATGCTTCAGGCGGAAGGAGATCTTACTGTCTTAATTGAAGAGAGGAGTTGGAGGTTCAATCACCAATGGGAGAATTATACGTTGTTTAGCGTAGTCAAGTCATCCAGAAGAAATTAAAAAGACTCTTAAGAAGTAGGGATAATGGAGATGAAATAATGGGAAGAAGAAATGGAGAAACTGGACCGTAGATATGTGAGCATGTCTGGATAACATATCCTCTCATAATTACTCCGGCGCCGAGTCTTTATGCTGTCAATGAGTACACGGTATTGCATGTCCTGTGAACTCCAAAGTAGAAAAAGGACGACACTAGCCAGAGGCGTTTCTGTCGCTAAGAATGGTTAATGGTCCACGCAGCCGCTGAACAGGCCTTATTGGCCCCACTGTCCACGAGATCTGCGCTCAAAGTCCACAATGGTCCGGAGTGTTGAGTATGTTTATGTAAGCACGCTTGATTGGCCTATTTTAAATACACCCCTTGGCGTTACCAGTCCTGACAGCCCCAATTTCCCTTCCACACTCGGTCCCCTCATCAGCAGTAACATAATTCACGGGCGGGTAGGCTGCATGGGCGAGGGGGCCACCGTAGAACACCATATCAAATGCGATAATTTACAACGTCATATTTATGCAACAACAAGTCTTTTAGTAGCTTTTGAATAAGTTCTTACCTAACTAAGTGGATTTAAGTATCTGCAGAATTACAATATTTTCATGTGAGATAAATTTTCGGTACGATGATAAAAATATCTGTCCACTTGCTCTCAAATCGGTACATACTATTGAGGGAGTTAAGATATCGTTCTAAGCAAATTCAGGTCAAAGCAGTAAGAAATTGTCGAGGTGTAACCTAATTAAAAATTTGGCTTAAGTATGGTGTTCTGCGGTGGCCTTTTTTCCAACTGCCACTAAAAAGATGGTTGATACACGCGTTCGGGCTATTGAAAGGAACCGAGCCACTGTGTCGCTGGCCATTCCCCCACGTGCTAACGGGTAGCACGCACAGCCCGCCCATCTCCTTGCCTGGAGCAGATTCGGAGGCATCGACACAGACCGGCTCCTGGATTCGGTGGAACGGTGCCCAAGTAACCCTCTTCGGGAGACTGTCGGTGTACTTCCTCTCTGCTTCCGCGGACTGCACGATTAGTGGGTGACTCTCTGGGAGAGTTTCCGAGAGCATATCCAGAATCGTATCGGTGAACACGCCGGGGCCTGTGATCTCATGCGTCGTCCTCTCATCGTAATGATCGTAAAACTCTCCAAATAGCCACTTCTGCCTGTCGAAATGTTGTTTCGTATGCGATAGCACCCGCACGATCACTTCGCGCAGCACCGGACTGAACCGCCGCGGCGCATACATCGTGTACTGGATGAACCCATACTTCCGAGACCCCTGCCATTGTTTTCCCATCTCGCGCGTAGCGAATGGCTCGTCCGATTCAACCCCTATGATCAGCGAGATTGGAGATTTGGGATTTTGTTGGACCGCCGGGTGTTGCAGCGATGGGCAGTCTCGGATGGGGAGTGCTGGGATGATATCTAGGTCTGCATAGTAGCCGCCATGATACCACAGCAGTAGATACCGGAGCAGGTCGGCGCGTAGGACTTCGTCCGGGTATGATTTCCACCAGTACTCTAAGTCCGGAACTAGGTTTAGGTTTGATTCGATGAACCAGTTCGCCCATTTGCTCAATACGACCTATGATAAAAAGAAAAGGTCAGCAGGGAGATCGATCGAAGTGACCAGAACCTCCGCTCACCTGAAAATCCCAGTCTGCATTTTTCTCCTGGAAATCATGCGAATGCGGGCCCCGGTTGTCTGTATTCTCCCCCGTGCCCAGCAGGATCTGCCATATTTTGTTCGTGGCCCCATTATCTCCGTGTTCCACAGCCACCTGCTCAATATACTTCAAGGCATCTCTCACTCGAGTCTCGTAGTCCACGTCCGGGCTATCGCGATAGGAGGAGTGCCATAAAAATTCCGGTTTGATGTCGGCTTGCGATATCGGACGAATATTCGACGATAGGAACGACTGAGAAAGGAGAAATGCAAGCACAATCACTAGGAGCAGGACATATCTGCGACGGTTCAGATAGGATCCCCACCCAGGCCGGGATCGATTCAACAGCATCGTCGGAACAAATTCGGGTAGCGATGAGGAGTCATTGCAGGTTTGTAAAATGTTGCCTAATTGTTTTTACGTGACGTAGCATTGATCACCACTTCTTACTCATGCGACTGGGGCTATTTGGGGTCCGTTGTGATGCCAAGCGACTCCAACTGCTGCGCCAAGGTTTCTAACGACTTTGGGCTTGGTGGAAATGGCCTGATAGGGTTAATTCGGGTGTGGATCTTAGGGCTTCAATGGCCAGGTGGTCCGTCACGTAAGTAGGCTATTCCCTATAGTCAAAATATGAACAACATCGGCGATACCAACCTATAGAGATTCATACAATATCTTACATTGAGTCTTTGGGCGCTGAAATCAATTTCGCTTATAGTTGCGATACGGATAAGCAGAGGTTGTTCCTAGCGTAACCCGATACGGATTAGGATTGTTCCGTGTGCGGGCCGGGAAACAACGGGGGAATCTGTTTTCGAAATCTACTGTACGGCATTCTTTTCCTTTCAATCCGCAACCGCTGTTCCCCTTCCTTCTTTGCTCAATCCAAGATTCGATGAACTTAAGGTTCAAGCCCGAATCATCATATCCGATTAGCTACTCTTGAAGGAAATCAAAATTCTGATGTTAGCAATCTGTAGGTCCGGAAAACTTTCCCCGCTCTTAAGACACAGACGTCTCACATCATCATGTCCATCGCGAGCTTTTAACTGCTGTCCTGTCTCTCTGAAAGATTCGCTGCGACGACATTCACCGATCATCTTTTCAGCAAGAGTTCTATGATATCCAAGTACCCATAAGACGCAGCCAATAAAGTGGGGTGTTTCCCAGGAGTGTTGTGTAGTTGACATCTAGGTGATCTGCTCAAAAAATAGATTCGCCACCTCAATATGGCCACTCAGGATCGCGGAAATAGGAGAGTAGTGCCAGATATATATATTGATATCCGCCATTTCGAGATCGATATGAACAAGTTGACCAACAGCTTCGACAATATGTTACGATTAAGGCTTCATAGAAGTATTCTAACTGATAATTTTGGTTCGAAATTGAAAAGATATGTGTTCAATTCACGTCGACCATGTGTCCTATCATTCGCCAATTTGTTCAGTTCTTCCTCGGCTAATTTTTGCGACGAAATTTCGAGTTGTACATTGAATAACCTCAAGTCGCTCCGGAAATGCATGCGCATAATATTGTATTTGCTAGAAGTTTCCGCTCACGGCGTCACTATTGGTCAAAAATGACGTTGAATGCCAAACAAAGGTTAAAGCAGAAAGTCTATGATCGAGCGGCCCGCGGTGATGCCACAACTGCCAATCCTGCCAGCGTCATATTTGGTGTAGGTTGTATGGATGAAAATGTATTGGATGCAATAGAAGATAGAAGTGGAAAAGTAGGAATGCTTACCAACAGAGGTAAAGCATTGTTCCAATTTAGCTTTCCGGTAGCGTTAGTGTTCTAAATAGTCGCAATTTCGTCTCTAGCACATGCAATTAGAGTGTGTTTGCTCTCTCCGATATTACGTAGAGATATCTCGGAAGTTGAAACTATTAAGCTATAGACATCGAGGTGTAATACACTTTGATTAAAGGACTATACCAAGTTTATACTACGGACTGTGAGGACGTAATGATTATTGTAGATGAAATAGGCATTTTAGTGGCGATGAATTCACTCTAATGCGGCAATAATCTAGTGAAAGCAATGACCAGGACGGTGCAGATCCGCCACTCCCGCGCCTTCTACCTCGAGACTTACCTCTGACTCGCCAACGGAGGCGGGGCTACGACAGGAAAAATCCTCCGCACGCCTACCACGGGAGGTAGTGGAATTTGGCTAATTGAGCATCTCTGGATCGATCCATGCGAATATACATCCTCTATAACCGTCACGGCTTCTCAGATATATTATAAGGCCAAAGCGGCCAACTACGCCAATCGTATTTGCCATTTTGGCTTAGCTCACCCCACGGCCACAGTTGGCGAATAATGGCCCGCATCTCTGCGGGCATGGCAGTTCCGCGACGCCCGTAATAACGCACTCGGTCCTCACGCCCAAGCTCGGCGATGCTCACATCACAATCCCAGTCGTCTCTTGGGCCGCGCTCAACAATCCAGGAACGATTCATCTCATTGACTACAGCTTGAAGCTCGTTTATCCGAGGCTTAACTGCGCCTTCATAGTGCAGTTTTAGTTCCTTAAGCTCGCAACTGCCAGATTCAGAGGAAGAGATGGCGAAGTAGATTGCGCGGGCCAGGTTCTCGTCGACGGCGTAATTAATTAGTACGTCGCGGAGGCATTTATTGTCGATGGTGAAACTGCGACCGCCATCCATCAGACCCTTTCTTTGGAATGTCCATCGGCCGGAGCAAGGCGGGAAGATCTTAGCGGGAAGATCGTGCGTCTCTGTGTCACAGTGCTCTTCAGAGGTCCTGGTCGATTGTGCTTTGGCGGCATTCCAATATCCTCCCCGGTCGAGGATAAGTGTCAAGTCTTTGAGCATTGGCAAGGTCCCTAAAGCGGTATACTTTGCCACTTCAACTGCATCACCCTGCGATCGTTTGATCATAATCCCAAGTTTCCGCAGCAATGGACATGTGCAAACAATCTGCCGGACTTGAGTGATATTGAATGGTTCTCTTGGGAGCCACAACGCCTTCAATGTCGGACCGTGGTATTGCAATACTCGCTCCAAGGCAATGTGTGTACCAGGAAGCCCCAAGGAGGTCAGTCGTGGCAAACTCAAGATCAACCTCTCTGCAGACTTCCAATACGTCTCGGAATATGGTGGATCATCATAAGGCTTATCAATCTGCAAAATAAATACCTCGAGCGATAAAAATCGACAAGTCGTCGCAAGATACTCCAGTACCATTTGGTCAAGAGCACCTCGTAACTTCAGTGTGCGCAAGTCAGCATAGTTGGAAAGTATATCCTTCAATTGCGGGCTGAGTCGAGCGGGAGCCCCACGAAACTTGACATCCAGGTGTTTCAGCGACCTGTACTCTACCTTGGTCTCGAATGCATGAGGAAGAGGATACCCTTGCCAGTCGTCACGGTACTCGGAGGCTGTGACCAGTGTGGTGAGATTTGGCGCCAATCCCGCGGCTAGGCGATGGACAGAGTCGTATGTGAAGTCCATCGGGCTACCAGACCCGAACTGAGAAAGGGAAGTGGCGTTGACGCTGTAGAGGAGTGGCGAGGTCGCCAGCTCCAGCTCATATGTCTCTATGGTGGTCCAGTCCAGGCTGGTTAATTTGAACGTGTCCAGATGAAGGCGACATTGCGGATGGTGCTTCTGAAGAGCGCGTAGAAGGCAAGGTGGGAACTGAAAAGGACACTTGGAGACGACATCCGCGAGCCGCGGCAGGTCGGCCATCAGCTGGGCGAGCGGTTTGCAAACCTCATCATTAAGCGATCTAAATTGCGTGAAAGCCTCAGCTAGGTATGCGCCCCTTTCATTCCATGGTCCAACAACGTTCTCGCAATCTTTGCCACGTGCGTCCTCGGTAAAAATCACTGGGCTCTTCCAGCAAATACCCTCGGTCGGTGGGGAATCTTCAGCGCCACGACCGTCTAGAACAATGCACTGAACAAGGTGAAATGTGTCCGCTTGTTGGAGCAGGTGGCGATAGCGGTGTACATCTTCTTGGAGAAACTGTGCATTGACAATGGTGAATTTGACGCTGCTGAAGAGGAATACGACAGCGGCTTGGTGGAATTGCTTGCTCACGAGGGCAAAGGCGGGCACACTCTTGTGGTGCGATCTAGATAGCTCATTGCAGATGACCGCGAAGATCTCAGGTGGGAGGTTCGAAAAAGAAGCGGATGTCATATGTGCCAAGATTGATCGAAGAGGAAGATCCAAGCTGTGAACTCTTGCTGTTGCAAAGGACAGGATAAGCGAACGGGTGCCTCCTGAATTGCTAACGTAATCTACATGCGAGCCGTCCACTGTTAGAACTATTGTACCGTAATGTATGCACTTGTGAAACATGATTCAGCGGTAAGAGATGCCTCAAAGCGGCCCTATTGATGAGCGGGCTGAAGGAGAAACACCAAGACACGGGAAACCAAGACCCTAAGCAGTCACAGCGGTAGACAATATATAAATTTTCGGGACTGTGAAAAGCTCCATCTCCATTCGCCATAACGCTGTACTACCACTGGTTATTTGGTAAATTCCATGTATACTTCGAACAAACTGACATACCACACCGGTATAGGATTTTTTCCACAGAAAAGTGTCCTTTCTTGTGTGACACTTGGTTTCCCGTTACGCGACCGCTCACCCTTAGTCCTCAACTAGAAGTAGATCCGCCATCTCTTCGGCATCTAGATGTGCACCGTGCCGTTGCGCTTAACATTGGCCTGAGCGATGCAGGGGGATATATTGAGAGGGTTCTTTGAGATATGGAGAAATTGGGTGCCGGAGAAGATGTGTGGTTAAATACCCTATGTCTGCGTTAATGTCACAGACTTCTACATAGGCTTAATCGGTTCGATGTTATCAATGTGACTAAGACCTTATACATTCTATACAGTATCTATGGATGTTGTCAAAATCCCAAATACTGTGCGGCGTGCAACAATATCCACAAAAGGAACAGTTCCAGTCAAGCGGTGAGATTAGTTCTGAATTTCGCAGTAGTAGCTGCGCTACATCTCTACGACCAGGCCAGCGTGCCAGAAGTGTCCCTCTATGCTTTTCCTCTTGCACCAACGACGTCAACACATCACTCAAGGAAGTTATTGAACCATTAATCCGGAGTTTTTTCGTAGGATTGCCAATTCCGCTGTATGAAGGCCTTGGGTCCAGCCAAGAAACGCTCCATAATCTTCAAGTATGGGGAATATGGACGCAAATACACCTGCTTTACGCCGGCTTCTGAGCAGGAAAGCAGCGAACTTCAAGAAGGACGCACCAGAAAGTCGGGATACATTAAGGTTATCCTTTCTGTTTTCGCTGTGGCTATGCCATGTGCCGTGTTGCCTTATGCGTTTGGCTTAGTAAATGCCCTATTTTTACAGTTTCCCACCACGGTGCATGTAGTCTCGGGAGATTCGGCTCCCATCATGAAATTGTAGTGCAACAGGCTAAACACCGCTACTAGTAGTGACTGACTCTTTGTCTCAGTCTTTCAAGTCAAATTTTGTTTGAGTTTAAAAAAGAATTACGGAGATGATATTTTACTGAGAAGTGGTTCTTGAAAAGATTCGAATAAGGCACAGAGCGGTCGCTGTTCATTTCTTTTAGTTTCTCTCCAGGTTCCATTACGTTGCAATTTTGGGCCCAGCGGTCCCCTTTAGAACCATCGTACAATAGACCGGAATGTGATAAGCACTGGCTACAGACACTTGCTAGAATCCAAGAAGATGACGATCGGAATAAAATATTTTTTGACAAATCATAATTGAAATGTCGAGATACAACATAACGTCATATCGGAGTTTCGACGGCCATAAGCGGCTAAGTCCGCAAGTTTTCGGAGACATCAAGAAGTGCTGCAGCTAAGCTCCCTCCGTATTTCAATTTCTCAGCAACCACGGCAAAACAAGCCGCCGAATAGATCCAGGGAACGGCATATAAGGCCAAGAAATTCCACATCTTTAATTTGAACTAAAAAGAAAATCATCAGATCAAGACTGTCAATATGTCCGCATATAACGCCAAAACCACCGCCACGGGCCTAGTCACCAACTATACCTCCCTCATAAAAGGCAAAACTATCCTCGCAACAGGCGTCACGCCAGGAACATTAGGCGGCTTCTACGTGCAATCTATAGCATTTGCCAAACCAGAACATATTATCCTAGCCGGCCGCAATTCCATCAAACTCGAACAATGCGCCGCAGAAATCACCGCCAAGAATCCCGAAGTCAAAGTCCACACTTTGCAAGTTGATTTCAGCTCTCTAAAGAACGCAAGAGAGGCCGCGAAGCAAGTTAATAGCTGGGATGATATTCCCGTTATCGACGTCCTAGTCAACAACGCAGGCATCATGGCTGTGGAGTATAAGCTCTCGGAGGATGGTGTCGAGTCGCAGTTTGCGACTAACCATCTGGGCCCGTTCCTTTTTACGAACCTCATTTTGGGAAAGGTGTTAAAATCGGAGGCTCCACGGGTGGTTATGATTTCTAGTGATGGACATCGGTTGAGTCCGATTCGGTTCTATGATTATAACTTTGATGTGAGTTCGAAGTTGCTGGATATTGACTTTCTGCAAATTGAGAGTGCGGATGTGGATGCTGATATCTTCTAGGAGGGCAAGACGTACAATAAGTGGTTAGCATACGGCCAATCTAAAACGGCCAATATGTTGATGGCACTTTCATTGGCTACTAAGTTGAGTGTCAAGTATGGGTTGCAGGCTTTTAGTCTGCATCCAGGTGTTATTCTTACCACGAGTTTGGGGGATCATTTGGATTGGGAGAACACTGATATGGAGGGACTGTGTAAGTTGTTTGCGATATTGTTGATTTATAGTGAGCTAACTTTTGCTTTTAGTAAGCGTTGATAAGTTGCAGGGTAATCCTGAAGGCTGGAAGGGTTTTAGTCCTAAGACGCTAGACCAAGGTGTTGCGACGCATGTGTATGCTTCGTTTGATCCTTCGCTGAAAGGTTTGCTATCGATCGTATTGAAAAGCAGGCTTGGAGGCTAACTAGTGATTCATTCTAGCAAATAACGGCGCTTATCTCATCGACACGCATGTGGCTGATCCACTCGAAGATACAGTGAAGGCGTGGGCGACCAGTAACTTCGAAGCCGAAAGACTGTGGAGGCTAAGCGAGACTCTGGTTGGTCAAACATTTGCCTACTAGACCTACATGTACAGATACCTAGAAAATAACTTTTGAATCAAACCGATGCAAATCAAATCGAAGTCCCACAAACTCATCTATTGTATGTGACCAGCCTGGGATGGCGTCCCTGAATTGTGCCTGAGGCAGCACGTGATATGGCTGCTGTAAATAGTAAGAACTCTCTTCGTTTCTTTTCCTTCTTCTTCTTCTTCCCTTCTCCAACTTGGAAGTCCCGTCATACATATCACATCAATTTGACTTCTTCATCGTTTTCTCTTCTGATCTGGCTGCCGGTCACATTGGATGGGATCTTTGATACCTGCGGCCAGTATGGTTACATTTGGTACCTCTGCTCCTCATACCATGCTTCGGTCAATCGACCCATGGTGACCAAGTTCTTTGCGAAGAACCTCGTGAATTTAACTATGTGCAGGACTACCCGTCCGCTCTGGAAGGCCTCACCCTGACGGAATAATATTACTTTGTATAAAGCCACCTTCTTGGTGACGTTTTGAAACTGCGACCGGGTGGCCGATCCTCGGCCTTAAACTGTGAATTTTTGATAAAGCGCGCTGTTGGAGCACCTGTATTCAAGGTAATGTCCTGTCGGCTTAATACGCCCTATTCATGTATTAGAGTTAGACCTATATCTATAATACTGGGTTGAGACCCACGTAACTCCAAGAAAAATACAATTACCATACATGCTATATTGTGAGGCGCGCGATACGTATTACCACGCAGACGCGGCGTTTCCCGAAGAGTAGTAAACAAAATTTCCTTATATTAATTGTGCGATAGTCAACCCGCCTATGTACTTTCTTTGTTGACTACATCATAATTTTCAAGCACACGATAGACATATTTGACCCCCTTCGCTTCACCACGCTCCAACTTTCGTAGGCCGAGTTCAACACCATCCAGACCGCCTGGAATGACCTCGTAAGGATGTCCTTCAAATTCACCCTTCGAGAGTAACCAAGAGATGTATCTAAAAAAAACGTAGGAAAAATCCACATCGGCTTTGACAGATTCTTTATCGGTTGGTTGCCTCGGCATTGAGTCGAGGAACGCTCCCGAGTGAGCTGATCCAACAAAGCTATAGCTGATTTGAACATGAGAGGGAATTTCAGATTGATCATACTTCTCACTTGCTTGAACGACTGAGAGGACACCACCTGACATCATCTGTGACACTGCTACCCATGACTTTTTCTCACAGATAGCATCGAGGGCATGAAAAGCTTCAAGACCTTTTAACGCCATTTTCACGCCGGATTGCATAGCTTGGGTACCATTACGATGGTCCACTAATGCGTCACCTTTACTGGCGTCCAAGAATTTATCAACGTAGTGAAAGGATCCACCTGCAATAGCAATAATCGGGTGGATATTAGAGAGCCGAGCCAGCTTGATGGCGAAGGTGCCCAGGGCCGAGGAGGCACCATATACAATCAAGGGTAGAGGACCTGCATCGGAGCTGCGCTTCATCCATGGCGCAGGAAGGTTTTGACGACGAAAGAGAGGAAGTGCGGCAGCAAGAGCTGTCAGTGGAATCGTTGACGCAGCTATCACACAGTTAGAATCCAGTTGTAGGCGTGTTTGCTGTGACGAACATTCAAAGCTAATCCAATCGGGTATGTGAAAAACTGTCGTGGCTGGTGCCAGGGCATATTCCGCATATGTTCCCCCAGATGTCATCATGACGTGGAATGCCGCAACCCGATCGCCTCGTCGGAATTGTCCAGATGACCGTACTGAGCTTCCCAGATCCTCAACAAACCCAGCAGCGTCATCACCACTATTCCCTGAGAGCCCAGTAGAGATGACATGCTTGTAGTCTGAAAAACGAGTCTTAGAAAGATTTTTATCTCCTGATGTTGTGATTCCCTGAAACTCACCTTTAGGATTGCTTGCTGCCACAACGACACGGATGAGAATTTGGTCATCAGTAGGCTTGGGAACCGGTACTTCATGGACATGTGCTGTGATGAGAGGCCTCGTAGGTGAAACAACAACTTCTTTCATCGTGAACTTAAGATCGTGAGTAAATATAGCTATTTAGTGCTGCCATTTCTAAACAGACAAATTGAGTTCGCAAAAAGCGTTGAATGAATGGTGTTTTATAGATGCATCCCGGAGGTCTCAAGACCGGCTCTAGGACTTTGCCATTTGTGAGATTGATCATCTATGCTATCTCGGCTTCTGAAAGCTCCGAATGATTTGTCAGTTCCGCCATGGGTAACTAACATAGTTCCCACCCGAGCCGCGTACCTACCGCTCCACCCTATTTTGAATCCTGCAAATAATTTACCACTCAACACCGGCATGATCTTACCATCGGGCTAGTTCAAGTTCATGCATCTAGTCCATTTGTGGCCAGCTTTCGGGCGTTTTGAACAGCTCAGTGAGGCTCACTGATTGGTTGATTCAGTTGATTCGATAGCCCCTGCCGCAATAGTAATCCCAAACACGTCCTCTGAATGGCCTAATTCTCAGAGAAATTAGGAAGCAAGGTTAGCCTCGCTGGTGAGAACGAATGGACAAGCACTCGGCGTCTCGTCTCCATCATCTGCATACTAGCGACTCCGCTTCTTTCCATCGATCTTGATTCCTATATGTCTACGCAAGGTTGGATATTCCAATCAGGGTAGATAGATTGTCCTCTCCGAGCTTTAGCTGTCCTTTCCATTATTTGGTCTGACTTGTCATCCGCGTAGGGGCGGACATGGTTGCAGCAACACTAACTCTATCGAGGCTGGGCCATTTGCACCACCCGCATGCACTTTTGTCCCAATCCCAGTATTGATCTTAGCCCGTGAGAAAATGCGAGGGCGATACTACAATCCGACTTCCTCCAACGGCCACTGTAACCATGGTCGCCACTGTTCATCTAACTGACCGTAAATGCGAGTGATCAGTCTCTTACTATAACCATTCATGTACCAGGAACCCTCGAGCGGTAGAAGCAATATGCAATAATGCGCCAACAATATAAGCGCGACGGGATGCCTCTGTTTCACAAGCTCTAGGTAAGCATCCGGAACTCGCGCCGCCCAAACATTTAATGCTACACACAACGAGTAGTTCTTCCGCGCTTGGGCTTCGTGTACCTTGGAAAAAGCACTCGAGAGGAGAGTCAGCGCCGATAGCAGGGTGGAGTGATCAACTTCAAATGGCTCGTCTGCTTGTTTTGCTGCGTCAGGATTGATTATATTGAAGAGCTCGTAGAGTCGTGGGTCACAATAGGACTTGGCGGAGACTGCGCTTCGGTGATCATCTTCGGCGATCATCAAGGTAATGGGGAGCGTTCGGATGTAGCCCTCTACTGGTTTGAATATGTGGCAAGTGCCCCGGATAACCTGCAGCCAGTCCGGAAATGGGTCGTTACGCCCTTGTACGAGCAGGAGGTCGCAGTTATCGTCATCCTGCGATGCGGCCAAGCAGTGCATTATGAGAAGCTGCGTAAAGGCTAAAAGCGAGACGCAGTTGTCGACAGTGGGATGCTGCACCGCGGAGCGGAAGCATGGGAGGGCAATGTTCTGGTGGTGGGCTGCTAAGAGACGGTACCGTTGACGCCTTGAGGGGTTGAGAAATGCGAGGTGCAACGCCGAATAGGAGAGAATGCCGTGTTTGAGGAAAGCATGCCTGGGAAATACGTCTGGTGGCGTTGTATCCCAATCGAGCGTATTAGTTATGTCGAATGCGAATTCGCGGGATAAAGAGGCTTGGAAGTGCTTGAGGAGCTTGACTTCTTGAAGGCCGCAGCTTGGCGAGGTCGTGGGGGAAGTGACCTCCTTGTTTTCGACAGTTGCGTGTTGTTCAGGAGGAGTGTGTCTTTGCGACTCGTACACTACAAAGTATCTCAACTTGTTGCCCCGGAAAAAGGTCTGCAGCCGAACTGGTCGGCCCTTGAGATCCGCCACTGTAACTCCACGATGCTTGATATTGCAGTGCATCTTCATCCGCTTCCCTGAGGCACAGAGGTGGTGACAACCGCTGGCCTCACAGGCAAGGCCATCGATGACGGGCAAGAAAGGGACAGGGCCCTCGTCAGCCCCAGGAAGAACGACATGGTCCGGTTCGGCGAGATTAAGCTGATCGGTATAATTGAAGTACCTCTGCCGGCGAGACCGATATATCTTGTGTATCTCCTTCAGGTGGCGAGAAATGGCAGAAGGCTGGATCGCATATTGGCACGCCTTACATATGAGCACGCGATGCTGCGGTATGTAGTGTAACAGCTCGGTCGGCTCGGTTGGAGCAGTCATGTTGTCATGCAGCTATTCAACTCTGAGTATTCTAGATGGAGCGAGTGATTGGAGAAGAGAGGAGGAAGTACGACGGGTGCCATTCCAGATCTGCAGGTCCAGCTTCATTTGGTCGGAGTGGGTCCTGACGGAGCACAGAACGGTGCCGTGCCGGACAGTCATTGGTGGGCATTGTTAGCGTCACAGAGCGGTGGCATCGCGGCGCCACGGCATCTCCTGTCTAAGATTACGTCCAAGGTTGGCATTATGGGACCTATTGCAAGTTATCTGACGTCGTTCCCTTATGCCTAATCGAGGCAATTCATCGGTGCCGTGCTCACTTCGGCATCGGCATACGCTCCCACCAGACCCTTTACATACGGAGCGCGGTTGTATTTACGACATTCTAGACTCTTTTCGTATAATTATTAATACTCCGTGCTGCTGAACGAGATTGCTAATCATGAATTACTTATAAGATAACTAGACGAGTTTTCGCCCCCTGGCCGATGTTCATATAGCTGCCTTCTCGCCTAAATATTCTTCTTTCACTTTGCCATTTGATAGACCACCACAAGTTTCAATCCAGTCGTCAAGACCTCCACAATCTCCCTTTCTTCTGCCTTCTCGACAGGACGCCATGCACAGCATTGTTATCCTCGGCGGGAACTTCGCCGGCATTAGCACCGCGCAGTACCTACTTAAGCGCGTCTTGCCCTTAGTCAACAACGAAAGTTCGCACCACAAAGTTACGCTCGTGTCACCGTCCGCTCACACCTTCTTCAAAGTAGCAGTCCCGCGTGTCTTGGTATCGGACAAGGTCTCGAACCACATGCCATTTGCTTCCATTCCCGACGCTTTTCTCCAGTACAACTCGGACGAATTCATTTTTATCCAAGGCGAGGCGGTCAGAATAGACGAGACGGCTAAGACCGTGTCCATCAAGAACGTTGGGACTATGAACCGCTTGATTGGATATGATTCTTTAGTCATTGCTACAGGCACTACAAGCGTAAGAATTCTCAACATCTTGTCCCCTTTTCTATACTGACAACAGCACACAGGCTAGTGCAGTATGGACGCTGCATGGCAATCACGATATGACGCTTTCAGCATTTCAGGACATCCAAAACCGACTTCCGACCTCGAAAACAATCCTCATAGCAGGAGGTGGTCCCGTGGGCGTCGAAACAGCGGGCGAAATAGCAAGCCAACATGAGGACAAAGAAGTCATTCTCCTCTCTGGAGGAGCGCGTCTGCTGCCGAGGTTGCAGAATGAAAAGATGGCGACAAGGGCAGAACAACAGTTAGCAGCACTGAACGTGCAGACATTACATGGTATTCGCGTCAAATGTTCAACAGTGGCGGCCAATAAAATGTCATTGGTGTTGAGCGACGGCACCACCAGGTCTGTCGACTTGTATATTGACGCAACGGGCGGCATACCAAATACCGGCTTTCTACCGCCATCGTGGCTTGACGGCAGCAAACACGTCATCGTCAACGGGACTACGCTTCGCGCCACCAACGCCCCTGAAGGTGTGTATGCGATAGGAGACGTAGCGTCTTATTCTAAAGGAGGCATCCCAGACGCCGTTTGGCCTGTTCCCGCTCTCGGATATTCCATCTGGTCCGACCTACACGTGGCTACGATTATGGATGGGTCTGTCAAGGCGGACGCACCGCAATTAAAGGAGGCAAAGTACAAGCAGATTCAGACGGACATGAGTATTGTTCCCATAGGACCATCCGGTGGTGTTGGGGCGCTGTTTGGGTGGGCTGTTCCGAGCTGGTTAGTGTGGCTGTTGAAATCAAGGACATTTATGGTGGAGAATGCGCCCAATGTAGCTACTGGTTATTAGATGGCATACTTGGATTGGATGTAGAACGAATAATTTTTGCTTACAAGCTGATTTATAATATGTAACGAAAGTTAAGAAAACGAAGAAGAGACAGAGGAAAAGTCTCTCCTTATTTACAGCAGTCTTTGTCCTGTGTCACCTGTCAACGCAGTCCAAAACGCAGTCTTCAAACGCAGTTCATCACGCGCAGTCCTGTCATGTCTGGTCAAATTTGGTTTAAAGAAGAGTCTTTAAAGCAATCTGGACACCCCAAAAGTTCTTGATGAAAATGATCGTCAAAGAATACTCCAGAAGATACATGAAGACCTCGAGTCACGTATGATGGTTAGTGGTAAGTGCAATAAGACTCAATTCCTCGACTTCTCTGTGTCGAGGGTCTTAAGAAGTAGCGGGTTATGAAAAGACCATATCTTACACCCGAGACTGCCGCTTAACGCCTTGCGTGGGCAGATAAATATTCTGGCCATACAAAAGAGAAGTTTGACCGCGTCTTTTTCTCTGACGAATATACGATCGAGCGTGGTATCAGACTTCGACCAGATGTTTCTTTTATCCGCTCAAGAGACGAACCAATTCAAGGCGAAGTCAAACCTACTCCATATAAGGGCTACCAAAATCTGCCCGCGCACATTTGGCCTTAGTTGCTGTATTTGATCTGGACATGAAGCAATTTGATGCTGTCAATGCATTTCTGAATAGCACGATTAATGATGATGTCTATACTAGAATGCCAGAGGGATTCACGAATCCATAGGGTTCCGAAATGATTTGGAAATTCAGAAGAGACCTATATAGATTGCGCAAATCCCCTTGTCTTTGCCAGAAAGAAACAACTAAAGTCCTCTTGAAGCTCAATCTCCAGCCCATTTCGGAATGTCCTTGCATTTTTGCGAAGAATATACCGTCATCGTCTTCTATGTCGATGATATAATCATTGTCAATCATCCAAGCGCTTATTATCGTGCAGAGGCAATAATCGATGGCCCCTATAGACGTAGGAGAAGCACGATGATTATTAGATATTCAGATTCTTTGTAATCGCGAGTCAAAGAAGCTATAGCTCTGGCAAAATAGCTATATTGCCCAGATAGCAGTGAAATACCACCTCACAGGAGGCAGAAAATTCACTACCCATTGATCGTGGATGAACTGAAGCCGTACGATGGCAAGGCATCAGAAGATGCATCTATGCCAACAAAAAGTTGGATCCGCACAATATGCCAATTTCTTTAAGTGGTGACCAGTCCGAACATTGTCCTTTGCAGAAAACTAACACCTTTTCACGCCATGGGGTCTTCCGGTCGTCGCACGTTCGTTTCACAGTAAACGTGGAACACATTGTCCTGCAACCGAGCGCGTAGCATAAAAAGCACAAAAGACGGTATTCGGGTACTGTGTTGTTGTAATATTGTTGTAATCGCAATTACTCAAAGGGATGAGCAGCTGAAGCGGTCATCATCGAAGCTTTAAATGATCTAGCTGTCATGTTAACCTTGTGTCCCCGCGGCGCAACTGGAAGCAATCGGCGTACATAGTCAAGGTCATAGAGGAGATCATTGCTATCTGCCATACCCTTTCTACAAATCTGGCGAATATACGAACCAGCTGAGTCAGTGTCCCAGTCTCATGGGAGCTTGCCGGCGGCACTCCGTACCTCTGTCGCGATGATTTCCGTCCACGATCGTTCGAGATTCTTAAAACACGGTTCTCGCCACTCTCAATAATAATAATCATACTATACCTTCTGCTCTATCGCAGATACGGAGCTGCCCGCGCATATAGATATGTATTATCAATTACTTCCCGTAAGTGGCGCAATAGCCCAACGTTTACTCCATCGCCGGCACAGTCAATTTAAACACGTTATTCGGATCAAATCTGGACTTCAGGCCCTTTACCACGTCCGAGTTCGAACCATACGCCTTTTTGAGAACCACATCCGGCGTCTCCGCCTGAGCACCACTGTATAGAGACAAATATTTCGTGGGCAGGACGTTACTCGGATCGGCCTGTTCAATCTCCTTTGCCATCTGTACTGCCCACTTCTCCGCTTCCTTCTTCCTCCTCTCCTCCGTCACAAATGCAAGAATCTCAAGCATGTAGTGTGGCTCACGGGTTGCGAAGACAGACGAATAATCCGACTGCGTCGCTGATGGGCCGCGCAGCTGATGAATGGAAAACATAGTGCATGGATCAATGGGCATACGCTCGAGGTTACGGCCAATTGTCTCAGCCACCGTTTGTGGAATGCTGCTGATGTTGTGCGTGACACTGGAGCCAAAGACGCCTGTTGGGACTAACGCGCCAGTTCCGGTGAACCACTCTGGGATGGTGGTGACCGCAACAGTATTCATAATTAGAGGAACTAGGCCACCAACTTTTGCGCTCCAGCGCTGGCCCTCGTCGATGTCGGAGCCACTCCAGACGAAGATGACGGCAAAGCAGCGGCCAGTTGGAGTGTTCACTGCCGTTTGTTGGATGGTCAGTTGCGGAGGGAGACCTTCAGAGTCGAGGATCATTTGGTAGGCAGCATTAAAGTCCACAAAGGTCTTAGTGATATCAGTGGAGTCGTAGATAATGGTGCCAGCGAGGAGCTTTGGATCGTTGATTAGTGACGAGGCACGTAGGAGGGCGAAGAATGGCGATACCCACGCTAGTGAGAGGATAGACTTTGACTGTCAGATCAATGATCACACCAAACAGACCCCCAGCGCCGCGGATGCCTTGTAGGAGGGTTCTATCGGCTGTTATAATTTCTCCATCAGGGTTAATTACGGTGGCGCCGAGAATCTGGTCAGCTCCCAAACCCCATTGCGAGGAGAACGGCCCATAACCGCCGTATGTGGCCCAACCAATGTAACCTACACTTGGGATAGCTCCTGTTGGCGTGACCAAGCCCTCTTCCCAGAGTTCACTACCGAGCTCTTCTTGCAGAGCGCCGCCTTGAACCGTGCAAGTTTTCCGATCCGACGCGATAGTAACTGTGTTCAAAGCACGCAGATCAATGAGCAAGGCATTCTTAACCACAGAGAGGCCTTCCAAATTGTGGCCTCCCGAACGGAGTGTAAATGGGACGGAATTGGATTTGGCGAACTTAATAATGGCGGAGATGTCAGAGGGTGATTGCGGCTGAACTACAGCCAGTGGATTGTTGAGACGAGCATTGTTCCAAACCTTGCGTGCGGAAGCGTACTCAGGAGATGAAGGAGGGGTGTACCTGATAGTGGGATGGCCTTTGAGGAAGGCCTTTAGGGCGCTTAGTTGGGCGGTGTCTGCCATTTTGATAGAGACAATGGATGTAATAGTGACTGGGACTATTATTGTTTGATGTTGAAGTGGTGAAAGTATCCTCTTTTATTACTGGCACTGGGTTCCTTTTATACGTGGCACTGGAGTCAAAATCCTGGTACCATCATGCATCAGCCATAGCTAGATTAGTTGGTCCGAAGATGAGTTAGGTCGGAATCAGCTCTGCCTCTTTGCCAATATTTGTCTGATATTATAATCAGTGTGGGTCGCCTAATTGGCTCTTGAAAGTCACCTCTGCCTGCATTCGGAATAACCTTTCGGAATAACAGTGGACCTGGTAATAATCAAGCAACCCACTACCAGTTCGTAGGAATTACATAAAGGAGGGAGAAACAAATGTTCTCGACTATTAGATACTCTAATATTATCCAAGTTCCCACCAACCACTAATCGTCGCTAATGCATGATCATCCGAACCTAACTAAGTTAAGTTAAGGTTGGTTACTTAACCATGGCGCGTTAATTTCTCGATTACTCAACTCTCCCGAAATCTTCGAGTCATCGCGGGCCATTGTGACTAATCATCCACCGCCATTTCCTGGCTCGCTCCGTCGATCCCTTAATTCCCGAGCTTTGAGTCTTCAACACTCTGTTATTATGGCAAGTCAAACAGACCGGTGCATTAATTCTAGCCCCGAGCATCGCAAACGAGGACGTCCGCCGATCACTGACAAGCCAGAGTTCCACGAGGTAGGTTGTAACGATCAAAGGAAGGGAGTGTGGCTAAGAAAGGCAGCGACGGCGCAGGCAATTACGCTTGGCTCAGCAAACTTATCGTCGTCGAAAAGAGGAGACTATCAACGATTTAAGAAGACGAGTAGAAGAGCTGGAAGGTGGCATTGAAGAAATCAGCCATTCCTTTCTTGATATCAGCAAACTACTTCTGGAGAAACAAATACTTGAGCGACACCCACAGATAACTTCAAGTTTGCAAAAGATTACCCGACAATGCACGACGCTCGCGCAAAATGTAAATGATAACATCAACCGAGAACTCTCCGAAGGGCTCGAGGGACATGTCCAGCGCGACACGACTAGTGATGAGCAAGAGACGAGACAAGGTGCGGTGCAGGATCATCCAAGAACAAGCATGGGTACGAGCTCAATGGAACCCCGTTCAAAATCAACCAAATGGATTGTTGAATCCTCGGTACTGCCTCCTGCAATGTCGAATGGAGAAAATCAAGCACCACCGGATCCATGTCCCAACACTCGCTGGCCCAAGCAAGTCCGTTCGCTGCCTCCACCTTCCGCCGATAGAGGGCAGTGGGGTTTTGCACAGCATCTGGTACGGCAATGCGGCCTGGTCATATATGATCTACTGGTCTCTTCATCCAGATATGTTCTACGAATTCAAGAAGTGTTTGGGTTTTTTCCATCTCCGCCGGACCACCACCAGATGATCACCTCCCTCTACCGTATGATACATTATGGGGACAACATTGAATTTCGAGCCAATATACTCAGTTCGCTGCGCACCGCGCATACCACCTACAAACTAAAACAGCTCGAATGCTCGCCCAGAGCGTGGGAATTTGCATGCTCTCTTGAGTGGCTAGATGCTTGCGAGGTGCAAAAGTTCCTGGGCGAGAAGGGTATTCATATCCAAGGGAATGCTTGCTCCGTGCTTTATGACTTAAATCCTGGCCTGACTTCTTCCCCACCACTACACCTTAACGTTGCTGCATTTATTAAATGTAAACCCCCCGTCGAGTCGACAACACTTGATTACGATTGCTAACACCTCACAGATCTGTCTTTTGGGGCCATATGCGCCCGCCCTGGGCCGGTGTTTCGACGGGAGCATGTTTCGAATGCTCTTCGCTTTGCCACTGTGAGATGCATTTGATATTCTATGAGGGAGAAAATGCTGTATTGGCGTTTCACCATGCGCTAAAACGCTGATGGGTGTTGTGATTACACTTGTGTTAACTTAGCACATGGCCTCCGCCTCCGCCTCCGCCTCCCAGATATGTGTAGTAGTAGTGTTCAATTATCCGATTTAGCTTGCCTTAGGTACAGCTGTTATGCGGGAGTGCAATCAGGCTGCCCGGCAATGAGAATGGTGCACAGCACCACAGGGTAGATTGTAATGGTGCAAACAAAACAAGCAAAATAAATAAATACGCAGACAGCGAGTATGTGTGTCCATTGAAGGGGGCTCCGGCGGATATTCTGACTAGCTGGTTAACTAATTCAGCACATTAATAAGCGCAGTAGAAATGAAAGGGTGTTTGGTATCATTTGTCCACCCTGTAGACATATCTCAAACGGCTATTTATCAGCTCAGAAATGACAAGCTGCTGAATTTTTCGGGTTGATCAACTCCCTCCCTTTTTGACAACTTTGTAGCTCTCATATCACCGCTGTGTTTGATTTGACAATGCTTTGAGCACGTGGGATTGCAACTTGATATCAGGGCACAAATCACAGAAGAGGCGAAGAATAGGACAAAAGTCCTATACTAGGAACAGACCCAGATTGCCAGAGCAAAAGAGAATGTAGGTCGGGTTTGTGGGGCATTCATTAACAACAACATAGACGTTCGACCTTTATACCACAGCCTTTGTCCTGCAATGTCACAGACACTATCTAACCAAAGTATGTTTTTTACACAGCTTTTAACTCGGGCCCATTCGCGAACGCCACTTGCATCGGCCATTGGTCCAAGTAGGGATACAAACCAGAATAAATCCCGTGTATTGACTGCGGCTATGCCACCAACTACAAGGATCCAGAGCTGGACCCTTTTGGCATGGACTGATAGACGAGACAAAGGGGCTTGTTGATGCTCAAGCTTGAGCATTACCACCAGGCGTGGCTGAGGCGCTGTCTCATAAGGCAATGGAAAATCCGCCCCAATTGAGAAAACGAGACCACAAATTCGGCAGGCATCATACCAAAAACCGCTTTCCGAAGACAACTCAAGCAGTTCCTTGCCCGAAGGGAGACACAACATAGTGTGCTGTATTAGATTTCGCCTGTCTGCAATCTCGGCGAGTCGTGTCGTCAAAAGTTGCTTAGCATTTTTTGGGGTCTTCGAGAAAGGATAAGTAAGACTTTTATCGCCTCAAAAATCTCTATTAACTGCCGAGTGAAGCCAATTTTGCGGTATTGACCAAAGTCAAGTTCCGTATCTTTCTCACCCTGCTTGAGCTCTGCTTGTAATGTAAATGGGTGAAAATCTTGTAAGGGAAGACGGAGAATTGTGGGCGAGAAAGTCTCTTGCTCGCAGCTAAAATACAGAACTATAGGCGTCAGAATTTGAAAGATATCCGAAATTACGAATATATTTCGAGAATCGGCGAGCTTACAAACAGATAACTACAGCAAGTCCAGAGAGTTCAATGCTCTCAAGACCTCCTCTGAGCTGAAATCAGATGATATAATGATAGAGACCAATGTGGTATGCAGCATTGAATGAGGTGGCTGCGGACATGTCCAGCCAGTATAATTGGCGTAACGACGGCCTGAATGGTGATACCCCTTTGTGTGTTATCTTGATTTCATTACAGCTGTTGTTAATCAGGCAGAGAGCGCTCAGAATCAGAGAATCGGTGATTGACTGGTAAGCGGTCCCTATGGCTTGATTGATAATCCGGGCCGATTCCATCTCCAAGAAAATAACACTTCCTTCTTTTCCAGTCGGCACAATTTGGCGGTTGATGCTCTTAGAAGCATCACCATATGATTGTCTGTGCCGTAGTGCACCAAATGACAGAGCGAAACAGGAGGATTCATCCACCATGTAGCAATGAGACCACGCACTTGACACGCACTTGCGATGGCGGTGAGACTCAAGAGGAAGTCGTAGAGCGCCATAGCAGAGACCTAATCGTTCAGATCACGAAGGAGAGGAAACGAAGTGGAGTGAGTTGTATTGACTGAGTCATCTCCCAGAGGGAAGGTCTATCTACAAGTCGTCATTTGTGTTTCGCTTGATCGACAGGTCTACTACCATCTCAAGTAGTTAGTTGAACGGCTATGACTTTGTATGTGGTTAGGTTTCGGTATTTAGTAGAGATATACTTAGCCAAAAGTTTAAGTAAATTTCTGACGCATATTGCCAATAGCCACCTACAAGCCTTGAAAACTCCGCCCCCCATTTGCACTCCCACGAGTGAATTCGAGTGGAAATGTATGAACATTCGAACAAGCATCTAACCTAGCCTCTCTCTGTTTGGTGTCCTCGCTTGCGTTTCCCAAATTCAATATGATCTTCGACGCTATATGTCTAAAGCTGTCTTAATCGATAGATCCGGCCGCACGGATACGGAATGCACGACTTCTTTTAGAGCTGCTGATTTAGCTATCTCTAGCGTAGTAGGTACAACTGAGGGTATGATGGGTTCTTTATCTTTAGGATCATTTTTCCTCTTCTATGTCTTCCAAATTATAGAGCTGCGAATGAAGCCATCGCAGTAGTGGAACTTGGTAATATGTTTTTGGCCAAACAAACATATCAATGTACATTAGGTATGTCTACGTTAATAAGAATGTTCGCATGACATCGGAAAACTTATAGAAAGACAGGTGCTCCTGGCAATTTTACTATTTGGATTTTGTGCTTTAAAGAAGACACATGCGCTCGTACTGCAACATTGTATAACAAGATTGGTGATCGGTAGATCTGCGCGAGACCCAAGTACCTGCGAATCTCTAAAAAACCACCACAGACACAAACCGAAAGTCAAGGCATCCCGTCAAATCTCGTCACTTTTTCATCGCCCAACCCGTCCAAAAAGCTGTCCTTTCGATGATGAAAGATCTCTAAAGCCATCTCCGAAAGCTTGTCCCGGTCATCCACTGTCCCGATCTTGACACAAATCATTAGCTCGTTGATCGTCTGCGAGGTCAATGGGCTCCCGCAATTTCCACAAAACTGGCGAAACACTTTCTGACCGGTATTCGAGTCCCCTATATACAATTTGGGCTGGTTGGTTCCAGTGAAACGAAGGGCGGTTTCGGGAATTATGATGTTGGAAGAGAAGGAGGACCCGCTGTTGCGTTTGCAGGTAAAGCAGTGGCAGAGACCGACCTATTCATTTGGCGAATACCGATATCAATAATTTTCGTTTAATTTGCTTTATCTAAACTGATTTTCATTACTAGAATGATGACAATAATCGCTCACCTTTGGGACTGGCTGAGACTGAGGAAGATCAATGCGATAGCTCACTTGGCGGCACAGACAGGAGCCGGTGAAGGCCGTGTGAGACATATTGGGCTTCAAACCTGGTGTCTATTATTGGTATGTATCAATAGTACCTGTGCCGAAGAACTAATTCTAGGATCCGCAAGTATTTATTTAACACTAAATGTCTAAACTTCAAGCGAGGCCAATCCTCTTAGGGGTGTGACTTTACTGTGGGCCATGACGTCCGCTATGATAGTTACACTGTGTTTAAATGCCTCATAATCCAGATTGACGAGATTAATATGATATATCGTTATTTCGCTTTCCTGTCTCGAGCAGCTGACGCTGAGGCGGCATATTAGGGGTTCTAAGCCAAAGCTGTCAGACATCGTTATCGCCAGCAGCAAGGTTTAGAGGACTTGAGTGCAAAGTAAGTACAGGATCCTGTTGGGTCTGTATAAATTTTACCACCGTCGGAGAGCTTGTTTCTGGTCCGGCGTGCGTATGTTCAATGTCCCGCAGCCACGACATCCGGTGATTAATTGATGACATAAGTCCCGAACAACCGGAAGTGTCTCATAATCGCTTAGCATACTCGGAAAGATTACTAAACCGAAGAATGAATATCCAAACTCACCTGGCTTCATCTCAACTGATCTCTCATCGCTGTGAAATATGTGAGTACAAATCCGGACTTCAGGGCGGGTGGGATATCATTGGTTGCTTCGAAACTTTGGGCCAATTGCACATCCTGACCACGGGCATGTCTCCTCGTCCGTAATCGTGAAATAGTGGTTTAATAATCGTAGATTATTGCAAGTAACTGCTCTCGAAGAGCAGTAGACATGATTCGAAGGTCTTACAACCGGATCTTCGAATTAAGTCTCTGGAAGACCTGTAGTACCGTACCCACATACCCTTTAGGGGAAATGCTCCATCGTCTTCTTACTAATATACGCGTGTATTAGTTACGTAATCCACAGACGAGCCGTCCACACAAGCGACCCGTCCATTTTCTCCACAAGTATAGGATTTTGAAAGATTTCAACCACAAAAGACAATTAAATTGGAATATCTAAAAGATGAACCACATAGTTACTTATTAGGACAAGTTATTATAGTATGTCCAATAGTTGTGCAGCCACTACATCGTTGTGGAGCTCGCTGGTTTGGCCTAGGTATAGGCTCATCAACCGGCCCCTGAAGCTGCGTATCAAGCTGTTGAACTCGATCCTGACCTTCCTGTACAAATAAAACCAGATCATCACCAATATTAGCACGCCCCCTTGCCCTCTTTTGCATTTCCGCTTATTCTCACCCCGTAGAACCTTGATCTCTTGTTGAAGAAGAAGGTTCATATTCATTGCCATCTGTGCGGCTTTTTCAAGATGTTGAATATGAGATACTAGACTACTAGAAAGCATTCGTTTACGAAGACTTCTCTGTAGACTACGGACCTTGTGATCGAGTTGGCGAGGATTCTGAGGTGTTTGAAAAGCAGAGGAGATTGAGCCTTCAACGTCAACAAGAGGTGGTGTCGTTGTCCAAAGCTAGAAAGTAATTTTCAAGAACCCGATCTTGATTAAGCGGGTTAAGTCCTGCACCTGCAAAACCACTACGTATATTGTCCCTAGTAAACACCTTTTCGCGAGTAGGTGGATAGAGAGACAAGAAATCCTCCTTGTTGATATGGTTGTTGCCGGCAACCATCATCTCTTCTACTAGTTTTCCATATGCGCGCTTAAGTGGGCCAAAAACACTAGCATCGCATGGCTATAAAAAGGTGAGAGTTATGAGGAGGCGTGCAAAGGTAGATTATAGCATGCTCTTTATAGAATCCATCAAAATCTATAATTAAATGTGTGGAAATACGAAAACTGTCTGTATTAGCAAGTCAAAAGCCCATGGTGCTTTTCGGTCTAGTGATATAGCATTTTTGACAAAATGACTGCTATGACCGCCAAAAATAAGTAATCAGTCGCTTTGCAGTAGTGGAGTACCGTTTCTATTGCGGTTCTATTATCTCTTTAAGCCAGTGAAGATCTATTTTGTTTGTTGTCCAGCTATTCTGGCTTCATGCAATAGTTTAGTCCCTTAAGAAAGAATAGATTCTTGATAGTAAATACCTTGATATTCTTTTGCTTTCAAGATGAGGAATGGCGAAATATGGATCTCTTTCAAGCTCACACATTCGACAATTGTGACTTATTCACGATTCCACTAAATAACCCTCCGAGGTCTTTCACTGCGTTCTGTCGATAATTAGAATTCCTACACATCACATACAGAGATTTTACTCCTCATCATGATTTCCTAATTGGTATTAGTCTAGTATTAGTTAGTACGCCCTTAAATTGTTGGGCATCTACAGAGTTATTACAATCAGAGATTGATTTCTTCGTGATTTGCAATTCCATGTGGAACCGTCGTACGTCTAGATTTCGACATAATCTACCGCAGTAATAACCTTAGAGGTCGAATAGAGTCCCAGAACACGGCCAGTTTCGTCAAAGTTCCAGATATCACTCCCATGAATGCCATGCTCTGTGACCACACTTGATGGGATTTTAACGGGACTGCGCATGACGGGACCACGCTCGACGGGTCTGCGCTTGACGGGACCGCGTTTGGCATCACTGCGATTGAAGACTGCGTTTGAAGACTGCGTTTGACAGGTGACACAGGGCATAGACTGTTGTAGATAAGTAGAGACTCTTCTTCGGTCTCTTCTTCCCTTTCTCAACTTGGATCTCCCGTCGACTACGTACTCAAATTGAATTCTTTATTGATTTTCTTTCTTGATCTGACATCCGGTCACATGCTCCTGAATAACTCCGCGTACGGTCGCAAACCACCGTTATATTATGACCTTTGGTTCCTCCTATTTTGCAGGTTGATATGATATGGGTCGGTTATATCGCGTACGTAGTGCTAGATGGAGCTTGATAAACTTGGATGCCCAGTTGACACCAAGATTTGCAATCGGATCCTATATGCGCTCACAAAGTAAATATTGCGCCATTCGGCGCAGAAATTCAGGTCGAATTGAAAAACCACGTTTATTTATCAGCGTCTAGTAGTTGCTTAGTAAGAGCCTCTTCTTAACGTTACAGGGAGTGTTATACTGTGGCCGTTGGTGCGCGTTTCTGTGTAATTTCACGCCACGAAGCCGATTAAGCAGGACAGTTCGAGGGACACCAAACATCGCAATTGTTTCTTTTTATAGGCAAAAATAGCCATCTGAACTTGAAATTCTTGAGATAGAGGCAATTTCAATTGTATTGGTGACGAAATCGCGCTTTGATTAATATGGACGCGGAAATTCTGGCAGATGCGGAGAAATTTGACTACTCGGCGGTTGTTTACGTTAATGCCGAGCGTCTGCTCGATGGCACTTGCCAAGGTTCCCCGCTCACAACTCCCTTCTTTCTTTTAGACATTTCACCTCACCTAAAGTGACTACGTCTCACGCTCTGTTCCATCCATGGCTTTCTTCCTCTCGAGCTTTACTGTTGTGTTAAGTCTGCTTGACATAGCATCAGCTGGCTGGCAGAACATCTCTGCAAATTGTCCTGACTATGCGACGTATGCGACGCAAAAACACAACCCCTTTTCAAAGGGTATACTCCAACTTTCCAATGCGCGACCTGCAGAACACTGCAGGACCTTCGTGTCGCCTGGTGTTGAAGCCTTGATCCACAACATCACCTCGCGAATGGGCGACCCGGATCTTGAGCGGCTCTTTGAAAACACATTTGGCTCATGCGTCGATACGGTGATCCGCTGGAAGGGCGAGGCGGCCACGGGCGAAGAGCTGTCCTTTATCATCACGGGAGACATCGACGCCATGTGGCTACGCGATGCTGCGCAATCATTGCATCCGTATCAATCGCTGGTTGCGGCCAACGACGATATCGCCTCTCTTCCGAGGCGCCATCAACATCCAGAGTCGCTTTCTCACTGAAGCGCCCTACTGCAATGCCTTCAAGCCGCCGCCCGAGTCCGGATTGCCTCTGCCGGCGAATGACTTTAAGGGCAACGTCACTCCGGTGGTCAGCAACCACACAATATGGACACCGTGCCAGTTCGAGCTAGATTCGCTGGCAGCCTTCCTGCAGCTGAGCCACGACTACTGGCAGGCGACGCATGACATCTCCTTTTTCCAACAGGCAAGCTGGCTGCGGGCGATCGATGCGGTGCTACAGACCATGAACAGCATGAAGGTGCCGTCGTACGACCCCATGACCGGGGCGCCGAATGAACACCAGCCGTATCTCTTCATCAGCGACGAGCCTGGCTGGGGCTCTCTGATCAACTCGGGCGCGGGCGAGCCTTTTCAAGCAGGGACCGGCCTCGTGCACACGCCGTTCCGGCCTAGTGATGATCCTACTGTTTTCACGCTGCACATCCCGGCTAACGCCATGATGTCGGTGCAGCTCAAGCAAACATCCGCCATTCTAGGGGCCACAGGCAGCAATAAGACGCTGGAACACGTGCTGTACAACGCAGGCGCTAGCATCGAAAAGGCGATATACCAGTATGGCCTCACGCAGCACCCCGACCATGGCACGGTATTTGCGTACGAGGTGGACGGATACGGGTCCTATAACCTAATGGACGACGCTAACATCCCGAGCTTGCTGTCGCTGCCCATGCTGGGTTTTGTCGACCGAACAAACCGCATCTACCAGAACACAAGGAAGATGCTCCTCAACCGACACAGCAACCGCTATTATACGACTGGCCCTGTGATCTCCGGGATTGGTGGCCCTCACGTGGGCCCGAAGAACCCGTGGCCCATGGCGCTGTGTGCCCAGATACAGACTTCTACCAACAGAAGCGAGATTGCGGAAGTTTTACTTATGTTAAAGTCCAGTACCGCGGGTCTGGGGCTGATGCACGAAAGTATCGATATCTACAACCAGACGGATTATACGCGTCCATGGTTTGTGTGGGCCAATAGTGTCTTTGCCCAGACGATCCTGGATGTGGTCGACCGCTTTCCCGACCTCCTCTTTTCGGAAGAAACATGAGGATATGACCGGGCGTCTAACAGGGAGAAAACCAGGAAAGATCAGGAAGTCATATTGGGTACAGTGGTCGACGGGACATCGAAGATGGGGAAGAGAAAGAAGAGGGAGTGTGACCAGACATGACGGGACTACACTTGACGGGACTACACTTGACGGGACTACACTTGACGGGACTACACTTGACGGGACTACACTTGACGGGACTACACTTGACGGGACTACACTTGACGGGACTACACTTGACGGGACTACACTTGACGGGACTACACTTGACGGGACTACACTTGACGGGACTGCGTTTGGCATCACTGCGATTGAAGACTGCAATTGAAGACTGCGCTTGAAGACTGCGATTGAAGACTGCGTTTGACAGGTGATACAGGGCATAGACTGTTGTAGATAAGTAGAGACTCTTCCTCTATCTCTTCTTCCTTTCTCAACTTGGATCTCCCGTCGACCATAGCACTCAAATTGAAAACAACAGACCCAGAGAATGATTATTAGCCAAAGATCCATAGAGAGATGACCAGAACAGTGGAGTGAAGCAGAGCGAAAAGCTCTTTTGATCACTTAATGTTCACTTAATGCGCATTGCTGTTCGTTACGATTTTAGAATCTAGGGCCAATTCAACAGCAGCTTGTGCATGTGCGATGCTGGTATTGATGATGGGCACCGCACTGTCTTCCTGGTTCACCAACATGCCGAATTCAGTACAGCCAAGAATGATGGTCTCCGCCCCCCTAGAGATCAAATCGGCAATCGCGGCTCTGAATTTGTCGCGTGTTTCGGGAAGGAAGATTTTTTTGTAAGCTCTTGGTATAGTGCGTTGTGGACGTTTGATTGGTGCTCTCCCTCGGAACCCAGCACCTTCAGACCATACTTATCTATCAGGCGGCCAACAAAGTAAGTTGCGGTCATTGTGTAGCGGCCACCAAGAAGCCCAACGGTGGTGATACCCGGCGCCACCACCTTTTGAATATGAAGCATTGTGAGTTCTGAATTTTTCATGATATAAGCATCGGTCGTGTGGAGAGTGTTGCATGCTAGAAGGAAAAAGTCCGCGACCAGCTTTCTTGAGTTTACTGGCCTCTCCAGCAAGCAATCTTCCGATTTCATCCCAATTGCCATCTGTTTGCGCTTGTTCGATGAGTGCAAAGTCCGTCTGGATGAGGATCAGGTTTGGTGTGTGTAGTCCATCGGTTTGAGTCTGCTTTTTGAAATATTCATTGATAGTCTTGTAGTAGACTAAAGTGCTTGGCCACGCAATGCCACCAACAATGCCGATTGTCTTCATTGTGAACTTGACCCCGTTCGTCAGATGCGGGTTGCACTCGATTTCGGCCTGAGACTTACTGAATGGTAGGTAGAGATGGTAGTGGAAGAGGCTGGTCGCGGAAATCCTAGTCTTCGTTTGATAATCTTAGGTGATGAGATTAAGTTTGGGTCCCTCACCGGAGGCTGGTATTTTATCTTAATTGATAACGCCCGTGTATAAGTACCCACCCGAAGTCATTTCATAACATTCATCCATGAGAGGGTCGTAATTGGATGGGGCCAGCAGTTCAATGGTATCTCCGTTCGGCACCCGCATGTCCGACTTTGAAGTTCAGAGCAGCCAACCACGTCTCCGAAGCTCAGCCAGATACCTAATGCCTCCGATTATGTCCGAGCGCCCCTCGGCTTTTGTTATCCGCACTTTAAGTGCATTGGGAGTTAATCAGCTGGTCCGATAAGTCTTTGTCGGAGAAGAAGTCAATAACTTGAGACCATTGCTAAATTGTGAACCACTGACCTTGTCCGACGGGGATATTGACAAGCTTGGGCATGGAGTTGAGAGGATCAGGAGCATTGATTCATTGGGCGCCTTGAATCCCAACTTTCTTCCCGTTCCAATCAAAGCTGGTCGGGTATAGAGATATTGACCTGGATGGTCTTTCGGGAGCCAGCATGTCCATTGAAAATACGTCAGTCCTCTCGTTTCATGTACAGAAATTATCAGTCAGGCTGACATCTCCGAAATGACTCACGAGATCCATCGATTTGCAATAATTTCTCGACCAGGAATTTCAGTTGGCCCGGACCAAAAGGGGGCAGGGAGCCACGCTTTCCGCTCATATTGAGTCGTTGCCCATTACAGTCAGGTTGGAAGAGTCGCAGTTTTTTGTCATATCCTCGGTAGACCTTCATGCCCTCGAAGCATTCGGTGGCATAGTGCAAGCAAGATGCCGCAGGCGAGATATTTAGATCTCCGAACGGCCTAATCTCCGGGATTTCCCATCCTGTGGCGGATGCCCAACTCACAACTACCATGTTATAGGCTACTTTGCAGATGAATAGCATTCAAGAGCAGCTTATTAACATATGGGCCATTGTTGACGAGGCTGTCCATTATGGCAGGGCGATAGGTGAGCAGGTATGAGAGGTGTTGGCGATTCCAGTGCAACTCCAAGAGATGCAGTGCCAAATCTATGGGAACACCATCAAAATCTATTCGAGTGCCAAGACTAGGTATGAATGTGAGGCGAAGCTCCTCTTGCTTGCTGATCGCTGCGTTCGAGATCAGTTGATCCCGAACTATCTCCGCAGACAGAAATAGCGTCTCGGTATCTCTATTTTTCCGATTCGCCAGAGGTGTATCCGATGACTGGTCGTGAAGCAAACTTGTCGCACCGTAGATCTGAGATTCATCTTCTGCCAAGGCTATTTTTGGGTAATTGGCCATCTCAAGCCTTGTATGTCCTCTTATGCAGGAGAAAGGGAACTGTTTGATCCCAGCCTGGTGATTCCGTCCTTCTACAGTAGCGTGCGTCCGTTCAGGTGGTGAAGCATGATAGTGAGTACGCTCTTGCGCAGTGCCAGACTGAGTCAGGGGAGGCTTAAATGGGCGCTGGTGGTCCCTAGGGCTGGCTGTGACGCTCTGAGGCCTTGACTGTCGGCCGTGGACAAGCTACCGCCCAAAGGCTCCGCAGTGGCTGGGAAGTCTGTAAGTTCCCCCAACGTCTCTTGAAGCTCGTCAATCTTTTGCTTGAGAGCTCTCACATCGGCCTTTTTAGCACGAACGACCGCTCTCCTAGCATCTTGCGGATACTCGCAATCGAGATTTCTTGATTGACATGTCTCGCACCGCGGATGCTGCCCTTTGCATTTCGCCTACGCCGTACGTAAGCCAATCTTCTACTAGTTCCTGGGGAATAGAATGGGTCATAATGATTTAACAACAGGATAGCAAGGGTGATAAAAGGAAGTGGATGGGACGACGGGCGTAGGCCGAGATACTTGACGTGAGTGAGGTCTAGCACTAAAAGAAACACAGGATCAAGTAGAAAGGTCTCACCTTTCTCCGTCGACAAGCCTTGCAGGTCCGACAGTTAGGATGTGTCGCGGCTGTCGGTGACTGCTGTTGGCCACCATGCGACTGCGTGAGTGAAAGTCCGCGCATAGTATCCATGTCGGACACGACGCAGCTCCAGCATTCGCGTGGATTCACAATAACCTTGCAGTTTCTCCCGATCTCGGTTTCCAACCTGCAATCGCTTAGACTCTGCAGTCCTAGCGTAATTTAACTAAGGGGGTTGGTTTTCTGTGAATCTATGGAGCCAAACATGTCCGAAAACCACCGCAATCAGATGACTCTACCGACAATCAGGTGATATGCCGGATGGAAGTCCCGTGGCTCGGCAACGGATCGAGATTCATAGTTCACTGGCCGGCCCAAGTCTTGCCGCCGAGAACTCCGAGCCACCCAACCCATGCTATCGGAAATGAGGGGATCGACTTGTATGGAAATCTTATACCAGATCACATATTAATCTGTTAGCCACCTTCATCAATTGATAGATCTGGCGATTTCAATTGAACCAGAGACCAGAGGAGATGGTAGACTTGGCACGGCTAACTACCCACGGGCTACCGTCCGATAAGGATCTGGCTGACAAATTCGTCCTCGTTTCATTTACAAATCATGTTGTTTTCGCCCTCCGATGAAAGCCCGCTGATCCACTCCTACGGCCGGGAGTAGTTGGCCAAATAATAGTGCTTATCAATCACACCAGATAAATCATGCGCAAATCGAAATCAGATGGTCTCTGGCGATGGAAAAGCTTTACTGCCCTATGCAGGGCATCATTCGGCCAAATCGTTGAATAACCAACGGAAGCCCGCAAGTGTTGCTCACGGATGACACAAAGCGTCGTCACAGATTATAATATAAATATGCCCTTCCCTACTCAGGTTAAGTGTCGCCATACTTCGTACAAGTCTCTCGTTCTTGAGCCATCATGTTTGAACCGGACACAATTCTTTTGACTGGAGCAACGGGCAGTCTGGGCGCTGTTGTCTTGGAAAGGCTTCTGCACACTGGCTACCGTGTCGAGGTTGTCCTACGCTCGTTGTCAAAGTCGAAGAGCTATATTGAAACTCGATATTCTTCCTTTCACGAACAGCTTGCTTTTATAGAGATTCCAGATATGACCATTCCGGATGTTTTCGATGACGCCGCCTCCCGCGCAAATGTCATCGTGCATGTCGCAACCCCCTTAGCCTATAGCAATTATGAAGAAGACATGATCGCACCAGCTTGGCAGATCGACCATAATTTGCTCACGGCGGCGGAAAAATCAAAAACTGTCAGGCGCATTGTCTTGACTGGAAGTCTCGTGTCCGTGATATCGCTGCCAAACCAGCTGCAGGACGACAGAGTATTTAACACCGAAGACTTCAACCCAATCTCGCTTTCTGAATCTATCGAGCGAATGCAGAGTGCTTACTCTTTCTCAAAAACCAATTCGGAACGAAACGCATGGCATTTTGTGAAACAAAACAAGCCGACATTTGATTTGGTGGTATTGCTTGCGCCGTCTATCACGGGCCGATCTATCCACGAGGGATTTGTCCCAAACAAAAATGCATTAGGAGGAATGGCTGCAATCTATAGAGAAGTGTTTGATCGCAAATCTCTGGGTTTTCTCTTTCCCTATATTATGTATGTCTGTCCATCACTATTAAAGACTGCCGCGCTAAGACTGCTTTCCTACTGGCAGGGATGTTGATGATGTTGCAACCATCCATTTGCAGGCGATAAGTACGTCAGTTCCCGGAAACCGACGATATATCTTGCATGCGCCAGAGCCCATAACGGCTGTCAAAGTGGCCCGGAAAATCCGTGAAGAATACCCTCAGCTGAAATCTCGAGTCCCAGAGGCCCCCGCTGGTGGAGACGGGCTCATCCAACCGCTTGCGAAGTTCGACACTTCAGAGATGAACTACCACTTCGGATCCGAGTGGAAAGGATGGTGGGAAAGCGCCAAAGCCACAATAGATGATATTTTAAAATGCGAAAAGCCTGACACGCAACGGGAGGTGAAAGACCCATGGAAAAGGTAAGATCACCATTGACGCAAATGCCCAGATCTACTTTTTCCACATTGCTTTCATTTCTATTAATTAAATAGCTATGATTCTCCAAACACGGCTCGTCTTGTGAGGAATGCAATAAAATCCTTTACCGGCCTTTTAATTGCTAGTGCTTCGTTTTTATTAAATTACAAATGTGTACTTTTCCCTATACCCTAGAGGTAATGCAGACACTTGCCGGCCTTAGTGCCTCGGGGACCAACGGTCTCGCGCTCCCCATTGACCGCCCGCGCGTCGCCCGACGCCCCCCGCCGGCTAGCGCCGCCGTCCGGACACGCCCCCAATCACCGTCGCATCCCGGCCGCGGCATCTATAGAAAAGAAATCGACCTCTCATATCTCCGTCGTGTCCACCCCCATCATGTTGATCGATTCACACGACCGCCTCGCGGGGAGACACGAGCCCTCTCGTCGGCTTCGCGGCCGCCTCACCGGCCTCCCCCCTTCCCTTCCCTTATCCTATCACATTCATTCATGCTTCGCCGCCCTCGCTCGCCGTGCGCGGAGGTCGATTGGGAAGACATCCTCTAGTTCGAATGGCGTCGACCTGAGTCGCGAAGACGATGGATCTCTTTAGCTTCTACGAACCCCTCCGGATCTGGATCTGCGGACCTTGCGAGACCGCCGTCGGCCCCTATTACATCCGCGGCTACCTCTACCGCCACCACAAGAGGCACCTGACCGCGCGGACCGACGCCCTTGGTAGCTAGCAAAATCCTGCCCTCCTTCCCAACTATTTTTGAGCTTTTTGGTTGCGTTGCGGGGACATGGTAGCCGTTTAAGATAGGTGGCTGGGAAGGGGCAGGAAATTCAAAGTGAGATGATGGACCGGCCGGGATCCACACTACCATATATGGTCCGTACTCAAGAACCATGCAACAACGAGTCCTGCCATGGCGCAAATACGACAGTTTGAATGAGCTGTCAGCCATAGATCCACTGGGAATGGTGGCTGGAGCAAAATGGAATCATCGACGTTTCTCTCGCATACCGAGGGATGATAGCATCTCGTGTCAGTGCAAAGGAAGACGTTCAATGAACTTGAGCTGGTTTGAGTCAAATGAATCGTCACGGCAGGCATCATATCTTGACAAAGTCTAGCTTTCTATCTGGGTGTTTAACTTATACAAGGCTGTAGGTCTTGATCAATTTCTCCGCACATGTCGAGCCTGTGACGTACGCAACAGCCTGGACATGAGCGTTGACCAGGACAGGAACAACGGACATATCCGCCACACGCAGGTTCTCAATACCAATGAACTTGAAGTCAGGGTCGACGACAGCATCGGCGTCACCGCTCTTGCCCATCTTCGCAGTTCCAGTCATGTGCCAGCTGGAAGAGATGTTCTGGCGCCAGTACTCCAGCAGGTCTTCATCCGAATCACCCTTGGGCATGGCCATCTCGGAAACATGGTCCTTAGTGTACTCCTCGTGCTTGGCAATGCGGAAAGAGTCGCGCAGGACCTCGATCGCGAGACGACGATCGAAGGGGTGGGCAAGGAACTTGGGGTTAAAGAGGAGAGGGGCGTCGGGGTCCGAGGACTGTAGGGTGACTTCTCCGCGGGTCTGAGCGTTGAACAGGAAGACGAGAAGACAGGAGTAGCTCAGAGCCTCAGCGGGGAAGTCGGGGACGAACCAGTGGATGGGAAAGTGGGTGAGGATCTCGTAGTGGGGCACGGTCTCCTTGAGAAGGTATTCCTGCTCATTCTGTGACAGAGCCTTGAACTCGAGTGTGGGGGTCAACTGCTCCGTCAGCTTGAACCAACCAATACCCATCTCGCAGGCAAACTTGGACCAGGGTCCGGTGCCGTCCTCTTGCCACTGCTTCAGCGCAGCGTCCATGGCAGCTTGGTCGCCGTAGAAGGTCTTGCGGTCGGTGCTATCGTCTGTGCGGGTATTGATCATGGGGACGAAGCAGTGATCGCGCAGTCCTTGGCCAAGGGCGGGGACGTCTTGAACGACGTCGACGTTGTAATGTTGCAGCTGGGCTGCGGGACCGATACCTGAGTGCATCAGGATACGGGGGTCGTTAAGTGATCCAGCCGACAGGATGACTTCCTTAGAGGCAAGGTCTAGAAAGATGATCAGTATACCTTCCTAACGATTGTTGGGATGAGGATCAGGGACTCCGAACTCACACTTGGTGCCATTTACCTCCACACCTACGGCCTTCTTGCCCTCCAGCAGAACACGTTGCACAGGCGAACCAGTAACAACCGTCAAATTATTCTCGGCGGTCTTGACAAGGTCACTTGCCGTTGATCGTAGCCCGTTGTATGCCGAGTTGATCAACACGGACATACCAATAGGGTTGCCAGAGTTGTGATCCGGGTTGAGGGGAAACCCCGCCTTCTCAAAGGTATCCAGCAACCCCGGAAGGTCCCTCTCCCACTCATGCGCAAAGCCGACATGCAGCGGGCCCTCGCTACCATGATCCTCAGGCTTGGGGCTGGCATACTTCTTATCCAGACCAACTGGAATTTCGCCGTGGAAAGTTTCCAACGCCTTGTATCTTTGCTGAATGTTGTTCCAGGAGAAACTGTCATCGCCTGCAATGCGGGCCCACTCATCATAGTCATCCCGCGCACCGACACTGTACACGCCAAAGTTGATGGCGCTGGAGCCGCCCACGCAGCGGCCGCGACTGTAATCAATCTCGCGGTTGTTGCAGTCCGCTTGAGGAGAAGTCTTGTATCCCCAATTCATATCTGCATTCATGAAAGTCTGCCATCGCTTTCCGTCAATGCGGAGGTTACGGTCGTCCTTCTGATCGCCGGCCTCCAAGAGCAACACATAGGGCTTTGCCGGGGCATTGGCCAGTAGCGCAGCCAGCACGCTACCGGCTGGGCCACCTAGTTAAAAATGTCAGCGGTCGCTCAGCGGGAACTTTGCCGGATGTTTGTTTTCCATTGGTGTGAAAATTTCCCACAATTCTCGTACATCGCGAATTCCAAAACTGGGGAACTCGTGAAGCCGAAACCTAACTAAATGAAAGCCAGACCTACTCACTTCCGACAACAATAAAGTCAAAAGTTGACATTTTCAGGGAGAGGAAATGAGGTCGAGTTGAAGCAAAACACAAAGGGTGATGGGTTCTCGTTCCGCTTTGGATTGAGGGTTTTTGGAGGAAGATGGGTATTACAATTGATAAAACTTCATATAATGCTCCAACAGACCAGAGTGGGAGGTCTTCTCTGTGTCGTTAAAAAAGTCCCGCAACGCAAGTCCCAACACGTAACCATCTTCCCTCGATTGCCTACCTCCTACACCTGTACGAGGGAAAGCTTGTTAGGTTTTGCTGGTCCAGACCTTGAGGCTCACATACCTTGATGAGGCAGCACCGGGTGGGCGACGTAGACCTGAATGGCATGTACACGTCATTGCCCTATTGAGGCCCAGATAAATCGCAAAATGGTCGTCGGGTCTAGGCATGGGTGGGGGCCTGAGAAACGGAACATGCGATTTATTTCAAACCTAGCTCTCATAAGGAGCGTTTCTTATTGGTTTGTGGTAACAGGACAGTACTCAGTTCTATTTCATACCGGCGCCAGGCTGGCGCGGAGTAGTGGAGAGATAAGGGTTTGACTGCGATAAGGCTGACGCCATGGTGATTATTCGGCGCCAGGCTGGCGCCGAGTGGTGGAGAGATAAGGGTTTGACCGCGATAGGGCTGGCGCCATAGTGATTATTCGGCGCCAGCTATAATCGTCCTAATTTTGGAGCAATCGCCTTCAGAATTTCAGAATTCTAATTAAGAGCAGTAAAATATCTATTTCAAATTTGAGCGTTAACCGACCAGAATTAGGAGCGTGGGAATTAATTAAAAATACAGGCCCATTTCAGATCGATGGGGCGTGCCAAGGCCATCTAGCGGGAGTGTTTTGTCAGCGATTTACGCTCCTCTACTAGGGGAACTAAAATACGAGTGTGTATTATTACTATGATGTATGGCGGACGATGTATCAGCACTATGTCTACAATACCATCTATACTAAACGCTTGATGCTGACCTGTATATAGGTGCGTACTGAATATTCGGAATTTTAAAATTCTGGAAATTTAGGGGTAGTGCTCCTGACTAAGGCGGGTCTAATGATGGTGTCAGGGTAAAATACCCACTAGTATTACTAGTTGGTCCATCTGCCGCATCCCTATCACCTGACCTCCCATTATGGAATGTGGCAACTAAGTGCAATTTCCACTTCTTTACAGAATCCCGCAGTTTTTTCCGCTTTCTGCTCCCTATAAATACAGACATGATAGATAGCCTGAATACCATCGTTTTCATCCTTGTCAAATCTGACTACCTGGTAGGATTACTAGTGAATACGCCTTTTCCGCATTTTCACAGATGGTAATAGGGCTGTTCACGATACGATATCGTCGGGATCTTCTAATATCGTATATCGTATCGTCTAAGTGAAATCTCCAACGATAATTATCGTATATCGTATCGTCAAAAAAAAATCCACGACGATAATTATCGTACGATAATATTACTAAGCCAACTACCAAAAATTCTTCTAATTCCCCCTAATTTGATCCCCCCACGGATTCCAATTCTACTTCTACTTCCACTTCCAATTTCACCTCCAGCTCCCATTATGGCTTCCAATGAAAGGACTACGCGAAGGGTGGCTCGAATTGACTATGAAATGCTAAATGGTGGCCCTGATACACCTGATGGAGGGCTACTATCAGACCAATTGACTGAGTCTGATGTATCTCAGTATCTACAATTCGATACTGACCCTCTGTCTACTGATCAAGAATCTCTTGTCTTTTCAGATATCCTACCTCAAGAATCTGCCTCACAAACCCTTGGTCGGACGAAGAAACCGCGCACGGCACCAATTACGAAATGGATTTGGGACTACTTCTCTACAACTGAGGTATCGCGTGAGTGGAAACCTCGTTTAGGGGGGAGAAGGACTATAGATCGAGATATCTATTGTACAGTCATTAATGGCAGTGGTCCACAATGCAATTGGAAAACCTCAGATTCCCAAAGGCATTTATCGACTACAAACATGCAGCATCATCTCAAGGCAAAGCATTCTATTTTTCCACCTGAAAGTTCTAAATCAAATACAAAGAATCAAGATATTCGGAAGGCCTTTGCAAAACAGCAGAATCTATCAATTCAGGACTGTCTTAAGCGGAACCTCCTTCGGTGGATTATTCAAGATAAGCAAGCTTTTTCTACTATTGAATCAAGGGCTTTTCAGCAAATTTTTGAAGATATCCTAGGGATTTCTTTACCATAGACCTCTCGATCTACTGTACGACGACGACTAGAGGATCAATTCGAAATCCAGCGATTAAGATTGAAGGAGAACTTGGCTAATACATGCAAAACAATTGCATTTTCCCTTGATATATGGACAAGCCAGAACCACTACCCTATTCTTGGGATTATTGGTATGTAACTGATTGATTGATTAATTGACTGATTTTTTGACTGATTGATTAATTATTATAGGTCACTGGCTCACAGAGGATTTCTACTATCGCGAAGAGGTTCTCGAATTCTGTCAAATCTTTGGACCTCATACAGGGGAGAATATTGCTGCTACGGTCTATAAAACCTTAGTAGAATTAGATCTCACGTCAAAGTTGACTACAATTACTAGGGATAATGCCTCAAATATTCAAGATATGGTTTCTGAACTTTATTATACTTTGGATCAGAATGCCTCACCACCAATTCGATTCCGCGGAGTTGATAGCTATATTCGCTGTCTAGCTCATATCCTTAACTTGATTGTTAAAGATATTCTACGATCATTGAAATCTGGAAGTATTTCAGAAGCCAATTCGATCTATGAGAGTCTACAGTCTAAGAATTCTCAAACGACCTCTCAATCAATTTCCTCTCAATCACCATTATCTAAGCTCCGTATTCTTGCTATTTGGATTTCTCGCAGTCCTCAACGGAGGCAGGAATGGAATTCGATCTGTGAAGCAATGAATCTTGATAATAAATTCATTGAGTACGACGTGGCTACGCAGTGGAATTCAACCTTTCGGATGCTTGATAATGGAATCCATGCCCAGCGTCAAATTGATCGATTTTGCTCTGTACAAGGTAAGTAAGCAATTAAACTATACAATTGAACTATTAATTAATTAATTAACTAGGCGATATTCCTCCGTTTACTACTACAGAGTGGGAATGGCTTAGGCAGGTTCATAGGGCTCTCAAAACCTTTAATGACTTGACAAACTTAGTATCTATATCAAGGCCACAAATCAGTCTCACTATCCCAATTTACTGTGCGCTTCAGGATCTTTTAGAAGATACAGCCTTAGTAGGGTACAATGATGATATTGCAAATGCAATGAGGGTAGACATGAAGAAGTACCAAAAGTACTATGACTTCATGGACAACTCAGAGGCCTACTATACGGCCTTGATCCTTGATCCCCAGGTCAAATATGATCTCATACTTCATGAGATAGAGGATCAAGAAGCTGCCCAGATGATTATACAAGCGACTCGTCGAATGCTACATAAGAGATATCCACTGAAGTCGAATCCACAGTCGAATCCACAGTCGAATCCACAGTCGAATCCACAGTCGGATCTACAGTCGAATCTACAGTCCAATTCACAGTCAATTCCACAGTCAATGCGAATGCGGATGCTCCATAAGCTCCAGCCTCGGACATCTCAATTAGTGTCTGATATTGATCAGTATTTTGATAGTCCTCGGGTTACTATCATAGGGACAGAGGATCCAGACTAGCTATGCAATTAGTGGCGCACCCACAGGGGTGAATACCCTCAAATGGCAGAGGCCGCAAGGGAATTTCTCGCGATCCCAGCTTCAGAGGTATCGGTTGAGAGGCTATTTAGTGCAGGGAGAGATCTTTTAGGAATTCGAAGGCTTAGTTTAGGAGCAGATACGATGAGGATGTTGATGTTGATGAATGACATAGTTTAGCTGAGTTTGACGTTATTACTTAGTCTTATTAGTCAGTTAAATGAATTTATTAATACATTAGTTATACAGTTATGAAAGCAGAGATAATGAATTTATTACTAAGAAATCAAAATTGTTGGACTATTCAGGAGAGGAAATAGATGCATAGATGATATATATATATTCATGGCATAACGTAATTGTACACCGAAAGTCACAACATACCGAAAGTCACACTTTAATCCGCTCACGCGTCTCTTCCACCAAACACCAAATTCCTCCACAACAAATGATGCCTCAAAAAAATGACGAAAGGCAGGTCATGTTAGCCCTTCAAGCTATGCAAAATGACCCAAAATTAAGCGCTCGAGCAGCAGGGAGGATCTATTCTGTGGACCACGAGAAGCTGAGTCGTCGCAAGCGCGGTATACAATCATAACGCGATATTCTGGCCAATTCACGAATTTTGACCGATCTAGAGGAATCAGTCCTTATTCAATATATCCTCGATTTAGCTATCAAAGGATCCCCCCCCCCCCCCCCCCCGAGTGTCTATTGTTAGAGATATGGCAAATCGGCTTCTCGCGACACGCGACGCGCCACGCGTTAGGATGCGTTGGGCTTCTAGGTTTATTAATCGCCGCCTAGAGCTCTGAACGCGCTTTCAACGGAGATATGACTACTAGAGAGCTAAGTGCAAAGATCTAGTCATCATTCGTGGCTGGTTTGAGCTTGTGCGCAATACAATCGCGAAGTACGGCATTATAGAGTCAGATATCTACAACTTTGACGAGACTGGGTTTATGATGGGCGTTATCTCTACCGCAACAGTTGTCACAAGCTCAGAGGGACGTATAAAGGCAAAAAAGCTATAGCCTAGTAATTAGGAATGGGTTACAGTAATTCAGGGCGTTAATTCCCAAGGCTAGACGGTGCCGCCATTTATCATTGTTGTAGGCAAAAATCACCTTTCGTCTTAGTACTAAAATAGTGGTTTCCTACCTGACTAGGTAATCGCTGTTACTAATAACGGCTAGACAATAAATGAAAAAGGCGTGGATTAGATCCGGCATTTTGAGAAGCATACTAGAGCCCGAACTACAGGTTGCTATCGCCTTTTGATCCTCGACGGCTATAAGAGCCACCACTCGGACGAATTTGAGGAATACTACAAAGGAAACAACATTATCACCCTTTGTATGCCTCCTTATTCGTCTCATATCCTTTAGCCACTAGATATTGGGTGTTTTAGCCCATTGAAGAAGGTATATAGCCGACACATCGAGGATATGATGCGGGCTCATATCACCTATATTACGAATGACGACTTCTTCCCCGCCTTTCGTAGCGCATTTTTTGCTACAATAACGGAAAGCAACATTTAAGGAGGTTTCCGAGGTGCTAGACTTATTCCATTTGACCCCGAAAGTGTGATATCTAGACTAGATCTTAAGTTAAAGACGCCAACACCTACAACTTCCCGCCCCCGAACCCCTAAACCCTAGGTTTCTCAGATACCTAATAACCCAATCGAAGCCACCTCGCAGACTACTTTCATCAAGAATCGCATTGCCTATTATAATAATAGCTCTCTAACCTCAATTTACGAAGCTATTGACCAGTTTGCGAAAGGGACGTCGAAGATTATGCATAAATTGGCGTTGTTGCAGTCAGAGGTTTAGATCCTTCGACAAGCAAATGAAGAGCTTAGTATACGCCGGAGGGCTAAAAAGACACGTCTACGGCAAGGTAGATCACTTAGTCAACAGGAAGCACAAGATTGGCAAGATGAGAGGGACATTATGCCGCAGATAAAGCAGGAAACGTAGGCACGTAGTAGTCGAAAACCAAGGCAAGAAACGCGTGCGCGGCGCTATAGCAACTGCGGCGAGACCGGACATAACACACGCACCTGTCAGATTGTAATAGAGACGTCTGAGGAAGAAGATTAGTAGTAGTATGAATTGATTTTAGGCGTTGTGGTGGAATTATCGCGATATTTATTATGTGAGCGGATTAAAGTGTGACTTTCGGTATGTTGTGACTTTCGTTGTACAATTACGTTATAGTAGTTATTACTAGTAGTTAGAGAAATAGATGACGCCTGACTAGTCAGGTGACTTTACTAGGCTCAATTAGGCTAGATCACTAGTTAGACGATAATTATCGTCGAAATTCTGGTCTGACGATACGATATCGACGATATTATCGTCGAAATTTTGGTCCGACGATAATTATCGTTTATCGTATCGTCAAAAAAAAAATCCACGACGATAAATATCGTACGATATTATCGTCGATATCGTTTATCGTGAACAGCCCTAAAATCAGATATACCAACATGCTCACAGGACTTAATTCCCGAGCTCTAACCTTAAACACGCAAATCTAAATTTACTTTGTCCTTCAGCAACCCCTGCTGAAATTTATCTCCCTTGGCCTTACTCTCTTCCGGCTTCATTTTCTGCCAAAACTGTCTTGTCTCCTCAATATATCCCGTTTGCTCTAAGGTTGGCTCCCAATCGGCTTTGTGGCTTTCCGCAATTTCAAGATATGGTGAGAGGGTCTGGATCAAGCGATCTTTAGGAGTTCCTGGAAAATGAACAAGGAGATCCCCAGGGTGTACCTGGAGGTTTGACGGTGAGTCCGGATTTGGCTCTAAACCGTCCGGCGACCTCATGTAGGCATTGAACCATCGCAGTGGGCAATACACAACGGATCGACTAAAATAATCATTCTCGTCGAGCAAGTTACTTAGTGCCGATTGGTCGGGCCAGAAAAGAGGCACGTCAGGATTCAGCATTGGATAGGACATCGCTGCTGAAAGCAAGGCGACCGACCATTCATGCACCCGTATCAAAAAAACACCATTGTTCATCCCATTCCAATCCTTGGAGAGCAGAAGATGAATGTCCGGGAGGCTCGATGGAGGAAGAAAGACCTCGAGAGGCATATTCGCATTCATAAGAACCGTATCGCTGTCAAACCACCTAGAACAGTTTAGCAATTGCGTGAGTTGCCTGCTAGGTCGTGCTATTTTGCAGACTTACAATAGCCATTGCAGACGTTCATCCGGTGCTTTCTGCAACTCCAGCAGCATCTCAGAGAGAAGAGCCGCATATTTGTTGAATGTGCCGTCCACTATGGGCCTTCGCAGAATAGACATCGGGTAGCCAAATCGACAACTATGCTCTTGCTGTGTTCTCAAACCCCTCTCATAGATCGAATGATTACCGTATATCATCGTTACTTTCCCAACTACAGGCTGCGCTTGTGGCTGGAGCACGTCAGAGTGGGCTATGAATCCAGTTAGTCTATGCGGCAAGAGCTCATAGGCCGCAACGCTTAGGTCAACACACTGTATGTGGAAAAGAATTTATATAGCCCAAAGATAACAAAAAGTGTAAGCACCATATGTTGGATAACCTTCAGCCTCGTGTTACGGCTTCGAGAGCGCCATTGAGACATCTGGAAGTACAAACTTCCGATTTCGAGGTCAAGCAGAGCTCGACTTGAAGAGATGCGAAAAGGGTCAACGTAGAGAGTGAATTGGAAGTTTCGCCTGGGCGCACATGGGTTGGGGCGTATTTAAAGCGTCAGAGTTCCAGTCCAACAAATAGGATATTATCTCAGGGATCCACGGAGCGACGGAATCGTGCTAACCGCTCCTAAGTTTTAGTAGTATGTCTTGGCGTGTGCGCATTGGAGCGCCGATAAAGAGGGCCATGTCTACGGCTTTTGGCCCCATCTTGTAGCAAATAAAGCACCCGGAATGACTAGGCGTGGCCGTGTGGGTAATTAAGCTTAAGCTGCCTCGATGAACATCGCCTTCCCTAGGAAATGGCTATTACTTAGGGTATACCTTTGTCAAAATATCGTATATTTCACATATGGGCATTTCTGTTCTGGTTGTGGCATATCTACCTTGTCTATTATCGTGCTGCCCTGAGATTCTTTTTAAGTGGATATATTTTGTAAGGATATTGCGCTAAATCAACAATCTAAATTCAGAAACAGTTCAAGCTATTTGGGGCCAAGCGTCGGCCCCGTGGAGCAAATTGATCGCCGAGTGATTTTAACAGGCAGGCCCCACCACTCTTGCTTGGTGAGGGCCAAACCCAGTCTCATGGAAATCTCCCTCCCCCCCTCCTCCCCTCCCGCCAATACGGGTATATCGATAGTATGAAGTGGCTGGCCGTCATCTGCATTGACTCAATCAAGCTCTGCCTCTCTTCTTTGATTTCCTGCTCCCTAATTTCGGCGCGGCGTTACATTTCATCTCCCAACTGTTTAGCTTCACGCTCATACTTCCGCCTTTCTTTCTTAGCCTCCACGATATCCCTATTTCGAGTGAAGATATTCTGTGCCTGACTCGTAGAGCACTCCCTTTAAATGACTGGTGCTTAGACTTTTTGGCATTGGCCTGCTCCCGCTTCTCTAGGTAGCGTATGAGATTGGTAGATACCTAGGCCGCTAGTTGGGCTTGTAGAAGGCTTCGCTCCTAAATCCGCTCAACCCGATGCTTTAATTTATTCAATTGTATGCTAGCCTTGTCTAGGAAGCTCTGCTCTCTCTTGCCTTTGCGATTTTTTGTAATTTTGCGATAGTCGTTGATAGGGAATTGATTACAGGGGGCGAGTATATCTGATTTCGAATATCGCTCTACTGATTTATCCAAATGTCAAAGTATGCGCTGGGACCCACGCCGAAGGTTTTCATGGGGAAAGATGGAGATCAACACATAAAGGATTACTCTCCGTCTGATAAGATGAAAGCAATGCCCCTTGCGCAGAAGCGCGCAGAGTCAAGTGGCAGGGCAATTTTTGAGAATATTGCACCATTCCAGTTGTTTCTGATCGAGCAACTACTTGGAACGACGCTCGGCCCCGAAGTTGGAGAGGTTTTTGTGTTAGCTTAGACTCGTTTCTCACACTTTGGCGGCGGGACCGGCGAGCGCTTAGAGCCATTTCAACGCAAACAATAGTAGTGAGAAGCGACGGTGGTCTTAAGATGTTCAAATTATTTATATTCTGGGTACAGGGATGTATTAAGACAAATTCCGTGAGCCCGAGTAGACTACGCTCAAGGACATCAAATTTCAACTCTAAGCTAAGTGTCTTTATTTCTGATATGCATTTTAGAAAGATGTAAAGGCATGATGACATCAGCATTGGTCGAAATAATACCTGCCTCCGTCCTCTAAATATAATGGCATGAGATTTCTTACAGCTATGGTTTGGAGTGGTGCTCAAGTTAGAAGCAAATTCGTTTGCTGATCGCGTTGACCTCACTATAGCTAGTGAGGATTCTCTAATGGTAAACAATTCACTGGAGCTTCAACAAGTTCTCAACTAGACATAAATTTGATTATAAGCCCCATTCAACCAAATAAATTCGCCACCATGTATGTAGGGGCGTCCTTGCCCATAGGCACGGCTTCTAACATAGTGAACGGAGCGCTAATCATACACTAAGAGGCTCTCTGGTACAAATGGCAAATATTTGATCTAAATTATATAAATACCTATACATCCCTTAAGGAGAAAACTTGCAAAAGCTTAAGCACAATGACCAAACCTAGTAATAAGAAGCGCATGCGACTAAGGAAACAATGTTGGGAAGCCCTAGCAGCCCACATATGTATATGAAGTCCCATCCCCATCTACTTAACGCAGCTAATACTCATAGATGACTAACTTGGCCTCGCCGTCGCTCTTAGAATGGTTCGTCTCCAGCCGTAGCCCGAAGACGGATATTCCTAGTCCATCACGAAATCAAATGCTGTATTGCTCAAATCAAGCCTGAGCACCGGCACAATAAGCCTTTATTAGTCAATTTGTAATGAGCTTGGTCGTTCACTCGAGGCTGTTCCACTATAGATGCTACAAGATTCCCAGCCAAACGCTGGTGACCCTGCAAATGAGGTGAATAGGATGCCAAATTCTTCAGAGATATATCGTATGCTAATCAGGCGAAAAGGGGCGAGTAGAGAGGCAAGGGAACGCAAATGGCCTTCATAGAAAAGATTTGCGAACTTGAAGCTGCTAATCTCCAACAAGGAGTGGAATTGGATTGATCTCACACCCGCCTGAACGAGTCCCTTTACGACGTTCAGAGGCTTCAGGCGGAGGTCAGCCAACTCCGCCATGGAATACAAACTCTTGCGTCGCAAAACGACTTTATGCGAGACGAGCTGGCACAAACTAGGACAGGCATTGCCGGAGCAATACAGACATTGAGTACGTTGCAAATGCATAGAAAGGAGATTGCATCCGACAACGTCTGCGGCGGTCAACCAAAGCCTATTAATAGCTCAGTGATAGTGAACGGGCTCAAGCCTGACTTAGTAGAGAGCGATCGAGATGGCTAGAATGCGCTCATTACCCCCCGAATATTGTCGTTATCATGCGTTGCAGGCCACGGTTCGTTAAATCAAGGGATGCCACGACAGGAGGGGCAAGTCGCACGAGCCCTTCTACTTGAATCGTGCAGAGATCTGATAAACTTAGTCCGCCGCATCGCAAGGTTATATGAGTATCCACAGTAGCTCAAGGACTTTAAGCTGGATTCACTGCTTGAATGTCAAAAGGGTATATGAGTTTAACATTCATGGCTCCGTCAGACTCCGGTACACGCATTGAACATACTCTGAATAGAAAATGTTTCTGTTTCTCGCTTTCATCATCTCTGTTGGGTCGGTCGTTCTCAGCCTGCTTGATTATTTTAGCTGGCCAGAATTGCAAGATCATAACCAGGGTGCTCGATCGCTGTGGGTACCTTCGGTGGTTTGTACACGGGGATCTGCTCTGAGAAAGGCATCATTCGACCAGAGTGACTTAATTCAAGTCTACATGTTGTATTTGACGACGGCTTCCTTTTATACTATTCTAATTGTTCTAAAAGTGTACTTCTTTATTCTATCGTAGTAGTCTCTGAGTGGTCTGTCGTGGGATACCAATACCCACACCCTTCCATTGAGAGCGAAACCCATTGGGTCAAACACGATTCCCCAGCCACACTGTCCAGTTCAAATTTAAGGTCTGTGTCCATAGCCAAGTTTATCGCTAGCTAAGCCAGCGAAAGCTCGCTATAGCTTCGCGAATAAAGCCACAATTACGCTGCTCCGCCTTTAGTGGACTTAGAAAAGGCGAGCCGCGCCTCCTCGGCGAGGAATTCAATCATCAAAGGATGGTGAGAGCTTCGGCAAGTTCAATTCTAGTGTGGACAGGGTTTCCGACGAGCTGCCTAGGGTGGAGTTTAAATGGTACCCTGAGACGGTTGGTGAGGAAGAATGTCCCCTGAGGGGATGCTGTTATCGTTGGCTGTCTCGCGTAGTGTTTGGTGATATCCATGGATGCTGCTGGGCCGCGAAGGATGATATGGCATTCCTGATGGAGCAAAGTCTAGTGTCGCCCTAACATCTGGTGCGACCCGTGAAGATGTAGAAATAATGTCAAAGAGATTCATATCGCTTGATCAGCGCCGCTGCGTGGGTTCCTGCTGGCAGACGCAGGGGTTGGTCCGCGTGAGCGAGCGAAGACGGTTGAGCATGGCGAACTCCAGCTTCAGCTTAATGCTATAGACCACCGTCGTGAAGCTGACTTGGATGTAGTGTAGCTTGTACTCCGTGAGAAGGAGTAGGATGTTCAGGAATACGACGAGAATGTTGACCCAGAGTAGATGGATGATGACTTTGCGGCCTTCGCGACCGCGCACTTTGATGATAAGCTTGAGAGCACGCACCGCTTCATTAATGTAAATACCGCAGATGACAAGATCCTGCACGCAAAAGCCAGTCATCCTGAAGAGCGCCCTCGATCTGGCCAGCCGAATCAGAGACTCCAAAGATGAAGTGCGAAGGGAAAGTCATGTTGGGCTCGAGTGCACCGTACAGGAAACCGCTGTCCGGAGGCAGAATCAAAGACGTCGATGGGATTGGTGTCGGTGCCACAGTAGTCGAGAGGCTGAATATCGAAATGGAGATGTTGGGCATGAATGGTACCCACCGCCGATTCCACTCAGCTTGGCCGTATGGGTTGTCCCAGTCGGAGGCGTCCACTCCATTCTTCCAGGTGGTTGTCACAAGTTTTGGGGGCAGGATGGCGCTCATAGAAGCAGGCGGCATGTAGGTCGTCACAGAGGATGTTCGGGGGTTTGGCGTGGCATATCGCACAGAGGTCATCGCACTGAACGAATACGATGGGCGAGCTTGGGTGGCTGTTGCACCTGCGGGCTGAGGAGCCGCATGAGCTCCAGCTGCAGCCAAGACCGCTATGGCTACAGTAGTCTTTGGCAGGTAGAGCTTCATAGCAACTGGTAAAACGCAATCGTTGGGAAGAAGTCAAATGGCGATGCTCTGTCGATCTCCCAAAACGAAAACATGGCAATTGGACGGGCCTGATATCGTTAGATTTATAGTAGTCACTGAGAAGCCCGTGGGCCTCCTCAGTTGTACCTCCCCGGTTGGGGAAAAAGTGTGGGGAAGGCTAAGGTAAGGTTAATTTCCCGTCGCGGAGCTTAAAGTGCTTTAGTTTCCCCGTTCTGTTTCCCATTTCTCCGCCTGTTAATAAGTTGTACAAACTGGAAGATAACTATTCTTTTACCAGATACCTTATACATAATTGTCCTGGAATGGTTTGATTTGCCAAGTCGAACTCATCCAAGATCTAAACTATGGGTGAGTATGAGAAAGCTCAGCTGGTTTCATGTAATCCAGATACTCCCGTCAACGAGAAAAGGCTAGATTCGAAAGATTCGTTGCATGAACGATCATCCAAAAAGACTGCTTACCTCTTATCAGGTTCCTGTGACGAATGGCTTGACCATAACCTCACACTATGTCCATCTGCTCCGAGCGAGCAACTTCCGGACTTGAATTGTGGTAATGCTAGTTCAAACCACCACCCCTTGAAAGGCGATCGTCCCTAATAAGAGAGATATTTGGCGGCGGAGACGGAGAAATATCGGTCATCCATTGACCGATGTGGGTCCTAGTCATTGAATCCCCCGAAATTTGAACTAGGCAGGATGTTCATCGAAAGCTATTTGTACGGTCGTGGCCTTAGACATCGGTTTTCGTAGCATTTCCGACCTGACGCCGCTGTTTGGCCTCCTACCCAATTAATTTAAGTACCAGAAATGGGTTGACGCACATGCCCTATCCACTAAGCCCCAGACCCAATCATGTATAGTATTCGAATTGAAAGCGCTCCCATCGTGAGTGTTTGCCTAGTAGGAAAATTCATAGACCCCCTCTAGAATGAAAACCAGCGCCTTAGTACCAACTTTCTTATCCTTTTTCACCGAGTTCCGTTCGCAGAATGACGGTTTTTAAACTCGCGGAACCTAGCCACACAGGGTCCCAAGCATGTCAGGTCACTCCAAGAAGGGGACCTCGTCTTCCTCCAGAGCAGCGAAAGCCAACCGTTCGCCTCAATCCATCCAATAGGTCTAAGTTTCTTTATTACGGGCAGTAGCGAGTGCTTGGACTCTGCATTCTATTGAAATCCACATTAATCTGTTACTTATCCCGAAAGATACTTCGGGAGCCCAGTTCTGCCGTCCCTTGTCTGCAAGTGTTCACCTACACCTTACACTAACCTCCTCACTTCAAGAAATGACCGAGGAGATAGCAAAGCTCCTCAGCCTGGCTTCTGGCCCAGTAGCTTTAGCTACACTTGCTTCCCAGTCCTGTATGCCTCTTTACATGACGGCCTGGAGTTTTCCACCCTATCCAAAATCTGTACGCGACCTCAAAGAAGATCTTGAGTCCTTCAATGAGGTACTTACTTCGCTACGGGAGACAGTTCCTGTCACTTGACCAATGCCATGTATGTAATTCCCTTCCGGCAATGGCAATATCTTCAAAAGTTTTAAAGACAGCCAACCCGGAACAAAGTCAATAAGCCTTTATTCATACATCTTGCAGGGGCTCTAACGCAGACTTATTTATTGATACTTCGCCAGAGTCTGGTCCTTTGGAGCAAAGCCTTCCGTGAGAGGCCATGGTAGGTCTTCCGAGCCATCGTTTTTGTTAAGGCTGGTCAGAGGACACATCGTCCTGACAAGGCTCTGCAACCCACACTGTGGAAATTGGATTAGGGTTAGTATATGAAGAGAGGTGCGATGGGTCCGATTTTGTTGAAGTGTAGGTCTGAAACTTACTTCATCTGCACAGCCTCCAGCTAGGTTGTCCAGTATGTCCTGAGACGGCCAGAGTGGAATGCCGCCCTTAGAATACTTTTCCGTATTGTAAGTTTTATTCAAGTAGTCCAAATCACATTCGGGAAGGGTGAACCATTTATTGTCGGGAGCAACCTGACCCTGCAGAGCCAAGGTGTTTATGATGGTTGATCTAAAGTTGCTGGTGAAGTTGGCGGCAAACCCATACTTATTCTGAGACCACTCGGAGGTTGTAGCGACATAGGTCAAGTTCAGGCCATACGTTCCAAGCTGGTCAGCCCCGCGCACCGCCGGCCACTGATGGTCCCCACCCGGTATCTCATCTCCGGCGATCATAAAGAAGTAAGCTGTGCCGTCAATGCAGGCGACTGCCGAGGTATATAGTTTGATATCACAAATAGGCGTGCCACCATACCATACCCCGGACAGCTTGGCGATGAAGACGCTCTGAATCATCCACAGCGTATTAATTTCTGAGACTCGCAAACTGTCCACCATAGTCGAACCGATATGGTAAGTCGTGAAATCGGATGCCGGGGAGGCGAATACGCCTGATTTCAAGATTGACGAAAGGCTGACGTTGCTGTTGACTACATACGTCTCACTATCCATATCGTTGTGCACAGGACCATTGACAATTGTGTTGAACATGTTTGCAATCGCATATTTTGTCTGATTGAGTCCGATGTAGGATGCGTTTACTTCGTTGTCGAAGACACGAAGCCCCTGGGCAACACTATCAAATATGTTAACCGAATAGAACGTTCGAACTGAGCCTGGATGGTTGTGTATACATACGCATCACTTTCCGTTGTGATCAACGCGTTTTCCATGCCATTGGTGATAGTGGTAAGTCCACTCGCCATTCCAGCCGCTGCGTCTGCATTGATGGCGCCTTGAAACCCATTTCCCTCAGTGAAACGACCTAGAGCTCCGGTAAGAATTCCGCCCGCCATTCCAAAGACGCCTGCTAGGATAGTAATAATCCAAGTATCGTTATCCTCCTTGAGAAGCGTGATTCTTGTCAGGATACCATGATAGGATGTGGGTGTTAAATTACTGATGATTCTTACCTGGTTTTGCGGTTTATAGTCCAACGGACTAAATACGCCCGAGAGGCCCAATCCAACGCTATCGAGATCGTCCATGGCTTCTTCGATACCGTTCATGATGGCATTGAAGAATTCCCACATATTATAGATACTGTATAGCAAAAAGTTGTACTCGGCATTTGTTAACGGCCCTTCTGTCGGATCATGTTGGCAAGTTGCTTCGTTATTGGGGTTTGAGCACGCCCGGCCATCGGGCGTGCTTTATATCGCGAAAAATACCGTTAGCTTGGAAACTCTCAAAAGTGTCCTAGAAAAAGAGGAGAAGATTGCAGTTAAAACTTACAAGTTGCAATCAAAATTAGTGTATCCATAACTTTTTTCAACAATAAAATCTTTAAAGCTCTTCGTATAGTCATCAGGGATTAATTCGGCACTGCATTCATTAGTCAACTTCCTAGCAATAATAAAGCTCAACTAGTAGACGTGTTGACTTACAGAAATTCTACCTGATTTCCCATGTCGTCCTTGATCCAGGAATTTGTGTTCATATGATCGGGTTGGCAAAGAAGCTGTTTATCTGTAGGAACTGGGTCCAAACTCGCAGAAATCTGGCTCGGGGTCGGTGTTGTGGATGGGAGGGTCGTGCTGGACGGACTTGTGACAGCATCCTTTTTCTGGATATGGGGAACAGCAGTTCCCGTAGTGGCTGCTCTTGGTCATCAGACATTTTCTTCTTCTAACCAATGCAAATCAGAGTCATGGAGTACGGACCATAGGAAGCCAAGGTAAGCCAAAGGAGACGCATGTCCAACAAATGTATGGTCTTTAACGAAAGGACCAAGTCGATCTCCTCGATTATGCTATACCCTCCTAGGATGGGAAGGCCCTTTATATAAATATACTTTTCGGTTGCGTCAAGTTATGACAAGCAGAAGGATGATGCTACCTCGGGAAAGGCTTGAGGCCTTTCAAAGGGGCTGGAACACTCGACACTGTAGAAACAAGAAATTGACCACATTTGCCCTGGGGTCAATACGGTAACTCAACCATTTCCTTGAACTTGGTACTGATTTAGGCTTAATCGAACGACAGTCAATAAGCAGGCCGTGGGTCCATACCAGTAACTATTCCTCCATATCTTGCAGGTTAGGATTGAAGAAAAGATTCGTGGGGCAAATCGTAGAGCACTTTAGGTGTTGGTGTTGGTGGACACCCCCACAAAAGAAAAACCGCAACGAAATGAGTTATGATCCTTCTCTCCACAATCTGTTGTGTGGAGTGGTTCAGGAGAGCACCCAAGCACCGACTGGGATCCTTTCTCCATATTTGCCAACTTTTAGTCAACAGTGAGATTCGTTTCGGAACTTCCGTCGCATACCAGGATGCGAGTCAGTCAAGCTCGGCGAGAAGCCACCAATAGCGCTATATTGATGTCTTTACAGTTGGTGTAGGGATACCGATCTGAGACAAGATGTGGCCCCTTCCCTATGCCTCGAGTTTTATCCAAACCTTCGCATGCCCCGCATGACCCAAATTAGACCAGGGGTACATCGTTGTTCTCGGCTACAGGAACTTAAAAGAAAAAGCAATGTTACCCCTGGGTGATACATGAGTCTGCATAACTACGTCTTGTCACTGATGTCTCTCCTCTTCTTTTTGGTCGATTATCTTCACTCTAGGTACTGTAGGTACTGTAAGCTGCCCGGCTCATTATATCTACAGCCCCCAAAGTGATAAGATGGGCTTTAATTGCTGTTGGATGCCCCTCACCCCGCAAGTCTCCGCATAACCAAACGTCTAGCCCTCCAGCGCTCAATAAAGTTCTAAAGGATGTTCACTAGAGCGTGCGCAGTAAACTAAACCCGGATTTTGTGATCCTAGACTCTTTTGATCTACTTTGATCTATTTATATTCCTTCTTCCTGAATCAATCGAACTTTCACTTTCTGCAACTATTATCCCACCCACCTACAGATAAGACAGGAACTACTATGTACATAGCGCCCTCGCCAAAGGAGTGGCAAATTGTTATCATATTACTCACAACATCAACGGTGAGAGTAAATATATGAAGGGGACAGACAGTGTATACCAAACATAATAGGCTATACTATTATCCTAAGTATATAAAAATATTTATCAATATTTCGGGGGTTTCATAATGAAATAATTGAACCAAAGATGACCGTGAATAGTGTTCATGAACAGTATTTCTATTTACATAGGTCAGCAGCCTTACATATACCAAAGCACGAATTGTGAAAATTTACCCCCCAATCAGGCCCTAATGGGGACCCGTGTTGGAGGTTGGCTTGGACCTTGGAGCCGGGTTTTGGCCCCAACTGCAGTCTTGTCCCTGTCCAATCTACGTATACTCTCCGACACCGCCATTGCTTGAGCACTACCATGGCAGCATGGAGAAAGACGATAACTCTAAGCCCGGTAAGACCGCGGCGGTAAAGCGGGCAAATATTCCCTACTAAGACGTAATTCGAACCGACCCCGTTTAGCGTCCCGGCCCCATCTAGCGTCCCGGCCCCATCTAGCGTCCCGGCCCCATCTAGCGTCCCGGCCCCATCTAGCGTCCCGGCCCCATCTAGCATCCTGGCCCTATTTAGTGTTCCGGTCCATGTAGCATTCCGGCCCCATTTAGCAAGCCCATCCCATTTAGCGTCTCGGTCTCCTTTAGCGCCCCGGCCCATTAAGAGTCCTGGCCCCATGTAGCTTCCGGATCTACGCTGTATAGTACTAGTATAAACTACTAATGATTTTGCTTTTGCAATGTATGTATAGAGAAACTTCGCTAGTGCGATTGGCATATATAACGCTGATTGGAATCCTGATTTTGTTTGCCTAAATATTTCCGATGTGGTATTCTGATTTGCCTTATCATTTGCACGCTTCTCTACTACTTCATTGGCTATCTAAAAGTCTAGATGCGTAGATAGGTTCAAATAATAACAATTCCATAGTTTATCTCCGTTATTTGGACGCTCTCTAGTCATGATTATCGTAAAGAAGCTGAGAACGGAAAGATGCCAATACAGTTTTCCAACATTATCTTTATACCAAAATATATTTCCTTCCAAAGGAAAGTATCCAAGTGTCTTTCATATTACTTTGACAATAACAAGCCCGTTAGAAGCGCCACGGGTATGAAGTTGTGTTAGAGCACTGCCTAACATATAGGGCCACATGATTCAGGATCCGACTTACTCAGTCAGCTATTTTTTAGTAAATGTCGGAGTCTGAAGTTCCTGTATTCACTAGTAAATTTACTAGATAGTGTCATGTGACAATGATTGAAAACGATGGTATTCAGGTCTAGCTATCATGTCCATATTTATACGCGTTGAATTGTGATACAAAACATGCGTTCAGTCAATCTTACATATGACCCAAATCCCTCGTGGTAAGTTCGTGGCAAGCGGTTCAGCGCCTTTGTGTATCGGACTCGATTCCATGATCAGATTGTTCACAATTCCATACTACGTAGGTGGTTCGCCTGGTTTTACTTGTGACCAGATGTCAGATCAAGAAAGAAAATCAATAAAGAATTCAATTTGAGTACGTAGTCGACGGGAGATCCAAGTTGAGAAAGGGAAGAAGAGACCGAAGAAGAGTCTCTACTTATCTACAACAGTCTATGTCCTGTGTCACCTGTCAAACGCAGTCTTCAAACGCAGCCTTCAATCGCAGTGATGCCAAACGCGGTCCCATCAAGCGCAGACCCGTCGAGCGCGGTCCCGTCATGCGCAGTCCCGTTAAAATCCCATAAAGTGTGGTCACATCCGAGACCACATCAATTTGGACTGTCTCAAGTAATAACTTCACCACCCCCTCACGTCTAAATCTTGCTGCCAAGGACAACGGTCTCAAGCCGAAAAAGTCTCTCGAGTCCACTTCCACCTGGTTTGTCTCAAGCAATAGCCTCTACTCCTTCACGTCCCTCCCGCGCGGCGTAGAACAATGGTGTCCAATCTTCATTGTCCTTCGAGTTCACATCCACTTGCCCGGTCTCAAGTAATAGCTTTACCACCAACTCGTGTCCATGCTTCGCAGCCCAGGTAAGTGGTGTACGACATTCTCCGTCCTTCCTGTCTGCATCCACCTCCCCTGTCTCAAGTAATAGCTTCACGACCACCTCATGACCTCCAACGGGCAAATCGTGGCAGGTGACCACAACACCACAACGCCCGGATAGAAAGCACTTCAGTATGATTAGAAAGCTCGCATCCGCCAGATTCTAAAGTTAGTTTTCTTTTTACATATTATTGAAAATTGGTCGCAGGGGAAGCGAAATACTCTCAGCCAATAGAAACTCGAACGAAAAACCCCGGACGAAGGTCACGTGGTGCGAAATTCAAGACACAAACCATCAGCGCCACGACGCTTATTGTACATTGAATATAGCATCATTAGAATCAAAACAGTAGTCTTCTCCCAGAATTCCTCCATCTTTTAATCGCCCTATACCCTAGAGGTAATGTCACTGCGGTCGTCGGGGGGGGGCCCAGTGACATTCCCCCCGTCCCCATTGGTCCAAACCCTCCCCGGTGCGTGCCCCCGGCCCCTAGCGTCCCGTGCCCCGAACCCGACCAACCAACGACCCACCCCTTACACTAGACTATATGCCACTATCGATGTTTCCCTTTTCCCTTTGGCTTCTTTGGCTTTTACTTGCTTTTTACTCCCTCTTCCTCCCCTCACTCGGTGCCTAGATCGATCGTGACCTTGACGCGCTCTCGACGCGTCGTAGCGTAGGAGATGACCACGATGCCGCGTCTCACGCACCACCACAACACACAACGTCGTCAATCTGTCGCCGCTACCGCATATACAGACGCGTGTCGTAGTTGGAGCAGTTGCTAGTTCCGTTCTCCTCTCTTCTTCTCTCCTCTGGTTCCTCTACCATCTACTCATCGTCCTTTTTTTTCTTTTCCCCCTCCATTCTGACCCCCCCCCCCCCCCCCCCTTTTGGCCGCTCCCTCCCTACGCCACTGGTTCACAACTATGGACCTATTCGCCTGGAATCAGACCTACCGCATCTGGGTTTGTAAGACCTGCGAGCATGGCGTTCCGCCGCGAGGGATCTCAGGCCACCTCGGCTCGAAGAAC